CCCACTCTCCTTCCAACCCCCACTCTCCCCCATACTACACTCTCCTCTCATCCCTCATACTCCACTCTCCTCTCATCCCCCATATTCCACTCTCCTCCCATCCCCCATACTCCACTCTCCTCCCATCCCCCATACTCCACTCTCCTCTCATCCCCCATATTCCCTCCTCCCCACCAATCCAACTTGCATGGACATAGGACTATATTGAGAAAAAAACTTGCATGCGCGGTTCTGTCAAATCATATTAATAACTGTTCTACCTCAAAATTATAATCTTCAACTACTCTATTCAAAGAATCGTTATATACATACATACATACATACATATGTATACTAGTATATGTATATTTAAACTGTAAAATACAATGCTTAAGCATCATAAGTTGTAGCAGAAACGTTACCACCTCTTCCAGTCCAGTTAACATGCACCCATTGGTTTTCTGGCAAGAACTCAGTTCCTTTGCCTTTAGCAACTTGGAAAGTGTGAGCACCAAAGTAATCTCTTTGAGCTTGTAACAAGTTAGCTGGAAGTTTTTCTGATCTTAAACCATCGTAAAAGGCCAAAGCGGTCGAGAAAGCTGGGGTTGGAACACCATAGGTGATAGCATGAGCAACAGACGATCTCCAACCTGATTGAGCTTTAGTAATGGCATCTTTAAAGAATGGGTGGAATAACAAATTGTCCAAATGAGGGTTTTCTCTGTAAGCAGCGGTGATTTCTTTCAAAAACACTGATCTAATGATACATCCACCCCTCCACATTAAAGCGATACCGGCATTGTTCAATTTCCAACCATAATCTTTAGCAGCTTGGTTCATCAACATGAAACCTTGAGCATATGAGATAATCTTTGACGCATACAATGCTTGTTCCAAATCATCAACAAATTTTTGTTTATCCTTGACTGGTGATTCGCCAGAGACTTCGGGACCTTGTAAAATTGTTGAAGCTTTGACTCTTTCATCTTTCAAAGCTGAAAGGCATCTCGAGAAGACAGCTTCACCGATTAAAGTAACTGGAATACCCAAATCAAGAGCATTAACTGCAGTCCATTTACCGGTACCTTTTTGTCCAGCAGTGTCCAAAATTTTCTCAACAACTGGTGTATTATCAGTTGGATCATTAAAGTTCAAAATGTCTCTTGTAATTTCAATCAAGAAAGAATCCAAGACACCGTTATTCCATGTTGCGAAAACATCGGCTATTTCCTTGTCTGTGAATTTACCGACTCTCTTCATAACATCATAGGCTTCACAAATCAATTGCATATCACCATATTCTATACCATTATGAACCATCTTGACGTAATGACCTGCACCTGCATCGCCAACCCAGTCGCAACATGGTTCCCCATCTGACTTGGCGGCAATGTCTTGGAAAATACCTTTGATTTCAGGCCATGCAGCTTCGTTACCACCTGGCATTAATGATGGACCAGTTCTGGCACCTTCTTCACCACCAGAAACACCGGTACCAACGAATAAAATTCCCTTCTCTTTCAATTCAGCAAATCTTCTGTTAGAATCTGGGAAATGAGAATTACCACCATCAATAACAATGTCGCCCTTTTCCAAGAAAGGAAGCAATTGATTAATAAAGTTGTCAACAGCATCACCGGCTTTGACCAACAACATGATTTTTCTTGGTCTTTTCAAATTTTCAACTAAAGCTTGAACTGAATGAACACCAATAATTGGCTTACCCTTAGCTTCATTGGCTAAGAAATGATCAACCTTTGAAGTTGTTCTGTTGTAGCAAACAACGGTGTAGCCATGATCAGCAGCATTAAGAATCAAATTCTGACCCATAACGGCCAAACCGATTAAACCAAAGTCACCTCTAGAAACAAAACTGTTAGTATCATTTTTCTCAACAACCACGTGATTCGATATTACAGAGAGTCTTTTAATTGCAACTGATGATGCCATTGATTCACTCTAATAGAAAAAAATAAAAAGCATAAAAGCATCAAAGCCATTGGAGTAGTGGGGAAAAAAAGTACCGGAGGTGAAACGGTGATCTTTTTATAGGCATCATTCTTCAAGTATACTTTGTGAACCAAATTCATTTTTCTTCTTGCTGGGGCGATGAAGAAAAAAAAAAATAGGGCGAAATGACCGAGGGTTATAGGGTAGGTTATGCGGGGTGGGGGGCGAAGCGATACGATGCAGTATATATAGTACGGTTTCTTATAGCGCCAGGTTAAAAGTCCTTAAACCTCTTGCAAATGTATAATTGCAATACCAAAACACTAAACTAATTTTTCATCAACAATGAAAAATCTTAGCAATCAAACCCGTGTGTTTTTGGAACTTGTTTCTATAGAACTTAAAAAAAAAAAAAAAAAAATTGAGAATCGACATACTTTGGTTCGGATGGTTTTGAATCACCAGTAGACATTGTATATAATTTGTTGATAATGAGACCCTTATTAGTTCAATTGACAAAGAATTGACTTGAGAAGAAAGTGAAAAAAAAAAAAGAAAAGGTATATAAAAGAAAGTGAAAAAAAAAAGGTATATAAAAGAAAGGACAAAAAGTTGAAATTGAATTCGTGGACTTTGAAAAAACTAAAAATTAGAAAACGGTTTATTAAGAAATGTCACGAGAATCAAGAAAGGAACTTTGAATAGAGAGAATCCCCCTTTGTTGAAAAGATATTTTCATGTAGAGCAAAAAAAAAATGAAACCAGAACTATAAATGGAAAATTAGGAAACCAGCTGAAACCGGTTTTTTTTTTTTTACACAGGTAAAGCAGCTAGTTAGACTAGACTAGAATAGTTGAAGCAGCTAGAGTAGAATAGATGAAGCAGCTAGAATAGAATAGATGAAGCAGCTAGACTGGAATAGACTGTAATACACTGGAAAAGATAAAGCAGCTAGCTAGACTGGTTTTCTAAACTTTACTGGGTCAGACTATTGCGGTTTTTTTATGCATCTCATTGGGTTTTTTTATGCATCTCATTGGGTTTTTTTTTTTTTTTTTGCGCAATTTGCATGGTGAAGTTCTATAGTCTTCTCTTCTGTTGAGTTTTTATTTAGAGTTTTTTTTTTGTAAGTTGATTACAGATTTATTATTAATCTTTTGTATATGTAATATAATGTAATGATATAATAGTGTAATATTTCTAGAATGAAGGTATTTCCTGTTTAGGAGGGGTTTCGGAAATACAATAAAATGTCAACCAACAAGAGAGCGACACTATCGAGCAGAGCGACACTATCGAGCAGAGCGAGATAGAGGAGCAGCACTCAGTACCAACACTCAGTACCAACACTCAGTAGTAATACTCAGTAGCAGCACTCAGTACCGACACTCAATACCAACACTCAGTAGTAATACTCAGTAGCGACACTCAGTAGCAACACTCAATAGTATACTCAGTAGCAGCACTCAGTAGCGACACTCAGTAGCGACACTCAGTAGCAGCACTCAGTAGTAATACTCAGTAGCAGCACTCAGTAGCAACACTCAGTAGCTTTTTACAACACTATCTCGCTCTGCTCGATAGTGTCATCTCGATAGTGTCATCTCGCTCTGTTCAATATTGATCACGTGACATTGAGAGATGTAGCCGAATACGAGACGAGAGCATGATACGTGACAAGTATACGAGAACATAGCAGTTCCACTATCTCGCTCCGCTCGATAGTATAACAAGTTTGCGAGAACATAGCAGTTCCACTATCTCGCTCCGCTCGATAGTGTAACAAGTTTGCGAGAGCATAGCTCCACCATCTCGCTCCGCTCGATAGTGTCGCTGACACTCGATAGTACAAAGTGCTGCTTCACTATCTCGCTTACTATCTCGCTTCACTATCTCGCTTACTATCTAGCTCCGCTCGATAGTAAAGCTCGATAGTAATGCTCGATAGTAAAGCTCGATAGTAATGCTCGATAGTAATGCTCGATAGTCATGATTACTAGTTGTCACGTGAAATCATGATGTAGGTCACGTGCAATGGTTCCATTGAAACATGACGCAAAACCGCTTCTCTCAATTGGCAATCGTTTTTTGCAACTTTTATAATTCAACAAGGGGCTATCAAGTCTTTTGCATTGTTGAAAGGAACATTATATATAACTTGTCCAACTTGTTTTTCTTTCCCCAACTGGAGGAGATATATCTAGCTGCTGGTTTCCCTCTTTTCCCTTTTTTTTTCTTGCTTTCCTGCTGTTGCTTTGTTGCTGTTTGCTGTTTGCTGTTTGCTGTTTCACTATGCCTATTCCAAAACCTCATGGTGGTGTACTTAACGATTTGATAATCAGAGATGCCGCAAAGAAATCTCAGTTATTACAAGAATCACAATCGTTGCCCCAATTAACTTTGACACCAAGACAGTTGTGTGATTTGGAGTTGATTCTAAACGGGGGGTTTTCTCCATTGACTGGGTTTTTAAATGAAAATGATTATAAAAGTGTGGTTGAAAATATGAGGTTATCATCGGTAAAATCTCCTCATAATGACAAAGGATTGTTATGGCCAATACCCATAACTTTGGATGTCTCGCAAGAAGAAGCTCAAAAGTACAAAGTTGGAGATAGAATCACTTTACTTGATTTGAGAGATGAGACTCCGTTGGCTATTATAACTGTGGAATCAATTTACAAACCAGATAAAGCTAGAGAGGCTAAATTAGTTTTTAGAGGAGATCCCGAACATCCAGCTAACAAGTATCTCTCAGAGATTGCTGGTGATGTATATATTGGGGGGTCATTACAGGGTATTAATTATCCAAAACATTATGACTATATAGAGTCAAGGAAAACACCAACTGAATTAAGAAAAGAATTTGAAAGTTCAGGATGGGCAAACCAGAATATCGTTGCTTTCCAAACTAGAAATCCCATGCATAGAGCACACCGTGAGTTGACAATTAGGGCTGCTTCCGATATAGGATCAAATGCTCATATCTTAATCCACCCAGTTGTTGGATTAACCAAACCTGGTGATATTGATCACCATACTCGAGTCAAAGTATATAAACAAATTTTAAAGAAATTCCCTCAAGGGTTGGCATCATTATCATTATTACCATTAGCCATGAGAATGGGCGGTGATAGAGAAGCGGTGTGGCATGCATTAATTAGAACAAATTATGGTGTTGATCATTTCATAGTTGGAAGAGATCATGCTGGTCCTGGAAAGAACTCTCAAGGAGTTGATTTCTATGGTGCTTATGATGCACAAGATTTATTAAAGCAATATGAAGATGAATTGGAAATAAAGATTGTGCCCTTTAGAATGGTTACTTATTTACCCGATGAAGATAGGTATGCCCCAATCGACACCATTGACTTGAAAACAGTCAAGACTGCAAACATTTCAGGAACTGAATTGAGAAATAAATTGAAAACAGGAGAAGAAATCCCAGAATGGTTTTCATACCCTGAAGTAGTTAAGATTTTACGTGAAACTAATCCACCTAGATCCAAACAAGGATTTGTTATTGTAATCGAAAATGAACTGAAGTTGGGTCAATATTTGAGTTTTGCATTACAATCAACATTGAATCAATTTGGAGGTGAGCGTAGAATCACAAAGATTGATGATGCATCCAATAAATATGATGCTTTTATAATTAATGAATTAGTCAAATCCGGTGCTGGTGTTATATTAACCACAGATAAAGATCCAGAAAGCATTATTGATTTCGTTGGTCGTGGAAACGTATTATTGGTTAGTAGCGAACCTGGCAATGTATCTAATGGTGAATTTGAATTGAAAAATTCAGATTTGAAGGTGATTGTTGATGAAATTGTTGATTATTTAAAAGTGCAAGGTTTTTATTAAAGCTTCAAAAGAGACTGTAGATATAAAACTAAAGTTCTTAGAGATGTGTGTATAGCTGTGGCTTTCACTGCTTATGATATAATACATCGTTATATTTAAATAAAAGGAAAAACAGGAAAATACTCTATGCAAAAAGATGGAAAGTGGGGGAGACAGAAAGGAGGTTTGGTTGGTTGAGGTTGTTTGATCAATAAGCTTGCCTTCTTTGGGATATATAAGTAGCTCTGATTTGCAAAGCCTCTGCAAATCCCATAGATGCTGGCCAAACAGGAGCATCAGCCAAGATCCTAATTCCCATGTAAAATGCTTTTTTGGATAATTTGCTCTTGATTATTTCATCCCTGATTTCTTGATTAAGCCCAAGAACCTTATTTCTATTCACCTCAATATCCATATTTCTTGATAAGTTATCATCGACAATTTCTCGTTTTTCACTAAGTTGAGCTATTCTAAATGCTTGACTTTCATCAAATAAAGAAGAACAAGTATCATCCTTGATATTCTTGGTTAATACATCCAGATATACTGATTGAACACTAATGCTCAATACTTTACCAACATTGTTTAATAATTCATGACACTGAAACCAATCAAACAACTCTTGATTCGATACATCTCTGCGTCTACACTGCTGTTCCAAATAATCAAGATAAGTAGCAACAATAATCATACTGATAAACATGGCGCAACTTAGTATCACAGGCGTACGTACTGCCGTTTTCTTGAGATCGTAACTGATTGTTTCCGAAGTATGAACCCACAAGTCCAATATTTGACAACTGTATGATAACGACTTGCTTAATACATTGTAATTAGACTCTTTATAATCCATCAAGTCTAACTCTTTATTCATTGAATCGTAATCCTTTTGCAACATAAATGACATAATAGGATTGAAATTTATTGTCAACTTGATTTTCAACAAACACCAGAGAGGGATGATCAATTTCATCTCTGGTTTGAAATTTAATCCATTTCGATTCTGTAGATTTATATTCAAACTTCCAAAATTTTTTACAAACAAAATCTCCCAATTATTAATTAATTGATCAAATTTCTTCCTTTTTTCTAAATTCCATTTAATAGCACTAAATGGTTCAAGACTTAATGCATTGGTAATTTGTTCATGAAGATGCAATAATAAGGTCAACATATCTTCTGATGGTATTGCAGGTGTTATGACATGAGGGTTATTTACAAAATTGATCAAATTTTCTACTCTTATCCCATTGCGAACTTTAGCGATTGACCAGTTTGAAGGATATAGCTTACAAACATTAGCATACCAACTACTAGCATCTGTGCTCCACCATAAAGCGTCATTAGGGCAATAGGACCCGGATCTTAAAAGTGACGAGCTGAATAATGCAGGATCGCCAGTTAAAGTAGATCTAAACATTTGTAAAAGGTAGAATATATGTAAGGTACGGATCCTTGATTGAGCCATTATGAAGTAATCAAAATTGTCTTGAATAATCTGCTTATTCTCCTCGATACTGGTAGTAGTATTGGTAGAAGTAGTAGTAGAAGTAGTAGTAGTAGTTGCAGTGGCGTCATGTGTCATTGGCGGTGGCGGAATCAATACTTGTTCCAATGGTTCGTTAAAATGAGTCGATTTGATCAATCCAATCATTGATCTGATTTGTCTTGACGTCACATCAATCATGTTCGGTTCATTGAAGAAAAGGGATATCATAATGTGTAAAACAAGGCACTGATGCGCCATCAAGGGTACTTTTTTGAACTGAATAAAGTCTCCAGTCAACTCTTTTTCAAAAAAAATCTGAATATGGTATTTGGACAAGTTGAACAAAATCAATGCATCGTGGTTATTGTATGCATATAGGGACCCGATTGCTGCAATGGCCAATAATAATGGAACATTATCAAAATTTGGACCAGCCTTTTTTAATGTTGGAAAATGGATAAATGAAAAATACTTGTTGAAACCATACTCGTACAATTGAACATAGTACTTGAGATTCTCCAATGAAGGAAAATCCAAGCTATTGATACCTGCAGTACTTACCATTTTATCTCGAAGTTCCAGTGTGAATAAACTTGACTCATGCGAATAAAAGTTTGCGGGAAATTCCACTGAATAATCTATATTTTCAATAGCAGCAGCTCCTGCACCATCTTCTCCACCAAGTAATTGTTGCATAAAGTCTTGAGCTTGTCTTTTGGGTATGCTTCCCTTGTCTTCAAGTTGCTGCTTAGAAGTGGCATTAAAATACCCTTTTAAGTCATCAAAACTAGTAGTTACACTATAATTCCCAGTGAGATCAAATTGTGGGTGAACTAAATCTTGAATCCATTCATTATCCAAGCCTGTTGGGGGAACAGCCTGAGGTTGTGACTCGTTTTCCATTACTGACCTAGGCCGTTTTCCAATACTTGAGTTTTCGCTACCTTTATTGCTCAAATGTTGTGGATTAATACTTCCAACAGATGAGACCGAGTCTTGATTAGATTGGGGCAGGAGCTGTTGCTGTTGCTGTTGCTGTTGCAGCCGTTGTGGAATTGAAACCGGTCGTGACAAATTTTGAGTTTCATTAATTGACACGTGTGTTTTCTCCAACGATTTACCATGATCATCAGGCATTCGTAACGATGTCTGTCCATATATTCCAAATATTGCATTAGGATGTTGCATTGGATTAGCATGTTGCATATGCGTATGTACCGGTTTATGATCCAAACCCTCTGTAAAGAAATCATGTAAATTTTTGAGTGATTTTTGTCTCAAAGCAAGTCTATTCTCTTCGTCATTCAAGTCCAAATTGTCGATATTACCCCAGTCCATCAATTCTGACATTCCCAAGATCTTGTGATACTCTTCGCTGTGTGGGCCCAAGGGTGGTGTACCAAATTCGACATGTGTAGGTGCAGAATCTGTCAAGTCAACGGTAGTTTCCTGAATCAACTTTGCATCCTTGTTTGTTGTGTATGACAATCCGGAAGCTGCCGAGTAAGAGGCATGTCTATGATTGTTGTTAGCCAAATGGGATGGTATGCAACCCCCATTATTATTAACCACTGCTTTCATTGACCGTTTACGACTTGGTACGTCTGAACTCGGAGAAAGTTCTTGTTTCACAGCAGAAGAAGACCTTTTTGACACGCAACCAGTTACAACTGAATTTTGTCTCGACATTGATGTTACTATTGGAGGATTAAAGGAAATGCTATTTTTCTTGCTGCTACTGTGTAAAGTGATACTTGGCTTTGGTGAGTTTCCTCCTATAGTTGTTATTGGGGAAGCACCAATCAGCGCTTGCGGCAGGGTACTTATATTTTTATTGCTTTCGTTACTCATGAGATTCTCATCGTCATTGTCGTTATTATCGTTGTTATCGAACAATGTTGTTCGAAAAGTTGGTTTAAAGTCAATGTTGTTATTGTTATTGTTGTTATTGTTGTTATTATTGTTATTATTGTTGTCATTTGGTTCTGAATCCAACAAGGTGAGGTCTCCGCCATCGGGTAACGGAGCATTTGCATCTGTGTTATTGAATAGTACATTTATATGTTCATTAATATCCAAATCCTTTGAGGAGCCACGTCTCATGATGTTTGGCAAGTTTGTGTGTAGTTTCTGTTGATGTCGTAACACCAAATCTCTCCTAGCAAAGCATCTACCGCACGCTGCACATTGATACGGTTTTTCATTAGTATGAGCTCTTTCATGACGTTTCAAATGTTCCAACCTGGCAAAAGCACGAGTGCAAACACCACATACATGGGGTCTTGGTTTATCGGTTCTAATTTGCTGAGACTTCTTTGGTATGGGCTGCGAGCCGGGGGCGATATTCAAGCCCAAGTTCATTTCCTGCAGAATGGAATTAGAAGCAGATAGCGGCAAAGGTGGCGGCGGTAATGAAGGATGCCCGGTTGAAGGCGACGAAAGAGACACCGACATACGCATGTCCATGTTTAACAATAACAGCTGACCAAAAAAAGTGGGACCAAAAAAAGTGGGACCAAAAAAGTGGGACTAAAAAGTGGGCAAAAAGTGGCAAAAAAACAGTAAATTTGATAAAGCAAGTATCACTTCCTTATAACTTAAAGCCAACAAACTCTTGTTTCCTTTAAATAAAGGGCAAAACGATGGCTTTTCAACAACCTAACGATGCAATCGTAATTGGGAGTTTTGAATTTCTGGTTGGAATTTTCGTTTTTCAATTTTTTTTCTTTAAAATTTTTGTGTCTGAAAAGTTTGTGTCGGGGGGAAAATTAGTTTGTGTCGGGGAAATAAATTTGTGTCTAAAATTTGTGTCTAAAATTTGTGTCTAAAATTTGTGTCTAAAATTATGTGTCTGAAGCTATGTGTCTGTGCATTTTATTTGGTGACAAAATTAAAGATTGTATTTAAACTAATGTGCATGAATCCACTATCGAGCAAAGCGAGATAGTGGAACATCATGATTCTACTATCCACTAGCTTGCTTTGCTCCATAGCGGAGCAGTACTGACGGGTTTAATTGTTTAGCCTAGTTTTGGTGGTAGGGGTTGTCTTGGTGTAGTAATAGAGTTTTAGTGTTTTGGTTGTTTTGTAGTAATAGAGTTTTCGAGGTAGAGCTTATTTTGTAGTAAAGTTTTCGAGGTAGAGGTTATATTACAGTAATATAGTTTCCTATAGAGATTCTATTATGAGCTAAGATGAGGTCAGTCTCTGTCCCTTTGTTATTCAGAGACTAATACTTTTGCCATAAAAATGAATTGAATTGAAATTGCAAAGGACACTATCGAGCAGAGCTAAATGATAGACAACAACGGAGAAATGATAGACAACAACGGAGAAATGATAGACAACAACGGAGAAATGATATAATAAAGAAGTATACAGTGAAATGATAGAATAGAGAAGTATACAGTGAAATGATAGAATAGAGAAGTATACAGTGAAATGATACGGAGAAATTACCAAAAAGATAAAAGGAGTTACCAAAAAGATAAAAGGAGTTACCAAAAAGAAAAAGGGAGTCACTAGAAAGATTAAGGGAAAATACTAAAAAGATGTAAAGGGAAATAAAAAGGGAAATAAGAGAAATAGAGAAAACAAAGATGTACAAAAGATTAAAGGATAATAAGTTTAAGGATATTAAAGTAGAGGTACTAAAAGATTGCAAGGGAATCAATAGATGTAAAGGTTGTAAAGATTAAAGGCTGTAAAGGTTGTATAGGATATTAAAGTAAAGGGAATTAAAAGATGCAAGGGAGATTAAGCAATGTAGTGTAGATAATGTTAATATATGATATATACATTTTATCATTCAAGTAATCTGCTCCTGTTTCATTTATCACTATCGACCAGAGCGAGATAGTGTCATTTCGCTCTGATATCCCGAGACCTTGTTACAACACTATCGAGCAGAGCGAGCTAGTGTCATTTCGCTCTGACATCCCAAGAGTTTATTACAACACTATCGAGCAGAGCGAGCTAGTGTCATTTCGCTCTGACATCCCAAGAGTTTATTACAACACTATCGAGCAGAGCGAGCTAGTGTCATTTCGCTCTGACATCCCAAGAGTTTATTACGACACTATCTCGCTCCGCTCGATAGTGTTATCCCAAGAGTATTCTTTTATGCAATTACTTTTAAACTCAACTTAAATTCATAAACATTATAGTAATAAGATGGAGACTAATTAATGTCGATTGCAGCTAGTAATGCTCCACTATCGAGAGCAAGAAATTTTTTTGGTTTTAGTATGACGTAATATCATATATCTAATCAATTTTTTATTGGTTTATGATATCTCTATTTCAAATAGATGCAAAAGTGATTTCATCACAGTTGAATCCCTTTATTGCATCACTAACCGCTGAATCCAATTTATTGAAATAATTAGTAATCGGCAAGTCCTATTTAGATACATTAGAGACAAGTATAAAACTAACCTATACTTGATATCTTTCCCTTTTCGTTTTTTCTGTGTCTTGCATTGCTTTTTGTTGGGTAACAGTATTGTCGGTGAGATACTTTGACATGTATATCTATTTTTTTAAACTAAAAAGCTTGATAAAAGTAAGCTATTGATAAAGTATGTTATTGGTAAAGTAAGCTATTGGTCTATTGGTAAAACTACAATATAAGAAACCATACTTTTGAAATCTTTGCTTGTTACGTGTCGTGCCTTGTATAAAGCGCTACTTTAAAATAGAGACATTATTGACTAAGGATAGTGACACTATCGAGCAGAGCGAGATAGTGTTGTAACAAGCTGCAAAGTGTTGCTCCTACAAAGTGTTGCTCCTACAAAGTGCTGCTCCTACAAAGTGCTGCTCCTACAAAGTGCTGCTCCTACAAAGTGCTGCTCGATAGTGTCGCCTCGGTCTGCTCAATAGTGTCATTACTGTAGTTTGTCTAAAAAAAAAGTTTTGTCTGTCTGCTTCAAAGGGCGTTTTTTCCAATTACAGTTATTACTTACACTTCCGTCTGTGTTACAAAATGTTGCTCTATTATCTCGCTCTGCTCAATAGTGTCATTTTCCCGTCAAAAGACCAAGCTATAAAGTGTTGCTCCTACAAAGGGTTGCTCCTACAAAGGGTTGCTCCTACAAAGGGTTGCTCCTACAAAGGGTTGCTCCTACAAAGGGTTGCTCCTACAAAGGGTTGCTCCACTATATCGTTCTGCTCGATAGTGTCAGTTTCAGTGTCGGCAGTTATTACTTACTCTTCCGAGATCTGGGGTAATTTTTTTTTGTATTTTTAAAAAGTGTCGTGCATAGTAAGACATTGACCAACCGACACGACCTTATCTTTTTTTTATAATATGAGATAATTTCCTGGGGTCATCTGAATTAAAGAAATGTCTGTCTGACTGACCCAACTAAACAATTGTTGACTAACTTTTATGTCGTTTCTTTTTAGAGGCTAATAAATCGTATACAGTAATAAAACTCCGATAGCTTTTTTTTATTTAACAACCGTTGCTAAAATCCTTACTCTATCAAGTAGTTTTTACTCGAGGCTCGAGCCTCGGGGATTTACAAAATAAGGGGATAGGTGATACTAACACCACCACCAGATAGGGATCTGTGGCGGTGGTAGCATTTATTAGAGCAACGTGTAATTACTGTAATTTCGCTTAGGTTTATTTTCTCGTGTTTGAAAATAGCCGATATTCCCTTTCGCATTTGACTCCCTCTACTCCACATTTCATCAATATTAATAATGACAACTACTAATTAATAACACCCTATTAATTATTATCGACAACTATTATCGACTACTATTAATTGATATCGACTACTATTAATTGATATCGACTACTATTAACTATTAATTAATATCGACTACTATTAACTATTATTTAATATCGACTACATTTCGAGAATAAACATGTTCCGTCTCTTTAATTTCAATTTTAAGCTTTTTATATTTGAGTTTTCTTAATGGAGTTTTGTTTTACCTAATAGGTACTTTTCTCAACATGCTACAAAATTGTCAGGGATATTGATAAACATAGAACATCAATACTTGTGTTTCTATACCCTTGTAACTGTTATAAGAAAATCTCCTTCTCTTTCGACTAGACGAGTGAAACGAGTCTAGTCTAAACATTTTAACATGCGACATAAAGATTAACAATTTAAGTTCAGACTTTCTACGAGAAACACTATCAAGCAGAGCGAGAGACACTATCGAGCATAGCGAGATAGTGGAGCAACACTTACTAGCTTGTTGCAACACTATCGAGCAACACTTACTAGCTTGTTACAACACTATCTCGCTTTGCTTGATAGTGGAGCACACTTTCCAACGCATTGTAGTCACCTAGTAGACTCCATCACTCACTATCTCGTTCCTCGATAGTGAGTTGATGAATGTAAAATTTAAGGTTTCAAATGGTCCATTTTCATCGACAAGGGAGAATATCGAGGGGTCTCAAATTGCCTTACCAAGTGGATTTGGCGTGTGCTACCATGTGCCATACTATTTTGCACCTCTCTACTAGCGAACAGTAGTGGCTCTGCCTACTACTATTTCTCTTTAGAGTATACACTATCGAGCAGAGCAAGATAATGTAGTAACAAGCTACAAAGTTTAGGTGGCAGCTAGTCAGTGTTGTAACAAGCTAGTCAGTGTAGTAACAAGCTAGTCAGTGTTGTAACAAGCTAGTCAGTGTGGTAACAAGCTAGTCAGTGTTGTAACAAGCTAGTCAGTGTGCTCTACTATCTCGCTCTGCTCGATAGTGTGGTAACAAGCTAGTCAGTGTTGCTCGATTCACCAACCAATGATAATGCATCTATTACTAATAACACAAAAAAGATCATGTAGAGTTGATTGTTTTTCTCCCTTGTTTCTTCTTTTTGTTACTGTCATATTACATAAATGTTGCACTTGAACACAAAGGGTCTCATATTTCAGTCAAGGTGGTGTATATTTGGTGACCCTTGTTTGAAAGCAACAAAGAGAAAAAGTGCAATGTGTGAATGGTATAAAAATAGTATAATTGATAAATGTTGAGAGTTAACTGAAGTTACATCTCATAGCGGAAAAATCACTGTGCAGAAGAAAAAAAATTGTGTGGGGGAAATAATTTTTGTATCTCGGATATATCGCTCACCACTATCGAGCATAGCGAGATAGTGTCTACCAAGTGTTGTAGCAAGCTAGTCAGTATGATCCACTATCTCGCTCTGCTCGATAGTGTCACTCGATAAATCATGATCATTACATTATGATCATTACTTTATGATATACTTTATGATCATTACATTATGATATACTTTATGATCATTACCTTATGATATCTGCTGCAACATTCTCGGGATAAATTTATCCGTGTGTAATTAAACCCGAAAGTGAGTTCTTTCTTTGAATGTACATTAGCGATAATACGAAATGCATGACCCTTGAAATTTTGTCAATAACAATTCACCAATGTGGTAACCCTAGCGAAAAGCTCTCATACTAGAAAGAGCCACTTAAAGGGACAAGGTCTCATAAAGGGCAAACTGGTATTTACAAAACTATACAAGCATCAAAAGCTTATTCTGACAGCAATCTAATGAAACATTTTCAAACAAGACTTTTAATTGAATCGTAGAGACTCACATAAACTCACATAAACTCGCATACACACAAAGCTAGGCATCACGTATATTTACTGAAACTAGAGTATATTTAATGAAACTAGAGCATTTTTACTGAAACCAGAGCATTTTCACTGAAACCATAGAACATATTAATCTTAATTGACTAGTATTTGTCCTCCTTTTTTTCTTTTTTTTTTTTTTTATTTTGTTACTTTTGAAACATATCTTGGTAAAACCCGAAAAACGTAAGCAGTTGGCCAAGTAGAGAAACAAATATAGCGGTATTAAAAACCGCAGTTAATAAGAGAAAATTGTAGTGTTAAAAAAAGCAGTGTTAAAACCGCAGTTAATAAGGGAAAAGCGTAGCAGTCTCGTTTTAGTCACTTTTTCAGTTGTAGAATAAAATTAAACTAGACTTGGCTTAGCCTAAACCTTGGCTTAACTGTTGGCCTAACTATTGGCCTAACTGTTGGCTTAACCTCTTACCAATAACCTTGGCTTAACTTTGCAATCAAATTTTTTAACCCCTTATGTTTGTCCATATTTGCTAGTCACTTTCGGACCGATAAAATTTGGCCATTACCACCGTTATTACCGTCATTACCACCTTCTTGCTAAAAAATAGTACTACCCCCAAATCCATGTCTATATCTAAAATTGGTCTTATGCTTTTGTTCTCTATTTTATTATTTTTTTTGTATATATATATTTTTTTTCTGTTACGAGATTAATATCCAAAGAACAACAAGAGGAGTGAATGTTGCATGCGTGAAAAAATGTGTAATGTCATAATATTGCATGTATCAAATAACCAGCAGGAATCCCAACTCCAAAAGTTGGCGTCTTTTTTTTTTTTCTTTTTCTTTTTCTTTTGCGTTTGCGTTTGCGTTTTAGTAACCACGAGAAGTAAGTCAGAGAGCCGCTGTGAGATGGTATATAAGAGGTTGGCACATTCCGGGACAAATCTATAGTAAATATTGTAAAACAGACTTGCAAAGTCGATGCTCTACGTATCTTTGAACCCCCTCCTTTTGTTTTTAGCATCTCAGTTGAGTCATCTCTAAGCATGAGTCAATCATCACCACCACCACCACCACTACTACCACCATATTCCATTCCTTGTGAAAAGCTCCCTCTTTACGAGCCTTCTATAAATTTCCAAGGTTTAGCACTACTCAAAACAGAGTTTTTGACCCCCTATCATTATAACAATGGTAAAAGATCATGGAAACCGGTAATTCTCTATATGAACTCGACTCAGTTGAAAATCTATAGTCTAAAAGCAAACAAACAGTTACATGATTTAATTGTTAACCTATATTTTGAGATCAATAGTCTAAATCAACTAACAATTGATATTAATACCGAGTATAAAAAGAAGAATAATAATAATAACAAGGCCAAATTCAATTTTGCCAACAACAGTTATATGGATGGCAGTGGCAGCGGCAGTGGCAGCGGCAGTGGCATAGATAACATGGAAAATGATGTATTTTCAGGAGATGCATACGGTGGATGTGACTTTGATACCTCCAAATCCATCTTTAAAGAGTCGAAATTTCAAAAATTAAAAGAAAAGATTAAATCACAAAAGACTGAAAAGATCATGTCCCATATAAAGGACTATTATCACCAATTAAAGGATAACAAACTACTTTTCGAGCCGGCAGTCACAAGTGATGGTACTGATGAGCAATATGCTACATTTAACAAGTATAAAGGATTGTTGATCCACAGCTATTCATTATCGCATTTACAAGTTGGCGAGGCACCTTCGTTGAACCAGCTTATTTCGGCAATGTATAAAGAAGACCAATCAGCTTCATTTGCCTTGCAAAACGTTTCGTCACTTGTAAAGTATAAAAACACGCTAAGGTTGAGAATAGAATATAAACAGATTCTTTTGCAGTTTTGGTCGTTTCATGCAATGATTAGTTGGTTTAGAAACTTGATGATTGGCAGAGATTTGAGTATACCATTAGAATCTAGAACAATAACTAGATTGAAATCTATTCCGAGTCGATATAGTAGTCGAAACAATGCGCTTTTAGCAGCAACAGCAGCTGCGGCAAGTTTTGGTCGAGATGGAAGCAATATTCAAACAGATACAATAGACGAAAACGAACAAGTTGCAATGTTTACAAGTCATCTGTTGATGACCAGCAAAGATGATAGCAGCAGTACTGTTAGTAGCAATACTGGATTAGTATTATCAGACGGTGAAAATAGCTCGATATTTGACAATGAATCTCAACGAAGAAGTTCAATTGCATCAACCACTTTTTCAGACACAACCATTGGAACCAAAACTTTAGATACCATTACAATTAAGAATTTCCAGTTCAAATCAAACGAGCATATTTTCAACACTGTGGAAAAACAATATATTTCCAATTGCATACCCGATTTAAACTCGTTTGATAAATGGAATGGCAAATTGGTCACAATCAGTAATAGTGACAGTTTTGTAAAAGATGTCAGAACTTTTAAGAATAGAAACGACGTATTTATAAGCTATCTGGTGTTTAGCGATTATGTCACCATCTTTGATAAAAAATTTCCTCATCAAGAAAACTTGTCAAAGCATAACAATAAAATATGCGCAACAAGGACATTTCTAATTCACCAGGACGGATTGGTGGGGATATGATATCCAACGCTATCCAACACTATCGCTCCACTATCGAGCAAAGCGAGATAGTGTTGTAACAAGCTACAAAGTTTAGCTATCCAACACTATCCAACACTATCTCGCTTTGCTCGATAGTGTTGTAACAAGCTACAAAGTTTAGCTATCCAACACTATCCAACACTATCTCGCTTTGCTCGATAGTGTTGTAACAAGCTACAAAGTTTAGCTATCCAACACTATCCAACACTATCTCGCTTTGCTCGATAGTGTTGTAACAAGCTACAAAGTTTAGGTAGTCAGTGTAGGTGGCAGCTAGTCAGTGTTTGATAGTGGAGCACACTAGTGTATAACCACCCTTCCACCTTTGCATCATTACAATATAACCACTCCTTCCTTCATATTATTATAGTTTTGTCAATATGTTTTAGTAACGAATTTTACGATGATGAATTTTATGAATATAATTTTCCTTCCTCTGTTAGTATCGAACAACACGAACAACACTATCGAACAACACTATCGAGCAGAGCGAGATAGTGTTGTAACAAGCTACAAAGTGTAGGTGGCAGCTACAAAGTGCAGGTGGCAGCTAGTCAGTGTAGGTGGTAGCTTGTTACAACACTATCTCGCTTTGCTCGATAGTGTTGGATAGCTAAACTTTGTAGCTTGTTACAACACTATCTCGCTTTGCTCGATAGTGTTGCTCGATAGTGTTGCTCGAATCACAACAAGCTATCACAACAAGCTATCACAACAAGCTATCACAACAAGCATAGAGTACATTGACTACCAACACTACCATTTCTACACCCATCCGTAATTCCACCTATCCAACACTATCCAACACTATCTCGCTTTGCTCGATAGTGTATAAATAATACTTGACTTGAAAACTCACCCTGTACAATAAACATTTGAATTTGCGCGCTACAATTGGTACTATTACTATTACTGTTACTCTTACTCTTACTATTACTCTTATTGTTACTATTACTATTACTCTTATTGTTACTATTACTGTTACTCTTATTGTTACTATTACTGTTTCTTTATTAATACTCTTGCTCTTACTCTTACTATTACTGTTACTCTTACTATACTATTCCTCTTTCTCTTTCTCTTACTATCACTATCACTATCGTCATTATATTAATCTATTTTAGAGTTTATTATTTTTAGTAACTATTTCTTACTATTACTATTATTGTTACTGTTACTATTATTACTCTCACTACTACTACTATTACCCTTATTCTTTTACTATTCCTCCTCCTCCTCTTCCTCCTCCTCCTCTTCCCCTTCCATTTACAATAGGCAAACCTTTTTCTCTTTACTGCTTCCAGTAAAACTCAAAGAGAGAATTCGGGGGTGAGGGGGGGACTCGATTGTCCGTAATTAACCTTACTTTATGTCCGGAATTGGTCCCTTTCTTTTTTTTTTTTTCTCTCCCCTCGGTTTTCAAAATTTTTTTTTTTTCTCGGTTTTCAATTTTTTCGTTTTTCGTTTTTGAAATTTTTCAAAATCACTTTACTTTTAATTGAAAGCTAACCAGAATAACCAACGGAAACTTGTTTAGCAAACAGCAACCCGTGACACGACCCCCTTCATCCAGTCATACCTTTCACACTGCCCACGGTTTTTCAATATTCTTTATTTTTTTTTGTTTCGTTTCCCCCCTCCCCCTTGCCCTTTTTCCAAGCATTGTTTTTTTTTTTTTTGAAAGAAGATGCCTTCACCAGCTGAAATCGTCGCTGCGCTCGTTAGCCGTCATGAGTTAGAACAACAGCAACAGCAACAACAACGCCAAGAAGAGGATGGAAATAACGATATGGCTGCTTCTACAGAGAAATCGAGAACTTCCACACCTTCAATTACCGATAAATCTGCTTTTCCTGCTTTGGGAACAAACACTTTGTGTTCTTCTCCAAAAGCTCAATCGCCAGCAACTTGGGGACCCAAAATGAAAGCACCTCCTATATCATCAACTCCCGTTTTGAAATCGACCACCTCGACCACTGCTGCGTCAAAGACCAACGGTAATGGATACGCGCACAAGGCCAAAACCTCAACTATTCAAGAAGCATTCTCCTTGGATATCGAAGACCAATTGAATGTAACACGCCCTGAATTTATCAAGATTTTGACTTTTGTAATGCAAGAAACTAAAACAAGTATTGAGTGTACTAACTCGCAACACACTAAAAAGAGAACCTTTTTAATCACTGGTAAACCCGAAGAAGTGAAATTGGCAAAGAGATTAGTGATAAAAAAATTAACTAAACCTGTCAAGATTAAATTTTTGGTTCCTGCTAAGTTGAGATCTAGAATCATTGGCCAAGGTGGTAAAAACTTGAAGCCCATTATTCTGGTTAATGAAGTTAAGATTGAAATTGGTGACGAAGAAGAGGTCAATAATGAAAATGAATCCGGTAATGGCAATGGCAATGGCAATGGCAATGCCGAAGCTGACGATAACGAGAAAGATGATGACGATGACATTTTCTCCAAAACTGTTCAAATCACAATTGATGGTGATATTGAAGGCTCTAAACGTGCCAAGAATCAAATCTTGGCTATTGTTAAGGAGGAAACTAAAAATTTGTCTTCAAAAGTTGCTTTGAATGATATCGTCAAGCCTTTTGCTAATGCAGAATTGAAATCAATCGTTGAGAAATATCCCGATTTGGATTTTTCCATACCAGACTACAAGTCAAGTAGAAATTCAATTGTCATTGTTGGTGATCGTGAATCCGTCCTTGAGGCTAAATCCGATATCAAAGCAGCTTTGGAGAAATTGAATAATGAAATAACTGTTGAAGAGGTGCCCATACCTAAAACCAAACATCAGTTTTTACCAATTGATGACGTTTTGGAAAAGTGTAATGTTTTGATACAATTGCCAAAAGAAGATGAACAAAATGTTAAATTTGTTGGTGAGAAGGAGAATATCAAACAAGCTCAAGAAGAAGCAAGGAAGGTTACTTCTCAATATAAGGTTGAAATTTTGGATATGTCAAAAGCTCACAAGGGTAATTTGAAACATGTTAAAGCTGTAGCTGTTTTATTAAACAAAACAGGTGCTTTTAAACAAATTGGTCTTTCAAATGATGTGACCATCAATGTTCCATCAGCAAAAGTCTTGCAATCACAGCCACAATCACAGAGCTACATTCCAATTGAGATTGTATCGAAGGGAGGTGAAAATAACATAAAAGCTGCTAAAAAGGCCATTGTCAACCAAGTTAATAAAATCACACCTGATCAAACAAAAACGATTGATGACATTGATGAATTTTTCTTTAGAAAAATTGACGAAAAAATCAAGGAGTTGGCCAAGACTGAAGGAGTAGATTATGTCGTATTGGGCAATATCATTACATTGTTCAAATCGCAAGATAAACAAGCAGAAGAAGAAGAAGAAGCGGAAGATTTTGATGTTGATGATGATGTTGCTGACTCTAATTCAACGTTGGAAGCATTCAACAAGGTAGACTCAGCTTTGGATGAATTGAGGCAACTAGCCACGAGATTAACTACTGAGTCCTTGGGAGTTACTCTGAATGATTTACAAGCTGTTTCTGGTCCAAAAGGAACTACATTGAAGTCTATTTTAGCTTCAGTTGAGCCAAATACCGCTGCTGTTGAATTTGGTGAAAATGTAATCCGGATCCATGGTATTAATACATCAGTAGCTGTTATTAAAAAGGAAATCGAAGCCGTTTTAGCCGAGGCTAAAGAATATCCCGATGGATATTTTACCACCATTTCAATTCCCTCGCAAGTTGTGTCTCGATTAATTGGTAAGAACGGAAGTTTTTTGAACTCGCTTAGAGACGAATTTGGAGTCAAAATTGATGTACCATTAGTTGAAAATGGTACTAGTAATAATAACAATAGTAATAGTAATAAAAGAGATGAAGGTAAGCAAGTGGAAGTGACAATAAGGGGAGTTAAAAAGAATGTTGAAGAAGCTAAGCTTAGAATCCTTTCCACGACAAAGAAATGGGCTGATGAAACTCTTGTGAGGTTGAAAGTTGAAAACCAATACCATAGAAGAATTATTGGTGCTCAAGGGATTTACATTAATCGTTTACAAGATAAATATAATGTTAGGATCAGATTCCCATCTCCAGATGCCCCATTATCGACGACTTTCTCTGATGCACCTAAATCGAAAGATGAAGTTACTATTAAGGGACCATCGAAAGGAGTAGCCAAGGCTAGCGAAGAGCTTCAAGAATTATACCAATTTGAAAAAGAGAATGGGTTCAAGCAAACTTTGAAGATTCCTTCCAAGGCCATTTCTAGAGTTATCGGTAAATCCGGTGGTACGATCAAAGACATTGCTGATGGTACAGGTGTAGAGTATAAGTTCAAACGTGATGACAAAGATAACCACGAGGAAAAGGATGGATATGTAGAGCTTGAGTTAACCGGTTCCAAATCTGGATTAAAAGAGTCTGTTTCCAAAATACAAGAAATTATTGATGAAATTGAGAATTTTACTACCCGTACCATCAAAGTTGAACCCCAGTATCATCGTGATTTAGTTGGTCCCTATGGGTCTATTATGAAACAAATCATTTCACAAGCTGGTGGTGATAATTTACCCAGAAACAAGTATAATAGATTGTTAACTATCCCAAATGAAGGCTCAGGAAGCGATGAGGTTGTTTCTCAAGGTGATAAAACGATAGTTGACAAGATTGTTGCTGCCGTGGAAAAAATCGTCGAGGAAAAGAAGGCTACAGTAGTTGAGGAATTGGAGCTTGCAAAGGAGAAACATCGTTTCATTATTGGTCCTGGTGGTTCAATCCGTTCTGAGATTGAGCGAGAATATAAGGTGGGACTTAATATTCCAAGGAAAGATGAAGAGAGTCTGGTTATTAAGATTAAGGGATTACCAGAGAGCATTGAGTTGGCAAAAGCTAAAATTGAAGAGTTGACCAAGGATAAAAAAGTTGGTGGTTCAAAAAGGGTTAAACCCGACACTGTCGAGCAAAGCGAGATAGTGGAGCACTAACTGCCACCGACACACTAGATGCAAAGGACACTATCGAGCAAAGCGAGATAGTGGAGCACTAACTGCCACCGACACACTAGATGCAAAGGAGGAAGTTGAGTACGAAGTGAAGGAGGAATAGAAGTATACGTGTATATAGAGAGAGGAAAGATAAAATACAAAGAACTCGTACACTATTCGATAACGACATTATCGACACTATCGACACTATCGAGCAGAGCGAGATAGTAGAGCACACTAGCTGCCACTGACTTTATCGACACTATCGAGCAGATCTCGCTCTGCTCGATAGTGTCTTTGGGCGAGCTTGATGAGGGGGGGCATCTGCAGTGCAACTTCAATAATTCTTATCTTTTAGTTTCTGTAGCGGTTACTGTGCTCCACTATCTCGCTCTGCTCGATATTGTCTCTCGATAGTGCCGCTCGATAGTGTGCCCCACATCCAAATAACTTTGTCAAACTTCGCCTCCTTTGTTTTCGCAGTTTTAAGGAAATTTTTAAATTACAGAATACTTCCTTTTGTGTAACTTTGCATCTTTTCTTTTTTTTGCATGTTTACATATTGCTTGATGGTATAAAAGCCATCCCCCATCTCTTATAACCCATTGCCTCATCTCTTATATCTCATTGCCTCATCTCTTATACCCTCTTTTTTCTTCTTCTAGACAAGTCATTTTTACAGGGACAATATGTTTCTCGCAGCAGTTGCACTTGGAGTTGGAATAGTTGCTACTGAAAAGCATCATAAAAAGAAGAAATTGAAAAAACTTGCACAGCAACAACAAGAAGAAAATGCACAAAGAGCTCATCGTTTCAACACGGGGCAGAATTATATACTGCCTGGTGGAATGGAAGATAGAAATGTTTCATATAATCGAAGTAGAAATGGAAATACGCTGAAAAAGGGAAAGCCGGTGGCACCAACAGTACCAGCAAGAAAACCAGCAAGAAAACCAGTAAAAACACCAATGCTGACACCAGTGCTGGCATCATCACAAGCGCAAGCGCCAACGGTGAGTAATGCCAATATACCAAGAAGTGCTTTACGTCGTCCACCAGTGAATCGACCCGATGTTGATAAATACGACCCGCCCCCGGCGTACACTCCTTGATTGACATTCAATATTCTGTTTCACTATACATGAAGGGATTAATGGTTTTTAATATGTAATGGTATGATATTTGTAGAAAACAAGGCTGACAAAAATTACATTTAAAAAACACACGTGATGGGCACGTGATACAAAACTACACGTGACTGGTTTTTATTTATGTTGCCCTGGAAGCTAGTTTTACTGTTTTTCAAAATGAAATATCACAAGTGCTTAAATTAGTTAGGTTAGTTGACCACAATATAGTATCTCCTGCAATACACTATACGTAATTGAATGATCTACAAGGATTTTCTAATATACAAGAGTTGCGGAACGACGAAATTGCTGCGAGTCTTTTATTACTGCAAGTCTTGATTTCTTTGACTCTTATTACTGCAAGTCTTTATTTCTGCAACTCCTTTAATTACTGCAAAATTTGTGTAAATTACAGTTATTATTGTGGCTTTTAGATAAATTGCCCATCGTGTTTGATGAGAGGACCACCTACTTGAATCTATTACAACAGTTGACTCTACCGCCTTACCGACAAATCCCATCTAACTAGACTAGTCGTATTTGAAATCACTTTTGGTTTCATAATTTATAGTGTGTGCCTCTTGCCAATATTAATCAAGTGTGGAATTGTTTGCTCTAATTATTTTCAAATTGCCAAAACTTGTGCAAATTCACGTGACTTAAACATCATCTCGTACGCCATCTTCTTTTCTTTTCTTTTCTTTTTTTTTTTTAATACTAAGTTCAACATTCTACACTTTTAGGAACCCTTTGATCCGCTAATTCACAGACCAATAAGACAATGACCATATCCGAAATATAAATCTGGATCTTAAACTATTATTTATATCCACCACATCGTATTACATCACCACTGGTGGGATTCTTCTCTATAAGTTAGTTAACCATTTCCAATATAAAAAAAAAATAATCAATAGAAAATAAAAAAAGATTACAAAAGAAAATACATCAAGAGATTATGCATGATCAGGCAAGGTACATGAGAAAAGCTCTGTCCTTTTTTATCCTCTATTCTTGTATGTTTTCAACAAGTTCTCAACAACGACTGAAACGCCGTAAATGAACAAAAAAACGATTAAGATTAGACTAAACATTTAAGGTTATTTTTGCTAACCCACTCTATTGTGTATTTCCTGCTGATTGTAGTTGTAGTTGTAGTTGTAGTTGTGGTGCGTTCGTTAGTTAGTTGTGGTTGCAACTGCGGCGGTAATCTTGACGGCGATCGTACCGCTTTTTGGTTACAATCGCGCGAACGATGAGAACAAATCGACGCAAGAAAAAAAATTGAGGCGACGGAAAAAAAAAAAAGAAATTTTTGTTAAAGAGATGAAAAATTTCACTCTTGGGAATATTCAACTGTGCAATAAATTCACCTCTTTGGGGGATATTTAAAGCCAGTTGTTTCACTTATAACCATTTCCCCTTGCATTTTCTCCAAAGTATACTTTTGGACAACCAATTGTATATTTTTTTTTTGTTTTTGACAAGATGGGGTTTTCCGACGTTTATAAATTCCTGAGTTCAAATACTACAGAAAAACAACAAGACGAAAGTATTGATAATGCAAGTCAATTCACTTCAGGCTCCGAAAAGGAAGCAGGATTAATACAAACAGATAAAAATGTTAAGGAAATCGGAATAGTTTCGGCATCTTTTCTTATGTTGAATAGAATGTTGGGTGCTGGTGTCTTTTCCACAGGGTCGACTATCTATGCATTATCAGGATCGGTGGGAACTTCTTTAATGATGTGGTTTGCAGGAACTGTTATTGCGTTTACTGGTTTGTTGGTTTATATGGAATTGGGAACAGCTTTACCAAGAAACGGAGGTGAAAAAAACTATTTGGAATATATGTTTCGAAAACCAAAATTTTTGATCACGGCAATGTATGCAGCGTATGTTTTTTTCCTTGGATGGGCTGCAGGTAATTCGATTGTTGTTGGTGAATATATATTGAATGCTGCGGGCAAAGAACCTGGCCAATGGAACTCAAGAGGCATTGGTGTAGCGGTGATTTCATTTGCATTTTTGATTAATGCCATCAATATCAAAGCTGGATTGTGGCTAGCTAATGCATTGGGGATCTTCAAAATCGTTATTGTTTTGTTTATTACAGTGACTGGTTGGGTTGCCTTGGGTGGCGGTATCAAGACAAACAATTTCCAACCAACGGGCAATTTTAATAATGCCTTTTCTGGTGAAAGTCCAACTGGATTTGGTATTGTTAATGCATTGTATAATGTCATTTGGTCCTATGTTGGTTATTCTAATGCCAACTATGCCCTTGGAGAAATTAAAAATCCTCAAAAAGTGTTAAAGGTTGCAGCACCAGTTGCATTTATTGGCCTTGGTATCATATACATGTTTGTCAATATTGCTTATTTTGCAGTTGTTCCAAAGGAAGAAATCGCTACTTCTGGTAGAATTCTAGCTGCTTCCTTCTTCAAGTTTGCATTTGGCGACAAAGCAGAGACTGCAGCTTCTGTATTCGTTGCATTATCGGCCTGGGCTAATGTTATGTCGGTTATTTTTTCACAAGGTAGAATTATTCAACAATTGGGTCGTGAGGGCTCGTTACCTTTTTCAAGATTTTTCGCAACTTCAAAACCCTTCAACACACCTTTTGTTGGATTGATGCAGCATTGGATTGTTTGTATTGTTACCATTTTGGCTCCTCCCCCTGGTGATGCTTATAACTTTATCTTGAACTTGATTTCGTATCCTTTGAATGTCGTTAATACAGTCATTGCCGGTGGCTTGATTTGGATCTATTACAAAAAGGCAAAGGGGCAAACTGAGTGGAACCCACCCATCAAAGCAAGTCTTCCCGTGGTTGTGTTTTTCTTTTTGGCATCATTGTACTTAATCGTTGCTCCATATATCCCACCAGTCAAAGGTCAAGAAGTTTATAAAAGTATGCCATATTGGATACATGCGGTTGTTACATGGGGGATTTTCGGTATTGGTCTAATATATTGGGTCTGTTGGGTACAAATATTGCCTCGTATTGGAGGTTACCGTCTTGTAGCTAAAGAAGTGCTTGGATCTGACGGATTTTGGAGGAATAAAATCTATAAAGTTTCAAGGGATAGTATAGATGCAAATATATCTGAAGATGGAGAAACCGTTGATTAATGCGGGAGAAAAAAAAAAAAAAAAAAGAATGAGCCAACGTCCCATTAGCAGTGCCGTAGTCATTACCGGCCGTGGGCCGCTCTGCAGTTTCTTTTTTATTTTCCGGTTTAGTTCAGTTCAGTTCAGTTCAGTTCAGTTGCGCGCGTTTGCGTATATAGAAAGAAACAGATATTATAGATGAAGGGTATATTCAATTAAGGTTTTATAATAGACAGTTTGATTTAGAAAAAGAACACTATTAGTAACTATGTCAATAACTTTGTAAACTAGCCGGCACTATCGAGCAGAGTAAGATTAGTGGAGCACGCTAGCTGCTACCGCTAGCTATAAGTATTAGCTTCTATTAATGCTTGTACTGTAATTTGTTTCCATCTCTCAAGAAAGAAGGAGAAAAAAAAAAAAAAAAAAACACTCTTTTTACAGATTTTGATAATATGATTTTCACTATATGTTATATCTATGACCTTTTGGTTGGTGCAAAGGCGACCATATACCTCTAACCGACTCATTATTAGAAACAACCTTATGATTGCATTTGAACAATTCATTGCCAGAACGTTGACTAAATTCATTGATCTTCTCAATAATTTTAAACTTGTCTATATTCCTTACATCAACAACATTTTTGGTACTTTTATCGCTATTATTGTAGTGGAATATTAGTTTGGGATGACCTGTTCGTTTCCGTATTTCAAATATCGTTTGTGGTTTGGATGATGCTATTTTGTTCAACTCTCCACTAGTTAGAAGTTGACGCAATCCCTCGGATGAGCCACCCCAATTACAGTATTCTAAAGTTATCTTCTTACATGGGTGTATATATGCTCCTACCCCATTACGTGCAATCGACGTTCTTGCTATAGCTTTGACTGGCATTTTGTTAGCGCTGAGGAATAAAGTGCAAGAGTTTATTGCATATCTGTGATTTTGGGTGAAAAATTTTTTTTCTTTTGTAAAAGAGAAAAGTCGTGCGAACATGGACACTATCCACTATCGACACTATCGACACTATCGAGCAGAGCGAGATAGTGACCATAGTGTCTGTGACGGCTAGTCAGTGTTACTACACTATCTCGCTCTGCTCAATAGTGTCATTAGTCGGTGTACTCCACTATCGAGCAGAGCGAGATGCTACCACTAGCTGTCTATAGTGTCATTAGTCAGTGTACTCCACTATCGAGCAGAGCGAGATTGCGACGATAGTGTCTGTGACGGCTAGTCAGTGTTACTACACTATCTCGCTTTGCTCGATAGTGTCATTGGTCAGTGTCATCAGTCAGTATCGGTCAGTGTGCTTGTACTGTAATTCAAAATGCTCTTGCTTAAATTTCAGCTACTCACGTCACATAAGTTGTTCTCGGCATTGAAGCTGGTAATGACAAATTTCGTTGCTGTCGTACGGTTTTTATTATTAGTTCCAAGTGACCATCCTTGTTCTCTCTTTGCCCCTCTGACATTACTATCTTTTGTCTGTAATCTATAACTGGGATTATATAACGGAGGTAGCTGCATAAAGCCGACATCATCGTTAATTCCTAATGCTGTGGTACTTTTTATTGGAGATTGTAAAGGACTAGGGTACGGATTAATCACTCCTATCGGAGTTTTTGTTGCTGCTGTTGTTGTTGTTGTCGTCGTTACCAACAAGGAATTGATATCGCATTTCTTTCTTACTAAAGAGCTTTTCACTACTTGATTCTTTTCAACTAAACTGTCTCGTTTGACCTCTGGCCAACAACATTGCAAGAAATTCCGTGTACATGCTTGACATTTGCCATTCAATCTATTCTCGTCACACTTCTTCTTCCTCCTGCGGCACGTCAAACATCCAGTCTTTGTCCGCCTTTTCATTGAGTTACTACTAAAAGTATCCTTTCTCAGCTGTCTAGTTATTTTTTTCTCTTGTTTTGTACTACTACTAGATTTTTTTCCTACAGAAGAATGTGCTGGTAACAATTTCACGGGAAAGGTCACCATTTGTTGATATGATCTATAGCTCTGCTTCATCTTTAGAACCGGTTAAGGAGAGGCGAGTTGGATAAATCTCTGCTAAAGTAAAAACCTTTCTTTTAAAAGAAGCTAAATGATCTCCTGTAACTCAGTTATTCTCTATAGTTTGAAAGCATCTAACGTCATCTAAACAGAAAAAAAAAAAAAAAAAAAAAAAAAAAAAAAAAAAAAAAAAAAAAAAAAAAAAAAGAAACGAAACGAAAGAAAACGGAAAAGAAGAACAAATTTGGAAATGGCAGAATAGCGGAATAAAGAAGAGGGGATGGTAAACACAAAAAAAAACCAGAGCCAGCTAAGGAAGACTAGCTAACAAAAGATTTTTTTATCGAGAAATACCAGGTATACTCAAACTAATCAAGAAGTTGTGTTTTAGGGGGAGGGGGGAAAAAGGTGTAGTATTCTCAGAGAGGGCACTGTCTTTAGATAGAGAAATAAGCTTTCTCGCGCACTCTACAACTTTATCATAATTCATAATCCATAATCCTAAAATCTCCTAATTTCCTATTCAAATAGAAATGTACTTGAAATAAATTCCATTCTCATTGTATCTCCTCGGTCCTCATTTAGAATCCTTTATTCAGCCTTTAAGCTTGCAAAAGCCTGTTCCAAATCACCTGGTGAATAGTCCTCCTTATTCAAATCTTCGATTTTCTCAATTGGACGCTCAGCCAAAACACTAATTCTGAAAGCGTGTCTAACATCACCTTCCACAGTATCAAAGGAAGCAGTATGTTGTACACCACTGTTATGGAACAAAGCAACCTTATTCTTTACACCGCCTTCCCAATTGACTCTCAATTGCAAGTCATGACTTTTTTCAATCAAGTCATTTAAAAAGTTCAACAAGTATTCACTTTCTTCCTTCTTCAACTCAACAATTCTTCTGCCAAACCCACGATTGACAAAAATTGACTTTTCTTTTGTTACTGGATCCAATCTGATCAATGGATGGATATTGGAAACTGGTTTTCTTCTCTGGATACCCCCTTGAATAGATGAGTTGAAAGCCTGATCTTCACTTGTGTGTAAAACATGTAAACCCTCCAACATCTTTTGCATGCGTGGAGACAATCTTCTGTAAGCTTCTTGAGTATCGGCAAAAACAGTATCTCCACCGTCACCACTTTCCAACACTTGGAAAACTGTGAATTTACTTGGAGTTAACTCATAAGATATATCACTGTGCCAAGAAGTATTGGTTACTCTTTCATTAAAGATTCTTCCCAATTCTCCCTTCTCTGGTCTCCTATAGGTGATGTGCAACTCTGGGTGGCCTTTGGGAGAACCCGAACTTGGATGAATATGTAATGGACCGAAATATTTACCAAACTCAACAGCAAACTCAGGACCTTTACTAGCAAAGTCCTGGTCATTGAACAACAAGACTTTTCTTTGAGCTAACAATAAAGCAAGCTCGTCTTTACCAGCATCATTCAACTGAGATAATTGAACACCACTAACTTCAGTTCCAAACTTTGGTGTGATTTTTCGAACTGTGAAATCTCCACCCTTGGGAAACAAATTAGGAAATGCTGGATCAGCTAAACTACCGCGATCTTGATATTTATGGAATTTCAAGGGTGGATACTTTTCACGTGGATCCCACGTTGGTAAAAATTCAGGAAACTTGGCAATTTTCCTGTTAGCTGCATTTATCACCAAAACACCATCCTCATCAACATCGTCAAACTCCTTGTTATAGTGAATATCTGAGTTTGAAAACTTTGGTTCCATTATAAAAAAATCCTTAAATTAACTTCAATTTTTTGCTTGTTTTTGTCTCTACTGACACAGGGAAGTGGTCCCTCTAGAAACTGCAAGAACAAAAAACGTTCATCCTTTTATACTATTGCAAAAACTACTCACCAATATGGTCAATGGTGCAAAAAGTTAATCCTTGTGATATGTCATCATCATTGTTTCATTCTGAAAAATTCCCTATCCTTCTTTTCCACACTTTTTTTTTCTCTCCCTCACTTCTCGCTACTTGTACCCGATAGCTTAGTATTTAATACGCCATAGTTTTTTTTTCTTTCAACCACTTCAAATATAGACAGTTGGTAGCGATTTTTATTAATCGGCTCGGGATTTTTTCTCACACATTTCACATTATCAAACTCTTTAACCTGACGAGAACCTAATCCCGCTCGATGTTTAAATGGATTGGTAATTAACAATTTTTTTAAATAAAAACGTCTCCACAAGTAAGAGTCAATAACAGCGAATCAAATCCGACAGCAAATCATTTTTCATGTTAATAACAGTAAATCATTTTTCATTCTCTTCTTTTCCTTGCTTTTCTCTTGTTTCCTTTATTATTCGTGGTATCTTTTCTTTTCATCAACTAGATAAACCAAGCAAGAGAGATAGACAAAAAAGGAGAGATATGGAGAGAAAAGAAGGTTTTAGTAGATGAGCCTCAATTTTATTTAATTAGCAGATTCTACAAAATTTATCAATCCAAGAAAACACAAAAAAACAAAAAGCTTACATCTAATAAATACATATGTATTTTACTAATATGTAATAACGTAGTACCAAAAGCTTGATCATTATATTTTTCAGCCCCCCCCCCTTTCTCCTGTGGACTTTTAAGCATTATCCAACAAATAATTAGTAGCTGCTTCTAAGTCTCCATTTTTGCTCTTTAACGCCTCTCTAGCTGTAGTTTCATCAAATCCCATACCTATCAACTCTTGAACAGCATATGTATAGTTTTCATTTGAATCATGAGAAGGTGATGCAGGATAGTTGCCTGGTATATTATAAGATGTTTCTATATTTTCTGTTTCTTGTTCAGTTTGAGACTGTGCATTTCCAAATCCCGCAAATAATTGTTCCCATTCATCATTATTGCTCGTGTTTGTAGGAGTTTCATTCGCAAAATCCGGTGCGTTGGAATTGGTGAAATCATCGTTCAAACGAAATTCTTCTTCTTGGTAAAACTCGTCATCTACATCTCCTCCATTGTCCACTTGTGCCGCTTCTAAATTGTCAAAATCTTCATTTTTGAAAAAGTCCTTATTTGATTCTTCCTCTAAAGCAGCTGGCTCGAGATTATTAAACTCATCATCATCTAATGAAGAATCGATATGCGTATGCGCAGGGGTTGTAGTTGTATTTGTGGTTGGTGTCGTCGTGGTTGACTGTTCCTTCTGTTGTTGTTGCTGTTGTTGTTGTTGCTGCTGCTGCTGCTGTTTAAACTCATTTGCTGCATCATCAAAACGCTGAGACTCTCCCTCATCTGATGAATCACTTTCTTGATAGTCAAGTTCTCTAATTGGTGGGAACTCGGTGTTATCTGGGGATCGAGCATCTGCTGAATTGACCAACTCGAATGACGATGACCCCTTATCGCTGTCACGAGCTTCTTCTGGTGCTTGACCTATCGTTTCTCTATCTGAAACGTCTATATTATCATCTCTCACGGACAATGCAGCATTGTTTTGAACACTTGACGTCAAAGATTCTGTTCTTTGAACTCCAACTAGTACACCTGGCATACCAACCATTCCGCCTGCAATACCAGCATTTGTGCCTTGAGGAAACTGAAACTCCGAATTACTAGGTGACGTAATCGGAGTATCACCATCGTCTGCATTATCAGTGGTGATAGACGAAGTATTTGTTACATTGTCAGCTCGATCATTTACTGACAAGTTCTTGACACCTTGACTAGCAATGCGTATTTTTTTATCTTCAGCATGTTGCTGCTGCTCTTGCAGTTCCAGTTGCAGTTGCAGTTGCTGTTGTTTTTGCTGCAGTTGCTCATTTGTTGAAGCTGTTTTAGTTTCATTTGAATCGGGTGATTGTCCAAGAGCGTGAGATGCCACATTGGCAACACCGCTGATAACAGCTCCTACACCAGCACCCACGCCAGCTGCTAATCCCATTGCAGAAAAGTCTGTACTTGGTTTAGTGGGCTTGTTTTCTTGCAATTCTCTTTGTTTTGCTTGCAACTCCTTCTGTTGCTTCTCCTGTAATACTCTCTCTTTTTCGGCATTATCTATTTGCAACTGCAATTGTTTATGTAACTCTTCAATTTCTGCAATTTTACTTTTCAACTCCTCATTCTTTACAATGACAACTTGAACTTGTGATTTTCTAACTGCGACTTGATTGTGCAAACTGTGACCATCTGCTGTTTTTAAAGCAAGTTGCTTCTCAAGCTCCACTGTTTCCGCATTTAAGGTCCCCAATTTTTCCTTCAAAGAGCTGTTCTCCTTTTGAAAATTCTCAACTGCTACTTGTTTCTCGTGCAAATCTGTAGACAATGCATTGAGTCTTGCTTCAGCTATCGATGCTTCTGATCTCAAAGCTTCACTTTCTTCGCGTGCAGTAACCAAACTTGCCTCCACTTGTTTAACTTGGGCCACTTCATTATCATAAGATGTCCTCAAATTCTTGAGTTTATTTTCAAATTCACTCTTTGCATTGAGCAATCTCTTGAGTTCCTGTTCTGCTTTAGTTTTCTTCTCGTCCAACTTAGTTGTTTGATTGCGAAGAGAATTGATTTGATTTGAAACGTTTGCCAAGTCGGAAGAAGCTTGTGATAATTGGGCAGAAGTAGCTGGGTCTGCCAACAAGTCACTGTTCTTACTAGCAGCGGGTTGGGGCTGTTGCTGTTGTTGAGAAACAGATCTCTCATTGCCAGCATTCGTTGAAATAGTCGGTTGTCTAGAGCTAGGCGGAGGTGGCACACTTCTCAACGCATCATAATTAACCGTTAAGGTAGGTTCGGAAGGCGCAGAAAGTTGGGGTTTCACATCCTTCGCTTTACTATCATTGCCCCAAAATTCATCTTGTTTCTTTTCTGTTGATGACGATGACGAATACGTAGTTGCTGGTGCCGGTTGTTGTTGTTGTTGTTTCAGCATCAATGATTGACCAAAACTTGAGGTTGGTTTAAAACTACTGTTTAAGCTGGAACGTACATTGGGTACTTCTGAGTTTGATAAGTCAGAGCTTGACGTTCTTTGATTCAAGCCTTGTTTTTTCGCAGGAGCAGTAGAATGAATAACAGGCAGCGGCGAGGTGCTTCCAAAAATATCCACCAAATCATCCATAGAGGATTTTGGTTTAGTTGGCAGTTTTATTGGAGATGTATGACTTGAATGACTACCGCTATTCATCTGTGGCACTTGTTGTTGTTGTTGTTGCTGTTGAAAATTAGAAGATGGATCTTTCAATGACTCAATTAGAGAATCGGGAATCACATTTGGCAAAATATATCCTCCTGTTTTTCTATTCACCAAGAATAGCGCAATACCAAATTCCAATTTTGTGAAAAGTCCGGTGTTTTGAATATCGGCCAAGTCCCAGATTAATGCCAAGTCTTGTTGGCTCAATTTTGAAGTCATCAAAAACGATGCAACTTGGTCGGGATTCAAGTGACCAGCATTGTCCTTGTCTAGATTAGTAAAGATTGCATCATACTGCGCCTTCATACTTGGGGTAGCAACCCATTCTCCAGAAGCATAACTAGAAGATGGCGGTCTTACCGATGGGTGGCGAATGGCTGTCTGCTGAGAACTCACTGAGCCAGTTGATGTTTGACGCGAAGAGTTTCGGCCTTGACTTTGGCTTTGACTTTGACTATGGCCCTGGCTTTGTGGAAGTGGAACCGGTTTGTTTTGGTCTTTTCCTTCAACTGATTGCCAAATAGAGTCTGGCAAAAAAGAAGGTAATTGTTTGATATGATTGCTCAATAATCCTTGAATCAAATGCATAGCTATTATGAAAGCACTAGCATTCAAAGCACCCGAGTTATTCCTATCAACCAAATTCCAAATTTGCCCCAACACTGGGGTGGGTAAACGAGCTTTTAGGAATATATCCTTTGCTTGAGAGCCGCTCAACTCGCCTTGAACTGATCCCACGGTTTTGCTAAACAATCGCAAAAACTTGTCATAGTCTGATGGGGATACCGCATTGAAAATTTGGTCCTGAAAATTACCAGATTGAGCAGTAGGATTAGTGGTAGCAGCACCAGCAGTAGCAGCAGAAGTAAAGTTGCTGGGTGATTGAGTTTTTGGTTGAGGAATGCTCAAATCGGCAAATTTTGGCAATGGACCTGGTGTATCTGCCAATCCCTGAGTGGGATGGTGACCAGCCTGAGCATACCCAATCAATCTCATGGCACAACAAAACCCATACTGGTTCAAAAACCCCAAATTGTTTTGATCAGCAATCTGCCATATTTCACCTAAAATTGTTGGCGGTAAACCGGACTTTTCAAAAGTAGGCCTTACTTTTTCCCCAGTTATCACTCCACTATTTTCAGGGTCTAGGAATTTGAATAACTGCGTGTAAAATGTTTTCTCTTCCGGTGTTAATCCAACCTTAAATGTAGGTGTCGCTATTACCATTATCGGTTAGTAAAAGCAAAAAAAAAAAAAAAAAAAAAAGAAAAACCCGTGTGTCCCTTATAATGAAGTCTCCATGACATACGTGCCGACAAGCTCATCTTTCCACAATCAGTTAACGAAGAAGGCGATTGATTAGAAAAACCTCAATATTCCAAAAGCTGATCGCAAGTAAGCAAAAAAAAACAACGTATGTTTCAGGTCTAAGATTCGAGTTATAATCGCCGAAAGGAGGATGTTGAAGGTTTTCTATTTTTCGAGAAGAACTGGAAGCACTAAAGGCTTTGCTACAAACATCCAAACATACGTATAATGCAGTTTAAAGTTTATTTAATGTGCGGCTCTAAATGCTACCAAGTGATGACACTATCGCCACTCCACTTCACTATCGAGCAAAGCGAGATAGTGGAGCAGCACTAACTCTCACCAACACTATCGACACTATCGAGCAGAGCGAGATAGTGGAGCAGCACTAACTCTCACCAACACTATCGACACTATCGAGCAGAGCGAGATAGTGGAGCAGCACTAACTCTCACCAACACTATCGACACTATCGAGCAGAGCGAGATAGTGGAGCAGCACTAACTCTCACCAACACTATCGACACTATCGAGCAGAGCGAGATAGTGGAGCAGCACTAACTCTCACCAACACTATCGACACTATCGAGCAGAGCGAGATAGTGGAGCAGCACTAACTCTCACCAACACTAACGACACTAGCGACATTATCTACGCTATCGACACTATCGACATTATCTACGCTATCGACACTAGCGACACTATCTACGCTATTGACACTAGCTCGCTCTGCTCGATAGTGTCGCCTCTGCTCGATTGGAGCAGCACTTGTTAGTTTGTAACAACACTTGGCGCGCTGTAAACTGAAGCGCGAGGGGGGGAGGGGAAGAAGCGCGAGGAATATGAGAAGTTAGAGCTTTACAGTGTTGGCGCGTGGACGTGTGGGCGCAACGAACGTTGTGTGCCTGGGAACATTTAATCGACGTACACGTACACAATTGGACTATAAACCTCATTCTATTTTTGTATCAGTGAGCACGACTATATAAATAAGAGAGAGAAAGCAGAGCAGAGGAAAGAAAAGAGAAAAAGAATTTGGTTGGTTACATAATCCATGTGCGGCGGCTTATATAATCCTGGTGAGGCTGCTTACACAATCTATTATTAAGCGATGAATTTTTTTTTTTTCATTATACCTAAATTTTTCAGCCGATGAGTATCTTATATCATATAGTTGCAACTGGAAAGGAAGAAAAGGGGTCAAGAAAGGAAGAACAACTTCCTATAAAAAAAAGAAAAGAACCTAAAGAAGTTACAATTGGAATAAGATGAATAGAGGCAGAGGAGGATTTAGGGGCGGCAGCCGTGGAGGTGGTGGTTTTGGTGGAAGAACTTTTCAGCCACAAGGGCCACCAGATACAGTTTTAGAGATGGGTTCCTTTATGCAAGCGTGCGAGGGAGATATTGTGTGTCGTTCCACAAATGTTAAAATACCATACTTCAATGCGCCTATATATTTGGAAAACAAGACGCAGGTGGGAAAAGTAGACGAGATACTAGGACCTTTGAATGAAGTGTTTTTCACAATAAAACCATCGGAGGGTGTCAAGGCAGAGTCATTCAAGGACGGAGACAAATTTTTTATTGGACCTGACAAACTATTACCTTTGGAAAGGTTTTTGCCCAAACCACCTTCAGTGGGACCAAAACCAAAGAGGAAGCCAGGCACTGCTGGTGGTGGTGGTGGAAGAGGCGGTCGTGGTGGAGGCAGAGGCGGAAGCAGAGGTGGCTTTTCAAGCAGAGGTGGTCGTGGTGGAGGAATGGGCCGTGGTGGAGGAGGTGGTGGAGGCAGGGGTGGCTTTTCAAGTAGAGGTGGTGGTGGCCGCGGTGGTGGTCGTGGGGGAGGATTTTCTGGTAGAGGTGGAATTTCAAAACCCGGTAGAGGTGGAAATAGAGGAGGCAGAGGTCGCTTTTAAGAAAAGAGTAAAATAAGAAAATAATAAAAAAAAAAGAAGAAGCTAAATGGAGTCAAGTGGTGCTGAGTGAAGTCGAGTGAGACTTTCATGGATAAATGTGTACATTAGTTTCACTTATAGTAAGTTACAACCTTGAAGAATGCTGCATCTAATAGTTTTGATTCCAGAAAAATCTGATATAAACTTATTGACATGGGCATTGTTGAACATAAATTTTGGCGGAAGTGCAATTTCACAAACGCCTGAACTTTCAATTAAATCGTTGTAATGCTGCAAAACTGCTTGGTTCCCCAGAACAATCATATCTCTACTATTTTCCTTTTTAAAAATATCCTTTTTAAAGTATTTCCTCAATACCTCATCCATCTTGGTAAACACTATATCAAAGGGAATACCGAGATTTGACAAATGACTAATTATGTGCATATCTTCCTCGTGGAAACCATGGATTGAATCTATCAATAAGATAACTTTTTTCAATAGCTTACGCTTTTCCAAATATTCTATAACCACTTTCCCTTGTCTGGGTGCTCCTCTTTCTCCATAACCTGGACTATCAATGAATCGAAGCTTTCTGGAAATGTTGAAACAGTTTAAGGTTTTCGTATATCCGGCTTTGGCAGATACATATGCTAGCTGATCGGTTCGACTAAGACTTTCATTAGGGTTGATGAGACTGTTTATCAATGATGATTTGCCTACATTTGTATGACCCATGATTAATACCTCGGGTAGCGGTTTCAAGAGTTGTGGTTTGATCCCAAAAGTTTTCTTTGGACTCAAATTGAAAGCTTGCGAATTACCTATACTATTTTCCATTGCTCTTTCAATCTTTCTAAGTCGGTCAATTTGTAACTTTTCAACTTTAACATCGGGGATTTCTTCGTAATCTGCTATTGTCCACTCCAACTCGGTCTTTGCATTATTAAAAAAGGTCTGTGACCTAGCAATCTGTTTCGCCGTAAAGGGCTCAATACCTTCTTCTAGAAAGATATCGTTCAAAATGACGGAGCTTACTATATTTTTTCTTAGTTTCTTCTCTTGTCTATTTCTCTCTTGTGATGTCTTTGATTCTTTCCCATTATTATTTGCTCTACTGTCATATAACAGGGAAAGTGTGTATGGCGGAGTGCTAGGTTTCTCTAAGGAAGAAGTTAGGTAGTCTATCGAGAGAAAACGCTTTGCTGGGCTAGATAGTCGCTTCATCATCATCATCATCATTATTATTGTTATGATGATGATATTGATCTCGGAATTTTCAACCACCCATCATCATCATTAGAAAAAAAACTTGAAAGTAAATTCCGCGCCCAAAAAAAACAAACCCATCTGTCCCCTGCTTTATCTATCCCCTGCTTTATCTGTCCCCTGCTTTATCTATCCCCTTCGTTTTTACTGTGCCTCATGGTCAAGGTCCGTTATCCCGTGTTAATAAGTATGTTTGTTTGTTTTCTTTTTCTGTTGATAGCAAAGAATGTTTAGTTTCTAACAATATTTCCCCCTTTGCGTGGGCTAGTCTTTATTTTGACACTACTAGGAGCTGGATACTTGGGATTTGCCCTGATTGAGCTAGTACATGACAAAATACTTCATTTCTTTACATTTTGTATAGTCACCCTTGAGTTTTATTTCATATTTGATGCTCCATTCAAGTCATTGAAGATCATTCGGTATCTAACGTTTGTCATTTGTACGTTAGCAGGCAGTCTAGGTCTGGAAATATTGCAACATATTGTTAATCCAGCAAGAGTGTTTGATCCTTACGATATTTTGTGCAATGTTCTTGGCAGTTTGCTTGGTTTGGGAATATCAATAACTTACCTGCATTACAAAAAGGGGAAAGCTAAAAAGGAGAGATTCAGGTATAATAGATTGATGAATAGTGATTTACGCGCGGTTGAGGAAATAGTGCTCGAAGAAGGAGATTGTAGTGTTGCTAACGGAGAAAATAGCGGCAGGTCGACCCCGAATGATTACGTTAATATACAAATGAAGGATTTTTGAGACGAAAAGCTCTAATCTGCGACCATCACCGTATCGGGGATAAAGTTGTCCCGTTAACCATCAAGTCTATTGTAATCGACTCTACTGTAATTGAGTCTCTAATATTTTTGGTCTGTACACTAAAACATTTCTGTCGCCTCGATAAAAACGAAGAACAACCTTATTTAATAAGCAGTAAGTTTGCACTATTCAATAAGTGGCAACTTGCGTGGACTATCGAGCAAAGCTATAGACTATCGAGCAAAGCTATAGACTATCGAGCAGAGCGAGATAGTCTATATCTACTCTCCCTATAGACTATCGAACAAAGCGAGATGGTTTATATCTACAATTTGCGTTATTCAATAAGTAGTAATTTGCGTTATTCAATAAGTAGTAATTTGCGTTATTCAAATAGCCACCTATCTGAAGCTGATAATGTCTGTATAGTCAGTGTACTACACTATCTCGCTTCGCTCGATAGTGTCGATAGTGTCGATAGTGTCACTAGTCAGTGCTGTTCCACTATCTCGCTCTACTTGATAGTGTCGCCATTAGCTTACTCTCTACATAGTGAGCAGCCAAGCCTCATTAAATGAGGCTTGTCACTATTAGTTAATAGTAATTGGTCAGTGTTGCTCCACCATCTCGCGATGCTCGATTGTGTCGATAGTGTCACTAGTCAGTGCTGTTCCACTATCTCGCTTTGCTTGATAGTGGAGTGTCGATAGTGTCACTAGACAGTGCTGCTCCACTATCTCGCTTTGCTCGATAGTGGAGTGTCGATAGTGTCACTAGACAGTGCTGCTCCACTATCTTGCTTTGCTCGATAGTGAAGTGTCGATAGTGGAGTATCGATAGTGAAAATGTTTAAATTAAATTGCTGCGAAAAAATCTTGGAGATTACTAATTGGGTTAACTTAGTAAGCAAATTATGTAAAGAAGATAATTACTTGCATAAAAAATGCACTTGTTAATTTAATTGTAATCCAATAGAAGAAAAGGTTAATATAATTAGACGAGGTTTATTTATATAGCTTGTATTATCCCTTTAAATAGATTGTAATTGCAATTAGTAGTAAATTGACACAATGGTTGAAGAATTTTATGGAGGAATAAAATCTTACGACGTTCATACTTATTGGAACAATAATAATGAAAAAGAACGCGAGTTTGCATATCAGTTACGAGAGAATGTAAGCAAAGATTTTGCTGAGGATATTGCAAATGGAGATATACGAGTACACAAGTTTTGGGATAAACCTATTGGGCCACATCCCATCAATATGTGGGAATTAGATTTTAAGAAACCAGAAATTTTTGTTAAAATTGTCCCCTATTTTCAATTGAATCATGGCAAATTATCGGTCTTGATACATCCAAGATCTGATCAGGGAGATTTGAAAGATCATACTGATCATGCATTATGGCTTGGTCACAAGGTGAGATTAGATACTACTTATTTATAAAATACCAAAATAAAACAAAAACAAAAACAAAAACAAACTTGAACAAAACAAACTTGGACAAAACAAACTTGAAAAAAAACTAAACAAAACCAACTAAAACCAGCTTGAACTACTTCATCAGTGAAGTAATCACACGGGTTTGATTACTTCATCAGCGATTACTTCTATATCGATTACTTCTATAGTTTAACTCAACTTCTGCTACCTCTATAACATATATATCCAGCGGAAAAAATTGGTGGCTATATAAAATCAATCTTTTATGGAGGAAAAAAGGAGCTTGCCTTCCAAACAAGAGGCCTAGTCAGTGCTGCTCATGGACATATATATGCTATATAACGTGCATTGTGGGATAGCATCACTATCGAGAGATAGTGGAGCAGCACTGACTAGTGACACTATCTACGCTATCGACACTATCTCGCTCTACTCGATAGTGTCGCCTCTGCTGTATAGTGGAGCAGTTTCTACTCGTCTAAGGAAATAATTTTTTTTTTGAACTGAAGAAGAAGGCATAACTCAGTAGTAGTATCGTCACTATCGAGCAGAGCGAAAGCACACTGACTAGCTTGTTGCAACACTAACTAGCTTGTTACGACGCTATCTCTCTCTGCTCAATAGTGTCGCTCCTTTTCACTAGTCAGTGTGCTCCACTATCTCGCTTCGCTCAATAGTGTCGCTCCTTTTCACTAGTCAGTGTGCTCCACTATCTCTCTCTGCTCAATAGTGTCGCTCCTTTTCACTAGTCATTGCTGCTCCACTATCTCGCTTCGCTCGATAGTGTCGATAGTGTTGATCGTGTCGATAGTGTCGCGGTTTTCTCTTTTTAAAAAGCCCATTGGAGAATTCTGCTATGCCGTTTGTGTTTTTCACTTTAGTTGTAGCAATATTTTTTCCCCTTTGCCTTACTACGCTGAAACTTAGTCACTTGGCTGGACCAGGATTAGACCCTCTAGAGATCTGATTCTATAATTCTGACATACAAAATCATCACCATTTTTTCAAATCCACTCTTTCCCCCCCCTATATAATTTGCATTACAGTATACCTGTTTATAGCTGAAAAATGACTACTCCGACGGGTTTCTCAGCAGATACAAGTAATGATAGCACCAAAACAGACGGTTCCCACCAGGAACGTCCCTTGAGAGAGCTGATTGATTTTGGTAGGATATTTAGGTCGGTTTCTGGAAAACAAGATCATCAAACCAAGCTGCCAAACCAAAAACACAATCAAAGAGCAAACATTATTCGTTCAGATGAATCACCAAAAGTTATCTCCAATCCTTATTCTTTTGATTATTTCAATGCGGACCCTCGTGAGTCAAGGTACCAATCTGACGAGGAAGAGGCTTTGTCGAGTGCACTATACAATTCAGACGAGGAGGAGGAAGAAGAAGAAGAAGAGGAAGAAGAGGAGGAAGAAGAAGAGGAGGAAGAAGAAGAGGAAGAAGAGAAGGAACGGCAACAAAGACAGAAACAACAAAGTTTTGAGCCACTTGAGACTGAAGATGTCCCACCTGAGACTGAAGATATCCCACCTGAGACTGAAGATGTCACAAAGAATAAGAAGCAGGAGCAATTTCAAGAGCAGAAACAATACTCAGAACCCTCGTCTCCTAAAACACGAGTTCCATTTACCCACTCACAAACATTTAGTAGCTTTCTACCTTCAATGTTCAGCAATAGGTCTGTTAATGCTCCAGAGGGAACAGACGAGGATACCTCGCCTATGTATAACCAGTATTTTCAACAACCTTTTCCCGAAGACGCCAATAATAGGCCCGAGTCTAATAGATCAGAGTCAAATCGACACCAACGGATTAAAAATAAACTAAAGTTTTTGAGAAGAAAGCCCAAGGAGAAGAGGAAATCAGATGTACCAGAAGCGGCTGACAATTTTTCCGACGATGCAGACAAAGCCACTAGAGAACGCGCCCTGAAACTAATCACTGATCTTGCAATGGGGGGCCCTGCTATAAGCTTGATTGGGATGTGTTTACTAGAGGACGAGAGAGGTATCGCAAGAGCCCCGCTCTTGTTGACAATGTTGGGATTTCTGATTTATGACATTTCTCAAAATGAGTACACTAGAAACAGGAGATTTCGCATTAATTTAGAATATGGCGTTGGGATTGAAAGAATGACTTGGAGCATCGAAAGAAATGCAAGTGACTTGTTTTACTTGCATTCAAAATTGAAATACGAAACGTGGAAGAAGGATATCAGAGGTAACAAAGTTTCCCTCCCTAAATTACCAATACCTCCACTCAAGAAGAAAGAAAAAAGCAAAACGAACAAATTCAAAAATTTGATGGGCGATACTCAATCGCAAAACCAACTGCAGTTACAGCATAATGATAATGCATCAATTGGCTCAATCAGGTCTGGGTTATCAAGAGTAAGGCTGCGATTTGGTAGTATTACATCCCTAATGTCTCCAGAAAGGGAAACAAAAGCAATGGAGCACAGAGTTCATAGAAATGCTACATATATCAAAGATGTAGAGGAATACTTACATAATCTCATAGATTTGATTGATTTATCACCACAATCAAACTACCTTTTCGTGTTTTTTGAAATATCCCCACTTTCTGCATTGTTGAGCTATGAATCAGGGTATCAAGGCAAACAGGGTCCGATTCATGTAAGCGGTACTACTAAGTCCCAAGGTTGGAGAGTGGGTCATTTCAAAGCCAACGATCTCAAAGGAATGTACGATAGACGTATTGACAAATGGATGCTTACTAGACATAGCTATCTCATGTACGTGTCCGACATCAACTCAACAACACCTTTGGAAGTATTTTTAGCTGATCCAGGCTTCAAAATCACAACAAAGCATAACAATGAGCGAATTGAAGAAGATATTGACGGGTACGATGCCAGTTCAGTTAATCAAAAGAAACTTGCTGATATTCAAGAGAAGGAGCACTCAAAGATTTTTCCTCATTTGAAAATCACCTTGGAAAATAATGAGAGGAAGCTTGTTATTAACCCAAAGTCTGCAAAGGACCACGCCTCGTGGGTGGAGTCTTTCAAACGAATGCAACATGATACTATTTGGAGTCAGCCACACAGATTCGACTCTTTTGCACCTGTTCGTGATAATTGCTTTGCTCGATGGTTTGTTGATGGAAGGGATTATTTCTGGGCTGTATCGTCAGCTATAGAAATGGCAAAGCAAACTATTTTCATTCACGACTGGATGCTTACTCCTGAACTATATTTGAGACGTCCGGCCAATGGAAATCAACAATACCGTATTGACAGACTTCTTCAAAGAAAAGCCAAAGAAGGAGTCAAGGTATACGTTATTATTTATCGTAATGTTGGTACTACTGTTGCGACAGACTCATTATACACAAAACATTCTATTTTATCTTTGAATGAAGAAAACATTCATGTTATCCGCTCACCAAATCAACTTTTGCAAAATACTTATTTTTGGGCACATCATGAAAAACTTTGTATTGTGGACCAGACGTATGCATTTTTAGGCGGTATTGACTTGTGCTATGGAAGGTATGATACAGCAGATCATACATTGAATGATGATTCGCCATTTAATTTTGAAACTATTAAACCCGATGATAGAATGACTTTTGAAGATTTCGTTAATTTTCAAGTTTTCATGGGAAAAGATTATTCAAACCCAAGGGTCAAAGACTTTGTTGATCTTGATAAACCTTATAACTCAATGTACAATAGGAACACAACGCCCAGAATGCCATGGCATGATATCCACATGCTCTCGTATGGAAAAATTGCTAGAGATTTATCTAGGCACTTTGTTCAAAGATGGAATTATTTGATAAGACAGAAGCGTCCAAGTCGATTTACTCCGTTATTGTTACCACCTTCTGACTTCCTTGACGAAGAAGCAGAAGCACACGGATACGAAGGAAGCTGTAGAATTCAATTATTGAGATCTGCAGGAAACTGGTCCCTAGGCTTGAAGGAGCATGAGCAAAGTATTCAAAATGCGTACCTCAAGTTGATTGAAAGTTCGGAACATTTTGTGTATATTGAAAATCAATTTTTCATTACTTCATGTGTTGTTGATGGAATCGAGATAAAAAATAGGATTGGAGATGCTTTGGTGGACAGAATAATTCGAGCACATAGAGAAGGAACCAATTGGAAGGCAGTCATTGTGATTCCTTTGATGCCGGGATTTGAGGCGCAAGTCGATCAAGCGGAAGGGTCATCTGTCAGAGTGATTATGCAGTGTCAGTACATGTCCATCTCACAAGGTGAAACTTCTATTTTTGCAAAATTGAGAAGTGCGGGAGTCAACCCAGAAGACTATATTCAATTTTTTTCATTAAGGAAATGGGGTAAAATTGGTCCAAAGCGAACTTTAATTACTGAACAATTGTACGTTCATGCAAAATGTATGATTGTGGATGATAGATCAGTCATTATTGGAAGTGCAAATATCAATGAGAGATCAATGAGAGGAGTTCGTGATTCTGAAGTTGCTGCATGCATTCAAGATCAACGATTTATCGATACAACTATGGGTGGAAAGCCGTACAAAGCAGGAGAGTTTGCACACACCTTGAGAATTAGGTTAATGAGAGAGCACCTAGGTATAGCCGTTGATATCTTGGACGTAGTTGAGAGACGTTTTAAACGGTTTGAAGAAGCTGTTAAAACCGAGCAAGGTTTGAGATTTGCCACGTCTAGGTTCAGAAATAAAGAGTTTCAACAGCTATCGGCAATGGTTGAGATTGCTAGCCGGGACGTGTTGAACGAACACGAGGGAACTCGAAGATGGCGCAATTGCAAAATATCTAGACTTGACGAGGAAATAGCAGACATTGATTACACAGAAGAACAATCTTCGTTGCCACCACCATTGTTTTTGCCCATATGTTTCAATAACCGTACAGGTCCATATGAAGCCAATAAGGGTGTGCGTGACAGGAAAAAGCACTCTTATGACAATAGGGTTCAGCACAATGCAGAACATAAGAAAGATGTTTTTGGAAAGGGAGTTGACAAGTACCGTTCCAAATTAGCTCTCCGAGCAAGGAGAACAAGCAAAGAATTTCTAGGCAATTTGGCCATGACAGGAATGGAAGGGATTAGCCCGCAGACATCTTTTATGCCTGATGTTGAGAGTGTTCGAGATTTTCTAGAGCAAGATGATGCAGAAATGTTTGATGAAATGGATGACGAGTCAGAGAGAATTATCAATGAGAGAAACCAAGAGAGGTGGTTATTGTTAAAAAAGATATCCTACTTGCAAAGAGTTGCAGCCAAAGAAGAAAAGTTTGCTGAAGCTGAGAATAAGAGGCTTGCCGAAGCTGGCATGCAACCACAGCAGCCTAGAAGAGCTTCCACGGATGAGCAAGCACCTTCAGCACCTGCGGCAGCAGAGGGCACAAATACAAGTGACGGCTTGAGTTCCAATTATGCAAACAACAACAACAACAACAACAACAACAAAAAATATCCTACAATATCGTTGGACGATGCCGGGGTCAAAGAAATTCTTGATGGATTGAAATTACCCGAGACCAAGAATAGTACTTATGTTGATCCCTATGACTTTGAAGATCCAATCGATCCAGTGTTTTATGAGTATATTTGGAATGAGTACGCGAAAAGAAATACTGAAATTTTTCGTATGGTATTCCATTCTCAACCAGATGACGTTGTTGGCAGATGGACGGAATATACTCATTTCACAAAGTTACAAAGTACATTTATGAAAGCTCAAGAAGCTGAATCGAATAGAAAAACTCTGACTCAATCGAGAGACGAGGAAGATGGCGAAGAAAAAGAAGAAGAAAAAGGAGAAGAAAAAGGAGAAGAAAAAGGAGAAGAAAAAGGAGAAAGGGAAGTAAATGATATCAATAATGTAGGGGAGGATGAATCAAAGGAGACAAGAATGGAGGAGAAGGAGAAGGAGAAGGAGAAGGAGAAGGAGAAGGAGAGGGATAAAAAATTGTATTCTGCTAATGGGCAAAAGCAGGAAATTCAGAGTGACGATACAACCAACGAACAAGACTTTGGATTATTGGGAAGAGTTCCACCCACTAAAGAGGAAAGAGAAAATGCAGAAAATGCCGGAAAGAAGAGAAATAGATTGGCGCGTCGTATGAGTGCAATGGCGGGTAGTATAGAACATAAAATCGACGAGAGATTAGTAGAACATTTTGAAGCTGGAGACCAAAACATGAGGAACAATTGTACAGAAAATCATGTTGAAAGAAATGGGGATGCTCACAAGGGTAAACTTCAATCAAATGGCAAAGTTCAAGAAGAAAATCAAAGGGTGGTAGATGATACAAAAGAACACAATGGTACTTTAAAACCTCAGCGATCTTATGCGATAACCAAAGTCTCGTCGCCTCCAAAAAATACTTATACTTCTTCTCCATTGGGTTCAAATGGAAGCTCTACACTTCGTGGAGAGTCACATGCGGACAGTCGTGGTACCAGTGAAGAGCAACAACAATACGCGCCGCCAGTTATCAGGAAAAATAGAGTTGGAAATCATATTACCCGTAGAAGAATTCAAACTGGTGAAGCCATATACGATAAGGCAACCGCTGAGAAATTTTTGAATGCAATACAGGGCCATCTAGTGTATTTCCCTATCGAATGGTTAAGTACAGAGTTGAACAATAACAATTGGTTTTATAACACCGATAGATTACCACCTATGGAAATTTATGACTAAGAAACATGGAGGAAGAAGGGGGGAGAAAGAGAAAGAGAAAGAGAAAGAGAGCGAGATCGAGAGAGGGAGAGTATGTATAATAAATTGTATAGATTTGGATTCTAGGTTATATTCCTCATGAGTATTTTATGTCTATAGTCGTGAGAGGAGAACTAGGTAGCGAGTCTTACGCGTAGAAGGGAATATAGAATATACACCAAGTAATATCTTAAAGTCTAAATAAACTACTTATCAAGGAGAAGAGAGAAAGGAAGGCCAAGTTGGTCTTATATGACGAGTTCAACAAACTTTGCACATAATTTCAACGATAAAGTTGAAAAGTCAATTGCTTCACAGAGAACAGAAAAAAAAGTCTATTGACAAAAAAATGCTTTTATTATACCCAGAGTTGAATCCTTCTTTCAAGGTGATTGTGAAGCATTTAAACGAGGTAGAAAGAAGATGTTTTTGGAATTACTATCATATATTGGAATGGTAGTAGGGTTCTTGTTTCTAGTGCTATCCATTGCTTCGGGACTTTACTACATCTCCGAACTCGTGGAAGAGCATACAGAACCAACAAAACGATTTCTCAAGAAACTTATATACTCAATAATGGTAACTTTGTTACTACTTGTTTTGTTTGACAAGTTCCCCATTAAACTTACCTTGTTTTCCATTTTTTCCCACTACATATATTTACAAAATCTAGTGAAATTTCCCTACGTAGAATTCACAAGTCCCATTTTCCTTGCCAGCGTTGTACTAGTTATAGCAAACCATTTTCTTTGGTTCAATCACTTTCACAACCCCGAGATTCCACTGTTGGAGGCTAGGTTAAAACCGGATTATGTGCCACCCACAATCCCCAGTTTTTCGCAAGTATGTTCGTTTTTTGGATTGTTGATTTGGTTTATTCCATTTGCTTTGTTTATTAGTTTGAGTGCTCATGACAATTTGTTGCCTCATCATAATGACGTAGACACTAGTACAAGCGAGTTTGGAAAGAAGAAAAATAACGGATTGGCAAAGGTTGCAGTGACAACGCTAAGAGACTATGTTTACGGTATCAGTAGAAAATTCGGGTACGAATTAGATCCTCACCGTGGGTCAATAGTGTATTAATCAAGTAAGTTGTTTATTTATTTTTATATATATGGTGATGCTTAATTAACGTTTTATCATTGTGACTCCAAAAACCTTTTAACTGGTTTCCCAATATCTTCTAAACTCAAGAGAAACGTATCATGTCCATAATTGCTGATATCGGTGCCCAATTCGAAATATTCAATTTTACCAGTTTTATTATCTGGATTCTCCAATAACACATTGGCAATTTCTCTTTGTTGCCACACTGGGAACAAGATATCAGACTCAACGCCAATGACCAATACATCCTTATTAGCCATTTTTCTCATCCCTTTCTTCAAGTCTTGCAAAGACTCTTCTACGGTGTAATTTTTAGGCGGTTTACTTTTTTCTTCGTATGGTTTCTTTGGTACAACTTCAAATTCACTAAAGTCATTACCATTCTTTCCAATGCCTGAGTATCTACGTTCACTCTGCAATCTATTCTGTTGTGCTTCACTTCTACTCTTTTCTCCCAAATCAAACAAATCCATAGCTTTAGAAACATAAAGCCACGAATTAGCATCATATTCCAAACAAAACTTTTCTCCTGCATGATCCAAATACGTTTCCACTAAGAAATCAGGACATAGGGCCGGTGGTCTTGATTCATCTGCTCTAAATCTACCAAACCTGTATTCCCATTCGGGTCCCGACCTATATGTCACAGTGGCGATTTCACGGGCTAGTTTCATTCCCACATGTGGAGGGATTTTATCATAATAAAAACCGCGATTCCAATTGGGATCGCTCATTAATACTTGCCTTTGAGTATGTCTTAATGCAATTGAGTATGGGTGCGATCTTGCACATCCGCTGATACTTATAAGCTTGTCAACTTCATCTGGAAATTCCCATCCGTATGCAAGGCTTTGCATACCACCCATTGATGCCCCAACAGAAGCATGAATTTTTTCAACCTGAAATTCGTCCTTAACTAGTTCTCTTTGGGCACGAACCATATCACTTATGGACAAAATGGGGAATCTGGTTGCATATCGTTCGTTATTTGCCGGATCAAATGAAGATGGACCCGTTGATCCATAACAGCCACCTAAAACATTAGTACACACGACGAAAAACTTGTCTGTATCTATAAATTTGCCCTGTCCAATAAAGTTTTCCCACCATCCCGGTTTTGTATTATGAGGCTGTGATTTCGCATGACTTGAGGCTGACAATCCTGTGTGGACAAGTACTAAATTCGATTTGTCCCTGTTGAGCTGGCCCCATGTTTCGTATGCTATTGTATATTCCTTTAGATGGCCTCCATAGTCTAGAAATATAGGCTTCTTTGAATGGTATCTTTTAAACCCCGTAGTGACAAACCCATAATTGGGTTCAGGACCTGTTTCCAATCTATCTATATTATTATGTACCATCAGCCGAGGTTTGAGCTCACCACTAGATAACTGTTTATTTTTTTGCTCTAATTTGTCCAAACAGGGGAACAGTAGTGGTGGGTTAGAGGCGGTGGTCGGAGCATCATTGACAATGACACGAGTGGCGCTAGCTTGTATCCTTGTTGAAGCAAAACATCGACAACTATTTGATTGCGAAATAACTAATTTATTACTGAAAATTTTGTTAACTAAGCTTGAAAAAGGTTTCATTGTTTCAAAATTGTTCAAAGTGTCAAATGATACCTGCAGTATAAATGCTTTATATATATATATATGTATATATGCCCCAAAATACGTGGCAAAACAACACCAGAATTATAGCAAGGGGTTGTGAGGAGTATGTGCTTCTACCACCTTTAAATGAAAACTCGGCTTTTATCGTTGCTGCATTTCCCTTTTGGTAAATTGAAAAAAAATTGTATAATAACACGTGACTTTCACGCTTATTTAGGGGCATCTCAAATAAAACTGAGATGAGCCGAGATGAGATGAGATGAGAAAGTAAAGCAAAGTGAAGTGGAAGCGGAAGCGGAAGCGAGGCGCGCGATATAGCTGGAACGAAATTTGAGGCAAGGGTATATATATATATATATTAGCAGTGGTTGGAGCAGTGGGTGAGCAATGGCTATAGACGAAACGGTTCAACATACAGATTATACATTTGACAATTTATGGGTAATTGTTTATTCAATTTACCCCTTAGTTTATCTCGTATCCATACCATTAACCTTGGTGCTAAAACAGTGCAGCCCAAGTATAGCTGAGCTTTGGTTTGTTCAGTTTCTAGAGACTAAAATTGTACGAGGATGGATATTAGTGTGGTTCACCCTTTTATATCTTGCAAACATTGTCAGTGTAGATCTAAGAAAACAGGTCACGTGCAAGCATATAAAGATATACCTAGCCAATTTAGTTTGGCTTGTTATTTTATTAGAATGGTTTTTTGGGTCGCCGATATTTGAGAGAATAAGTTTATGACAGGGGGCTTCCTGTTCTCTACCTGGAATTGAAAGAGAATATGCGTGTGAAAGAGCAGGTGGAGAATGGAGGAACCCCTTTGATTCGTCGAGCCATTATACCTTATTGATTTCAAATAGTTTATTAATTTGGAATCTTGTTATTCCTTATTTGGCCAGGAAGGTTAAACGCAGAGTGAGGGGAGAAGTCAATCGCAAAGTGAGAGAAGAAAGTGTGAGAGAAGAAAGTGTGAGAGGAGAAAGTGTGAGAGGAGAAAGTGTGAGAGAAGAAAGTGTGAGAGAAGAAAGTGTGAGGCGAGAAGGAGTCTGGGGTTGGCGTGTACCCGTGCCGATTCTGGTTAAAGGTTTTTTTACATTCAACCGTCGCCGCCGCGCCCTTGAGGTTGTAGATATCGAGACTGGTTCTCGCTCTTATGACACACCTTTTCCATCTTCTTCTTCTCCTGGTCGACTCAAACTCATCGTCATCTATATATCATTGATCTTCCTTACATTATGGTTCATTCTGTTTTGCATAACATCAATCTTTTTTCATACAATACCAGAAAAATTGGTTGGACTATGTTGTGGTATGTTTATCCCTATACTTCTGCAACTTTTATAGTAGTGCTTTTATAGTAGTGCTTTTATAGTAATCCTTTTATAGTAGTGCTTATCGCAAAGTGCAAGTAGTATTGTGAATATGTGTCATTTATATGCAGCTAGATAGTGTCTGTGGCAGCTAGTCAGTGTGCTCCACTATCTCGCTCTGCTCGATAGTGTCGCTACATCTATGCATCATCATGTAGCGGCAACTTCACTCATCTCTCCGCATCAACAAAGACGAGACGAGACGAGACCCCTTTTGCTTGTAATTTGGTAGCGTAGAATTATCATCAACATCATCATCATCATCAATTTTCAAGCCACCGCATTTCATGCGGCTTTAGGTAACAAATTTTTTTTTTTTTTCTTTTTTTTTTTTTTAGCCGTTTCATCTTTCATAGCGTTATTCGCTCAGATAACGAATAGGTTGGTTATTGTTTTATTAGCAGCACAATGCACGAAGGAGCATATATCGCTCAAAAGTTTGAAAGGTTGTTATGGTTGGGAATAGGAGTATAAATATAAATACTCCGCTTGGCTTGGATATAACACTGCTTGCTATTCATCGAAAGCTGAACAAGTTTGGAAATCGAACTCGAGTCATTTTAAGATTGGATTGGTTTTTCATTACATCAACGGGGGTAATAGATGCAGGTACTTTCAGTCAAGCTAAGCAATATACATTGCGATGAATGTGAACAGGCTATAAGGGAAATACTAGGTTCTTTTTACAAGCTAAATTTACTTAGTGTTGACGAAGTTGATGAGCTGAATGTGATTAATGAATTGGACAATAACGAGGTATTTTATATGCTTAAGGACTCAACAGTGAAATTGTATGGGAACAAAAATGCCGATTTGGAAAGCGGTATTAAGAAAATTACAAGGAAATTGGAAAAGTCGGGATTTGAAATCGCTAGGTGGGATTTAGTATTGAGCAAGACTGGCGAGCTAGATTCAGAGTCACTCTCGGAGGAAATTAGATTAAGAGATCCAGAATCTGGAAAGCTTGGTCTTGGACATGAGAATAATGGGGTTTTGGGTATATTCGGTACCTTTCAAAAACTCACCCATCGTCGATCAGCTAAACAGCACCTTAAATTTTGCAAAATGTGTCAAATTGAGAAGGAAAAGGAGAAGGAGAGAAGAAAGGAGAAGCAGAAACGTAAGAAGTCAACTGATCTGAATAATGAATCCTCGTCCATTGAAACGAAGGTAGACGAGCACCAACCTCACCAGGAGTTTAGAGCCTCATTTGCAGTGAGTGGGATGACTTGTTCGTCTTGTGTCAACACTGTTGAAGATTCATTGAAAAATCTCTTTGACACCAAAATTTCCTACAAAACGAAGAATAATGATCAAGTTGAAGAAAATTGCTTTTCGGTTAATTTGTTGCAACTGTCAGTAGTTGCAATAATCCCCAATAAGCAATTAATTAACCAGATAATTGATAGTATAAATGATTTGGGATTTGAATGCAAGTTGATTGAAGTTTTACCTGTTCAAAGGTCAATAAATACCAAGATCACAGCATTGATTGGCGGTATGACCTGTGCTGCATGTGCCAACTCAATAAATGCAGCTGTAAAGGAATTGCCATTTATTCTCGAATGTGGTATTAATGTGGTGACTAAAAACGCCCAATTTGTACTAGAGGACGACAATCGGCATCAAAATTTGAAAAAGCTTCAAGAAACAGTTGAAGATTGTGGATTTGATTTTGAAATTTTGACTAATGAGAAGATAAACTATACTTCGAGCAAACAAAAGCCAAGAACAATCAACATCAAGATTGATGGAATGTTTTGTAACCGTTGTCCTGATTTAATTTCGGACTATTTGTGTCATTACGGTGATGCTGCTGTTGTAATTAATGATCCTGTCACTTTAAAGCATCCCGTGATTGAATTCACATATGTTCCAAGTCGTGATATCACAGTAAGAAAATTCATACATGACTTGAATCATTTAAAAGATGACGGAAACGGGAGCTACACAATTGATGATGAAAAACCTGGGACATTTACATGCGAAGTTGTTAAACCCATTTCAGTTGATGAGCACGCAAAGAAATTGGCTCAAAGAGAGTTGATGAGTTTAGCAATTAGATTGGGTTTAGCTACTCTTTTTGCCATACCTACTTTTATATTTGGCATTGTTGCAATGTCACTCTTACCCAAATCACATCGTTTTAGAATGTGGGTCGAAGATCCAATTTGGGTTGGCAATGTTTCAAGGAATACTTGGATTTTATTCATTTTGGCTACACCAGTGTATTTTTTTGCAGCTGACAGCTTCCATAGAAAAGCAATATTGGAAGTCAAATCACTTTGGTTTCATAAAAACTCTTTTAAACAAAGAATTTTCAAATTTGGATCAATGAATTTGTTGATGTGTTTGGGTACGAGTGTTGCCTACTTTGCAAGTATAGCCTTATTGGCTCTTAGTGCCAAACAAGAACCAGAAACACACCATGGATTTCATACTACTTATTTTGACGCTGTTGTGTTTCTCACATTTTTCTTGTTAATTGGGAAACTATTGCAGAGCTACTCAAAAGCAAAAACTGCAGATGCTGTTTCACAGTTGAGCAGCCTCAAGCAAACTGAAGCCACCTTAGTTGAGCAAACTGCTGCTGCTGCTACTGCTGCTGACGATGATGATGGAGATAACTGGAAGTTTACAAATGACCAGAAAGTTAATTTGGAATTGTTGGAAATTGGCGACTATATAAAAATAGGCTCTGGAGAATCACCTCCGGTTGATTGTGTTATAGTTCAAGGTGAATCAAAATTTGATGAAAGTGCACTTACTGGTGAGTCCACTCCAGTGCACCATATTGAGGGACACCAGATATTTTCAGGAACTGTGAATATTGGATCAAACTCAGTGATTGCCAAGGTGACCAGTTTAGAAAGTGACTCCTTATTGAGTCAAATTGTAAATACTGTGAGAGATGGTCAATTGAGAAAAGCACCAATGGAAAGAACAGCTGATTTGATCACGGGTTATTTTGTTCCAACAATTGTTTTTCTTGCTATCATTACTTGGATCATTTGGCTTGCATTGGGTCATAGTGGTGCATTGCCTCAAAGCTATCTCGATATAGACATTGGGGGCTGGACAGTATGGTCCTTGGATTTTGCAATTGCGGTGTTTGTGATCGCTTGCCCTTGTGGTATTGGATTAGCTGCTCCAACGGCCTTATTTGTAGGGTCTGGGTTGGCTGCGAAATATGGCATATTGGCCAAAGGTGGTGGTGTTGCTTTCCAAGATGGCGCCAATACGAATGTTGTTTGTTTTGATAAAACAGGGACTTTGACAAGTGGTCAGTTGTCTGTGACAAACTATTCATTTGTTGTGGAAGGCGACTCAGTAATGAGACAATTTGCTTTGCAATTGGCTCGGGACTTGGAAGTTGCTTCTGCTCATCCATTGGCTAAGGCTATTAAACTGTTTGTCGATCATTTGTGTTTAAACAATGGAGTTCAGTTACTTGCCAATAAAATACCTCAAGTTGAGACCATTGCAGGTAAAGGATTGAAAGGAAAGATTGTGTATGAAGAAAACGAAGAAGATTGGGCTCGATACAAGCCAATAGAAGCAATCTTGGGTAATGAGAAATTGTTTGAAGAATATAATGTTTCAATTACAGATACACAAAAGCAGTTATTAACAAGGTGGAAAACTGAATGTAAATCGGTCATATTAGTTGCCATTCGATGCCTGTCTGATGTAAATTTCCACTTGATCTTGATGATGGCAGCAAGAGACCAAATTCGCCCTGAAACTGGAAAAGTCATTTCTTACCTCCATTCCCACAACATTGAAACGTGGATGATCACGGGAGACAATAAACTTACAGCAGATGCAATTGCACTGGAAATCGGCATCACTAATGTAGTTAGTGAAGTTTTACCTGATGAAAAAGAAGCACAAATTAAACGTGTTCGGCAAATAAAAGATTCGGAAAATCAAAAACGAAAATGTGTTATAGCAATGGTTGGTGATGGTATAAATGATGCTCCTGCATTAGCTAGTGCTGATGTTGGAATAGCATTGAGTTCAGGCGCTGATCTTGCTGTCACATCGAGCGATTTTATCTTGTTGAATAAAGCACACCCATTGATTTCTCTTGTTACATTATTGGATTTGTCAAGATGTGTTTTCAACCGGGTGAAGTTCAATTTTGGTTGGAGTTTGGTTTACAATATGATTGGTATTCCTATTGCTGCTGGTGTTATATATCCATATCGTAATTCACGATTAGACCCCGTTTGGGCAAGTGCTGCTATGGCTTTGAGCTCGGTAAGTGTCGTGCTTAGTAGTTTAGCATTAAGGCTCTACAAGCCAAAGTTGAATATTGCTGATTTCAAAGTGAGTGTTGAGGTGAGCTTGTTATTGCCGGTAGAAGAGTAAAAGAAAATGCCTTAATGAATTTTCCATTCCTTTTTCTTTTTTCTTTTTGTTTCTCTTTTTCCATTTTTTTCAATCCATTTTGGATTGTGGTCTGTATGGTTTGGTTTGGTTTGGTTTGGTTTTATTTTTATTTTTCATTTTTCTTGAGTAAATACATCTTTATCAAATTGAACAATCATCACTGTAACATTGTCTGTGGTGGAATTATCGATGGCCAATTGGCACAATTTCTTTGCTGTGTTTTGAACGCTGTATCCTCTTGAAAAACATTCTTTGACGTATTTACATGCTTTGGAATCAGATAGGACATCCCATAATCCATCACATGCAATAATCATAAATTCGTCCTGGGGTATAATTTCAGTTGAAGTTGTAAAGGGCTTTCCCAAGACCAAATCCTTCATGTATGAATCACCAAGAGACCTCAGCACAGCCAATACCCCATTTACCCGATTTTTCAAAACCAATCCTCCCGAGCTTTCTATCCTGTTTATCTCGTTGATATCTGAAGCTTTGTGGTCATAGGATAGTCTGTATGGTTTACCCTTTCGGCATAGTATAATTCTTGAATCTCCTACATTGGAAGTGTATAACATTCTTTTATGATTTTTCAGTGGAACAAAATCAAACCTTTTCAGTCCGTTTGTAGTGGAAGTGGGGGAGGGGGAGGAGGTGGTGGGTGCTGTGGTGTTGGTGTTGGGTGCTGTGGTGTTGGTGTTGGTGTTAGGTACTGTGGTGTTGGTGTTGGAGGTTGTTGCAGTCGTTGCAGTTGTGGCGGTGGTGCCAGAGCCTTTACCGTTCGCTGCATCTACCATACAGTCATTATCAGAATCACCTTCCCAACGTAAAACTGCTACTGCTGCAGTGCACCCAGATGCACCTTGACCATTTTTTTCAATCAAGTCGTCTGCACGAACAAATGTTTTATATAGGTATTCCTTCATATCGAAGCGGCCATTCATAGGTATATCTGATGTGGACGTTGTTGAGCTTGGGGAATCACTCAAGCCGTGTGTTGTTGCCAGCTGGGCTGAAGCAGAAGACGGTATTTTGGAATTGTTATCTGAAGCAGAAGAAGGCAGTTGGTTTTGGTTTTGGTTTTGGTTTTGGTTTTGATGTTGTAGTTCCAAGTCAATTTCTTGCTCTAATAAAGTGTGTAAATTGTTACCACACCAACGGGCAGATTCTTTCCCTGCGTGTCCATCAAATATGGCAAAATATCCCCAATCCACTCTTTCAGCATAATTGGCAATATATGTATGGACATCTTCCATTTTGCTTCTGTATGTTGTATTCTTGTTCTCAGCAACACCCACCTTAAACGATAACCCTGCAAAAGGATCGTTTTCTGCAGCTAAGTTAGAGTCGGAATCTGTAGATACAACTGGTGTTTGAGTAGTTTCAACAAAGGTTTCCTTCCCTGGTGTTTGTATAGTTTCGGCAAAAGTTTCCTTCTCTGGTGATTTAGTATTACTTTTTGGAGAACCGTTCTTGGTATCATCCTTTTGAGTCAGTTCTTCTAGTTTAGGAAAAGCTGTAGATGGTTCAACAAGAGACCCTGTTTCTAAACTACTCATGGTGGAAAAAACTGGGAATAAACTTGTAAAATCGCTAGTTACTACCACGAATAAAAAGCCTTGAAACCTCTCCGTCCCGTCTTGTTATCCCAATACTTGTTCTATAAACTTTAGAAGCTTTTTATAGCGCTGCTTAGAGCTTTTAGGTTTTTGATGCTTTGCTCAATGTCGCAAAATGTCTGTCAAAAATTGTTTGCGACAATGAATTCGATAAAGCAATCTAGTAATCTGCAGAGCTTAGCACTTATGGATAAGAGCAATAGAAGAAGTCTCTTGGTTAAATTGTTGATGGTGATAGAAGAAGTTTGGTGGTTAAAATTGTAGATGGCAATAGAAGAAGTCTCATGATTAAAGTTGTTAAAGGCGATAGAATTTTGTGTTTACAATCTTTTCTTTAACTGTCTACAATTTCTCTTGCACGTATCGTCTCACCAAAAGAGGGCGGATGAGTATATTTGAAAAGTTGGAGTTGGCCGAGTACTAGGGAGCAAAGCAAGCTAGTGGACCAGCACTAGCGACACTATCAAGCAACACAAGTCTAGAATCATAATCATAAAACACTAAAACTAAAACTAAAACTAAACCTAAAACTAAAACTAAACCACTAAAACTAAACCACTAAACCACTCTGCCATCACCAATTGCCAATATAAATTATCACCAAAATAAATTATCACCAAAATAAACTATCACCAAAATAAAACTATCACCAAAATCAACTCAATCTCAATCTCTCTCTCTTTCTCTTTCTCTTTCTCTTTCTCTTTCTCCCTCTCTTTCTCTCTTTCTCTTTCTCTCTTTCTCTCTCTTAATGGTTGAAAATTCTTTATTCAAAGTCACGTGATAATAAAAAGAAAATTGCAACCATATAGAACTAATTGGTGATTATAGACAGACTCCACCAGCCTTATATAGCAAGCATCGGGATTTTCCATAGAGACTATCAACATTCTACAAGCATTGGGATTTTCCGCTCTATACGAAAGTTTTCATAACACTAGCCTTTCCTATAATTTGCATACATACTTTACCATAAGTTTTCTCTCCTTCTCTCTCTTTTATTCTCTAAATCACATACACTCTATTTCTTTACTTTTTTCTTTTTTTTTGTTTAAATTTCTCCTAAAACGGTTTGTATTTGTAAGTGCTCCACTATCGAGCAAAGCAAGATAGTCTGTATATACTCGGATACTATACAATCTTAAGTATATTTGCAAGTGCTCCACTATTTCGCTCTGCTCGATAGTGTTTTATACTTTGTATTACGCATTATTCATCCTAATTGAACTACTAATAAACAAAGATGTCTATATCACTAATGGGACAATGTAGCAATTTAGTCAGGTTATTGATCACTATGTGATCAGTAATCGACTAGTATTCTGTTTACGCACTCTGACTATTCACTACTAATTCCATAATTAACCTCGTAGCCAAATGTAAAAGGGGTATGCAGGAAAGCTGCCTTTGTTCGAGGAGTCAGCACTACTACCTGCACCACCAGCAGAAGCACTACTACCTGCACCAGCAGCAACAGCAGCTTTACATGCACCACCACTAGGGGTTCCAGCTGTCGCAGCCAGTGGTGATTGATATTGTAGTCCTAAATATTACTAGCATTATGAATTCTGATAAAAGAATTAGTATAGCTAGTGTGCTCCGTAAACTCTATCACGTGAGACACTAGCGAGGAGAGAGAGATAGTGGAGCAACATTGACTAGCTGCCACCAACACAACCCATCAGTGCAGCTCCACTAGAGGGCTAAACAGTGCAGCTCCACTAGCGAGCTAAACAGTGCAGCTCCGCTAGCTACCTCCACTAGCTCACTTTGTATCGCTGTAATTGTAATTCACGTGACACTATTGTATATTTTTTTTTTTCATCAGCCACATCATGTCCTACACAGCAGATGGTAGCGCCATAAACGCCCCATCTTGTAGCTGCCACCAACATAACCCATCAGTGCAGTTCCACTAGCTCGCTCGCTTTGCTCGCTAGTATCGCTAGTGGAGCAACATTGACTAGCTTCCACCGACACAACCCCTCAGTGCAGCTTCACTAGCTCGCTTTGCTCGCTAGTGTCGCTGGCACCCCATCTTTTATTTCCTAATTAGGCCTAAATGAGATATGGTAGCGCCGTTGAGGGGCTTTCAACCTTTCGCTAACTCGCTACGGCAATATATTGGTAAGAAATATACATCACCACTTGAACTATACACAGAGTTTTCTGGTTTGAGGCTGTATTAGATTAATTTTGAATGATGCCGAGTGAAGTTGCTGTGCCATACGAGGCAAAAGGTACGCCAATTGTTGAGTTTGTTGAGCACAATGGTGCCAAATTTAAAACCGTTTGTTGGAAAGTTCCTCAACTGGTCAAATATAAAGGCAAGATCATTTTTGTTCATGGGTTTTCTGAGCAGCTGGGTATTTATACCGAGTTTTTTGACAATTTGTCTCAAAATGGTTATGAAGTGTTTTTTTTCGATCAAAGAGGTGCCGGAGAAACATCACCTGGTAAACTTGTTGGACAAACTAATGAGTTTTACACATTTGATGATTTGGATTTCTTTATTGCTAGAAACTATAAAGAGTTGAAAAATGCTAATGAAAAGTTCTTCCTCATGGGCCACTCTATGGGTGGTGGGATTATTTTGAATTATGGAATTAGAGGAAAGCATAAGGATAAGATAAAGGGTATAGTCGCATGTGGTCCACTTATTTTCTTGCACAATAAGTCAATGCCAAATATCGTTTCTAGATTGTTATTACCCTATGCGGCCAAGGTCTACCCCGGCTTTACTTTGGACTCAAAACTAAACTATGACTTTATTACTACAAACGAACGCTGGAAGAATTACATCATTGAACATGATAAGAAATTAATTGGAAGCTTTGGCCAGTTTAATGATATGTTTAAGAGAGGCAAGGACTTGTTGAATCGTGAATATGTTGGTAAATTCGATAAAAATATCTCCTTGTTGATTTTGCACGGAACCCATGACTACATCAACGATATCAAAGGCAGTGAAGAGTTTTTTGAATTGTTACCTGATGATAGGAATAAACTGTTTGACAAGGTCGATGCTGGAAGACATAGTCTCTTTATCGAAAATGATAAAGTGTACAAGTTGGTTTTTGACAAAGTTCTTGCTTTCTGTGATGCTTTATGAGAAACCCTTTAAGCAAGATGGAAAAATTGAAAAATTGAAGGAGCTGGTCTATCTATATCGGTGTGTTCAGAGCTATTTATATCGGTGTGTTCAGAGCTATCTATATCGGTGTATTCAGAGCCATCTATGTCGGTGTATCCAGAGCTATATCGGTGTATTCAGAGCTGCTCCACCATCTCGCTTCTCTCGATAGTGTCGCAAGCCATTTGTCGTGTTTGACATGGCTGCATATACTCAAATCTTACCACTAACTGGTATCCTAGACAATCTTCCCTCATTCTACCTCTTGTTCAAACCTCTTGCCCTCTAAACGCATAATCATTTATTCTTCAACCCGAAAAAAAAAAAAAAAGTAATTTGTAGATGAGATGAATACAAGGCTTATAGAAGGAAGAAAGAAACTCGAGTCAAAGATTGAAGCAAAACATCGGGTAAATGAGATATATGCGAGGCAGGTATAATTGTGTTTTTGACCATGGGCTATACTATTAAACAAAAAATTGACATTTGTCTCAAGGCAGAGTCCAATCCAAAGATGACTCAATCGGATTTGGCACAATGGGCAATGCATCAATATGGATCGCAAAAACCGCCTTCACAAACGACAATATCGAGGATATTGGCATCTAAGAATGACATAATAGCATCTAAGGAAGGAGACTATAAGTTAGTGCGACGAAGAAAGCAAATGAATCCGCAATTGCGTAAGATTTTAACCGAGTGGATAACGCAATTGATTTGGGAACATATACCTATCACGACTCCAATTATTCAGCTGACGGCCCATAATATATGGACTATGCTACCCTCTAATGCTAAACTGGGAAACGGGGTGTTTAATCAGAAATGGTGTGCTCATTTTTTGAAAAAATTAAACGTCAATATTACTGGTACAAGCGACGAAATAAAGGAAAATTTTGGGTATCCATTGAACAGAGTATGGAAATTGGACGAAAAGATAGAGTTGAAACAGTATCTTGGGAACTTGGTCAAATACGGCGGGTATACCCCTCGAGACATTTTTGTAATTGATGATTTTCAGTTATTTTACTCCTTGCCACTAGATCAAATATTCGATGTTAGTTCTTTGGACAAAGGCTTACACCAGTGTCAAGAGCGCCATCACAACCACAACCACCATCACCATTACTACTGTAACCACCATCAAGAATCATCCAATGAGGACTCACTAACAATTTTGCTCGGGTGTAATATTGACGGACTGGAGAAATTGACACCATTGATTGTGGGCAAGTATGAGAAATTTGATGTCTCAAAAAGCTCATTTGGAAATTTACAGAATATAAGCTATCAAAACTTGCCCCAGCATCAGTTGATGAATAAGATTACAGAGGCTTATAATATCATATATAAGTCCAATCTGAATAAATGGATCACTTCCCAAATGTTTCAGAATTATTTGTTGACTTTGGATCATAAGATTCAAAACCTTACTCCCAATAGGCAGATTTTGCTAATTCTTGATGACTGTTCAACTCATAGAATTATAAATGTGAAATTTGACCATATCAAGCTTATTTATTTGAAAAACGAAACAAGTCATAAAAATCCGTATAATACAGCATATAGTGGCGTCAAATTTGATTATTTACCAATGAATTTTGGAATCATTGAAGAGTTCAAGATATTTTATCGAATTCAGCAATATTCTGCATTAATTAGTTTACAAAAGGATATTTCAAGAAAGAACAATTGTGAAGCAGCCAAACATAAGTCTTTGATGTCGTCAATTGAGATGATCTCATCACCATCATCCCCATCCCCATCGTCGTCATCACTACCACCATCTCCAGCGCCTGTGTCTCCTGCTTTGGAAGTTTTATCAGAACATGATTATCATATTCCCTTAATCAGAGTAATTGAATGGATAAAGAAATCATGGATGATGGTATCGCAAGAGCGGATTTACCATTCATGGAAAAGAACACATTTACTAAATTTCAAGTTGAACGAATGGGCTCATATTCCACTGAGACCAATGATTAATCAATTAATACAAACCTTAGAGAACAAGTTGTTTTTATTTGATGAGCATGCTAGTTATATTCAGCTAGAAGAGTTGATGACCTGTTTGAATGTAGTGATTCCATGGGAAATTGATGAATTGATCGGACTAGTTAATGAGCGTGGGAAGGTCACTTTGAGTTATGCTTCAATTGAAGAGATAATAGGTAGTTGTTTATCTGAGCCAAGAGATGAATCAATTGAAGATGATGAAGAAATAGACTTTGACGATCCTGGAAATACTGGCGAGTCCATGGTGGTTAATGAGCATCCATCAGCACCTTGGCTGTTGTCAGAAACCGATATTGATCTGGCAAGTAGTTTGATTTTCAATAAGGCTCTTGCTGACACTAATGAAGATGATATAAACATCAACTTGGTTGGGATCACAGGTGGTCAAAGAGATAATGTTGGGAAAAATAGCAGCGTTGGTGGTAGTAATGGTGGTATTTCTTCACAACCTCTGGAAAATGCATCGATATTGTTACCAAAGACATCGCCGGAAAATTATGGATTCAATGGATCTTTAAAGCATAAACTTCCGCCTGTTGAATCTTGTGATGTAAAGAAAAACAATCGAGGCGGTGCTGTACAATCATTTAATTTCACTTCACCAAATTCGATTAATTTCCAGCAACTTCAGCAGCAAGGCCAGCATCTGCATCTGCATCAGCTACAGCATCAGCATCAGCAACAGCAACAGCAGCAATTCCCTACCATGAACTTAACACCACCGCAACAACAAAGAGATTTTGATATAGATATGATGAATGATATAATCAGATTACTTGATTATTCCTTAACGAGTTCTATTAATCTTTCACAGTCTACTATTGATGATTTAAACTATAATTTAAAAGTCATTCAAAACAGATTGAACCATAATCCATAGTGAATCGATGGCAGTCGATAGTGTCAGTGGCAGTCAGTGCTCCACTATCTCGCTTTGCTCGATAGTGCATGATATGTAAGTCAGCAATTGTAATTTATTAAAATATATACATAGAAAATAACGTCCTTTTAAATCTTATTTTGTAGCGACCAAGACTCAAAGCAGCACAGTAAATTTAGTTGGTTTGCCTCTCAGCTCAAAATATGTAGTTCCAAAAGACACTCTTTATATCCAATCCATTTTTTCTCTTTTTCTTTCTTTTGGCACTTTCCCATCCTGATTCAGACTTCAACCTCGTCATCTTCACTAATTCCCAATTCCTTAGCCTTGTCTTCCAACTTTTTTCTCTTTTCAGCACGCATTTTTTTAATCCTTGCAACTTCGGCTTGAATTTCATGAGGCTCTTTAGGGATCTGATTTAAAGTAGTTGGATCGGGCCAAAATCCAGGTAAATTCAACTTCGAATCGGTATTCAAACCAACATAGTACATAATACATATTGGAGAAAGAAGATAAAATCCAAACTTAGAGAATTTTGTTAGTAGCTGAGAGCAAACATATACATAGGGCGATCACAATATCATGTTTATAAAAGTCATTTACTCTCTCATCTTCATCAGCCCCAGCCTGTATCAAACACGTACTTTTGCTGTTTCTAGTTGGGTTCGTGTTATACTATGTATGAATCTATGTAAAAAACCCATTATACCTGCTTTGTAGTGGTGTTACCTGTGATATATATATATATATATATATTTCTGAAAAGCAAGTAATAGCTTCTGGATAGGAGTTTTTTTTTCATCATCATTCGATTCGTATAACGTTTTTTTTCTGCTCACAGTTTTTCGTATGGCATTGGGAGCTTAGTAGAAGGAGATTGAAGACACTATCGACACTATCGACACTATCGAGCGGAGCGAGATAGTGTTGAAGCAAGCTGCTAAGTGTTAAACAAGCTGCTAAGCGTTGAAGCAAGCTGCTAAGTGTTAAACAAGCTGCTAAGCGTTGAAGCAAGTTGCTAAGTGTCGAAGCAAGCTGCTAAGTGTAGAAGCAAGTTGCTAAGCGTTGAAGCAAGTTGCTAAGTGTAGAAACAAGCTACTAAGTGTAGAAACAAGCTACTAAGTGTAGAAACAAGCTACTAAGTGTAGAAACAAGCTACTAAGTGTAGAAACAAGCTACTAAGTGCTGGGTTTTAGAGGTTTGTTTAGAGGCAAGTTCAACAGAATTACAATTTTTGGTTCATTTTAATGCTAAAAAAGAGTACATAGAGTAGATTCATTTTTCAGTGTTACTGGATATATGATAGCTATATTAATATACCTGAAAGCATTTTTCTTAACCTCACTATCGACACTATCGAGCCACTATCGAGCAGAGTGATATAGTGTTGAAGCAACTGCTAAGTGTAGAAACAAGCTACTAAGTGTTGAAGCAAGCTAATAAGTGTTGAAGCAAGCTACTAAGCAAGCTACTAAGCAAGCTACTAAGCAAGCTACTAAGCAAGCTACTAAGCAAGCTACTAAGCAAGCTACTAAGCAAGCTACTAAGCAAGCTACTAAGCAAGCTACTAAGTGTTGCTCCACTATCTCGCTCCGCTCGATAGTGGCTTGATAGTGGCTTGATAGTGGCTCGATAGTGTAGTTATTTGAAAATGTGAAATTTTCTACTAAGTTCTCTCCTGAATCCCGAAAACCCAATAGTATTACCACAATTGTTAGTGCCATTATTCATATTAGCGCCAGTACTATTCCCACTATTAATAGTTGGAATTGCGCTCGGATAGATATATTGGTTCTGCTGTTCTTGGATCCTCACTCTTCGTTTCGAAGCAGACGTAGTACGCGGAAGAGGTAATGTAACTGATTTACATTGTTTTAATTTCCTTCCTCTGTATTCTTCCAAATCCAACATAATTTCGTCTTCAACATCCAGTTCGGATGAAGTTGTCGTAAAGTGATGAAAGTTGAGTAAACCTGATTGAGCTTGATTTGCCGTTGGATTTGTTTCTAATTCGTATTTCAATTTCTCCGTAAATGATGTACGCAATTTATTCAATTTAGACCATTTGGATTTACGGCGGCGGCGGTGGTGGTGGTGGTTATGATGACTGTGATGGTGGCTATGGTGACTATGGCTGTGGCTATGGCTGTGATGGTGGTGGTGGTGGCTATTATTATTATGAGGATGATGATTGTGGCTGCGCTGGCGATGAACATCATTAATGTGAAGGTGGTGAGAATTATCAGGCGAGCATGAAGACGATGAAGACGATGAAGACGATGAAGACGTTATTGTTGCTTGGTTTTGGTCTTGGTTTTGGTTTTCTTGTTCTTTTTCAAAGTTTGAGTTATTTATTGATTGTTGCAAGTCATCAAAGTTGGAGAAAAGTTGAGAATAACTTTCTTGAATAAACGCAGATGACATAGATTGCAATGGTGGTGTATCCTTCTTATCCCCCTTTTTCTTGCCGTTTACTTTGGTGTTCACCTCTTTAGTTTTCTGATGTTTCTGTTGATCAGTTTCCAAGTCTGAGTCGTCGCCAATCTCAATCAATTTCTCTTGTTTAGCAATCACATCTGGGGTTGAAGCTGATGCTGGTGCTAGAGATGTTGAGTCTGGATCCAAGTAAGAATCAATAATTTCCATAATAATTGTACCATAGTCGTGATTTTTATTCTCAATAGCACCATCATTGAAGCTTTCTTCGTATCTTATTGGTTTTCTTGTAGCTTTAGGTCGATAATTGTTTGATAAACTATGAGCATCCAAGTCGTGATTTGTAGTTGTTACGGGTAAAAAGGAAGAGTTCGAAGGAGGTGGAGGAGGAGGTGGTGGTGGGGTATGTTGGTGTAATGAGGTTACAGATTTAATAGTTCTGCTATCGTAATTGTGAGATGGTAAAGATATGGTAGCAGGTGTGATTATGTCTGTGAAATTAGGAGTTTTTCCTGAGATATACGCATGTGTTTCCAATAACACCGACATTCAAAAAAAAAAGGGCAAAATTGATTAATAAAATGAGCTGATCGGAGCAAACCTGGTCACTAGTGGCTATTGATAATTGGGTCACTCTTTTCATTTTTCTTTTTGTTTGTGAATTTCCAAATCTACAAGATTTTTATGGTTATGCCAAATAGGAACAACTGATACAGGACAAACAAAGTATTATTATTTTTTTGTCGTTTTTGTGAAACATGTCTCACTTTGCAATTTAAGGGGCGGATGTTTTACACCCCCTTAATTTGTTAGAAACACAAATCTCTTCAACAATTAAATAAATTATATCAAATCACTACACAATTTTTGTAGCCATACATAACCCAAAAAGGTACTATCACAATTGAACCAAAAATGAATGTTGGAAAAAAAGCAGAAAAAAAAAAATAAAAAAAACCAACAACTTGATTCTACTCCTCTCTTCTCAACATGAAAGCAAAGTCAGTGTTGATGGCAGCTAGTGTGCTCCACTATCTCGCTCTGCTCGATAGTGTCGAATTTCCTTTTCATTTCTTCTTCTTCTTCTTCTTCCTCTTCTTCTTTTTCCCATTCTTTTGGTTAACTCATTTGAACAAATACTCCCTCCTGGTGACTCATGGTCAAATGAATCAATTTCTTACATGGATCAGGTTTATCATCTTTGCTCACCAAAGTTGGAAATATTTGACATAATCTTGCAATAACATAACTAGCCTCAGTAATAGCAAATTGTTGACCCAAACATATTCTTGGCCCACCATTAAATGGTAAATAAGACCAGCCAAGACCCTTTAAAGTTTCCCATCGTTCTGGTCTGAACACTTGAGCATCTTTACCATAATATTTTACCATTCTATGCAAGACATAAGGAGAATAAGCCACTGTAGTTCCTTTTCCTACGAAAACAGGCGATAAACCATCTTTACCACCACCAATTGGTAATGTTGTATCCCTAGTAGCAGTACGGAAATTAATAGGTACAGAAGGATACAATCTTAAAGCTTCATTAATCACCCATTTCAAATAGGTACACAGTTTCAAAGTTTCAAAAGTAATCTTTTCGATATCTGCATCATCTCCCGAACCAAAATTTGCATAAATCTCCTCCTTTAATTTTTGCCAAACATCTTGATGTCTTGCCAACTCAAATATACAAAAAGATAATAGTCCAGCAGTAGTATCTCTACCAGCAACCATGATATTTAGCAATTGATCTTGCAAAACTTGAGGGTCTCTTGTTTGTTTTGCCAATTCATACAAAAAAGTATAGTGGTGCTTACAATGTTCATTTAATTCCTCAGGAGTTAAATTTAAAGCTTTATTAACAAATCTTTTGGCAAATTTGTGAACAATTTTGGTATTTCTCTTGAATGATGGTGGATTATATATCCAATACATAACTTGCAAATAAGCTCTTACAGCCAAATCCTTTTGCGTTTCATTAAAAGCCTGGGCAAAGTCGGCAACTTCAGGATCAGTCTTCATATTTATTGCATCGTCATACAACGAGTGCACCGACTCACCAAATAAAAACTCTGTTGAAGTATCCACGGTGAATCTGAAAAACAACTCTTGAATATCAAAAGTCTTGCCCAATTCTTGAAACTTTCTAATATGCTTTGCCAAAACTTGTAAATGAGGTTCCAAAGCCTTTACATGAGCAACTTGTTCTCTTGCAAATTGAGGTCTCAATAATTGTCTACTTTCCTTCCAGCCTTCATTGTCCAAGGTGAATATACCATTACCCAACAATGGTTTAAAGTGAGCATGCCTTGCACCCAAGCAAAAATCTTCAAATTGAGTAGCCAAAATGGCCTTTAAATTCTCAGGTTCGCAAGAAACAACAACTCGAACACCAAATAAATAAGCACTAAAAGTTGTTTTTGAGCCATATCTTTTAAACATTTCCACGGGGAAATCAACTAACCTGCCTTCACGTTTATAGTATTGAAGGTCATACCCTAATTTCAAACCCAAAATGCCGCCATCAGGGTATACAGGAGGCTCTTTGCACCCCCTTTGTCTTCTAAAAATTTCCCGCTTGATATAAAGCCCCAAAAAATAAGCACCAATTAATGCACCTATTAAGCCGTACCAAGTTACAATATGAGGTACGAAATACGTTGAAACAAATTGTTCCGCATATTCCACATATTCCATATACTCTAGACTCATAGCACTATAGTTTCTAAATTATTCACCCAAAAAGAAAGAAACTACCAGATGATTTTGTAGAAACAACTACTACTACTACAACAACAACAACAACAACAAGAAGAAGAAGAAGAAGAAGATGAAAAGATCTAAGATGCCTTATAAGTTTAAGGTTATATCATTGAATTTATATAATAATTCCTATCACCGAAAAGAAAGCCTTTTTGACGGTGCAAGAAACTACGAGGGGAAGGATACATCAAAAATAGTGATATGGTTGGTATAAACAAAACGTGCTATACTAAAGGAGGGGGAAAGAAGAAAGGAAGGAAGAGATTGACATCAAGGGGATAGTAGAGTAAAACAATATAAACACTGCATATAAAGTTGACTTCTATTTCAAGTTGGTAACTTTGTGAATATACCCCGCAGGATTTTAGAGAGAATTGCTACCATATGGTACTAAAATTTGAGGAAAATAAACTCGAGCTGGGTCGATTGGAATTGATTCGAATGCTTGATTATGCATGGAATCCTCATTAATGAAATATCTATAATATGATATACAGATATTAATAGGTTATTATTGTAAAACAAGTTTTTAAAGTGAATCAACTATTGTTTGTATTTTTAATCAACTATAATCAACTATTGTTGAAATTTTAATCAACTATTGTTGAAATTTTAATCAGGTATTGTTGGTATTTGAAGAAGTTACTTCTCCTGTTGCTACTGCCGTTTGGCGTTATTCATCTTTATTGCTGATCGACCCCTCTCTTCTCAGTGCCATTTGTCATCTAAGAAATATGTAAAACGTTTTACCTAAATCAAGAGGGATCCTCTTTAGGTTTTAGCGTTTTTAAAGGCTATTTATCACATGCAAAAAAAATACCCAAAAAAATAAAATATATATATATATATATTACCCCAGGTTTTAGATGATTACTTAAAGAAGAAGTTCGTGCGGCGTATAGAAAGTTACCTATGGGTAGTGTTACATTGCAATTGCAATCTACTCACAGTATGGCCACCATTCTTCCTCAAGGGTATGAACCTGCTTCCATTACTGAATTATCACATGGCATTTTTAAACCCCACTCCCAACGAATCAATGATCTTCTCCAAAGGGCCTCAGTTGCAAAAGATCTGTTGCACACTACAACTTTTGGTGAGGTTGGCGCTTAACAGTTTGATGTTGAGGTATACGAAGCTGCATCCTTGCTTATTGGGGTTTTTGCTGTCATTTCGGAGCATAAAGTCCGAGATGTGAAATATTCACATGAAATAGATGTATATCACATGAAATTTAAGCAATTGTGTGCCATCTGATTTGGTCACGTGTAGTACTATCGAGCGAAACTATCGACCAGAGCGAGATAGTGGAGCACATCTGCTTTCATCGACATATTGACACTATCGAGCAGAGCGAGATAATGTTGTAACAAGCTACAAACTGTCTACATAGTGTCTACAAAGTGTTTCTCCACTGTCTCGCTTTGCTCGATAATGGAGTCTACAAACTGTTTCTCACTATCTCGCTTTGCTCGATAGTGTTTACCAAGTGTCTACAAACTGTTTCTCTACTATCTCGATAGTGGAGTCTACAAACTGTTTCTCACTATCTCGCTTTGCTCGATAGTGTTCGATCCTCATCTTTAGATTTGAGTAACAAGTGTTGTATCAAAAACGAACTAGCTTAAAGCAATATACTTTGAATCTTGTTAGTTACAATCTAAATACCTTAAAGTTTTCAATAGAAAACTCCATAGTATAAACAAATACACTCGATATTTAACATTATCAATAACTGATAATCAGTTTTGCTCACGTGATTGGCCCTTGATGCGCATTTAACATCGCAATAGGTTGATCCACGTGACCTAGCTCATTATGATTCAAAGATGTCCTTTGAATTAGCGAGCGATGCGAGCTAGTGGAGCAGTAGAGAGCACGACACTAGAGAACACGACACTAGAGAGCGAAGCGAGCTAGTGAACAATATGTAGTGGAGTAATATATAGTGAGCAATATGTAGTGAGTAGAGATTAGTAAGTAGTGGAGCAGGGAGGAGTAGAAGTAGAGAGTAGAGAGTAGTGGGTAGAAAGAAGTGGGTAGCGGAGCAGTAGAGACCAGTGAGCAGAGAGTAGAAAGTAGTGAGCAGTAGAGAAGAGCAGTAGAGAAGAGCAGTAGAGAAGAGAGAGTAGTGAGTAGCGAGCAGAGAGTAGTAAGTAGTGAGAGAGTAGTGAGTGTTATTCGTTGAATTAGATATTTTAGTTTGTCGGTGGCAGCTAGTGTCAATGGCAGCTAATGTGCTCCACTATCTCGCTCTACTCGATAGTGGAACACAATCACAACACAATTGGTTCATATTTTTGAATAATTTCATCCCATTCTTTCCTATCAAGTGCTTCCTCCTCAAACTCAACCTCAATCCCTTTCAACAATGAACTCTTTAAAAAATGTGCAATCCCACAGCTTTGCTTCAAAATCATATTCAACAAAATTTGATTTATCAATTTATTCAACTGATTTCTTGAATCAAATTCAACTATGGAATTTTTCAACAATCTCATGAGACTCTCATCATCACTAGTCTCAAGTTTATCCATTTTCGAAAGGATAGTAATTGGGTTATAAAATTGCCCTAGTGATTCATCTGCATCACATTGGGTAATCAACTGTTTAATAAAATGTGGTCGACTCATTGATTCCAACAAAACCATATTCCATGTATCCTGGTCCTTTAATCTCAGGGCAAATTCAATAACTAATTTGGCATCATTGAGTTTGTGAATAACTAGATTGATTGCTTTTTTATTCTCACCAATTTTTCCTAAAAGATAGATTAATTCTGAATACAATTCTTTTGATTGACAAACTTCAATTGCTTCATCGACATTATAGTTTTCATTATGGCTAAGATAGGGGAACAATAAACTTCTATTGAAATTGGCATACAATTCAACCATTTCGTTACCAAAATCCTGGATTTGTAATTCATCTACAGTTTTGAGCTTTGCCAAATAAAGATAATTCATTATTGGTAATTTGGACTCTTTAAATAATGAAACAATTTCATGAGGTGAGATCTCTAATCTATGGTTGATTAAAACATTTACAATTGGTGTGAGTTTGGGTTGTAGTTGTTGAATGATAGCTTCTTGTTCATCAAGAGCTTCTGGTCTTGATTGGTTGTTAATTGGGAGTATGTATAGATTTTTAATATCAGTTTTATCACCCAAAGCTAGTTCAATATATTTGGGCAATTGGGAAATGAACTTGGATAATATATGGTTCTTATCCAAGTATGAAACGATATGTTTATCTTTCAAATTGACTAAATGCGGTATTGCTTTATAGTACTGCATCGATTTCTCATAAAGCGAAACTAAACACTCTTCCAAATCTCGATCAACAACAACAACAGCATCATCATCATCATCATCATCATTGCTACCATCGCCATGGCCATCATGATATTGAGATGCTCTACTTTCAAGTTTAGCTTGAATAAATTCCAAGTCATAAAGTTGTAAATCCCATTCGTTTATCAATGCACAAGTTTTCTTTAAATCAGTATTAGTCCAATACATTAATATCTTAGTAAATATTTCTGTAGAAAGTAGTTGAGATTGAGGGATAACTTTAGTCAACTCCTTGATATGTCCACTATCAATGAAAATATACGCCCAACTTTCCCACTGATTAATCCACTCTTTTCCACCCTTTGCATTTTCATTTTCATCGTCGTTTTCTTTTCCCTCCTCCTCCTCCTCCTCCTGCTGCTGCTGCTGCTGATCCTTTTCCTTGTTCTTCTCCTTCACTATATCTTCCGCTTCTTCCCCTTCTTTATCACTCCCCATACTTAAACCATCTTCTCTGTAACTCTCCCTAAAGGGCAATAGATCAATTAAAAAATCACCTGCTTTCATCCATTCATTATCTTTAATTAACAAATCAACATACTGCACACCATAACTTAGACATTTTTCTGGTGATACCAAATGTTGTCCCAATTCCCAAGCCTTAAAGTAATTTTCCTTATCCAAATACCATTGTAGCCTGTCATCCAATTGATATTCTTCAGCAATTACACCGTCTTTAGCACTAATTATATAATACTTGGCTACCGTTTCATTATGAAACCCTAATTTAAAATCATTTAATCCAAGATTGGCTACATCTCTCAACCCTAATTCTTGTTCAAATTCAACTTCCCCTGTCATTGAATTAATTAGTTTAATCTCGGGGTTATGATATAGTGGCTTGCCTTGAGTAGGTGTTGGTGGTATATAAGTTAATATCATCCATAAATCATCTTTAAAACTTGCTATGCCACAAATTAGATCCTCTAGTTTGAATATGTGTTCAATCTCAATTTTCTTTTCTTGAACTGAGCGGAAGGAAATAGAAGCTGTTGATGGTAAAATACGACTCATTGCTGAAGATTGTTGTTGTTGTTGTTGTAGCGGAGGAAGGGGCTGTACCGCTCCCGCTGCCGATGATGATGATAAAGATTCACCTTCTTTTTCATCCTTTTGCCTTATGGAGACTCTCAAGCTCCAAATATAATTACTCCATACAATAACCACTCTATCAGGATCTTCCACTATTAACTTTGGCCAGTACAAATCGCTCCTTGGAGAATCCTTTGGTTTTTCAAGAATTTTGATCAATTTTCGATTACTCAACTGGAAAATATGGATACCTTCATCGTTCATCCAAATTATCAAGTCGTCGCCAATGTTGTACAATCCAACTATGGGGCCACTGCTTTCAGTGCCCTTGGCATATATATAATCAGTCTTTTTCCCTAGCCAGCCTTTGGTCAGGAATATAATCTCTCCACTCATACCACCAGTAATGAATGATCGTTTACTAGCATAGTTTTCCAATAATATAATGCAGTGAACAGGACGATGGAAATCATAAGCTATTATATCATCTACATCAGTTATGGATCCAATGAGCACTGTACCATCCATTGAAGCCAGTGCGAAAAATTTCCCATCAGTGTATAGGCTTAAAACTGAAGCACGGTGAGCTTTTAAAGTACGGATAGGCTCAAAGTCAGGCTTACAAATATATATCATACCTGAATGTGTAGCAAATATAAAGTAGTTTTCCAGAAACAATGATGTTGAAATAGGGTCCTTGTGAAAAAAATTTGACGGGAGTTTGGTTATTCTCGAGTATTTGAGTCTTGGTGGTTCCGTTTCGTCTTCCGACGAAGTCAAACTGTCTGAGGAAGAGGTGGAAACAATATCGTCATCGTCATCGTCATCATCGTCGTCATTATCATCGTCGTCATTATCATCGTCGTCATTATCATCGTCGTCATCATTATTAGTTCCTTGCAAGATTGTTTCTCGATGAACCTGCTCATTTTTGGTGATTTCTAAACCTAACTCACTGGTGTCCAATTCCTGACCTCGGTTAAGCTTTGGACTTTTATTGTTTTTGGATCCACTATTATTATCATTGTCATTCCAATCCTCACCAGTTCGATTACTCAATTCTGCTTCCTCTTCATCGTGCAGCAGCAGCAACTCTACCTCTGGCTCATATCCGCTCCTTTGCTTATCAACGAAAAATTCCAGGTTTTCCTCACTCATTGGTATCAGCAAAACATTCAATGCTATAACCTTCAACTCGTTTCGTGATATCTCGCTTTGTACAAAAACAAAAACAAAAAAAAAAAATGAATTGATAAATAAAACAGAAAAGAAAACCCAGTGGTAAGACCATAAAAGTCTGGCTAAAGCTCTGTAAGAGAGACCATACGTGAGGCCGTAAGTGAGACCATACAAGAGATTTGTTTGAGAAAGGTTATAGGACTTGGCAGTGTTGATAGAATTATACAAGGAGACCCTGTAAGAGAAGCTCGAAAGAGACTTGTACGAGAAGCTTGTAGGTTGGTTGTAGGTGATTCCAAGGATATCCCACTTGAGGCTTTGCTAAATGTTAGTAGCAAGTAAAGGTGTGCTCGTACGATGTGATCCGTCGATCAAGGCGTTAATTATCCAAATAGATTCAGTTGCACCAGGCATTATTTTAGAGGAATTAGATGATACCCATTTACTTATCCAGCAGGATAAGGTTGATATTGTTAAAGACGAGTTGAATAAGTTGCTTTCTAGGAATATCTACAATCCTTTTGACGAGGAGTAAAGAGAGATGAGCCGTAAAAGGGGAATTAACCGCCTAAATAGGATCAACTCTAACTACTAAGATGTAGAATTCTGATTAGATGCACATTGAACAATAAAATATAAAGGGGTTTCCAAATTTTTCTTGAGATTTGTATGTTTTAGAAACTGTTGATAATTTGAACACTATCATTTCTTAATTGAAAGAGGAGAGGGGGGGGAGGGAAGCACGGAATTAGCACCTCAATTAGGATAAATTCTAACCTAATTGGGTATAATTACTCTGTGCTCTCTTCTTTTGTTATCACATGTATACTTTGCAACCAAAAGTTATAATTCTGGGCATTATTGATTAAACGGATATAAGCTTTTGATAAGCTTCTGATAAGCTTCTGATAGGCCTCTGGCAACAAATTGAATAACTCCGAATTTGAATAACTCCGTTCTCCACTTGTAAATGTAAAGTGGGGATCACATATGATGTATCTATAGTAACCCGCACCTTATATAAGTCAGCAGTATTGGCCTCTATTCCTTTTTCTTCCCTATACATCACCTATAATCATTTTCTATATTGACTAAAATAATAGTCTATTAGGTATAATGATTTTTGCCAGCTTTTAATTATTATCTCTTTCTCTCTCGTTATCTTGACCAGAGAGGTATGTTTGTTTTTGAGTTGGCGATTCCTCATACAAGTGCTGAATTATATGATTAATAAACCCATACAATGCATCCACCTCCATTAAATCCTCCAACTTTTCCCTTTTCTTTTCTGTCTTTTCTTTTTCCCTTTCCTTTTCTGCTATCTTGTTTCCCTTTTCTGTCTCGTTATTATAAAAATGCTCATATGTCACAAGAACCAAATTCTGAAGATTATCTATTAAAAACCGAGTCACAATTACATCATTCAAAATGAAACTAATCTTTTGATAAAATATTGGAATCTTTATTTTCACATTCTCCATAAATTGTTCAAATCCACCTGTCTTTTGATCAAGTATTGGATGGCATATTTCGTTTGAGCAATATGTAAGTAATTCGGAAACACAGTTGTTTAATTCCATTTCTATTTCTTGATTCGCGTCAATCATATTATTGATTACTTTGGGCACACTCTTTTTAGCAAGCTCAAGAAACATTCCACTTACTCCTGTATGATGAAACTGTCTTTGCTTCAAGCTGTGCCAAATATCGGAAAGCCCACTAGTAAAATCAATTGAAAAATCGTTTCTAATAGATTGTATATCAAAGTTTTTGATTTGGTTCTTGACAAGTATGAGGTTCTTCAAATATAGCAATTGTCCTTCCAATTGACTTGTTTGAGTAATCGCCAATCTCAAATACTGGTTCTTGAGGAAATCAATACAACAATGGACAATGTAATGTGCTATATCGTCAAAAACCATTGAATTGATTAGCTCGTAAATATTGGATAAAATAGTCAACGCTTTAGCCAATGGTAGATAAACATTGGGGAATAAATTCTCTTCATAATCAGTATCCAATGCACTAGTATCTTCTTTTGTATATAATTGTTGCTCCCCGCCACCATTGTTTGCAATTTCCAAATCAATTTTACTAGGCTTATAGCGCATGAGTTTATTGTCAACATAGTTTTGAATCCTAAAGATTAACCTATTTTGTGCATCGTCGAGTAAAGGCTGAAAGAGAAGACCATACTTGATTGCTTCACTATTGAGATAACTTTGAGTATCTATTGAGCTTAAGTTATCGGCATCTTCAAACTCGTAGTATTTTTGAAGCAAAGTGGTCAATTCACAAAGAAAACTTATATTGGACTCCTTGAGTACTACTAACCTTATTCCATCGTATAATGGGTCAATAGCATTTTTCAAAAAATTGTAAAACTCAGTCCATATCAGCGAATAAGCTTCTTGGCTGGTAATTGTAGGTATGATGAAAAATCTAACAAACAACGCGTACTCCTTTTCAATAATTTTCTTAAAGTATGAGATCTGATCTTGACAAATTTGTACAAGGTAAATCTTTTTATCTGATTTTTTATATAGCTCATTGATGGTTGATGTTTTATCCATATAGGATTTTAATAACCTCAATCTAATACGAAAATAATTTGATAGCACATCATTCATCAAACCGCCATATTCTTTATGTATTAGACTCCTCTTTAATAGCTCTTGAACCAACTCATTAAACTGAGACTGGTTATACTTTAAATAATTGCTAAACTCATTGTAAATCAACAATTCAATAGTCAAATCACGTGACGATTTCAAATTTCTGTCAATAGAATCACTTAAACCTTTCAACTGTTGGTTTAAATGGTTTCGAACCATAGTCAATGCTCGGGTCATACACTGTCTAAATCGGCTTTTGTATAGCTCGCAATCTTTAAAATTCGGGTGCAAGTCAATAAACTCTAGTGATGAGTCCAAGTTGCCTAGTATTTCAGTTATGAAAAACTGCCGTTGCTGGGTTAACAAACGCGTACCTGATCTCGACAAGTTTTGAGTTATCGAGTCCAAACACTCAAAATGTTTCAAATATTGATGAATCTTGTTGTAACTCCCTTCGTACTGAGTTTGTCTTTGTATTAACTCATTAGCTAAATTGTCAAACTCAAGCGTCTCTTTGGAGATCTTTTTGTATTTTGCAAGCAACTCGTCGATGCAAGCCAAGAGGTAGTCTGTTTGTCCAATGAGTTCAACAAGATGTTTTTGGTTTATGTGTAGATTACTTTGAAATCCGAGTACCGAGTCCAAATGGAATGCGTTGATATGGCTAATGTCCTGAGGTTTTAGCACATTATCAAAATTGAACGATTCGAGATACTCTTTCCAGAAAGTATGTTTCTCGTCCTCACCAAACGGGGCTAGACTAGTCCTAGGATGCGCATGCACACTGCTGTTGCTATAAGCATCATCAATATTTGTTACTGATTTGGACCTTGTTTGTCGAAACGTAGTTGGCCTAGCATCACATTCTATCTTTTCGTGAATCGAGTTGATATCGTCATTATTGATTATAGGAATATCATTGGCTATTTTCAGTACTATCGATTTACTTCTAGTCCTAGGCATATCAATTGAATAGAAACCAACTTAGCTGATAAGCAAAAACTTGTCTAATATTAAAGCTTGTCCAGTATCTCAAAGCTTGTCTAATATTAAAGCTTGTCCAGTATCTCCCAGCTTATCTAGTATCTCCCAGCTCGTCCAGTATCTCCAAGCTTATCTAGTATCACCCAGCTTATCTAGTATCACCCAGCTCGTCCAGTATCACCCAGCTTATATCGTATACCTCTAGCGCTATAGTAACTTTGTAAGGTGAAAAAAAAATTTCAAACTCGTGTTTATTTTTCAACTCGTATTTTCAAGCTAGTTTTCTTTAACTTCTTCTTCTTCTGTAACTGGGCATTAGTAGAGGGATTTGGAGAGGATTGTAGGAGAAGATGCTAGATCCGAGAGATGAGGTTGCTAACCAGGAAGATTTGCTAAGTGAGGATTCGTCAGACGAGTATAAGGATTTATGCAAGGAATTTGAGTTAAGGGCAAGAGCTATTAAAGAGAAACGGCAGAAACAGCTGAAACAGTTGCAGGACGAGTTGGTAAACCCACAATGTGAAGTACAAGCGTCGCCAGAGAAAAAAGAGCCAAAACCAGTAAATTTGGAAGCTTCAATTGATCTGTCAAATGAAGCCAAGCTGGGTTTTTTGTCTCATGCTACAAAACCATCACAATTGTTGGCAAAATTGTATGATGCCAATTTGAAGAGAGAACAAGAGAAACACGCGAGTATAGACTATGACCGGAGAAAGTTTGAGTTTGACTTTTCGGGGTATGAATACAATGCAAAAGATGTAAGCAATGATCAGTGTTCAATCTCGGGCCACTATTTAAGAAAACGATATTTGACTAAAGAGCAAGTTGAACAGATCTTAACTGAGACAGATTGCGAGTTGAAGATTGTTAAAACTGATAAACTTTTAGCCAAAGTACATAGGGAAAATAACTATGCTGAACCACTATACACCAATTGGTGTCTTGTTGGATTTGTCATCCAAAAATCAAAAGTCTTGTATACCAAGACTGATAAGAAATACATGAAATTGAAAATTGGGAATTTTCAACATAGTGTTGATTTGATTTTATTTGATGGCGCTTTTGAGCGGAATTGGAAGTTGCAGCAGGGCGACTTAATCTTGATATTGAACCCCATTATTAATAAATACGAAATAAAGGTTGATGAATTTAAATTCAAAACCGGGTTTAATTTGAAATTGGACAATACAAATGTTTGTAGTATATTGGAGATTGGCGCGATCAGAGACTTTGGTCTTTGTCAGTACTTGAAAAAAAGTGATAACCAAAGATGTAATAACGTGGTCAACACAACAAAGCAAAAGTTGTGTGATATTCATTTGGATATGAAATTTAAACAAAGTACAAGAATGGAATTGAACGGATGTGTGACTATGAGATCGCCTAGTAAAAACAACAACAAGACAAAGGTTTATATGAGTACTGGTAAGAATGGGGTTCTCAATACTACGATATCGTCAGGACACGTTAGACATTTTAACGAAGACTCACAATTTACTAGTTCAGGAATAGGGAAGATTGATACTCGCAAGTATCAAGATCCTAGAATCCTACAAGTTCAAGCGAAAAAACGCAAACTACTAAATGAGCGAGCTAATCAAGTCTTGGAGAAGAAATTATCTCAATTATCCAAAAACAATAATTCAATTGTTGATAGCTTAAATTTGAAAATCAACAAACATGAGACCCCTAGTGTTTTGGAAACCCATTTCTCGCCTTCAATGATATCTAAAATCGGATTTGATCCAACAAATATAGAAATGAACAAATCAGCACCTCAACCCAAGAAATTGCAAGAATTATATGAACTCACGTGTAAATCGTCACAAAACAAACATTTGGGAGTATCGACTGAGGATAAAAAGGCGAAATTGAAGCACTGGCAGAAGAATATTTCAAATTTGAAAAAATACGATTCTAAATTGAAAGAATCAAATTTGAGTATAAGTAGCACTATGAATGTTAGAGGTGGCTCTTTTATCAAAAAAAGAAAAACAGACAGAACGGTGGAAACGGATGATGATAATGATGATGATGATAATAATAATATTGATGATGATAATGATGATGATGATGACGATTTGGATATAATGTTTGACAATGATGAGTCAAAAGTCAAGTATGCCAAAATTTTAGGTAAATAAAGTTAAACACAATCATTGCATGGGAAAAGGATTAAAGAAAGAAAAACAAAGCATACCAACACTAAAGAGAGTATTTGACCAGCAGGGCTATTGGTTTATGTAGCTGTTTAATTTAAATATTCTATATCTACTTTTATTCTAAACCTACCCAGATATCACCGTAATAAGCGAAAAGAGCTTCTTCTTTTTCAGTAAAGTGAATCAACCTTCCTTCTTTTCTATTACTTTCTCCGTCACTTTTCAAACCACCAATACTTGTGTAAGCACACCACATATACCCTTTACAATATCGGCTATCCATAAACCATCCTCGGCTTGGTTCATCTTCCACATTGACTGCCCATACATTAAGATCCAAAGGCGGGATAACTGCACTGGAGATACGTAGTGGACTATAATAAAAAGCTTTAAAGTCTTCAGCACTCTTTAAAGACTTTAATCGTGCTTTTTGTTCAGCTTCCTTTTTAAAATCAACAATGGGAGATTTTGAGCAATAAAAGAACCCGGAATTTATCCATTCTAGGGCATTGTCTTGATCTGATATGTGCCCAGGGTGAGGGGAACATAGTTCTACTGATTGATGAGGTGTGCCGTCTGGTTTTGTTCGTTCTGTTTGTGGGGTCACCTTACCTATTGCTGCTGCATAGTTTTCATTAAATGCATAGTTTTCATTCCCGTTTATCGCTAGTGCCAACCAAAAAATCTCTTTATCACCATGGATTCTGCCATTTACTGGTTCGTTGAAATTTAACTGAAACATGAGTAATATCGCATTAAAATGGATTTTCCTATTGAGCATTACAAGACCAGACTCTTGATAATGGTATAACCCCCTCATGAAATCGTTCTCAACTGTGTGTTTTGTCATTATAGGAATATCAAACATTACAGAGTCAACTATTGATGGACCGAGTTTCTTGAAAAATACAATGTCTGATTTGGGTCTTGTTTCAAAAGTAGTACGGTCTTTATAAAAAAAAGCCCCATTCTCTTTGTATCCTGGTAAATTGAAAAAATGATCTGGATTCTGCATCATCACCGTATCAGCATCGATCAACATAAACTCATCAAATGAATTGAAAAAAGTAGCAAGAAATTTATTTGCATATCCTTTAAATCGATCTTTGAAATCTTCATGAATGACATTGTATGTGTTGACAAACCACACTTCCTGCTTGGGCAATCCTCCATCGTTTGATAAATAGTCATCTGGAAAATATTCTTTAACCTTTTCAAACGATTTGGGAAATGCTCCAATGGACTCTCTGGCTGCAGTGACTATTTTTGTTTTTGTTTCTTTTGAAATGTCTTGATAATATACAATTTGTATAGGTAGTTTATTGTTCAATGCTCGTAATAAATGTATTAGTTTAACTGTATCTTCAACATGCGAATCACCAATGGTCAACACGATACCTCTCCCATTGCACTGATTTTTGAACTTGTTCAAGAAAAATCCCAATTCGTTTGAATGTTTTGTTGGTTTAGTGGTGCGTTGTTCTTCTTGATCTGGAAGGTACTTTGACATTATTGGCGGATGGTAACTTACTTTGCTCGTGAATCTTTCATATATTGGATATTCAAAGGATAACCAAGGATATACTCTATGTTCCAAAGCAGAATGTTTAATGGACTTGAAATGAATTCTATTCTCTTCCTTTGTGAATTTGAAACTGGGAACTTTGCTCTTTTTGGAAGAGGCCCAATGTAAGCTAGTCATTAGCTTATGTTGATCATTGACAAACTCGTTGGTACGTTTAACTTGAGTCGTGTTATCACTAGTAATATAGCATTTGTTAAACACTCTCATAATCGATATCTGATCAACAATTTTTTGTTCATACTTCATAGTTTTCTTCCAAAACTCGTCATATTTAGTTCTAACAAACTGCTCAAACTCTGGAGTGTTTTCAACATCCTCATGATTCTTGTGGTTTGCACTGGCAAATTCCTTTTTATATTCTTCCAAGTGGACTCTTTTAAAATCATTGAATTTAAACTCATTCTTGTTTTCCAAGCGATTTCGTTCATTAACTTTAAGAATCCAGTTATTATCATGCATAAACAAATTTTGGAAAAACAAATCACAGCGTTGTTCAAAGTTCAAGTTGCCAAAGATGGAGTCAATATCGTGGTTTGCAAAAATCTTGTCATAAATGGAAGCATGAGCATCTACGCCCCGAATATCCTTTTCTTTCAGCTGATGTTTCTGTAATATCTTGATGGTGATGTCATCTTTAAACGATTTGTTTTCCGAGTTTGGGTCTGATTCCGATCCTGATCCCGATCCCGATCCCGATCCACTTTGACTCTTTGAACCTAGCTTATAATCAAGACCAAATTCGTCATAGATCGATAGATGGTCACTAGCAGTGTCATTGCCATAAGACGATCGCGACCTACTATGATATGTACAAAACAACCATACATTTATAGCCACTAGCCATAGCACTACACCCGAATATAAAAAAAACTTTTGCTGTGATCTCTTAACCGAGAGTTTCTCAATCATTGATGAGTTTTATACTGTATTTGTATGACAATGTTGGTGCCAAAATAAACCAATCAGAAACCAAAGGGGAAAATGTAGAAACAGGGTCTATTAAAGCGAGCGAAATCCTGATTTCAGTTGAGCAAATTCAAACTTTAACCCAAATCTAGCAAAAAAATTTAGAAAGAAAGAAAAAAAAGGCCGAAAAGAAATGTCCAAGGACAAACAAGATGAATGGAATAAGGTTATCCTACTCAACTCTTACCCTTGTTTTTATAAAAAAGTACCTTTAAAGAAAAGAAGGGCTTTTTAAAGGGTGAGGTTTTCAGCAAGATTTATTATAATCTTTGGGAGAGAAAAAAAAAAAATAAATAATAAAAACAGAGGGTTTCATTTTTGTGTAAATTTTTAGTAGTACATTGTTGATGAAATTAGAGCACCCTATCAACCAGCAACGTGTGTCTTAATAACAATAGGGAGAGGAAACAGGAGAAGAAACAGGAGAGAAAACAGGAGGTGGGAGGAAAATCAGTCGGAAGCTTGGTCCAAATGTCGAAATATAAGCGATACAATGTTATATTAGATCAGGGAAAAAAAAAAAAAGAAAAAAAAGAAATATACATTTACTGAGAAGAGCCAATTTTACTTGAGCAAAAGGTAAAGGGGGAAATCAGGGAGTATCGAAACTGTCGTGTGAGAGTAGTAGTAAAGAGTAACGAGGTTGATAAAAAGTAGTGAAGATCATAATCTTGTTTTTGATAAGGATTAGATAGAGTCTGGGTTGGTGGGTTACTACTAAAGCCGTATATATAAAAGCAAGTATTACTTTTCTTTGATAAGAAAATAATAAACCTCATTTTTATGAACCTCACTTTTATGAACCTCAATTTAAATAAACCTCATTTTAAATGAACCTCGTTTTAATGAACCTCATTTTAAAGAAGTGGGATATTTAGTCACCGATTTAGTCAACCTTTTTTTTCTTTGCTTTTCCTGCCTACCAACCAAAATGTAACTATCTATCCTCGGTATTATTAGTCTCTGCTATTACAATGTAGTTAATCGAACAATAATAGTATTTTGTTTTTTTCTTTGTGCTTGAATAGGAAGCATAAAGTTGAAAATAATAGAGAGAGGGGGAATAGAATAACACTAAATATCTTTCTTTTAAACAGGTATTCAATATTAATACATACGCAGAATCGTTTATACTTGTTACGGGGGGGAACCACATTGGATGAAAACTTTTTAATAGTTCATGTCAAGATGAAAAAGAAAAAAAAAAAAAGCAAGCTAAGATGAGCCGCTACCATGAAAGTAACTTTGTGTCAAAGAACAAAAGTGGCCTAATAAAAATAGTAACGTAAAAATAAAACTATAGGCTTTAATAGAGGTAGGTAAGAGGTAGGGGTGGAAATAAGACAGGGGAAAGCAGTAAGGCACGTATGCAAGGTCTGGGTCATGCTCACCAAAAAAAAAATTTTTTTTTTTCTATTCTGATAACTCGCAACTAGATATGTTGTCATATGTCCTTATGTAATTATTTGTCACGGTTACTGACTTTTTAATACCTGGTGTAATTTTCGACACCACAATTTAGTTGAGAAAACTTTTCTGCTTAAGTATACAAGTTTCAAACTCATAGCCTCTTTAATTTAACTGGCACACGGTTGCATGGTTTGAAGTGGTTATATATGTGTGTATGTTCATAACGCACAGTTTAGTCTTACTCTTAGTCGACAAATGTACTTCAGTCTAAAAAGAACGATTAACCAATGAATAAGCCCAACAGAAAAAATAATAATAATAAAAAATTTGCAATATCTTAGATTGTTTTTATTTTTTGTGTTTTGGTTTCTTTCTAAAGGATTTTTAAGTTTGTTGTTTATAAACGAGTTTACGCTAGGGGTGTACATAATTAAGGTCCCATTACCTTGAGCTGTAGTGATTTTGTATTTCAAGTAAATCTGTAAAGCAAACCTCTTGGTAAAAAGATAATATAGAATAAATGTAATAAAATATATGTTATAGGGGTCTTGAGAATCACTCGTAATATAAAGCTTAGTAAGCTAAACAAAAAAGTACACGGGAGGTGAAAAATGACTTGAGAGCTAGCATCTATGACCATATTAGGGATCTCAAAACAATCATAATGTGTCAATACAATACACCAACATTACACATTCAGTAGCTATACAATCGACCTGTATTTTCAAGTTATTCCCTGCCAAGTTTAACCTTGTAGCTTATTTTACTTCTATTATTTTATCGTTTTCCTTTCCCTGCACAAAAGTAAAATTATTCTTATTATCTGCAATGTAAAGCTTTACAATAGATCATATCACGTGAATAGCACATCAGTAATGACTTGTAGCTGCAGCATAAAGCCTTGCGGTTCAATCGGCTATGAGGAAAAAGGTGTTGCTCCTTTTAAATACTTTCTCCTTACTTTTGATTCGGTTTTAATTATATTTAGGTGCATTTTGTTTGAAGCACTGCTGAGAATCAGGGGAGACACTACTCTAAACAACACTATCTCGCTCTGCTCGATAGTGTTGCCTTCTACACAACTCTAAACAACACTATCTCGCTCTGCTCGATAGTGTTGCCTTCTACACTACTCTACACTACTCTACACTACTCTACACTACTCTATACTACTCTACGCTACTTTACACTACTCTACACTACTCTACACTACTCTATACTACTCTACACTACTCTACACTAAACAATACTGTCTCGCTCTGCTTGAAAATGTTGCCCTCTACACTACACTAAACAATACTATCTCGCTCTGCTCGATAGTGTTGCTACTAGTCGAGAGGTTCAACAGAGAAATAGCAGACAAAGGCTTTGTTTGTCTATATATATACTCAGTTATTACGATTGAAAGCCCACATTGTTTTGTTAGGTATGCTTGTTTCCTTCCTTAGTATACCACCTGCTAACAAATTCATAAAGTAAAATATAAGTAACATTCATTCTATATAGATTACTAAAGTCTATTTATTATAAAAGGATATACTAAATGCTTTTTCTTCTGCCACGTGATAGTGTCTCAAAGCTCCCTAGCATATCACGTGAGGTGATATATCACGTGACTGGCTAGCTGAAGAAGGGGGACAGCAACCTCGATCTCTTGATGTAGGATGAGTTGAATTTTTGCAATTTCTCAATTTGTGGCAGGAATTGGTTCCGCCCCACTATCAAGCGAAGCGAGATAGTGTCGGTGTAGTTAGTGTAGTCAGTGCTGCTCCACTCGATAGTGTCGGTGTAGTCAGTGCTGCTCCACTAGATAGTGTCGCTCTTCACAATTAATAGAGCAATAAAAGGGTAGAGGAAAACAAATTGATAATTGTATAGCGTGTATGATATGCACTTTTGCATAGTATTTAGTTGGTATATATGTAATATCTCATAAGTGTTAAAACAACAACAATTTGCAAGGACAATCGAGCCTGCATTGTAAGTACAGTGAATTGAGTGGTAAGCGACGGTACAATTCAAAGTCCATCTATATCGGATAATTGAAGTGAAGTGAAGTGAAGTGAATGAAATGAAATGAATAATTGTACAATGCAAAAGCATTTTTTTTTTTTTTTTTCAATGATGGTATAGTTAGCTAGTCATCACCTCATATAAACTTTCCCACGTACCAAAGATCCATGTCTCATCAACCTCTTCTTCCTCCATTGGTTCAATTCAAGGTAAATAAAACAAGCCAAATCGAAAATAAACAACATAACCAATGGAGTAATGATAAGGAAAAGTAGTCCGTTTGACATCTTGACTAGATATTTCTCTATTAGCATTATAATATTGATAACCTCAAATAAGTGGAATGTAAGTGATGAAAGAGAAAATGTAAGAGATGGGGTGGTTGGGAATAAGATCATAAGTGAAGTTGTTGATATGGATATAGAGTCAATCATGGTAATTATGTGAATATATGTGTAGACACTTGATGTGTAGGCTATTGGTGTGTAGGCTATTGGTGTGTGTGTGTGTGAAACTCTTATCTGTGAATTGAGAACTTTTCACTGATGTTTATATAGCAGATAAAACCTTTTTGCCCCACCAAGAAGGATAGAATGCAAGATGGAAAAAAAGCACAATTCTACCTTGTCTATATATATGGATATGTATATATACTCCTCAATATATATACCATAAGGGGGAGATGACTACAGAAAAGATTGAGCTTATCTTTGCTCAAATCTTTTATTATTTCTTATTGTGTTTTTTTTTTTATCCCTAAATTTCATTTTGTCTTAGTTTGATTGCAAGATAATGCAAAACAGGGGTAGAGGACTCTTTTGTGCTTTCTGTTTTTGAGGTCTACAAACGTAATGTCAGATTTCCTCCAAAACAGTTAAAAAGTGGCTGTACATTTACGTGCAGAGATGAATTGGTATCAATTTGCCTTGTTAAACAATTAGGGTATGTTTTGAAAATAGTTCAAAGTGAGTGAAACTTTTGAGACTTGAATGTATTTCGTGCTAAGTAAAATAATTCAATTCCGATATGCTCCTTACCACCAACCCACCTCTCATCATTTCAACTAGAGTTGCGTGTTTTTTTGTTTTTTTGCTTTCTTTTTTGCTATAGATACCTTTCCCTTAAGCCAGAAAACAAACTTTTCCATTTATGCAGAAAAGGAGGTTTTGTCTTTAAAAACGTTTGTTAATTGATTAGTGTTTTTTTTTCGTTAAAAAAAAAACCAAAAAAAAAAAACCTAGTGTGTACAAACTGACCCCTAAATGGGTCATTACCCACCGCCTTTTCCTCCCCGTAGTGTATCATCAAGCTTAATCAGGTAAACACTTGACTTAATATACCTGAAATATTAAAAAGGATTCACAACTACACAAATCACAAATCACGAAAGCTAACTAGCCAAGCTAAGGAGAGAAGCATATACCAGAATGGTCCATAGACTAAATAAAAATACAAGTTGTGTTGATGAGAAAACTCCAAAATCAAATTAACTACCAACCACCAAAGGTAAATTTCCTGGTTTAAACTTTTGCTGATAAACAAATTTTTTTTACAAAGTAACATCCTCATTAGGAAACATGCGCAGCTAAACACATTGACTTGCCACCTGGAACGAGACGAAAAGAAAAAAAAAAAAAGAAAAAAAAAAAAATTATTTGTATCCTGTTAAGCATCGCTGAATCGACTAAGGAGAAAAGAAAAAAAAAAAGAAAAATTGTATACACATCATCTTGACAACTAGACAACATAAAAAGAATGCTCGGTATATGTTGAAGGTGGTGGGGTGTATATAGAGGGGTGTATATGGAGGGGTGTATATATGTGTATGTACGCGCAGTGACAACTGTAGTGCACAATTACCTCTTTAAGCAATCAATAGTACATTTTCAGACTAGTCCCATCTGGATACATGTTATGTGTTATACGTAAACAAGTGTATGTATTATATATCATTACAGCCAAGACCCAGCTGCTTGACCAAATGAAGACATATCAAAACAATTCAAACTTATCTACATTATTTGAATATCAAAATGTAAAAAAATTGTAAATATCTGAATGTTGACTGTGGCTAGGAGTTGAAGCTTTTTTGAAGAGTTTTGTACTAACAAAGTATCGTCTAGTCTAAATGACTCACGTCACAAATCACACACATCAAACACATCAAATACTCACACACATCAAGCACATCAAACACTCACACACATCAAGCACACCGTCCTATCAGATCTTATACCACAATATTTCCCAAGCCTCCTTTACTTTTTTACACTCCTTTCCTCCTTTCCTCCTTTCCTCCTTTCTTCCTTTCCTCCTTGACTCCTTTTGCTTTCCTTCACTTGATTTCACGTTCTACATTTTTCCGCTTTCCTTTTAATTTTTTCTTTTTTCACAAGAATTTATTCCGAGCAACCACAATCAAACGTTTCATCTAATACATAAAGGTACGTGTATGTAAGTATTTACATCACCAAAGCGAACATTCACTTGAATTTTCACTTGAAAGTTCACAAACATTTTTTTCACTTGCAATTCTATTTTTGACATATTGAGGTATCATCTCTATTAAGCTGGTGAGATTAACCACATTCATATCTTGTGGGCCCCCCTTTTTCCAATCTTGACAATATAAGTCAATATTTGGCCAATTATCTGCTAATCAGCATACTATATAAATAAAACTGAAAATCTGTTTTCTTTCATCAACCCTTTTATTTTTAAACCTGTGGGAGAGTTTGCAAGATACACTTGTATATAATAAAAAAACAGCTTCCTTTTTTATTATTGTATAATTATATAACGAAAATTGCAAAATGGTTATAGAAGGGAATTGGTAAGTTGGCTTTTTTTCTCTTCATACAATGAATTGAAGCACATCCCAGCTACCCTGCAATCCAATTATTTTTCCTCAAGTCTTTGCAGTCGATATTCCCGGTGACAGCTAGTGTTGTTCCACTATCTCGCTTCGCTCGATAGTTTCGTCAACAAAGTCAATAAAAGAATCAGTCTTATCTAAAGAAGTCAACTGCAAAAAAAAAAGAAAAAAAAAAAAAAAGAAATTACTGGCGAATATTAAATTACTTGCATTAACGAAAAGAAAACAAGAAAAGATGTAGGAGTGAAAAATTTCAAGATCTCATCTCTTCTCCACACCAGTTGTTGTTCTCCCATTAAAAAAAAAAACAAAAAACAAAAAACCTAATAAATCTGTAAAACACGGAAGAGTATAGAGGAGGATGAAAAAGGGTATGTTGACTGAAGATGCTGCTGAGAAAACAACCTCTTTTTCAAATCCTAGTGCAGTAGAAAAAATAACCTCACCTTCATTTACTACTTGTTCATATAATAGTAATGATTGTGATGATGATGCGAATCCTGCTACTGCTACTTATCAGCAAAGGAAAATTTCGGTGGTTTTCCACTACCTAAATTTAGCATCTAAAAAACTAGACTCTTTAGGAGTTGAAACAAGAGGAATAGAACGGATTCAACCGTATGAGAGATCAACCAATAGAACAAAACAGTTGTTGAGTGTCATTGGTCTTTGGCTACTGGCGTGTGGTGGATTATCATCAATGTCTACTTTTTACTTGGGACCGCTTTTATTTGGTTTGGGATTGAAAAATACGTTAATTAGTGGACTTGTTGGTCATACTTTAGGCTGTTTTATTGCCGCGTATTGTTCGCTAATGGGTCCGAAATCAGGATGCAGACAAATGGTTAGTGCTCGGTATTTGTTTGGTTGGTGGTTTGTTAAATTGGTTGCTTTGGTGAGTATCATTGGTGTTATGGGATGGAGTGTGGTTAATTGCCTTGTTGGAGGGCAGATTTTGACTAGTTTGAGTAATGGCAAGATTCCTATTTGGGCAGGAATTATTTTAATTGCCGGGGTAAGTTTATGTGTTGCTATTGGTGGGATCAAACAGTTGATGCGTATTGAAGCTTTATTGAGTTTGCCTGTGAATTTTGCATTCTTGATGCTTTACATAGTGGCTTCGCAAAAGTTTAATTATTTGACTTTAGACGATGCTATTGATGACAAAGCTACCATAAGGGGGAACTGGTTGACTTTTTTCTCATTGTGCTATTCGATAACATCAACTTGGGGTTCAATTGCTTCAGATTACTATATTTTGTTTCCTGAAACTACATCAGATATTGAGATTTTCTCAATTACTTTATTGGGTATTTGGATTCCTACTACTTTTGTGGGTGTTGCTGGGATATTAATTGGAAATGTAGCTCTCACGTATAAACCATGGGGAGATGCTTATGCTTCTTTGGGTATGGGGGGATTGCTAAATGAAGCATTTAGACCATGGGGCGGTGGCGGAAAATTTTTGCTTGTTTTGATTTTCCTCTCCTTGATTTCCAATAATATCTTGAACACTTACTCAGCGGCATTTGGTGTACAATTAGCAGGAACCGGATTAGCTAAAGTGCCCAGATGGCTCTGGGCAATAGCATTGACAGCAGTGTATTTAGTATGTGCATTAGTTGGCCGGGATAAATTTGCAACGATATTGAGTAATTTTTTGCCAATGGTTGGGTACTGGATTTCAATGTATTTTATCATGTTGTTGGAAGAAAATGTTATATTCAGAACCCAGAGGTTTAGACATTTGTACGAAAAGGAATTTGAACAAGAGGATGAGGGTGCATTGGAAACTGAATCCCAATTGAAACTTAGACTACGGATCCCCTTGAAGAAAAACCAATATTATAATTGGAAGATTTGGAATGATTATTACAGATTAACTAGAGGATTAGCAGCTACAAGTGCTTTTTGTATTGGTGCTACGGGGGCAGCTGTCGGCATGGCACAAACATATTGGATTGGACCCATTGCTAGAAGAATAGGCGGCGAGTACGGAGGCGATATTGCCATGTGGTTGTGTATGGGATTTAGCGGCATATCCTACCCAATATTGAGATATTTGGAATTGAAATTTTTTAGACGATAAAAAAAAGAGAAAACAAACTTGATATGATACAATTATTGTTTTAATAGAGTGGAACGAGTATGATTGAAAAAAAGAAAAAGAAAGAGAAAGAGCCATGAGGTCTTGCGATACTTGCTTAACTGCTGACTAAGAGTATCAATTGTGGTAAGGACTTTCTTAGATGCAAGTCCTCATTGAAAGTAATCATTGCCGGTTTTTGGTTTTTGGTTCTTTGCTTTTTATTTTTATTTTTATTTTTATTTTTATTTTTATTTTTATTTTTATTTTTATTTTTATTTTTATTTTTATTTTTATTTTTTTTCCCCCCTTCTCCGATACTACCTGTCAATTTGATCCTTTTTCTAACGATGAGATGAGCACTGATTTACTTTTAACATTTAGGAACTATAGGTTTTAGATAAGGAAGTTATAGATTAGAGTATTGAAGATAAGACAATACCAACCATTTGAATCTTATACCAGTCTTTTCCCCTTTTCAATATGACGTGCAAACCACAGTTTATCAAAGAGAAATCATTTGATGAGACTGTTAGTTCAATTCTACCCTCATATTCAATGTATACTTCTACTGTAGGATTAAAAGCCACGGTTCCTGAGAATACACAAGATCAAGATTTGCCCCCGCCAAACTATGATTCTACTCAATCATATGTGACTAATTCACCAAATCTACTAACACCTACGACGACTCCTGGCTCGGTGTTGATACCTTCATCTGAGAGCCTTGGTCCTCATATAAGCAACACTCCAAGTTTTGACTTTGCACAACTAACAGAAACAGCAGTTTCACCAGCAGTTTCACCAGCATCAGCAGCATCAGCAGCACCAGCAGCAGCACCAGCACCAGCAGCGTCATTGATTGTCACTGATGAGTTCACATGGAAGGAAACTATTTTGGATAATGTGCATCGAATGCCAAATATGACTTTTGAAGACCACGTGTTGCCGAAATCTGTCACTATTGATGTGTTCTATACCAAGGATATAGGCGAGATCAACAAAGTACCAGAGATGATTGACCCGTCACTCTATGAGTACAAGCAAGGAGACTTGCTAAATGGCTACATCATCATACGCAACACTTCAAACAAGCCCATACCGTTTGAGATGTTTTACCTACTATTTGAAGGGAATTTTACCGTTGCCAATCCTGCAAATTTTGGGGATCCTGTACCTGTTAAAATACAACGCTTTTTAGAAATGTTTGATTTTTATGGAAGCTGGAACGATGCACATATTAACCGATTGGTTACAGAAACTGAGGATATTATCTATGGAGGAGACGACGACCCAACGGACCCCCTTGATGGGTCGCATTTATACTTTGTACCCAATAAGCAGATTCTTCCCAACCGAACTTACAAACGGTTTTTTTCATTTCGAATTCCTAATAACTTGCTAGATTCTGTTTGCAATGAACACAATTTATCCAAACATGTTGAACTACCACCAACGATTGGATTACCACGATTTGAAACGGCTCATTTTCCTGAGAGGGAAAAAACAAAGATTCGTGATTTGGGGATATTGCATACTTCTGTATCGTATGGAGTGATGGCAAGATTCATTGGTAAAAAGTCTACATGGGAGAAAAGATTTGGTAAATTTGAAACACCAAAACAGAAAGATAATGCCAAATTGGTTAATTCAAAAGGAGACGAGTATATCATATTAAAAGAATTGACTAATTACGTGCGGGTTGTTGCTGAGACAAAGATACCTACTCAGAATGAGAAACTAATGAAGGAGGCTGAGAATAAGTTGCTATATGAAAATTTGGTGAAACAAATACAGAATAAGATAGACCTTGGCAATAACATGATCAAGGCTGTTAATGAACATCGGCAAATTGATTGCGTGTTGCAACTGAATGAAATAATCAGCCAACAGGATATAGATGCAGCAAAGACTAGACAACACTATTTCAAACGAGACATTGACTCTATAAGGGATATCAAGACGAATTTGACAAAGATTGAGTACTATCATATATTTATACAATTAGTTAAAAAAACATTAACATCTGGCACCAAAAATGTAGGAGTATTACTGGTTAGAACTCCGAAACGTAAATACCACATCAATTACATTCCGCCAACGAGGTTTAGAGATGCACCAATAAAGTCAGCACCAAGCTGGGTACTTGATATACCTGTTGATTTTTCAGTAGCTAATACAAGAGCAATAGAAAAATTGAAACTCCCTCAGATTAAAAGTATTAGTGCCGAATTAGTCGTGCACACAATCAAATCAATGAACAAACCTATAGCCCTTGAGTTGAACCATGATTTGGTTTATAACAAGTGTCAAAATAATTGTAAGGAAAGTGTCGATAAGGACACTTTTACGAATAATATAATTAGACCATTTACAGAGCAAGCAATAGAGATTAACCATATACTAAAGACATTGGGCGTTGATAAGTTCAAAGTTGAAAAACAATTGATTGATGATTTGAAATCCATCTGTCAATTAAAGGAAAAGACAATGAATTTGATGATTAACGAGTTGAAAGTGGATGGTGAAATATATAATCCTAAGAACCCAAACCACCAGCTCAATTGGTCAGTAAACGAGAATAATGCAGTAGCTTCACTAAACGAGCATAATGCATCAGCTTCATTAAACTTGACGGTAAATTTACAAAGAATGTCAATGAAAGGTATACCATTGGGTGTCGACAAGTTGAAATCGTACGATTTAGTAAATCTTGTTCCGAATTTCCAATCTTGTTACATTGCCAGGTTCTACCATATTTGCTTAAAGTTTTCTTTGGGGAACGGTGTTTGTGCGAGAATAAAAGTCCCAGTAGTAATAGATAAAATAGATAGAGAATAATAACATGTAATGCAAAGGAGAATATTTTGGAGAGAGTGCGTGTGTGGGGGGAGAAAAAAAAATCACAACACTATCGAGCAGAGCAGGATAGTGTCTCTCGATAGTGGAGCAACACTCAGTAGCTTGCTACAACACTATCGAGCAGAGCGAGATAGTGTCTGCTCAGTAGCTTGTTACAACACTATCTCGCTTTGCTCGAAAGTGTCTCTCGAAAGTGTCTCTTGATAGTGTCTCTCGATAGTGGAGCAAGACTCGTTAGCTTGTTACAACACTATCTCGCTCTGCTCGATAGTGTTGCTCGATAGTGTTGCTCGATAGTGTCACCCGACAGTGTCTGCTCAATAGTGTGTACAAAAAAAAATGAAAAAGGTATCTCCGTAGATTTTGCGACTTAAGGGGTAAGAAAAAAAACGGTAATGCTGCATTACCCCCTAAGCGGACTTAACATACGTTGTGGTACAAAGTAACAAATATTGAAAAGTAAGACAAATCCAACTCATATGTTACTACAGTGGAAGGATGCGGAAAGCAGAGATGGGGGGGGGGGGGGGGGAAGGGGGAGAGCGGGTAGGGTTTTCTTTTCTCTTTTCCTAGCACGGTTTTGGAAACGTCCGTATTATCAGGCTTTCAGCCACGTCTGTATCACACGGCTTTCATCTATTGGTTCGTTTTTGGCTTTTTTTTTTCATCGTTTTTTTTTAGTGACTATTTCAATTTGATGAATTAGTCATCAGTCTAAAAGCTGGTTTTAGTTTATAAATATTGGGGTAAGAAGCTCGTAAAACATGTTATGGTAAGCCATAAGGAATTACTGCTCTAGATCTTGCCCTTGCTCTTATTTGTAAAAGGTTTTCCAGACCAAAAAACCAGTTTATTTTTTTTTTTTTATTAGTATTGTACTTTTGTTAAGTCATGGATGAGTTGAGTAATGACAGAACAAAGTCCTTTGAAGAGACTTTGGGTACTATATTACCTTCATATTCAATGTACACTTCAACTATAGGGATGGGAGTTAACGTGCCTCAAAGTTTAGAGTCTCGAGATTTACCACCTCCGCCCGATTATCTAGATTCAAGATCTGAGAGTGAACCTAGTATATATTCAGGAGGTAATACGGCTACAGTGGTCTCTTCTTCCACCTCAACATTGTCTGGTAATGGTAGGAATGGTGGTGGTACAAATAGCGCTATGATTGTTGCTGATGAAAGTACCAATACATGGGAGGAGACAATCTTGGACAATGTTCATCAAATACCCAACATGACTTTTGAAGACCATGAAATCTCCAAAGCTGTTCAAATCGAGATCTATTACACAAAGGATATAGGCGAGATCAACAAAGTACCAGAGATGATTGACCCGTCACTCTATGAGTACAAGCAAGGAGACTTGCTAAATGGCTACATCATCATACGCAACACTTCAAACAAGCCCATACCGTTTGAGATGTTTTACCTACTGTTTGAAGGAAACTATATGATTGCAAATCAACAACATCATACCGATCGTGTACCCGTTAAGATTAACAAATTCTTGGAAATGTTTGACTTTTCGGGAAGTTGGAACGACGCTCATATCAATCGGCTTGTAAATGAGTTTGAAAATCCTTATCAATGCTGTAGGCAAAACCATATTGATCCTTTGGATGGGTGCTACTTATATTTTGGACTCAAGCGCGAAATACTTCCAGAAAGAGTATACAAGCGGTTTTTTTCATTCAAGATTCCTGGTAATTTACTAGACTCTCAATGCGATGAGCATAACTTATCTAGCCACTTGGAGTTACCACCGACTATTGGGTTGTCGAGGTGGGAAATAGCGCATTTTCCCGAGCGGGAGAAGAACAAGATTTTTGATTTTTCAATAATTGATACGTCGATAAGTTATGGAGTTATGGCTAGATTTATAGGTAGGAAATCTACTTGGGAAAAGGATTTTGGAAAACTCGAACCTTCAAGAGAACGATGTAATGCCAAATTGGTCAATTCAAAGGGAGATGAGTATATTATATTGAAAGAATTAACAAACTATGTTAGAGTTATACCTAAAACCAAGACTTTAACTGAGAGCGAAAAGTTGATGAAGAAAGTAGAGACTAAACTATTATTTGAAAATTTACAAAACAGAATAAATGAAAAGATTGATGTTGCAAATAGGATGCTCAAGTCAATTGAGGAGAATAATTTTGAATCTATTACAAATCTCAGTTTTGAGTTATCACAGCAGGAATTGGAAACTGCAAAGTTGAAACAACAATATAAAAGGGAAGCTTGTTCTTCAATCATTGATATGAAGATGAATTTAAAGAAAAAGGAGAATTACCAAGTTTGTTTGCCAGTTGTCAAGAGGTCATTTACAGGTATCAATAAACATTTGGGCGTTTTGCGAATCACAACCCCTAAACAGGAACACCATGTTTGTTACATTCCACCACAGAGATTTTGTACTACTGCAATTGATAAGTCACTTCCTAGTTGGCAATTGAGTTTCCCAGTGCACTTGTCAATGGAAGGTGTCGCAACCTCAAATGATAAGCCATTCAAGCCTCCAACAATAAAGGACATACAAGTCGAACTTGCAGTCCATACGATGAGATCAATGACACACTCATTAGCAGTAGAATTTGATCATGACTCAATATACAACAAGAAACCCAACAATACAAAACCATTTCTCGATACTGATACTTTTAAACAAAATGTTATAAAGCCTTTTCAGGGACAGTCTACTGAACTATACCACCTGCTCAAAACTCTTGGATCTGGCAATTTCAAGATTGAAAAACAGCTAGTACAAGATTTAAAAGCAATTTGTCACTTGGAGGAAAAATCAATAAACTTGGTAGTTGAAGAGTTGAAAGTGAATGGGAAAAAGTATACCTCAAAAGTTGGGCTATTTTGGTCTATTACTCCAACAAGTGAGACTCGCAACACTTTAGTCACAGCAACTACATCGTTTGATTTATCAATAGATTTGACTAAATTGTCACTAAAGGGGCTGCTGCCTTCCTCGGTTCCATCATATAAGAGGTTTAACTTGGTGCCTTCTTTTCAGTCTTGTTTTATGGCACGATTCTATTTTTTAACGTTGACAATTACATTATCCCAAAATGACTGCGCCAGGATTAAAATACCTGTAATCATAGAAAAGCAATAGAAAGAAGAGGAAAGTAGATTCAACTTCTCATTGTAGCAAGCCAAACTGTGGTTTTGTGGTTTCCCTACCCCCTTAAATTCTCTCTTCTATTAATAAGTGGCTATATTTATTAACACACGACCCATTCTACTTTGAAAGAGGACCCTGTGGTCATTAAGTTGCAAAATCTGACCTTGAAACACACCATTGGGTAGAAAAAGTATACTCTACACTTTAGCATGAGTATGTGAAGAGTGTCTTGAGGTGTTAAAATACCACAGTTTTTGTTCACATACATTTCATTCAAAAGAAAGAGAGAGAGAGAAAAGAAAGGGTATCTAGAATATAAATATAACTTTGCTATTGTAAAGTTGCTCCAATGGCCAGGAATTTTGTGAAATTGACCCTTTGTATTAAAACATCTTAAAAAATAAACTTTTTTATGGGGTGAAAAGATTTTCAAGAAGGTCGGGTGATGTATATGGTGATATACGAAGGTAAAAGTTGATCACTGTGAAAGATCAACAGCCCTCTCTAAAAAAATCAATACACGAGAAGGTTAACAAACAGTTTTGTGTTCTTCACCCCCTCCTCTTCTCTCTCACCCCCTTCACGGTCAAATTGCCACACTTGACGGTTTATTTTGAAATTTCTAGTTCATGAGCTATGACATAATAAGGTGCAAAAGAACGAAAGCATTATTCATCATTTTTTTGGCACCCAAATTGAATAGCAATTATAATGACAGCTTCCAACTAAACCCCCTCCTCCTATACTTCCCCCCCCTTTTTTTTTTCTCACCCCAACCTATATGATGATGAATTTCATCTACATATTTTGATCAGAGCAAACTAGGTTCTTTAATAACAAACTTATGCATATGTGGGCCTCAATTGCTGAATATTGCAAATAGAAACCTCTCTTATATTTTACATAGTGTGTATTGTATTTTATCCTATTTTTTTTTTGCACCCAATATATTGATCACATAGATAAAGTATAAATAGACCATCAATTGTCCATCCATGAAGAGAGTTTGATCTTGATCGTACTATTAAATAACATTATAACATACTTACTACTACTACAACAACAACAACAACAATGGGCTTAACTGATAAATTAAAGGGTCTCAAGAAAGACGACTATGATAATGCTAATGAGCAAGCAGGAAAGTATACTGGCAAAGATGGTCAAAAAGGTACTGATGTAGCTCAAGAGAAGTATAAAGAATATACCAATGGTAAAGGATCAAATACCGGTGCCGCTAATGCTGCTGATTTAGGTGCTGCTAGTGCAGGCGCTGGCGCTGGTGCAGGTGCAGGTGCCGGTTACGGTAATCAATCAGGTACTTCTACAGGTTACGGTAACCAATCAGGTACTTCTACTGGTTATGGTAACCAATCAGGTACTTCTACTGGTTATGGTAACCAATCAGGTGCTACTGGTTCTTACCCAGAACAAGCTGGATCAGGTGCTTATGGTAAACAATCGGCTTCAACTGGTGCTTATGGTAATCAACCTTCGTCTACTTACAACAATACTTCTTCTACCGGCCATAGCCACCATGGTCATCATGGTCACCACCAATCCTCAGGTCACTCTGGTACCGGTGCTACTGCCGTCACTGGATCTGCAGGTGCTGCTGCATATGGAAACAATAGCAGCTCTTCAGGAGCATATGGTACATCAGGATCAAATGAGTATGTAGATGCTTCAAAGAAGACATCATCTACAACATCCGCGGGCGGTGCCAGCAATGCAGCATACGGTCACGAAACCAGTAATACATCAAAAACGGGTTATGGCTCAAATACAGGTTATGGCTCAAACACAGGTCATAGTTCAAACGCTGCAAATACAGGACACGGATCAGGTTCATCTGGCCACAGTTTTAAAACTGGTAACGATTCGTTAGATCACAAAATTGCTCAATTGCCCGAACATTTGCAAAAAGAAGCCTACAATGAATTTAATAAAGGTTACGAACACGCCAAAGCTCAGTATAACAAGTCCTAGATGCATTTGTAAAAATATAGATGCACGAGGTAAAAGGGAAAGAGTCTGTTTGTATTGTGTTTAGATAAAAAAATTAAAAGTTTCAAATTTGCCATAAAAAAACCACCAATAGACATTGCTCTACTCTTCTCAATTGGCTTTTTTTATTAGGATTTCATACCTACTTGCTATTTACATCGTTTTATTGCTCTTTGAGAAGCTCTGTTGTCACCTCTTCAAGACCTCGTACTATATTTTCCTCTATAAATGCTTCAGCTTTCTCCTTCCCGTGATAAAAGTTTACTGCACCGATTAAACTATAAAGTAACTGCGCGCTAACTTTCAAAGCACCACTCGATTCAAACGATAAGCTCGGATTCCTCAGCTTCCAAAACATTACCTTATTAAGACCTTTTAAGTTAGCAAAGTAACCAGTTGACGCACGTCCGCATAGTTCTCTTGACCATAAGCTCCCCAATGACGATAAATTCTTATTATTAATTTCCAATTCCTTTTCATCATTGTTGTTGGTGGTTGTATTGTTTATGACGTATTTGGCTAGGCTCAAGTTAAGGAGTTTTGATCCCATAGCTGCAAGCTTCTCGTTATAAGGTTTTATACCATTACCGAATGATTTGTGCGTTATTACTTGCAACGCTACTTCGTCGGGCACTTGATAATTGGGCCCAAGATAGGATTTAATATGACTTATATTGCCTTCATTTAGCGCATACTCTTGGCCTTCAGAGTTTGTAAATGCCACTGCCGGATCTCTTTTCAACCCTTCCACTCTATTACCCTTGTTCAAGTAAAGGTGTCTAACAAATACGCTCGATCTAACCATACACTGCAAAGTAGTGATTCCACCTGATTGCAGTTTGGAAAACAGACAATTGCCCGTTTGCATTACTAACCGTATACTCATTTTCTTCTCTCTCTTCCTCTCTCTTTAAAAATCTAAAAATTAACAGCTTAGACTAACCTGCTATCACTTCTCACCCCTTTCCAATTCAAAATCTCATCAAACCAAAGACTTGAAAAGAAATAGCCTTCACCATCAAAAGTGAAAAATTTGATAAATTTTGTATGGTTCTTTTTTCTTTTTTCTCGTTCTTCTCTTGGTAGCGTTTGCGCTACCAAGTGTCTCATCTTAGAAGGATCAAAGAAATTGCAATCTTCTACAAAGAGATGAGATGAGATGAGATGAGATGACTTTCCCCCCCCCCCTATATCTCTCGTCTCATTTTATTTGACTTGTGACTAGTAGAGATTAGAGATTAGACATGGATATCTTTCGAATTCTAAGTAGAGGTGCATCAGTTAACAAGAAAGAAAGATTTAGTGTCGGTGGTTGTGTATCAGACAAGTCTCATGGGCAAACCAAGAAACAGGAATCGTTAATTCAAGAAGTTGAAAAGGAAACTGATTTCTTCCATACAAGGAACCATTCCAAAGTGGCAACAAAGTTGGATGATATCAAAAACGACGTAGCTAAAAATGACAAGGAAAATGTTGAAAAAATTGAAGAAGAAGAAGGAGAAGAAGAAGAAGCTCCCGAATGGGTTTTGGAACTAAAGGATGAGGAGGATGCACGCAAGTTTAGGAATTTGCACAAATCAAAAGTTACTGGGGACGAGATCCCAATTCCCATTGCATCCTTCCAGGATATGGTAAAGAGATTCCATATTGATAAACGAGTATTATCGAATCTACTTGATGCAGACTTTATTGAGCCCACACCCATTCAATGTGAATCAGTGCCGATTACTTTAGCTAATAGAGACCTTATAGCATGTGCGCCTACCGGTTCAGGTAAAACTTTAGCCTTTTTGATCCCCTTGGTCCAACACTTGGTTCAAAAGCAAGTTTCAAAAGACTACGGTGTGCGTGGATTGATTATTTCTCCCACTAATGAGTTGGCGGTACAAATTTTTCTACAATTGGAAATCTTGTCCAAGGGCAAGAAATTGAATATTGCCATACTATCTAAACAGCTAGCAGGTAAAATAAACAACGACATTATTAAAGCGTCAAAATACGATATAATAGTATCGACGCCGCTTCGTTTGATTGATCTTGTTAAGGCAAACAAAATCAATCTTTCAAGAGTTGAGCAATTGGTGATTGATGAAGCAGATAAGCTATTTGACCAAGGATTTGCCGAACAAACGGATGAGATTTTGGCCCACTGCACAAACACCCGGATACGGAAATCTATGTTTTCGGCAACGATACCTTCTAGTGTTGAGGAAATGGCACATTCAATAATGAAAGATCCCATCAGAGTTATTATCGGCCACAAGGAAGCAGCAAGTAATACCATCGACCAGAAACTAGTGTTTACCGGTAATGAAGAGGGTAAGCTTTTGGCTATACGACAGATGATACAAAATGGCCAATTCAAACCACCAGTGATTATTTTCTTACAATCAATCACCAGAGCTAAAGCTTTGTTCCATGAGTTGGTATACGATAAGCTCAATGTAGATGTAATACACGCTGAGAGAACTCCAAAGCAAAGAGAAGAGGTTATAAAGCGATTCAAAAATGGAGATATATGGGTGCTCATAACCACTGATGTCTTGGCCAGAGGTGTTGATTTCAGAGGCGTTAATATGGTTATAAACTATGACGTTCCTCAGAGTGCTCAAGCTTATGTGCATAGAATTGGAAGAACCGGAAGAGCAGGCAGAAAAGGTGAAGCTGTTACATTTTTCACCAAAGAAGATGACAAGGCAGTGAAACCAATTGTTAACGTTATGAAACAATCAGGATGTGAAAAGGGCCTCAGCAAATGGATGGACGATTTGGGAAAATTGTCAAAGAAGGAAAAAAAGGCAATAAAGACGCATGAAATTGAGAGAAAGAGAATCAGTACAGTTCCAAAAGTGATAAAGCAAAAGAGGAAACAAAAAAGAGAAATGATCGAAGCCTCAAAGAGGAGGAAAGTAGAATAAGCTTCCGAATGTGCACAATGAGCTTCAATTGCACTCTTTGCAATCAAGAACCAATTTGTTTGAATATTTTCATTCTAATATTATACATGCATCTCTTACTCCTCTTCTCTCTGCAACCACCTCCACCTCACCTTAATGAGGTTTCCTCCACCTCACCTCAATGAGGTTTCCTCCTCCTCACCTCAATGAGGTTTCCTCCTCCTCAACTTAATGATGTTCGTTTCCTACTTTTGGATACCCAAAAAGCTGTCTTCTTCCAATAATCTCACCAACAGTGAAAAACCCAGCTATTTGTATACCATAAGCACTATATTGAACCGCAGTTTTGGCATCTGGCCTAAAGTCCTTGGCCTTTTGTAAAAATTTCTGTTGTTCTTGTGGCGATTTAAGAAACTTGAAGGCATTCTGATAAACGGCTTCAAACTGTTTAACAGTTGGTGGAGCAAAACCTTCTTTTTCAATAACAATCTTTGACAAGTCTGCTCCAACTTTTGTCCAATAAATTGCACAGTTAACTAACTCGCCTGATTTCGTTATTAACGAGCTTACCATTCCGGTAGCTTTCGATACTATAGCTGACATGACCTTAAGATCTCCGACTCTTGTTCTCTCAGTACAAAATAAAATTTAAAAAGAGAAAAATGGATCTAACCAAGGTGAAAAATTTCCCTACTGTATATCTCTACTAAGTTTTTTTTTTCACCTTTTTTTACAGCCAGCGTTAACCAATGAAAATTGTGACGTTGACTTCCAAATTGGGAAGTAAGGTTAAGGGATGTGCGAGCAGTGCCAATGAAAGTTGTGATGTTGACTTCACACACGGGTTTTGTTGCATCCTAATGTCCCTCCTCTCTTCTCTACTACTCCACTAGCTCGCTTCGCCCCCTAGTGTCTCCTCTCCCTAGTGTCTCCTCTCCCTAGTGTCTCTTCTCTCTTCTCTACTGCTCCACTAGTTCGCTTCGCTCATTAGTGTCGTCTCTAGTCCCTAGAGATGTAAGAATAATACCAAACTAAAAGAGCTACCAAAGAACAAATTCGAGCAGAGTAAGATATTATTGTAACAAGCTACTAACCTACAAAGTGTTGCCCCCCTATCTCGCTCTGCTCTATAGTGGGCAGCTAGTCAGCGTTGCTCGATAGTGGATTATATTTGTACACTAAACCTATCAGGCCAAATAACTGGAGCTAACAAACTCCAGCCGTATAAAAGAAAACATACCCAGGAGCTAACGATTTTAACCCAACTTGCAAAATAAGTTCTCCCAACGGGCACAAAGTCACCGTAATCGTCCTGCTTAACATTGATTGTCAATAATGTTGCCACATACTGTGTAGCTAAAAAAAATATTATATGGAATAGCGAATAGTTGTATTGAACACTTGTTTTTTCTTCGTCGTCATTGTCCCCATCGTCTTCGTACAAGTCCTGTTGATTTAGTGCGCTTTCAGGAAGCGACCCTTCCTGCACTGCTTGCTTAATAGCTTGATATCTCATCTCGTTTCGAACAGTCGGTTCAACAGAGCCTGTTGTTACATTACTACCCGTGAGTTCTTGTGCTTGTGCTCTCTCTGAGCTAAATGCCGAGTTGGCAGCCGCCCTAGTTGTAGTATACGCAATGGCAATGAATGTAAAGAACGCACCCAAAATCACACTTGCGGTTCTTGTTCCCTTAGACCTTATTAGCGGGTTGCAAAACTTGTCGTCGGGTTCTGAAGATACAGCGCTCATTACCAAATAGGTGCAATAAAACACCACCATCGACGATTGCGCTAATCCAGCATGAGGATTATACTCTTGAACAGTATTGTGAATGGATAATCCCGATATGATTACAGCAAATACCAAATTCAAACTAATTGCTGTCTTGTTCATTGAACAACCACTTCCAGCAAAAAACCAGTACATAACGATGGTTAAAACCAAACTAGTAACATACATGGTCAAAGTGCCTCCAATCAACAATTTTTTCCAAAACCCCGCGTCTCCCTCCCCAGTCAACTCTTGCATCTCTATCTTCTCCAAGCATTTCTCGGCCCAAGCATGTGCAAAGTCAACCAATAATATCAAGCCTATGCCCAAAAATATCGTGGAAAAGATAATGGCAATATGGTTCCCATAAAAGACAAAAAACTCATCTGGAATAAGGATAAAATTGATAATCACAAAGGTCAACCACGCAAAGATTTTCATCTTCCAGCAACCATTCTGAATAATAGCTCGAGGATTGCTTGTTGACTTGACATCAACTAGTAATCCAGCTAGTATTAGATGTAATGAGCCAAGAGCAAAATTGATTCTGTGCACCGAGGTAAAGCTTATACACTGGCTTCCATCTGGACCACACTTGTTATTTATAAATCCAAAAGTTGCTTTCTCGAGTTTGTGTATAATAAATGGTGATAGCGCTATCCATGACAATAGCGAGTTGACTAGCAATATTATAGCATATGTAATTCTAGTCATTATAGATGACCTGAATGTGCCTCCAATAGAGGTACAAAAAGCAGAACACGCAGCAGCCCCAAAACACGACGCAAGCGACGTCACTGGCATCAAGGGTAAAGATATCACACCACCCATTTCAGCTAACCCTCGTTTCCTTTAATATAACCTTCCTTCTTATCTTTTTATATATATATATATATATACTAATTTGCCCTATATTCTATTTTCTTTTTTCTCTCCTTTCTCACTTTGCTCTCTCTTGATATTACAAGCTACCAAAGTCATCGGGATAAAAGTTGAAAAGAGGAGTGGGTTTATCGTTATCATAGATGTCGTTTAGGAGACGAGGAGAGATTGTTGAAGGGGGCCGTACTGATGGTTATTCAATAGCGAGCAGAGCTTCTGCGCAACTTTCTGGGAGACAAACGGGCACAGCTTCTGCACAACTTTCTGGGAGACAAACGGGCACAGCTTCTGCACAAACGGGCCTTCCCTTACGAGGTGCCTTGGCAAAGCCACCAGCAAGAGGAGTTATACCACCTCAAAGGCATGAAAATGACTCGATTTCGGCTGCTGCGATGAACCCCGGGATACGACCGTCATTGATTACTTCTCAATCGACGACATCTACGGGGTGCTTAGATTTAGATAAAATATTGTTACATCAAGGTTTGCCCTTGGGCCATTCCTTGCTTATCGAGGAGTCAGGAACCACTGATTTTGCTTCGGTATTGCTTCGCGGATTTGCTTCTCAGGGAATCATGCATAATAGAAGTGTTTCCCATGAGCACAACCAGAACCAGCACCCGCACCAGCACCCGCACCCGCACCCGCACCCGCACCAGCACCAGCACCAGCACCAGCACCATTATTCTCATGTCATTGTTTTGGGTATGTCGTCATCATGGGCAAACGACTTACCGGGAGTGTACAAGGGCACTTCCAAAGAACAGAAAAAGGCCAAAATTGCCGAAAACGAGTCGAAAGTGAGTGTTTCAAATATAGCGTTTGGTTCTAGTGGTAATAGAAATGACTCGAAAATGAAAATTGCCTGGAGATACGGGCTTAACAAGAAAGACGAGGGAGAAGAAGATAGTAATAGTAATAGTAAAAAGGGCGGGAGAAATAAAGGTAGATACGAGAATTATAGCCATCAATTTGATATTACTCAAAGATTGACACCCGGTCCAACTCCACAGGATATCTCGTTTGTTCCATTGACGCACACCGTTAATGGGGTCATTAGTGCACTTGGTAGTATAATTCAAGCGCAGTTGAAATCTAATCGATCCAAAGTGATAAGGCTTGTGATACCTGGGTTTTTGAATCCATCTATATACCCGCGGCTGTTTAGCGAGCCTACATTTGTGTTTCCCTTTGTTCATTCACTTCGATCCTTGTTGCGGCAGTTTGAAAGTAATCTCGTTTTAATTAGCTCGCTCGCACTAGATTTGTACCCAAGAAGTAGCAATCTCACCGGAGTGTTGGAATCCTTGTTTGACGCGCTGATACATCTCCAGCCATTCAATCAAGAAATGAGTGCAATGATTGAAAGGACCTACAAAAACGAGCCATCCAAGATACAACAGGGTCTAGTAAATATTGTAAAAATACCAGTTCTATCTGAGAAGGGTTTAATGATGGTTCATGATGGAGAATATGCGTTTAAGAATGATAAAAAGAGATTCAAAATCGAACCTTGGAGTATACCAGTGGAAGACGACTCAAAGGAGACAAATTCTATATTAGAAGGAGCTCAAACTAAAAAAGATATCGATTTTTAATGGTCAAGCTGTGGACTATTGAAGAGAGCGAGATGAGGCTATCGAGCAAAGCGAGATAGTCTGTATTTACTCTATCTTCTCTCATAGACTATTGAGCAGAGCGCGATAGTCTATATCTAGTACCTCTTCTCTCTAAAACTATCCCGCTATGGTCGATAGTCTGTATTTACTCTATCTTCTTTCTAGACTATCTCGCTATGCTCGATAGTCCGTATCTACTCTCTCTTCTCTCTATAGACTATCTCGCTATGCTCGATAGTCTATTCCACGTGACTTGATAATAAAAATTGCCTGGTTCAATTTTGGTTGCAAAAATTGTTGACAACTCTTTATACCCACCAGGAAAGGTATCACTACAATGACCACTATAGAGCAGATCCAATCGATTGATTTGTTGCAAGATCAGGGTATTAATGCTAGTGACATCACGAAACTACGTGGTGCCGGTATTTGCTCGATTGCTGTATGTAAATAAACCTATATAGTTTTTATAGACCCAACACTATCTCGCTCTGCTCGATAGTGTCAATGAGAATGAGCTCTTTTTTTACTAATCTCTTTGGATACTAGTCAGTTTTGTCAACTACAAGAAGAAACCTTGTCAAAATCAAAGGTTTAAGCGAAGTCAAGGTGGAAAAGATCAAAGAAGCTGCTGGCAAGATTAAGGTAAGGTAAAAACTATTATAACAAGGTTTATATAACATTTAGTTACTAACAAGTTTATTCTTTTCTAGACTACTGGATTCATTTCGGCAAGTATTGTTGCAGAGCAACGACAGAATGTTTTCACAGTTACCACGGGTTCAAAGCAGCTTGATAGTATATTAGGAGGTGGTATTCCTTCTATGAGCATAACTGAGGTATTTGGTGAGTTCAGATGTGGCAAGACCCAGTTGTGTCATACTTTGTGCGTTACTGCACAGTTGCCCAAGGATCTTGGCGGAGGAGAAGGTCGAGTGGCGTATATCGATACCGAGGGCACTTTCAGACCAGAAAGAATCAAGTCCATTGCCGAGAGATTTGAAGTTGATCCCGATAGTTGCCTTGAAAATATTTCTTATGCTAGAGCATTGAATAGTGAACACCAAATCGAACTTGTCGAACAGCTAGGCAACGAGTTGGCAGAAGGTACATACAGCCTATTGATTGTCGATTCCATCTTGGCATGCTTTAGAGTAGATTATGCTGGAAGAGGAGAATTAAACGAAAGGCAACAAAAATTGAATCAGCATTTGAGTTACTTGACAAGAGTCGCTGAGGACTATAATGTTGCTGTGTTTTTAACTAATCAGGTCCAGAGCGACCCCGGTGCCAGTAGTTTATTTGCTGCAGCCGATGGAAGAAAACCTGTTGGTGGCCATGTTTTAGCTCACGCGTCTGCTACTAGAATTTTGTTGAGAAAGGGCCGTGGAGAAGAAAGAGTAGCGAAATTACAAGATAGTCCAAATATGCCAGAGAGGGAGTGCATTTATGTCATCAGCGAGGGAGGCATTAAAGATAGTGAATAGGAGGCAAAAAAAAAAAAAAAACTAACAAACCTTTATCATGAAGGAAGGGAGCAGCAAGAAAGAAAAGCTAATTACCAATATTTATCACATTAATCCCGATTAGGAAATCAAATTGAAATGCGACGCGTTATGCCAATTTTTTTTTTTTTTTCCTTTTTTTTTTTGTTCATAAAAAGATTCCCTACCAGGATGATATATGGAGTTTGTCTTTAAACCCTGTTTTTTTTTTTTTTTTTTCATTTTTCCCATTGATTTTCCATTTATTTCTTTCCCTAGGAACTGAATTGACTTTTCAATCAACTTTGTTAAAACTAGTTTATTCCCAAGATGTCATCATCACCTCCCCCAAATAGCAGTAATAATGGATTGGGAGACTCGTTAGATCGAAATTCCGAGTCGATTTCTCAAAGTCAACAGCAATCAGTTGTTCCTTCATCACCCTTATTTTTCAATTCTTCATCACAACCGGGATCAGATATTGGCAATTCGCAGCAGCAGCAGCAACAACAACAAGAAAGAAGAAGAAATGATATTTCTTCACCATTGCATTTTTCGTCATCTGTACATCATACTTCTGACTTTGGCAGCAATTTCGGCTCACAAAGAGCCAACAGAGCGCGAGACGTGGATAGGGCAATGAGAGGACGTCAAAGGAGAAGTGATTTGAACGATAGTGCGTCGTCTCCTCTGCGTAGAATATTTGCGCATAGATCTAATCAGCCGGATTTGATGTCGAGTTCATCTATTGGGCATCATGAATTAGGATCGGAACAAGAATCCGACGAACCTGTAAGAGTTATTTGGGGTACCAATGTATCAATTCAGGAATGTTCAAACAAGTTTAGGGATTTCTTATTGAGCTACAAATACAAGTACAGAAAGGAAATGGATGGCAAGGACATTGAGCCAGAAGACCACGAACTTTACTACCAATCAAAATTGAAAACAATTCGGGAGTTGGGATTAACCAATCTCAACTTGGATGCTAAGAATTTGTTGAGTTATCCATCTACGAGAAAGTTGTACTACCAATTAATTAATTATCCTCAGGAGATTATTCCTATAATGGACCATACCATTAAGGATTGCTTGATACAAATAGTTAATGACGATGCTGAGAGCGAGCCAGGGGCAACTCTTGATCAGATTGAAACAAATATATATACTATCCGCCCGTATAACATCAATTTGGTTGAGAAAGGAATGAGAGAGTTGAACCCAAACGATATTGATAAATTGGTCAGTGTTAAGGGGTTGACGCTACGATCCACTTCAATCATCCCCGATATGAAGGTGGCTTTTTTCAAGTGTAATGCATGCGGCCATACAGTCGGGGTTGAGATTGATCGAGGAGTGATTTCTGAACCAAGTAAATGTCCAAGAGAAGTTTGTGGCCAAACCAATTCCATGGTTTTAATTCATAATCGTTCTTCATTTGCAGATAAGCAAGTTATCAAATTGCAAGAAACACCAGATTTAGTTCCAGATGGACAAACACCACATTCTATTAACTTGTGTGTTTACGATGAGTTGGTTGATACTACTCGTGCAGGTGATAGAATTGAAGTTTGTGGTATATTCCGATCTTTACCAGTTAGAGTCAATTCTAAGCAACGAGCAGTGAAAAGCTTGTACAAGACATATTTGGATGTTGTTCATATTCAAAAGATCAACAATAAACGACTCGGTGCAGATGTTTCCACTTTGGAAAATGAGTTGGCGGAAAAGGACCAAGAAATTGAACAAATCAGAAAAATCACTCCCGAAGAAGAGGCTCAGATTAAGCAAGTATCACAAAGAGATGATTTGTACGAAGTATTAGCCAGATCATTAGCTCCTTCGATTTATGAAATGGATGATGTAAAAAAGGGGATCTTGTTGCAATTGTTTGGAGGTACCAACAAAACATTTAAAAAGGGTGGCAGATATAGAGGAGATATAAATGTTTTACTATGCGGTGATCCTTCGACTTCCAAATCACAAATCTTGCAGTATGTGCACAAAATTGCACCTCGAGGTGTTTACACTTCAGGTAAAGGTTCGTCTGCTGTTGGTTTGACTGCCTACATCACAAGAGATATTGATACCAAACAGCTTGTATTGGAAAGTGGTGCTTTAGTGTTATCTGATGGCGGTGTTTGTTGTATTGACGAGTTTGACAAGATGACCGATTCCACTAGATCAGTGTTGCATGAAGTTATGGAGCAACAAACCATATCGATTGCCAAAGCTGGAATTATTACTACACTAAACGCCAGGACTTCCATTTTGGCTTCTGCCAACCCTATTAATTCTCGTTATGATCCAAATTTACCAGTTACTGCCAATATTGATTTACCACCACCATTGTTATCACGGTTCGATTTGGTTTATTTGATCTTGGATAAGGTTGATGAAAAGATAGATCGGCAATTAGCCAGGCATATAACTGGTATGTATTTGGAGGATACACCCGAAAAAGCCACAAATCAGTTTGTACTACCTGTTGAATTATTGACACTGTACATTCAGTATGCCAAAGAGAATTACAAGCCTGTAATGACTGAGGAAGGCAAGAACGAACTAGTCCGGGCTTATGTTGAAATGAGGAAACTTGGAGAGGATGCTCGAGCAGCGGAAAAGAGGATTACCGCTACTACGAGACAATTGGAATCAATGATTAGACTAAGTGAAGCTCATGCCAAGATGAGATTATCGGAAACAGTGGAGTTGATAGATGTGAAGGAAGCAGTAAGGTTGATCAAAACAGCTATAAAGGATTACGCAACGGATCCTATTACTGGTAGAATCGATATGGATATGGTTCAAACTGGAACAACTTCACAGCAGAGAAGAATACGTGAAGACTTGATTAAAGAAATCATGAAAATCATTGAAGAGAATAATAATTTGATTAGATTTAATGATTTGAGTTTGAAGATCAATGAGAAAAGTTCATTTCGCATAGAGAACAGTACCATCAATGAAGCACTAAAGAGATTACAACAGGAGGGTAAAATTGTTGAGACTGGAGATGCCCATAGAAGAACAATTCGTAAAATTGCAATTGTTTGAAGATGCACACCGGTGTACATGTCTTGGTTGAGGTTACTATATATATACATATATATATATATTTGTTTTTTTGGTTTTTTTTTTAAAAGTTTGTTTATATAAATGTACCCAGATTTCCCTTTCTTTCAACATTGGTACTCTCTTCAACTTTATCGGTAATTATTTTTGGGTTCTCGTAGTCCCCAAGACGTTCCAAATCCTCATCTGACATCTTCAAAAGCTGTTCAATTTGTTGATCCAATTCAATATCGGTTTTTGAATTATATTTCTGTTCAGTGAAGATATTTGCCAAATGTAGTTCCCTTTTTAAATCAAAGTTTTCACCATTCTTTAATTTCGTTAAGATTTCACCAAGAACTTGAAATCTCAACTGATAACTTGCTTGTAACTGTTGCACTTCTCGACGCGATTTAAGTAGCTCTATCATTACCGAAGTACAAATTAAAGAAAGAATTAATGACTTTGTAGTGGGTGTTTTCAATAGCGACCAAAATTTCGGTTTTGGTCGAATATAAGACTCTGCAGTTGACAAGCTTCGTCGTATCAACAATAATCCTGGCCTCATCATGGTTTTGGACAGCTTAAGAAACATCTGGTTCTGGTATAGGAAAAAGTTGATGAGATTTTCATTTTTCAATCATCTTATAGAGAAGAAAAAATAAAAGCAATGGTTGAATATTACAATATACCAACAACTAAATCATGAGTGTCAAGTAATATGTTTTACTATATACACGTATCAAGTTTCTATTTGTCTTTAATTATGCTGAATAATGTATCTTTTCTATTATACCACTCGTTTCCATTACTGGCACCACGGCCGTCTTCTTGAAAATCATATAGGAATTCTACATTTTGCAATAGTGTTTCGTATTGTTTGGAAGTTGTGCAATTTGCAACTTTCCATTCCTTCAAGGATAACAAGTACCATAATGCTGATTTGCGTAACCTGGTGAGACCCACTGTTGGCTTTATATTAGCAAGCTTAAAAGGGTTTATATAGCTTTCCTTTTCGTTTTCGTTTTCGTTTTCCTCTTCTTCTTCTTCTTCTCCTCCTCCTCCTGAGACCTTCACCATTTTTTCTCGATTTAAAAGAAACAGATTATCAGCCGTGAATTCAAAATAATGACCATTGCTATAACCTAGTCGCTCCAACAAGATAGCTTTAATCACTGAGAAATTCAGAGTGGGTAAAGCGGCAGTAAGGTGTTGATTGAAATCGGTAACTAGCAATAGCAAATATTTTTCAATCAAATCCTGCCACCACCATGCAATATTATACATTTGACACATTGATAGCAACAACTCAATAACCATTAAGAAGCTTTTGAAACTATAGGTTTTTAAATTTAGTCTTGATTTAAATGTATAGGATAAATTATCCATAAACGGCTCAATTATATCGTGACGAATTTTGCGCAATGTGTTTTTATCTGGTTGCTGTGGTCGCAATGAAGGATTGGGGATTTGCTGTGTTTGCGTTAGTAACAAAGAGACGATGCACATTTCCTGAGTAGACGCAACGTATATCCATGCTCTATCATTCGTATAGTCCTTTTTAACCAAATCGTATGTTGAATAAGCATATTTGAAGTCTTTCAATATCAATGACCAATCTGCAAGTTTTCGAATTATTTGTTCTGGAGTAGACTTGTGGTAATAACTGCCAGTGTAATTGGACGAGGAATTTGGAGACAGTGAAGAATGCAAAGGTGTAGAAGAAAGTAGGTTTGAATCACTGTTATTGAACAATTTCTTTGAAGCTGAAAAGAATCGATTTGTTATCGATTTTCTAGGTTGCAACATTTGGTCATCCCAAGATCTGATTTTCGCTTGCATATGCGGTATTAGAAACTTGTTTATGTATTCGTAAATCGCCTCGCGGATTGCAATATCGAGAGATTCCGGAATATCAAAAGATTCTGTTGCGTCATTCAATGTCATTCGTTGGAGGTCTTCTTCTATTGTACAATTTTCGATTGCGGATATGGAAACAAATTTGCCATTATTAGAGTCCTTGTTTATGGGTATCAATGTACAATTGATAGTCAATTTGGCCTTGATCTCATTAACCAAAACCATCACTTGATTAGCCTTGAATTTGGTTGAATCAAACATAATGAAAACGTGGATAAACAAGTCATCGATTTGGAAAAATTTGGGAAAGTTATAATTGCGAAACTCAACAATCAGCTTGCGCAACTCTTCAATAGTATCATTTTCGAAATCAATGACAAAAATCTGACTTATCGGATGGTTAAAAGTTTCAAAAGGTATGAGTTTATTAGTTGTAATGATCTTGTCGAAAAAGGTTAAATATAAATTATCGGTTTCCTGGTTAGCTAGATGCTGCAAGTAGAGCTCGAGTGAAGATATGCTAAATAGCTGATCCAAAGAGGAGCTTTCGGTAACGGCGGTGGCGGCGGCGGTAGCAGTAGTAGTAGCGGCAGTAGCAGGAGGTGGTAGTGGTAGTCGTGAAGTCTCGTTATTATTAGATATTCTTATTGTTTTCTGCCCCGTGAAGGTTTTCCTTTGCTGAGCATTTGAAATCGACAATAGCTCGGACAATGGAGGTTCGAAGCGTATAGGGAAGCTAGTATAAGTTTTTGTTATTAGCTGAGTATTGGTTATTCTAAACTGCTGATTATGTATACTGTATTTGGCATTATTACCAAATGGTTTAAATATCTGTAAGGTTGATAATGAATGGTTATTGTTTAATATCGATTCGAGACAAATGTCAACGTTATGAGTTGATTGTAAAGAAATAAGTGGAGAGAATACATGATGCAAAAGATGCTGTCTTGCAGTAAAGGGATCTAATCCTTTAGGATAGTCCATTTATAGAGAATACAATATAATAGAACTAAGATCAAAGATGGATCAACCTTGAAAAGAAGTGAACAAAAACGGTTTTTCAAAGAGAAGAGCGCGTTTACCAAATAGGGTAATGTCGTGGAAGAGATGAGAGGAAGGAATACGACATTATAAGCGACACTGAACACTATCAGCCTCACTATCGAGCAGAGCGAGATAGTGGAGCATTTAAACCGGTGTGTACTGGTATAGCTAGAATCATTATCGAGCAGAGCGAGATAGTGGAGCATTCAAACCGGTGTGTACCGGTATAGCTAGAATCACTATCGAGCAGAGCGAGATAGTGGAGCATTTAAACCGGTGTGTACCGGTATAGCTAGAATCACTATCGAGCAGAGCGAGATAGTGGAGCATTTAAACCGGTGTGTACTGGTATAGCTAGAATCATTATCGAGCAGAGCGAGATAGTGGAGCATTCAAACCGGTGTGTACCGGTATAGCTAGAATCATTATCGAGCAGAGCGAGATAGTGGAGCATTTAAACCGGTGTGTACTGGTATAGCTAGAATCATTATCGAGCAGAGCGAGATAGTGGAGCATTCAAACCGGTGTGTACCGGTATAGCTAGAATCACTATCGAGCAGAGCGAGATAGTGGAGCATTTAAACCGGTGTGTACCGGTATAGCTAGAATCACTATCGAGCAGAGCGAGATAGTGGAGCATTTAAACCGGTGTGTACCGGTATAGCTAGAATCACTATCGAGCAGAGCGAGATAGTGGAGCATTTAAACCGGTGTGTACCGGTATAGCTAGAATCACTATCGAGCAGAGCGAGATAGTGGAGCATTTAAACCGGTGTGTACCGGTATAGCTAGAATCACTATCGAGCAGAGCGAGATAGTGGAGCATTTAAACCGGTGTGTACCGGTATAGCTAGAATCACTATCGAGCAGAGCGAGATAGTGGAGCATTTAAACCGGTGTGTACCGGTATAGCTAGAATCACTATCGAGCAGAGCGAGATAGTGGAGCATTTAAACCGGTGTGTACTGGTATAGCTAGAATCATTATCGAGCAGAGCGAGATAGTGGAGCATTCAAACCGGTGTGTACCGGTATAGCTAGAATCATTATCGAGCAGAGCGAGATAGTGGAGCATTTAAACCGGTGTGTACTGGTATAGCTAGAATCATTATCGAGCAGAGCGAGATAGTGGAGCATTCAAACCGGTGTGTACCGGTATAGCTAGAATCATTATCGAGCAGAGCGAGATAGTGGAGCATTTAAACCGGTGTGTACTGGTATAGCTAGAATCATTATCGAGCAGAGCGAGATAGTGGAGCATTCAAACCGGTGTGTACCGGTATAGCTAGAATCATTATCGAGCAGAGCGAGATAGTGGAGCATTCAAACCGGTGTGTACTCGTGCCTATTAAGCCATGGGTAAACGGTTACAGGAAAATTGCCATAGGTTAATAGCGATAGGGTAGTGGCCATATCTATTAAGCCGGGTAAACGGTTACAGGAAAATGTAATTGTAGGAGTTTTTCTTTAGTAGATATAAAAAGTATGGAATTTACATTGTATAGAAATCGCTACCATGTTAAACTACTGCCATATAGAACTACTTTCATGTTAACTACTGCCATATTAACTAATAGTAATTAGTCAGTGTGCTCCACTATCTCGCTTCGCTCGATTATAGAACTACTGCTGTATAGAATTACTCTCATTCCATATGTTTCCATATAGAATTACTGCTATATTGTAGAAAATACTGCCATATAAAATTACTGCCATATAAAATTACTGCCACGTAAAATTATTGCCATATAGAACTACTGCCTTGTAGAACTACTGCCTTGTAAAATTACTCTCGTGTTAACTAATAGGCTTGCCACTATTAGTTAATAGTAATTGGTCAGTGTGCTCCACTCGATAGTGTTTCCACACATATAGAACTACTGCTATATAGAAGTTTTCCTATACTATAAAGTATTATACAATGACTGTATCTAGTACTTTATACTAGAGTTGCTTATCTACTATCAAGGAACGAGTAAGTACCTACAGTATGTAACACATGGTAGCACCCAACCATGTTATTTCTCTCCGATCAGGGGGGGCTTATTTTGTATATGATTTGATTGCATCATCAAACAGCATCACCCCTATTGCCATCACCAACACTATTGAGCAGAGCGAGATAGTGGAGTACACTATATGTCACCGACTCTATTGACACTAGATGTCACCGACTCTATCGACACTATATGTCACCGACTCTATTGACACTAGATGTCACCGACTCTATCGACACTAGATGTCACCGACTCTATTGACACTAGATGTCACCGACTCTATCGACACTAGATGTCACCGACTCTATTGACACTAGATGTCACCGACTCTATTGACACTAGATGTCACCGACTCTATCGACACTAGATGTCACCGACTCTATCGACACTATCTCGCTCTGCTCGATAGTGTTCGATAGTGTTTTGCCATAAAGCAATCAGACAGTCATCTCGTTTAATCAAAGTACTAATCTATCGACTATAATCCATCTCATATTAAAAACAAAGTTTATTATATTTTATTTTTGAAACACAAGAAAATAAAAAGGATGGAAAATGTTAGACGAGAATATACACGATGAATTTTTACTACAACAACTTACGAATAAGCCATCACTAGAAAACAGTCTACTAAAACTACCTACCAGCAACCTAATACCAGTATCTTACCTACCATATCGTCTCTTAGTCTTTAGTCCCTACTACTCTCTATGTCTTAGTCTTATTACCTCGATCAAGCAATAAACTTTGTATTCCTTTTTCATTACAACAACACTCCTTGTTTCCATGTTACCGTGTTACTACAACGTAAAAAAAAAACAAAAAAAAAAAAAGAAAAAATCTTTTCTTTTACAAACAAAAACAGAGAAAAAAAAAACAGAAATTTGTTTCTACAATTGTTTTTCTTTTTTACAACCACATTTTGGATTACTCCTTTTACAACAACTCAAATATTTGAGTTTCCATTCGCTTTCCTCTACACCTGTCACGGCTATTGCAATACCATAGACATTTATCAGTGGTATTGATCGAGGCGTGGTAGGTATTAGCTATAGCGAGAGAAAGCTAGATTTATAAGGTGAGTTTGTACCGTTTTCAGCCGTTTATAGAGCTCATTTTTACAACCAAATTTTTTTTTTACAACCAAATTTTTTTTACAACCAAATTTTTTTTACAACCAAATATTTACAACCACTTCTTCATTTTGGCTTGATTGCTATATATCTCCTCTAACCCCTTCTATGCTATACTCGCTGATACTACTGTTGCTACCGCAACTGCTACTGCACCTGCACCTGCACCTGCTGCTGCTGCTGCTGCTGCAACTGCTGTTGCTACTGCTACTGCTACTGCTACTACTCATCTCCCTTTTTGCACCAATTTTTGTTGTTGGAAATGCACTAGATATCCAAAGCGTTGCTCAACCACAGCTAGACTACAATTCCTTTGGCAACCGAATAGGCTTTTTTGGCGCTTTCTCTGGTGCTAGTTTCTATAATCATGTGGGTGCTTCAAATCTCGTTGCATTACCATCATTACCTGCAATTGAATCATCATCATCATCATCATCATCACCCCACTCTACAACCTTGTATCTCCAAGATAATATCAACAACTATACTCTTAAACTTGGTGATCTAGATGGTCAAATTAACCAACTTTTCAAACTATCCTCGGATACAATAGTGATTAATGGTGATTTCACCAATTTCAACTATAAATCAGTTAAAAGTCCCATAATTTATAACATCACCCTTAATTCTACTACTGAAATTATACCAAGTAATGACTTTAATGGTCATGTAAATACATTGTTTGTCGATAATGAACTTATATACCTAGGAGGTAATTTTACATTCAACAATACTATAGGTATTGCCATCTATAACCAAACATCAAAAAGACTATTGTCAACTCCGTTTCAAGGGTTTGGTGAAAATGCATCTATCAACAGCATTAGCAAAGTAGTATCAAGTAAGGATAAGGATAAGGATAAGGATAAGGATGATGCTAATTCTGGATCGATCATATTTGGTGGAAGATTTAATACTCTTGGTTTATCCGATTTGCTTGTTCATAATATTTCTACAAACAATACAAGAAATGATAATTTCACCAATACATCAATAGTCAATGCAGAGCAATTGATATCGCTTAAACACGGAACTTTTACAACGGTTAATGGACAAAACTCCAATAATGATAACCAAGATGATGCTTCTTTGATTATATGTCCTTTTAATAACCATCAATGGACAGCAATACCAAATTCTGGAGCCGAATGGAAAGTAGAGTTGGCGGACGAAATGAAAGGTATTATACCAACAAAGGCAAGAATTTATATCCCTGATAGTGCCAATGGCGTTAAGCTGTTTAGAATTTATTCATTCCCCAATAATGGTATCATGAATTTAACTTTTATTGATCCATCAACAAATGAGGTATCTTTTTGTGATGCTTCGTGTCCCTTGACGGCATTTAATGACTTGAATGACTATATCGAGAGAAATAAGGATAATGCCACCAACTTGAACGAAGATGATACTTTTGTTGATGATGATGATGGTACTTTTTTCAAATATTATGATCCTAGCACCAAGACTAAAAATATCGGTTACGGACTGAACTTTCAAGAATTTGCATTTATTAACCAAGTTGGGTTTGACTCTCTTGGATTAACAATTACAGAATGGTATGGTGAACAAGGAGTTATTAGTGGATTTGAATTGTATCAAAATGCAATTACTGTATATGGAAATAATACATTGAATGACCCAAATTGCAATACCGACGACGACGATAACAACGGCGACTCGAATCACAACAATTATGCAGAGATTGTTTCCGGGAGTTTCCAATCAGCAAGAAGTGCTGTGGCTGCTGCTGCAGCAGCGATCAATAACGATTACTTGGTGACGTTTGATACAAATGCCAAAATGATTTTATACCCCAATGTGTCGTATTCAGGGGATTATTCAATAATAATGACTACACCGGGCTGCTCTTTGGATAATACTTGTGCACAAAGAGCAACTGTTAATGTGTCTGTAATTGGTATCGATGGCACTATTTTGTCTACAAATTTGATTTACCAAGATAATGAAAATATGAAATTCGACTACTTGTATCAAGGTCATTTGGAAAGTTCTGATGATTCTACTAATGTTAATAGGATTGAAATTTCGTATCATAGCTCAGCTAAACCTGAAGCTCAAAATCCAATCATGGTTGTTGATAAAATAGTTGCAAATATTGTTTCCTTGGATCTGTATTATTTCAGAAATTCAACAAATACAACAAGATCAAGTTTGGGTTCAGATCTTGTTCACCTTGAACTCAATGGTTTGTTTGAGTATTCATTGGCAAATTTCTCAAATTTTGATGAGAATTTGGTACATTACCAACAAGACAATAGAACCTTGATCAGTTTAAACAATACATTTGTTGGAAACTCTTCGATTAATGTACTTAGTAGCAGACTTGCCAATAATTCAGAGATCAATGAGATTGTTGTATATGACCAATCTATGTTGTTCTTGTTGGGTAATTTGTTTTCTGATAGTACCAATTTAACATTAACAAATGACAATCTAATATCATTGAATATATCCTCATATAATAGTGTTTCTAATGAAACAAGCATCAACTTGCCTACTAGTTTAAAGAAAAAGAGGAGAATGAGAAGGAGAAAAAGAGATTCACAAATTGTTAATGGTGTTACATTCAACAATACTATTTCCAAAATTGCTGTACTTGCCGATGGTATTATTTATCTCGGACAGTTTTCTGCTGTTTCTTCAGATTCTTCATTCCAAGACCTCTCTAACCAAAACAGGTCAACTTCACAGGCTAATAATATTGCACTTTTCTCCAATAATCAATGGTTTAGTTTTGGAAATGATTTTGAAGATGTACAATTTGATCAATTTGCAAATACTACAATTAACGGAGATGAGTATTTAATATTCTCTTCTTCCAAACAAGAATCGGTTTTCAAAGCGTGGGATAAAACTAATTCGAAATGGTTTGATCGTGAATTGAATCTTACCCACGCTATCTACTTGAATAATAATAATAATAATGATCAGCAAATATTAGGAGGAAGTGGATTCAGTATAATGGATATTTATAATAATGACCAAGGATATATTCAAGATGCTCATTTCAACAAGTTTGGCATAAACGTAAACTATACGATAGAAGAAAATGGTGGTAATAATAATTTTATTTCAAAATCATTTTATGTAAATGATTCGTTAACTGTAATTAGTGGGAAATTTCAATCTGATGACGTTCAAAATATTGGATTTATCGACAACAAGACTCCATCTAATGAGATTAAACCGCTTCTTGGTGATATTGAGTGGAACGATGAAACTAATTCAATTATTGAAACCTTGTATGTCGATGATGCTAATGAATATTTATTTATTGGTATCAATGGTTCAGTTTTAGTTAATGGCGAAAATATTACCGGTCTTGTTATTTACGATTTGCAAAATAATACATTTGCATCGTTTCAACCAGCTGCACTTTCAAACAATAACAATGACCCAATACATATAAATTCGATGGTTTTGTACGATGATGATGCCAAGCTTTTGGTTGGTGGCCAATTCGATACTGCTGGATCATTAAGCTGTCCATCATTGTGTATTTACGATATTGCAAATACAAGATGGATCAATCCGCAAAGTGAAGCTGAGCAATCATCAACTATTTCCGGAATCGTTACCGATATGAAATTTTATCATTCGAGTCAAGTCTTGATTGCTGGTGTCAATCTAACTTTGAACAATAATGATGTTGTGTTCATGACTTATAACTTTGATAATGGTGCATTCAATACAAAAGCTTCATTAAATAAATTGAACAAAGGTGTTGATCGATTTGTTTTGAATGACCAATCAAACAGTGAATTGAATGGAAGAATGATTGCTATGGGAACTGGCTATTTATCAGGATTCGATGGTTCTAACTGGAACAATATCGATCAAGAGCTTAGTTTTAACAACCAAACTAGATTGAATGATTTGAAATTGTTGACCTTGACAAAATCTTCATCTTATAATCAAACATTGTTTAGTAACAATAAAATCTTATTAGTTGCAGGGACATTTTTCCTTGCAAATTACGGTTTGGTTAACATGGCATTATTCAATGGTACTTCATGGATCCCATATGTCTATACTACATCACAAGTTGACAATGCTTTTATTGGAGATATACAATCTATTCTAATTGATGATCCATACCGATTTCAATCAAGTAATGATTTAAAGAATTTACAACATTATTTATCCACAGGTAAAGTCGTTGGTATTTCTTTGGCTTGTGCATTAGGATCTACTGCACTTTTGGGACTATTGTACATAATCCCTTATTTTGCCTTGTTGAGGAATAGAAATGGGTATATGCAAAGAATTCAGGAGCTGGATATGGTGCAAGCCATCAATCCTGAGGATTTATTACACGAAATGGACCTACAGAGGGAGAAGTAAACAATAAATTCAAAATTCAAAGTTCAAAATTACAACTAAGATTAATACTAATAAAAAAAAATAAAAATAAAAAAATAAAATAAAAAAAAAAGGACACTTACTTCAAGTATACCTCTGGTGGTGCACAATATGCGGACAAGTTTGAAAGACAATAGAGGTGTTTGTTCTTTTTACTTCTTTCTTTCTTTTTAATTTCTTCTTACTTAAATATTTAAATTGAGAAACATCCAACTTTCTTTTGATGAAGTGTTTTTTTTTTCTTTCTTTTGATAAAGTGTTTTTTCTTCTTTTCTTCTTCACTACACATTCTATTATTGATTCTCTTCTGGTCCCAATCGATCGTCCTCCACCACATCGTCGCCCTCTTCATCATCATCCTCTTCCCCATCGTCAATGTCAAAAAGTCTTTCATTTTCTTCTGACAATGCACTCTTGTTTACGCTATTTGGATTATCCACCCCGCCTGCCAAATTGTCCTCCGCCTCTTCCTGCTGCTGCTGCTGCTGCTGCTGTTGCTGCTGTACAATATCAATGTCATCGTCTCTAAAAATATCCTCACCATTGCGATGTCGATTTAATCTTGCGCCATTTTCCAATTCCTCATCTACATCATCTTCAAAATCTCCAAATAATTCATCTTCTTCAGGTATGCTCACGTAGTTTCTCCGACCGGGACTTCTTCTGAATATAACATTACCAATTTTATCCAATAACATTCTATCCACTTTACGTATCGTTTTAAAAGTGGCAATAACTATGGCGGCGGTGAGTATACCTCCTTTAACAATCTTATTAACAACTACATCAACCTGAGTCTCTTCAATTGGATTGAATCCGTCGTCAAAATTCTCTTCATCTAATCTTATCAGTCCCAATTTCTGGAAACCTCCATTTCTCTTAATGCCACGGTCATATACAAACCAAGTTGCTGACAAAAATATTAGCAAAGGTACAAAAATTGTCAAGAAAAGCTTGCTTCCTTTAACTTCCCTTCCATAATGCTCGTTGAACTCTTTCTCCTTTCCGGGACACGCTTTTGCTTCCCACTTGTCAAATTGTTTACCACCTTGACAAGTAGATAATGGAATCTTTCTATACCCAGTACTATCAAAATACTGGAATGCATCTGGCTTACTACACATATCCTTCTTGCGATCACCTGCTGTTAATCCCGGTACCAATTTACACGTGTTATCCAGCGGGTCTCGAACGTAATTGAAATCGCACTCATAATCACGTCTTGTACATGAACAATTCCTTATTTGTTTATATCCTTGAGATAATGGTGCTGCACCAATAAAACAATCACTGCGCTCTTGTAAACGACGTAGATACTTTGACTCGTGCCCAAATAAACATTTGTCTTCACCATTTGAATGATATGGTGACCAAAATTCATAATCGTCGTTTTCAGGATTATCTAAATCCAACTGACATTGACGCGAGTAAATATTTGTGAAATCAATGGAAAATGATAACGTGTCTCTGATATCTTTTGGATGCGCTGCAAATATAAGGAATTTACGTGATGTATCAGTTGGAACAGTGGCCAAGTCTAATACTCGCACTTTGTTATCTGAGAACTTATACTCATTCCACGATTTCCCTTCATTTAGCGAGTATAATAATGTATCGGTTTCGTCATTCGCATTGACCAATACCAAGATTGTACCTTGGTCGCCATATTCCCACATATATACACCTTTTTTAACTTCACTCCAAGTAACTCCTCCATCAATACTCAAAAACGTCGATGCTTCATCATAATCGGTTAAATATTCTCCTACATTTCCAACACCAATGAGGAAACCAATTGCTGATCCAGACGAATAAGTATCTCTATAATCTTGTCGTTCGGTAAACCCATGCAAATGCAATGCACATTTCAGAAGCGAAGATCCGCTACATTTGTAATTGCCACCAGCTGGCGGAACCAAATAATCCCACTCACTACCATCATTTCTCGATACAAGTGTTTGTAATCTTTTTGGCGCTTTTTCATTGCGATGATTTGCCACAACATTCGCCATAATAAGGCCCTCTAATCCTTCAATTCTGTCAAAATCAACGTATCCTACTTTGTTTCGATTTACATACTCTAACGATGTAACGAAATAAGTACCATTTGAATTGGACTTCAAAAGCGTACCATACTCGAAACCATCTTCAGAGCTAGTAGTAACGTGCATAAAGATTGAGCCTGCACTTGAATCCAACACAGTATATGCTTGGTGCTCCTTCACTTTAAGATCTTTAGGGAAATCAGCGTCGGCAAATGTCTTACCATCCCCAGTGACTTTGGCTTCGAGTGAGCCATCTTTAATAACAGCAACAACGACGTAACTTCCAGTCATTGCGTACCCAACAATGTTATCAAAAATCATTTCTGGCTGTTTCAGTCCGTTTATAGACCATAAGCTTTTTTTCCCGTCTTCTGCAACTTTGGAACAAAAAATCAAATTATCAGCTGGTTCCTTAAAAATAGCCCCAACAAAATCGCACATCACGACATCTTCAAGAAGTTTTTTGAATGATGTACCTTCATCGCTGGTAAAATAGCCTGTTGTTTTGCAATCACCACCCAGGCATGCTTCGCCTAACCATATAAATTTCTTGGTATTAGTGGCGTGGAAACCAACAGGCCTAAAAACAGATGAGCTGAACTTAGCTGGAACTTTCACTGTAGTGAGTAAAGCACCCCCATCATCAGATACGTAAATTTTGTCTGAGTCAGTAACGAGAATAACTTGACCAGAAACAGTTCCTGTGAAAAAGCCAGTAATTTTATCATGCACGGGTACTTTTACAAATGAAATACCACCATTATTTGAAATATACGCGTGGGAATCTGCAGTTTGCAAAACAACGTTATCAGCAAGTTTGTCATCATCTGTACCAACATAAGCATATTGCATTAATCCTCCCTCAATTTCATTGAGATGAACTTGGATTGCTTGCTCATCGCCAACTGAATCCCCATCTGGATTCACGTAATCAGAGCACTTTATAGCTTCCAAAGTCCTGAAATCCTCTAGCTTTTTAGACCCATATTTACATTGATTACCATTGATTAAATTCTTGTCATATATACGGAGCTCCTTTTCCGAGAGACATAATTTTGCAAGCTCTCTTGGATCTGGAATACATTTGTTACCTCCCTTTTGACTAGGCATGAATCCTAGCGAACACTCAAAATCAACCTCACTACATTCACATGGTTCTTCAATAGCCTTGACATCTTCAAACAATTTGTTCACAGAACATTGTGCATCTTGTTTTCTTCTCTTGAACTTTTCTTTGTGTCCATAAACACAAGTAGGCAGATTGCTGTCCCCAACTTGCCTAGCATAAAAATTTTCATAGTCACTATCTTGACAAATTTTCCCATCGTATACATTTGAAAAATCAACATGATAGTTTGCTCTTCTCACTGAAAGAGAATCCCCATTCTCCTCTTGGTGTATACCTGTGATTACGAATTTACGCGACGTTCCATCAATTGTAGTCAATATGTCCGAAACATATATCAGTTTTTCCAAATTCACTGTTTCCCAGTCTTTTCCTTGATTTAAGGAGTAATGGAAAAAATCAACTGCTTCATCATCAACAGCTCCGGTATACGGCACAGCAATTATGATATTACCTTGATCACCAAATGAAAAAGTACACGCAGACTCCAAAGCCAAGTCCCATGAAGCACCACCATCTCTTGAAATATATGTATTCATGCTACGATACATGTTTTTTAGCTGTTTCCCCTCCACACCAACACCCATTAAAATTCCTGGCGTAGGTCCAGTTACGAATCTGTCTCCTACTAATTCCCCAGTTGATATTAAATGTACAGAACATCCATCTTCAATTTTACATCTCTCATCATTTGATTTCAATAAATTCCAAGTATCTCCGTCATCAAAGGAATATTTGGTGACTACACTCTTGGAGGAACTGCCACCAAAAAAATAATCGAGAAACGATTTTGGTTCGTCTTCGTTTTCATCTAATTTTTCAACAGCAATGTTCGCTAACCAAGCGCCATCGATGTTTTCAATTTTCATAACCATTCCATTTGCAACATCATCTAGCAACTTTTTATAACGAACACCGTTTGAATCGGATCTAAATAACTCAGCAATCAGCATTTTTCTACTCTTGAAATTCATAGTTTGGACAAAAAGTGACGAAGGAGATGAGTCCAAAAAGGACATGACTCCATATTTGATATCAATTTGCAAATCGGCTTTGAAAAACGTAATTCCATCACGTGTGATGAACATGTTGATCTTTGATTGCTCACTGTATTTATCCAATCTCAGGACAATTGTCATAAAAGTTTCGGTTACTTTGATATCAATGATTGCGCCGTTTCCTGCATTGCTTAAATGGAGCTCTGTGGATGATTTGAAGAAATCTTTTGATTTAACCAATCTCGACAGTACTATATATCCAAATGAGTTTAGCTTATTCTCTGAACAAAAAAGTGAACTTTTTTCACCAATCTCTGAGTTTTTGCTTGATCTTGAAAACCTGCAAACATGAGCATCAATAGGCAATTTTTTGGATACTTTTTTGAATCCATCGGTAGTATAGAAATACTTGTACTTGCAACTAGAAGCATCTCTTTGCTTGTAACATCGAGAGTTGTATATCAATAATAAATTTGCATCTGCAGCATTAAACTCCAATTGAGGAGGCGTAACAAAGGTATTCTCTTCAGACATATCAAAAAGCTCAGTATCGAATTTTGACCATGTTTTACCCTTATTTGTTGTGAAATAATGGGTTTTAGTCATGGTAAGTAAAAAAGCACGATCTTTCCAAAAAGGGTCAAATACAATACTTTCCACATGCTCTTTAATCTCATCAACTTGCTTAAACAGTTTCCCGTCATCGTTGGAAATAAATACCATATTTCCTCTCAAGGAAATAACCGTGGGTGAGTCATCAAAGTATTCAAGTTGCTCGTAAACATCCTCAACCAATACCAACGAAACATCTGGTGAATATGCAAGCACTAGTTTAAAGGTAAAAATACTCACCAATAACACCAATTGACTCAACAGCCACCTCATTTTTCCCTTCCTATCTAGTCTCTAACAGTATAACTTTGTTTACTCTTTCTAAAAAGGCGTGGTAGATCAATACCAAACCTCTATTAAAAGCACTACTCTCAAGCAATACTATATCTTTCTTGATCAGTTGAATAATTGAAAAATATTTCGGCGAGCCGAAAAAATGGTTCCATTAGCCGCCAGCGCTAAGGCGACACCAACACTATCGAGCAGAACGAGCTCCACTATCGAGCAGAACGAGCTCCACTATCGAGCGAAGCGAGATAGTGGGGCGCACCGACTAGCGCACCGACTAACTGCCCACTATCGAGCAGAGCGAGATAGTGGAGAAACACCAACTAGCTGCCCACTAACTAGTTTGTTACAAATAGCGTGCTCCACTATCGAAAGACACTATCGAAAGACACTATCGAAAGACACTATCGAGCAGAGCGAGATAGTGTTGAAACAAGCTACAGAGTGTTGTAACACTAACTAGCTTGTTGTAGCACTAACTAGCTTGTTGTAGCACTAACTAGCTTGTTGTAGCACTAACTAGCTTGTTGCAACTAGTGTGCTCCATTATCTCGCTCTGCCCGATTGTTTATCTAGTCAATCTTGCTCCACTATCGACCAAAGTGAGATAGTGGATGCTCAATAGTGTCGACTGTTCGATAGTGTTATAGCTAGCTACTGAGTGTTGCTTCACTATCGAGAGACACTATCAAGAGACACTATCGAGCAAAGCGAGATAGTGTTGTAACAAGCTACTGAGCAGACACTATCTCGCTCTGCTCGATAGTGTTGCGACAAGCTAATGAGTATTGCTCCACTATCGAGAGACACTATCTCGCTCTGCTCGATAGTGTCGAAACAAGCTACTGAGTGTATCTAGTCCATCTTGCTTCACTATCTCGCTCTGCTCAATAGTGGATGCTCGATAGTGTTGTAACAAGCTACCAGTGTTGCTTCATTATCTCGCTTTGAGATTAGCAGTGAAAAGGTAGTGAGAGGTAGTGAGAGGCTGAGGCTGAGGCTGAGGCTGAGACGTTTCAAAACATTTATACATTTATACCTCAAAATTCCATATTCTTTTTATATAACTTGTCCCAAATAGTTTCCTCTACTTTTGATTTGTATATTCCAGTTCAAATCCAAGTTAGAGAACCATTTTGAGTTAAAAGTATAGCTAACCAAACTGTTATTAAACTTTTCCAAATCTTCTAACTGGATTTTGACAATTATTGCTGTTTGAGATTCCTTGACCAATATCTCAAATGGACAAGATTCACCAATTAATCCATATAATTGTTTTAAACTGGAAGTTAGTAGAAGTTGCCATGTAGGGATATCAATGTCAATTTGCTGAAATTGGGAGGTTTGAGTTTCGTCGGTATATATTTTACAATCTGGAAACCTAAAAAAGTGTTAGTGGACCGCCACTATCGAGCAGAGCGAGATAGTGGAGCGACACTGACTAGCTGCCCACTATCGAGCAGAGCGAGATAGTGGAGCGACACTGACTAGCTGCCCACTATCGAGCAGAGCAACACTGACTACCTTGTTGTAGCACTAACTAGCTTGTTACAACAAGCTACTAGGTGTTGCTCCACTATCTCGCTTCGCTCAATAGTGGATGCTCAATAGTAGATGCTCAATAGTAGATGCTCAATAGTAGATGCTCAATAGTAGATGGAGAATGGTTATTACGTACACTTCAAGAGAAAGGTAGTACCATAAATCCTCTCTCAATATCACCTTACCAACCGTTTTCCCTAGCATCAATTCAATGAAAATACAATTATCTATCAATGCAATTATCTATCAACACAGTGAGCTATAGTGAGCTATTCAGTGGGCTATTCTATTCAGCTCTTTCTTCTTGTTATAGCCCAAGGCACTTGAAAATTTTATGGTTGAATTTTTTGTTTCTTTTTTTTCTTTCTTTTCTTTTCGCAGCCATTTCAATCGCTTTGGTTGGTGGGATGGATTTTGATGATGATATCGCTCGATGAAGATGAAGCATTAGGTGATGATTGTATTGAGTGTTCCAGAATACTACTGCTGTAATCCTCCTTCATAATATTATCGTCAATACCGTTATCATCAATACCGTTATCATCAATGACATTTTCATCACTGCTTCGTAGTGGACTAATTGGACTTTGAAATCCAAGCTGCAGATAATATTGCTGGTAAAGTGATTCTATGGGTAAACCTCCATGAGGGATACTTCTACCGGGGTTAATTTCAATTATTGGTATTACTCTTGGTTGGAGGGGAAAGTCGTTTAACTGTGATGGTTGAAGAGGAAAATTGTTTAACTGTGATGGTTGAAGAGGAAAGTTGTTCAATTGTGATGGTTGATGGGGAAAATTGTTCAATTGTGATGGTTGATGGGGAAAATTGTTCAATTGTGATGGTGGTATTGAAATAGAGCTTGGCGGTGGAGAAAATAAATTCGGTATAACGCTAGGCGGGCCGAATTGAGGTTGGTTCTCTAATCCACATGGCAGTGGCAGTACAATAACAAACGCAGATATGGGATACAATGAAGGAACCTCTCCATAATTACCCTTGAGTTTGTTGAGTTTGTTGATATTGGTATTGTTGTGCGGGAGCAAGTCATTCAATACTATGTTATATCTAAATTTATGACGCATTTTGAGTAGCTCCCATACTTGGTATATAATCTTCCGCATTGAATTTAGAAAATGGACGCAGGGGGGGGCCTCAACTAGTAGATACAAGGAGGCAGGGGAAGTCTTAACTAGTAGAGACAAGGTTTAGTAAAATGAACCGTTTTTCCCAAAGAAAACCGTTTGGTAATTGTGAAATTTTATGTTATGACCAAACATGAAGAATGTAAAAAAAAAAAAAACCATTCAACCATAACTGATAGTTGAAAATGCTAATAGTCAATAGCTCTACTAACAGTTAATAGCTCTACAAATAGTCAATAGCATTACCAACTGTTATGCTAATAACAGTAATAATGCTGCTTTTCAAAAATCTAGATGTATAAAATGTTTTCTTGACTACTTTTGCTTCCATCAATAATGGGCAAGCTCTTTAACTATAGCGAATCAACTTTTTATTAATTGGGTACAAAAAAAATGGCCCCATGCTAACAATACATTCCATCCCGTTTAAAAACTTTAACAGTTTAACACCCCTTCCGCCTTTCTTTGTATAGCTATTTCTAACCTATCAGACTTTAGTACCACCTCCCAACCTGTCCTCTTTAACACACGGATTTTTTAATTAGAGATTTCTTGATTTTTATTGTAACATACAATTTTTTTTTTATTTAGCGCCTCGACGTTGGAAAGGGAAACTGAACCCCCCCCCTGATTTTTTGCTTTACAACGACTAATATTTGGATTGAAACGTCACGTAGGTAACAAGCACTCTTAAACGGACTTCTTCTTTTTCTTCTTCTTTTCAGCTGTTTTATGAATCCCCAAAAAGAAAGCAGATGAGTTATCATGTCTTTAGCTGACGGAGAATACGATATAGATTTGTCGATTCTACTAAACGATGATAGTGTTACCAATAGTGTCCCCTATACTGAGCAGATAGCTCTTAGATACCAGTTTATACCACCTTCGATGGACCATACTAAGCCGCTCACGTTGTATCAAAAGGATAAGCAAGCTATTCTCAAAGCATCGTCAACAGAGGATGATAAAAATTCAATATTTTTTGAAGGAGCTCCTAATCTATATGACAAGGATGTTGCCAATAATAAGGAGTTTTACTTGACATATAGTGGCTCGGGAAGTACACTTCGACTAGAGCAGCTTCAGCGTTCGATTAAGCTCAACAAGAGTAGGTCACCAATGACGTTACAGAAGCGTGCCGATTTGATTGAAAAGGAGTTTGAACAGAGTCAAAAGAAGCAGAATCAACTGCTTCTTAAAGAGGATAAACTTGCAACAGAGAAACAGAGCTTGCCAAATAAAGTTTTGGTATCTACAAGCTCGCCAAATAAAGTTTTGGTAACTACAAGCTCGCCAAATAAAGCTGTAGTCTCTACAAGTTTGCAAAATCGCCCACAAGTTTCCAAAAGAAAAGTCAAAGAATTACCAACACAGAAACGGTCTACTATTACTTCTAGAGTATCTTCGAAACGGCCACCAACTAACATGAATAAAGCGCCCGAACCTCAAGAGTACAAGGAAGCGATTATTAGTGAATCTGACTTTGAAGACTTGGAAGATAAAGGGTTGGAATTTCCCGATATCAACATCGAAGAGGAGAAGCTAGAGGAAAAAATGGAGGAAAAAGTGGAGGAGAAAGTGGAGGTGGAGGTAAAGGAAAAAGTGGAGGAGGTGGAGGTAAAGAATGAACAAATTAAACCAGATCAAAATCCTCTGGAAATAGCCAATTTGGAAGCGAAAAAGCTTCCAAGTCGCAAGCGGTCAATAAATGATAGCAATATGGAGTTAGAAGACGATTTCAAGGATTTGGAAGATCAACTTCAAGAGGTTCTAGTAGAAGACAATGATGTAGAATTAAAGAGTGATACTTTAGACAAATTGAACAATCAGTTTGTCTCAGATGCAGATGATAGTGATTTTGAAACCTTCAACAACTCCCAGCATGTGCGAATTAATGAAGGGAATCCCTCTTCAATACGAAAGATATCAAATAATTTTAATACCACGTTTATTAATGGTAAGCCCAGAAGTTTAAGAGATTTGATGGGGGGAGGCAAAGATGAGGGCAGCAGCAGCGAAGAAGAGTAATACAACACACATTTTATAACTCTTTTTATAGAATAGAAAACTGGCAATATAATCCATCTCTTTCATATTCCTCTCAAGTTAACACCCGTAAGCAAAAGAAAAGACCGAAACCGGAGACCCTAACAGCGAAACCGGAAGCAAGAAACATTTTTTTTTCAATTTTTCACTTTTAAGAAACCCTTCAAGATGAACTTGGGGTTTACCATATTTGATGCAAGAAACGATAGAGCATTTGACAAATAGGTTAGATCGACTAAATGAGTTGTTATCCAATCAAGATGAAAAATCTACCACGTTGACGGGTCAAATTGACCATTTGAGACACCGACTAAATGGCATTTATCAAAGTCATCGGGATTATGCTAAATTGGAAACTATTTTGAAGGAGTTGAAGATTGCCAACAAATGCTCGCAATTGGAGCTGAAAACTGGTGACCAGCTCTCCCAGGATGTTAAAGAAGAGGAAATCATGTTATATTATGGCGATATCTTGGAAAATTACTCGAGTATGGTTGAATTGGAAAATATGGGGTATGATTCATTGATTGATAAGATAAATGTCATCATTTCTAACTCAAGTATCGAAGATATTAGAACAGAGCTCAAGCTGAGAGAAGAGCAAATAAGAAAGGTCCATCTAATATATAGGATCTTGGTGCTCAAAAATATGATGATTTACGAGAAATACGTAGCAAGTACAATCAACATGAACAAATTTTGGCTACATGTAAGCCAAAAATTGGCAACTGCTAATCAAGAGTTGAAAAAACGGCATGATAAGTTGAAAGAGGATAGTAGGTACTGAAGTTCAAAAGATAAGAATATAAAAGGATGCAATCAAATGGAATTGATTGCAAACTTACACACACGGGTTTGCTTGCTTCGCTCGATAGTGTCGATGGCAGTTGAGTTTGATTGCTCCACTCGATAGTGTCGGTGGCAGTTGAGCTTGATTGCTCCACTCGATAGTGTCGGTGGCAGTTGAGCTTGATTGCTTCGCTCGATAGTGTCGGTGGCAATTGGGCTTCCTTGCTATTCAAACAGAAATGGTTTTCCAAATATTCAAACCATCACCTCCAGTAGAAACCAAGCATCCAGGAATTTGCTGGTGCCATCTAACCTCTTTGACATCCTTCTGCCAATGTACAAACAATAATTGTGGTGGAATGTCATGTAACTCCTCCAACTCTTTTCTTTGTTGTGAAATCTCTTCATCGTCAGCTTCAACTGCTAAATCCCATAATGTCACAGTGTTATCTTCCGAACTAACTGCGATAATCGATTCATCCAAGGGGTTAAATGATATAGAGGTCACTGGCGCCTTGTGGAAATTGTAATTTGCCACGGGAGATACATTGGCCTGTGTGAAATTTCTCAAGTCCCAAACACTCCATGTACCATCATCGTGACCCGAGGCCAATAGATGATTTATCTTGGAACACCATGAAATGACGTTAACATCTGATTCAGATGCCTTGACAGAAATAGCTGGCTTGTGTTTTTTAGATCTAGTATCCCATATCCTTACATATCCATCACAACCAGCGGTTGCAAATACGGTGTTCTCTCCCGTTGACCATTGTATATCTTCAATTGAAGATTGCGAAGTGAAAAATGGTGTTTTATCAGTCACCCAGTTTGCTGTTGTTCTATTAGTTAAATATATCCTTCCTGACATATCTCCAGTTAATAACGCCCCAGTGTTGATTAAAGGCGACCAATCTAGACCATACCCTTCAACGTTTCCATGGGCTCGTATAGTATGTATTGGTCTTTTAGAAGGCTTGGGAACTACGAATCCCGGTGTATCAAAGGCCTTATATTGAGCCGATAAATCAAATATGTAAACTTCTCCGTTTTCGGACATTGTCGCCGTAAGGAATTCACCGGTTTGTTGGGCATGTGGACTCACCCTGATTCTATTAGTTGTATGCTTCAAGGGGATAGTCTCTGTATCCAAGATGGGATCAGCATCCATATCATCGTCATCATCGTCACCGTCATTTTCATCATCATTTTCATCATTATCGTCTTTAACCAATGTCTTTGCTAAACTGGAAGCCTTCATAGTTATTAGTTCATTGTCTTTGCTCTTTGATGCCTGAGTTGCAGTTGTTAAGTAAACAGTTGCAGGGTAATTTCTTCTTTCGTTTCCTAAACTGTCTGGTAAAATGTCCAAAGTCAAACACGGCCAAGGTAGATTAATATTATGCAACATCTCATAAACTGAAGGATCTGCCTCCAAAACTTCATCGGGACCGAGTGGCCTGCATCTATGTGGCAAATATATCGAGGACTCTGCTTCAACATTCTTCTTTTCTTTTGCTTCAATTTCTTCAATCTTTTTCGTAACTTGTTCTTCATCTGCCTCCTCTTGCTCTTCGTTATCATCGTCTAGTTCAATTATATCTTCGTCACTCTCAAAATCATCTCCATATGGATCTTCAAATCCACCGACATCCATATCATCGCCGTCACCATTACCATTACCACTTTCCTCTACTCGGTTATTGTGAGGAATTGAATCCTCAGAAACTTTTACTGATGTATTGGGTCCATTTTGATCGTTTAGATCTCCTTCAGCACCTCTCTTCGACATCTTGATACCAAACAGCCAACGCCTTTTCAAAAAGGAAACAAACCTCCGTCTCGTAACAAGCAAAAGGGTTAAAGGAAAACTCGCAAAAGGGAGCTAAAGCTTTTCAAAAAAAGAACCCAAGTCCTATAAGATGAGATGAGATGAGATGAGATGAGATGAGATGAGATGAGATGAAAAAAAAAAAAATTTTTCACTCTATCGAGCAGAGTAAAAGGAATTGGAGTTTTATCAAAAATACCAATTGGAAAAGCCAACTTGTGGACCAGGCCAGGATCTTACTTACGAGGGCGTTATTGAGTCCAAGATCAAGAGACGATGAATTGAGTGGTTTTCAGGAGTAAAAGTCTATTCCTTTGAATTGAGTAGTTTTTGGGAATAAAAGTTTTTGGTATTCTGCGTTTTCCCCTTTACTGGTTATGGATAGGTTGGCATTTTTGGATCAGGAACCGCCACCCGGCTATGTTGCCGGTGTTGGAAGAGGAGCAGTTGGTTTTAGTACCGGAGCCGACTTCAAGCGAGATAGGGAAGATTTTGATGAGGAAGAGGAGGATAACGATTTGGGGCTGGTAGACGATATTGACGAAGGAGGGTTGCTTTTGTCGCGTAAACGAGACTTGGACTTGGATGTTGAGGAGGAGGATAAGGCTTATGAGGAAATAGAGAGGAAACTACAGTCCAAGAGAAAACGACCGGCTATGGTGGTAGCATCCGCCGTGATTGCAAGCGTATCGGAAAAACCACGATTCAATGATTTGAAAGAGGAATTGAAAACTTTGACTGATGAGGATTGGTTACTGCTACCAGAAGCAGGTGATATGACTCGAAAGAATAAGCGACAGCGAATATTGGATCAACAACTGCAGAGATTCTATGCGGCACCTGATTCTATCTTAGCAAGTGCAAGTAACTTGGGAGGAAACAGCATTTCAAAGAAAGCAACTGAGTTGAGTGCAGAATTAGACAAACTTTTGCCAAGGCATTCTGCTATCACACAATCGTCCACTACACCAATGACAGAAGACGAATTCTTGGATGTTTCAGCAGTTGATAGAGATGCAAAATTTGCAGATTTGAAGAAAGGAAGATTGATACTTGCATCTTTAAGGAAAAGCGAGCCTTATAAATCAAGTTCATGGATCCAATCGGCAAGATTGGAAGAAGAGGCTAGAAACTATGATAAGGCAAGAGATATTATTCAACAGGGATGCAAAACGATTCCGGGAGATGAAGATGTGTGGCTTGAAAATGTACGTCTTAATATGAACGATACAGTTTACGTCAAAAATATGCTAAAAGAAGCTTTAAATTTTTGCCCCAAATCTGAAAAGCTCTGGCTAAAATGGGCGGAGTTGGAAACTGAAAATAAACAGAAAAGGAGAATTGTAATGAAGGGACTAGAGGATATACCAAAAAGCGTTGATCTTTGGAAAAAATTGGTAAATTTAGAGAACAACCAGAAAACTGTTGAAAAACTTTTGAGTAAAGCTGTTGAATTGTGTCCTCATGAATGGGAGTTTTGGCTAGCCTTAGTTAATATATCTACTTATACCGAAGCCAAACTGTATTTGAACAAGGCTCGAAAAGTGTTGCATGGAGAATTGAAAGTATGGACAGCGGCATGCAAGTTGGAAGAGCGTGAAAACACAAACATGTCAGAAACGAAGCTCATGAAGTTGACCGATAAGGCGGTGCAAGAAAACAAAGATGCCGGACCACAAGTATGGTATCGGGCTGCGAGTGAATGCTTGAAAGAAGGCTTTAACAAGACTAGCCGAGCATTGGTGAGTAGTTTTCTACATGCGCGCATAGTCGTTGACTCCAATGCGTTGATGAAAGAAGCGGACGAGCAAATCAAAAACGGGGATCTAGAAATTGGTCATTATATACTAGATTATTTGATTGGCGTTTGTCCGACAGATTTGCAAGTATGGGAAAGGCTACTAAACACGGTAAAAAAAACGATGAATTTGAAATCATTATGGACTTACTATGAAAAAGCAATCAGTTTAAATGTTGACACTGTGAGTCTTTACTTGATGTTTGCTCAAGATGTTTGGAAACTTTCCAAGGACGCTGAGCAAGCTCGTATTGTGCTTTCGAAAGCTGATGAGAAACTTGATCAGGACATTATTAAAGTAGCTGTTATAAACTTACTTTTCAACTCTGGTCAACTTGAAAAAGCAAAACAGTATGTTTCTAAAATTATCGAAACTGAAAAATCCAGAAACACCAAATTTTGGTACAAATACATACACATCTTGCGTTGTTTGGATTGCTCCTTGGATATGATTATCAGAGTGTCCAATGAAGCATTGACTTATTTTCCGACCAACTGGAAGTTGAGAGCACAAAACATTCAATTATTGGAAACAGGAAACGATACAAATGTTGCTGAAAAAGCTGCTGCTGAGGCTGTTAAAGCATGTCCTAGTTCGGCTACATTGTGGATCATGTATTCTGTTATAGTTGAAAAACGAGGTATTGTTATGAAAGCTAGATCTATTTTGGACTCTGCAATGTTGAAAATTTCCAACTCACCAGAATTGAATATTGCCAAAGTAGAATTAGAAAAACGCCAGAACAATATAACTACAGCCAAAAACCTAGCTAATAGGAATTTGAAGCAGTTTCCAGAAAATGCCTATGTTTGGTACCAATATTTATCGTTGATTCCAAAGATGTCATACAGAAAACCTGAATTTCTAAATGCTTTGCAAAAGACCCAAAATTCATCTGATATCTTGATGTACATTGGTGTTTTCTTTTGGCAAGATGGCAAGTTCCTTAAAGCAAAGTCATGGTTTGAAAGGAGTTTGACAGCTAATCCGAATAACGGTGATGCATGGGGATGGATGTACAATTATCTAAAGCAGTTTTCAGGAGAAGAAGAAAGAAATGCGTTTTTAGAAAAATACCGCTTGGAGAATGAGTGTGATAAAAGAGAGGGAAGGGTTTACAACATAGTGAAAAAGAATCCTAAAAACTACAACAAGTCACAACTTGAAATTCTTGAAATGGTTTCGTTGCTTTTACTAAAATTCTGAAGGTTGTTATTTTCTTTAATCAGTGGCATATCTTTTTCCCTTTTTCCCCTTTTTCCATTTTCCATTTTCCTTTTCTATTTATTTTGAGTGTTTATGCTGTATAATTTTAAATTTAATGAACTTAGTAGACATGGGAACTGACCTTTTGAAACCCATTGGTTAGCAGCCTCTTCACATAGAACCTTAAACTCGTAATCTCCATATGCTTTCAAAGACTTATTATCAATGTCTATAATAAGATAAGAATTTTTTTCCTTAGGCATATATTTGGAAACCAACTTTAACCTGGATGATAGCTCGTTTGGATTTAAGGTGCTTGGTAGGAATTCAAGCGAATAACCAAAGTACTTTGAGATAACTACAAGAATATCCCTAGACTTTGACGCGTACATTTCTCTCAATCTTTGTAATCTCTTTGCCAATTCGTCAATTTTTCGTTGAAGGTTGGATTTATCATCTTCTTGCCTTTCAAAGAGGGCCTTTGGAATGAGCTCGTTGTTTGACTTTTTCGAAATATACTCACTGATCAAACTTTCATTTTCTTTGCGTAGAGCATCAAGTGTTTCTTGTTTAACGAATTGGTCCTTTGCAAGTAAATTATTTTTTAGTTCCAAAATCTTCATTTGCTCCCGTTTTGCATCAATGTTTTGTTTCGATGACACCAATTCTTTCAAGTGCTTGTTCTCCAACTCAATTTTTTTCAAGTTAGAAGTAAGTTGAAAATTTTCCTTTTCCAAATCTAATGCTGTCTTTCGGAAGGAGTGTCCTTCAGGATGAAGTCTTTTATTACTATTACTATTACTATTAGTAGTAGCCACTGTCAGTGGTTCCAACTGTGAATGATTTCTTGATTCTAATTCGTCGATTTTGCGCTTGTATTCGTCTACAATATTCTCGAGATTTGTAACGTACTGAGCCATTTGCTTGTTTCCTTGGTCAGGTTCTTCTGATTTGTAAAGATCTTCCATTCCCTTCAACAGTGATCTCAAATTTTCTATTTCCTTTCCCGCCAACATCCTTGCTCTTTCTAAACCCACCACCTTATTTGACAAAACTTTTAGTTTTTCCTGCAAGCTGGAAATTGTTGGTAAATACTCCTTTTCAATCTCCACGATTACGTCTTCAAGCTCTTGCTTCAAATCGTTTACTTCAATGACTTTAGAATCGTATTTTTCTTGCAAAGTTGAGTTTCGAACCTGGAGATCCTTAAAAGTGCTTATGAACTTTTGTACTTTTATTGATTTGGTAATGTCTTCATCCTGAGTAGAGGCTTGGTTTGCGTCGTTATCAACAATTGCTGCAGCCAAAGTATTGAAATGCTCGTTATATTTTGCTTCAAGCTCGGCTTTTTCTATTTCCAATTTACAGCATTTAACACGCATTTCTTGAAACTCGGAAAGCTTATTGGTTAAGCTAATGTTTTTTTGCTGTAGTAGTTGAGATGAAGTCTTGTTTTGTAGTAACTGATCTATTTTTAATTGCAACTGATTATTTGTATGTTGTAGATGCTCGTTTTGGCTCATTAAACTTTGATTGATTTTGTTTAGAGAGTCATCTTGTTGGAAAAACTTTGTGTATTGTTCTAGTTTGTCGACAAAGTCTTGATTCGATTGTTGAAGAGTTTCAATCGTCTTTTGTTTAGTTTGCAAAGCTTTCGATAATTCGTCATTAAGCAGAATTTGGGCGTTCCAGTCGATAGACACTTGCTTGTGTTTGCGTATCAACCTGTCGTTCTTATCCACCAAATTCTGATACTTGGACTCCAATTCCTTATTCTTCAATTCCAAATTCCGGCATTTTTCACCAAGTTGATCAACTTTACTATTGGAGATTTCGGTTGAGTTTTGAACTTTGGACTCAAGTTGCTGATTCTCTTTGAAAAGAAAGTCCGAGTTCAACTTCAATTTCTTTATCTCGCTGTTTTTCGCCTTGATAGTTTCCTCATATTTGCAAGTTATAGAATCCCGTTCTTGCTGCCAGAGCTTCTTTTCAGCCTTCATCGATGATAATTGGAATTGTAACTTGGAAATCTCTAATTGCGTATCAATTTTCGCATTCTCAAGTTCATACTCTTGTGAAATACCCGTCCGTCGTGAGGGACTATCCACAAAGGGCGACGACATACTACCAGACATTTACCGCAGCCAAACAAACCCCTTGGTAACTAAAGCCATCCACCAATCCAATCTCCTTCCTAAGCCGGAGAAGCCCTTTGGCGCTTTCGGCGTTTGATTTTTGGAAATTTTTCAGTGTCGAGAAATTGTGTCGCAAAGTTTAAGAAAAATCTTTTTTCCGACAATCAATTGTCGCAAAGGTGTCGCAAAGCTTTGCAAATTTTTCCAAATCTTTTTTCCGACAATGAATTGTCGCGACGGTGTCAAATCTTTTTTCCGACAATGAATTGTCGCGACGGTGTCGCATAGTTTAAAATATATTTTTTCCGACACTCAACGAGGGGGGGATCACCGGCTAAGCTCTCGACTCCAATTGTATTTTACCCGAGGTTTTATATCCCTTTAAGTTCAAGGAGTAAGTTATTCAATTAGTATCCATTGGAAATGTCCAAGATGTATGTTTCAAGGTGCTTTTGATCTATATTTCGTATATGTTTAAGTACTAATTTGTTTGATTTCTAGTCCCAGGAATTTTAAGCTCCTTGAAGAGTTGGAGAAGGGTGAAAAAGGTTTGGGCGCTGAATCGATATCTTATGGATTAACCAATCAAGATGATATTACAATGACAAATTGGAATGGAACTATTCTTGGTCCCCCTCATTCGAATCATGAGAATAGGATTTATTCGCTAAGTATAATATGCGACAAAAATTACCCAGAATTACCACCTAAAGTGAGGTTTGTTTCCAGAATAAACTTGCCCTGTGTCGATCCTCGGGGAAACGTTATTATCGATGAATTTGACACGTTGAAAAACTGGAAGAGATCATATACTATGGAGACTGTGTTGTTGGAGTTGAGGAAATGCATGGCTTCCCCAAGTAACAAGAAGTTGATCCAACCTCCTGAGGGAGCAACTTATTAGCGGGAAAAACTTGCAAACGAAAGCAACCCAAAAGCAACCCACAAGCCCGTTTCTACAAGCTCGTTCTGCAAGCTCGTTTCTACAAGCTCGTTTCTACAAGCTCGTTCTGCAAGCTCGTTTCTACAAGCTCGTTCTGCAAGCTCGTTTCTACAAGCTCGTTTCTACAAGCTCGTTCTGCAAGCTCGTTTCTACAAGCTCGTTCTGCAAGCTCGTTTCTACAAGCTCGTTTCTACAAGCTCGTTCTACAAGCTCGTTTCTGCAAGCTCATTTCTGCAAGCTCGTTTCTACAAGCTCGTTTCTGCAAGCTCATTTGTAGAAACAAGTAATATTAACAATACCATACGTTAAATCGCTAGTCAGTGTGCTCCACTATCTCGCTCTGCTCGATAGTGTCGTTGGCATAGTTTCTAGAGTTTTGTTTCTTATTACTCAAATGCATATATAGTATAGATTACTTATCTAGATAAAAAAAAACCCCATTCTATTTATCCCCCTCTATTTACCCCCCTCTATCTATCCCCTTGTATCTTTTCCCCAACACTGATCATATCTGTCCCTCCGACTCCGACTCTATCAACTCTTTAAGCTCCCTTTCGGCAGCTAAAAATTCCTCAACGTATTTAGAATACTTTGAATCCTTCTCCATTAAATCACTATTCGTTTTGGCATTGGTTACCTCGATGTTTATCCACTTCTCGCCATAAACTTTCTCGCCGTTGCCAAGTTTCTCCACTGTTGGCGTTAAACACCTTTGAAATATCCTCTTAAACGGTAGACATATTATTTCTGGCGTACTTCGATACCCTCCACTACTGGCTCGAAACGTACATTCATGTTGAGTGAGAGACATAATGTGACATTTGTACAGTTCCGGATTCTGTAATGGTTCCTTGTACTGACGCTTGATCTCTTCAAGATCATAAACAGGTACAGGTGGCGCCATATCCTCTGATCCTCTACTGAATATCGGCACCAAAAATTATCAACTTGTCGGACCTAGAGATATCATGAAAAATGCTACCAAATGTGCATCCATTACTAAATACGAAGAGAGTGATGATGATGATGATGATGATGATGATACTCCACCTTTTCTCAACATCTCACGTTGATACCCAGTCTCTTTTCGCCTTCTCTCAATTCAAACATCACCTGAGATGCCACAAATAAGGAAATTGACGAGACTACAAAAAAGGAAAGTCCCAGCAAGGTTTCAAAAATCTTTTTAATCAATTGTAAAGTGCCGTCCTTGCCCAAACAGAACCCTACAAGATTTGCAATCATCATCATCCAAATGTTAACCACGGCTCCTAACCCACATAAGTACCTAAACCACGGTTCTTGGTTATACTTTCTAAAATAAACAGTTGCAGCAAGCTCGGGAATCAAGAAAGCCACTACTAACCAACCCCACATCAATAATCTCAATTCAATGTCATGCCATATTGCAACAAAACTGAATACAAATAAACTATTCAAGATTCGGTAGTTTCCACCTCCGCCCATGGGCACGTATATATATCTAATAACCCATCGATTAAAAGACCTGTGCCACGCTCTCCAAAATGCCAATGCTGAAAAGTTGTTATCCATGCAGCGTATCATATTCTCCGGCGGATCAATGCCATCAACCAAGCTCCAGAATCTGAATAGTCGCCACGGTATGAGTAATTTGAGCCATATGATATTCAAGTTGAACATACCAATCATCGAGATCTCAAAAGGCGAGTCACCACTCCATGCTTTTGTTTTCGATACTGCAACAACATACATGAAATGTAGGATAAACTCCATGACTAATAAACAAAATACAAATCGGAGAAAGTAAAGGAAAATAGCCTTGTAATCCTTGACTGTAGCTGATTGTTGATAGTTTGACTGGTATATGTAGTCATTGAATGTAACTATAGGACCGGCGATAAACAACGGGGCGTATGTTATATATGCCAAGTAATTGAATATATTATAATCTTCCAAAGGTAATGGAGCCACTAACCGTTCACGATCGTTGAGATTAACAAGTGTCCCATTCTTATCCTCAGGATTACAAAGCCTGTTTTCGCTCTCAATATAATCAAGATTGAACGATATCATGCGGAGCAATGTGAAATTGTAAAAAACGTCCCATCTTGCAATAATACCTTTGAAACCCTTGTCTAAAAATGGTATTCCAAACTTGAAAGTGCCGTACCAGTCATTAAAGAATAAGGTCGACACCCCATAAATCCACGTCATCCATATAGCCATTCTACGGTTTTTGACATACTTACCAATTAAGTAGCTAATAGTCAAATGCATGCATATCTTGAGAACATTGACCCCATGAGCTCCAATCAAAAAGATTATACCAAAACCAAGGTCAAAATAGCTTCTCTTTTTTATAGATAAAATTGGCGTCAAGATCTTTCTCAAGGATACATGTAAAACAATTAGCAAACATAATAAAGGGAAATTGTCTCTGAAAAATCGATACTGCTGATCTGAATTATCAACTTTTCTACCAAATAACCAGCCTTGACTTAGAAGGTGCTGAAAGCGCGGATAATTCGGATTGGTTTCATTTGAAGCACTCATTCCTGCTTTAAACATCAACGGCACAGCTACAATGAACACACCATAGTATATTTTAAACTCTAACGTCGACCATTTGGAAGGTTTTGAAGCTTCTTTAATAATTTGCTGTCTCTTTGAGTTATTACAAGAAGGTTTGAGCCTCGAGTCTAAGGTTTCGAGAGAGAAAAAGCGGCCCAAATCGTGGAGAAAATTCATATCTGAGACGGTAAATCCCAAAATGACAATGAAAAGATGCTTACAACAACCAATATCTTCAAATATATTGGTCCCCCCGCCAATTGAACTTTCCTGATTATACCAATTTGGTATATATATATATTTTTTTTTTTGCTCTATTAGCCGCCGACTGGAAAAATAAAAAAAAGTGTCAAGATGAAGATGAGATTGAAGAAGGACGAGGTACTCAACGGTGTGGTGATTGAGAGTATTTAGAGATGACTAAAGAGGAAGAATCTGCTAGTGATTTCACCAGAAGGCCGAATCCTAAAGGGTGGACATTACCAAAAGCTCCTTATAATCCGTATGATCCAGCGGATGTACGTCCAGCTCAAGGGTATCCATCAGAATATAATTTGCCAGGACAGCAACCCAAGGGGTTTTCTTCTATACCGAGGCAGCCAACACAGTACCAGAAGGTGAATGAGACAATGGAACGACTTAATTATACAGCCAGGCCACGTTCGGATCTATATCCTGGGCAATATAAAGTCTTGCGTAGAGTCGATACCAATAGAAATCTCAACATTGGCTCACGTTGGTTTGGAACATTTTTGGGTGGGTCAATAGTAATATATTTTGTTTTCTTTTATAGGTGGAACGAGGGGAGAGAAAATGTCTTTACAGGTTTCTATAGAAGCCAACTATGGTTGAAGGAGAAATTATTTGGGTTAACCAAAGAGCAGTACGATGACTTGCATTTCCCACATCAGAGCCACACCATGGTGAAGGGTGTTAAAGACGCACTATATATCCCTGAGGATATGAGAAAGACTCAAGAAGGCCAGTTTGCCTTGAATAGACCTAGTGAAAGACATATATTAGAAGCGGAAAGAATCCAGCAAGAGAGGGAGGAAGAGCTCTTATCGAAAAGCTAGTAAATAACGAAAAGGAGCTTGTAAAAAGCAGTCCCTTTGGGTATGTAGGATATAGGGCGGGGGTATAAATTGACGAATAATAAACCCCTCGAAAATTCTTTGTTGATTGAAAACTCCGTTGGCGAAACCTCTGTTGATTCAAAAACTCCATTCGCCAAAACCTCTGTTAACAAAAACTCCGTTCATGAAACCTGTGCGAATTAAAACTCCGCTCATAAAACCTCTATTAATGAAAACACCGCTTATGAAACCTCTACTAGCTGAAACACCGTCAAACAAACCTTTGTTAAACGAAGCCTTGATAATTAAGCCTTTGCAAACAGGAAGTGCTAAATATCTATTAACCAACTTAATATAGACTGAACATACACTCCTATCCTATATAAAATCATTATCATTATTAGCACAAGACGAAGAGAGGACTCGATACCACTGCAACAGTAGAAGAGTACCACAAAAGAGTGCAACAGAAGAGGAAACAATCGAGTACTGGAAAAATCGTTATGGCATTAACAAACAAAATCTTACAATGAAAAATTTCAATCTTTTACACCTATTTCTAAAAACGGTAAACTTGTAGAACCTCCCCAGGGACATTTTGAGCACCTTTCATGACACTGATATCTCCTACTACGAAAGGGCAAGATGTTGGAATCCTCCATCCGAAAGTACTACTATTCTCCGCAGGTATTGCTGTTTCGGCAATATTGGGGTATCGCATATATAGACGGTATTTCAAGAGAATTCGAACAATACTTGATCTCACTCCCGAGATTCTTGAAGACAACCAAAAGTTATATGGATATGTTACTCGTGTAGGAGACGGAGATAACTTTCGGTTTTACCATACTCCAGGTGGGTGGCTTCTTGGTTGGGGCTGGTTGAGACATGTTCCCCTTAAGAATAAGATAATTATGCGTGATGAGACTTTAATGATTAGATTATGTGGCGTTGATGCCCCAGAACGCGCTCATTTTGGTAAACCCGCCCAACCATTTAGTGAAGATGCTTTGGAGTGGTTGAGAAATTATGTTTACGGGAGATATGTGACTATCACGCCGTATCTGATTGACCAGTATAAAAGAATAGTAGCTCGGTGTCAAGTCTGGAAATGGTCAGGTAAAAAGGATGTGTCAGCTGAGATGTTGAAGAATGGTGTCGCGATTGTTTACGAAGGGAAAGCAAATGCGGAATTTGGAGACTGTGAGGATTGGTACCGACGGTTAGAAAAAAGAGCCAAGTGGTTCAAAAGAGGTGTCTGGTCTTTAGGTTCGAAAATGATAACTCCAGGAGACTTCAAGAGGGTTCATTATCGGGGAGAATAAAAAAAAAAAAAAATCGACAAATTGACCTGTATTTCTTCTAAGAGGAAGAGGGGGAGGGGGAACTTGAAAAGTTTTCAACACAATCCAGTTTTTCAAGCAAGCAATTCGGATACAGCTTTGGATAAGGCTTCGACATTGTCTTTGGTATCAGCTTCAGCATAAATACGCACTGCATCTTCTGTACCAGAAGCTCTAACAAACGATCTTCCCTTTGGGTACTTGGAAACCAACTCATCTATTTTCGACTGCATGCCTTCTGGCTTAACTAAAGTTCTTTCGGCATTGGTTGTTTGAAAAATTGATCTATCAGGAACAACGACTTTTGTTAGTTTATTAGGTAAGTCTTGATAAGCATTATTCCATTGCTCGGGGGTTAGTTTTAAATAATGGACTATGGCCAACACGGCTAACGAATCTGAAATCGCATCACCAACAGTTTGGTTTATTAATTGACTAAACGTTTGTAATACCTCAACTGCTTTTTCTTCTTTTGGAGAAGTGGACTTGTATTCTGATATTTTTCGCTCTGCTTCGGAACTAAAGAGAACAGTTCCATGACCGTTGGCTTCGAAGTATATTCCAATGTCAAATTTTTCAGCTTCACTGTGTAAATGTTTGACACCAGTTGGTGTGCAGCGTACTGGAAGTTTCAACTTTTTTTCAACATACTCTGATGATGAACCATTGGCATAAGCTGTCTGAACGATTCCTATATCTAAGGACAATTTCGATGAATCGATTGTTTTGAATAGCTGTTGCAAAAACAACGCAATCAAGGTGGCAATTTTATCTCCATCTAGCAATACAAACTGATCTTGCTCTGTTTTGAAATAACAAATCAATCTGTCTGCATCACCATCAAAGGAAGCATACAACTTGTTAGCAACTGGCTCGACATTTTTGGGCAATTTTTGATTTGTCTTGACAAAATCAGCACCACATTCATAATTCAACAAATCGGCTACCTCATAGTCGCCATTAACAACATGAAAGTCTATTTCGTCGGCAAGGTAGGTTTGCAAAAGCTCCTTTACTTTGGGTGCGCCAACACCGTTGGCTGCATCAATTGTTATATCAATCTTGTCGCCGCCATCTCCATCCCCTTTTGATAATTTGTAAATTTTCTTAAAAGCGTCAGCTAGCTTTGTATAATACCCTGTTTCATTTGGCTTTCCAAAGTCTGGATCATTAAAAGTTCTAGTAAGGTAATGTAACTCTGGCGTTGTTAAAAGTTTGAAATCTTTGAATTTCGTATTTGGTACGCTTTTGAACCCATCGATTGTGGACTCACTTAACCTAGGGCTACTTTCTCTTGAATCCCTACCAATAACAATGCTACTTTCAACACCCAAATCGATATTCAATTGCTCACATAATTTCTCGACATTTTTCACCAATTCATCGTTTGGGGAATTTGCCAATTGCGTAGCATAGGATTCCCATTGACTTTCTAACATACTCCCCATTGGGTCAACTACCTTGACACCATTATCCTGAGGCGGATTATGGGATGCCGTAACCATCACACCAACAGTTTTACCGCCCAAATACTTAGACCTCAAGCTAGCTAAAATTCCAACAACATAATTAACATAATCCAAATCTTTAGCATTCATACGAAACCCTGCTGTTCCATAAGAAAATTTAACATTATCTGGCTTGACATGGCGAGTCAATTGTACACTAATAAGCTCTTGTAACGACATCTTAGACTTCCAAACCTCACAAACTTGACTAGGAATAACCTCTAAAGTTTTGCAATGACTTTCAAGGCTTCTTCTACTTGTTCATTTTAACTCTTTACGTGGCACAGTGAAAAATTTTTGGATCGAGCCGCACAAGTAACCAGATCTGGATCGAGCCGCACAGGTAAACAAATTTGGATCGAGCCGCACAAGTAAGCGAATTTGGATTGGCTCTGCTCATCTCATTTGGGTGATGGTGATGGGCTCTTTTATTCAAAGCAATATCAGTTATATCGGTCGAAGAAGCAAGATCCATGTTACAAAAGCGAGACGTGTTTAGGAGATTGAAGTCTTCATCGGTAAGGACTCCATCGTTTCATAGGAAAAATGCCAACGCCCCGGTCAAGGTGAAATCGAAGCATCAACAAGGACTACAAGAACAGTCATCTATTACAAATACCACTACCTCCTCCTCCCCGTTTACACAGGAGCTTTTGATGACAGGTAGGCCCAACTGGGACAAAGCACCGTCTCAATTGAAACAACGCTACAGAGGTATATTCCTTGTTCTCTTGTCCATCCCAATAATAGCAGTTACATCCTTTGTTATGTACCAAAGGTTAGAAGGTAAGTCGACAAAGAAGATCCAACAGGGCGAGCTATTAGAAAACGGAACTAAAAGAGATTTTGATGAAGCGGAAAAATATAAAGTCGAAAAGGAATCATTCATGTATAAGATATTTGGCAGGGATTTCTTTCTCGACGGGTTCACTAGTAAGACGATGAAGAATGATCAAGAACAGGAAGAAAAAAAAAACACGCATTAGATAGGAAGTAGTCTAAATAAAGCAGGTAATGGGAGGCTAAGAAGCAGGTAATGGGAGGCTAAGAAGCAAGTAACGTGTATGTATGGAGGGGTAAGGGTGTTGTTTCCACACAGGTTAACCGTCATTCAAAAGACTTTAGCAAGTTTTCATCGTTGTATCTTGAACCCAATGAAGATGACAAGGGACGTTCAGGAGAGGCGGAATTATAGCTCAATTTTCTCGCATACGTCAAGTTTGGGATCTTCATTTCATTTAGTAGAGAATTGGGTCTTCCAATTACAGTAGCAGTCGAGCTAGTGCGTGATCTTGAGATATAAAATGGGTCATTACGGCGGTGATATTGTACTGTAGTGTCTAGATTTGGCAGACTCAATTGTAAACTTGTACCATTTTTGATACGGAAGGGAGATTGGAAAACCACATGAGATGCATTGATTGCAGGAATTTGTGTATAGCCTTTACGTTTAGATATAACTGGGTAGCCAAGCTGTATATAGCTGGGATGGATTCTAGGTAGTTTGGAAGGTTTTCTTATACTCGAGTTTAAGACATTTTCAAAATATGCAGTGATATCAAATGGGGCCAGTTCCAGGTGTTTGCTTGTTACTTTTCGTTGCTGCACTGGTGTCTTGACTAAAGTTTCTTCTTCGTCTTCCTTTTTGCGTTCATTGACATAATCATATACTTGAATCAATGAATTTCTCAAGTTTTTGCCACAGGACTTGTCAGTTTCATTATCAGTAAATATGTCAACCATTTTATCTTTTTTCAAAACACTCAATGGCATTGTTACTGACTCCACATCTACATTAAAATCAATACCTAGTCCATTGCTTGTGAGTCTCTCGAAATAACCTTGCGATTCTCCTCTTGATTTAGTTTGAAATTGGCGCAAGCCTTTGCTATCGCATGTTTTGTCCCGAGTATCCTGCGTTAAATGCTGTTTTCTGGAAAAGCCTTCGGGGTCAGGAGCCTTTGCTCGTGTTATCAAGTCATTCACCTCCATCCATTTTGGTTGTAATTGCTTATAAAATTGTGCCAGTAAACTTTTATCGGTGATAATATTCTCATGTATAGCATTTTGAATCAAGTAAACTGAGTTTGCACATACTTTGTATCTACCACCTACATCTTCGTTGACAACAGAGCTTGCGTTGCAACTAGCGGAATCCCAAAATGCCAATACATCTATCAACTCATTACACTCCTGTTCAATCTGTTCTATCAAGTAATTGAATATCTGATTCCACTTTGAATCTATATTTTCCACTTTCAAGATTTTCATTTGGATCTGGAGGTAATTCCATTTGTCCAACATGGATTCATAACTTAGCAATACTTTCTCTCTAGATTCTTGGAAAAGGCTTTGTGAACATGCATTATTGAACTCTTCAATTTGAGAGGGTACAATGTTTAGCGAGATGGACAACGGTTCAATCTTTTCCACTAACGCCATATACTCTTCATAAATCTTTTCATCTAAATCGTTAAAAGTGGGTAATCGCATTGACTTGATTTTATTCGTGCTTGTAAATTCATTGATCTTCATTTTGGAAACTATATCAGCCAAACTGAAATTTGCTAAAACTCTCTGGGGGCTTGTAAGTTTATACTCCTTCAACTTGACGACGCTCTTGATATAGTCTTCAATTTTCACCTTTAGCGACCTGATAACATTCTCAATCAACTCATGATACTTTATTGAAATGTCCAAGTTCTTTTTCAACAAAATCAGCGATTTCTTGACATCCAACAATAAATCACTCGCTTCTTCAAATTTTCGTATTAGATTGTTCTGGTTTATATCGGTTAAGGGTTCTGCGACTTCAACCACTAGCAAAAGCCTGGAGATTATCGAGTCGATGCTATCCAAATTTCGAAGCAAATCAATCAAGGCATTTTTACCTTCAAAATACCAATCTAGTAAGTTTTGAGCATTTTTGGACACTTGTTTGATATTGTTAAAAACCATAATCAAGTCGTTCAAGTATAAGTCAATATCATCGAGAACCTTGTTGATTTTAAAGAGATCATGTTGCAGTAGCTGTACTGAGGAAGATGGACTCGGCTCGGTTATGTTGATTAGCTCGTCAAAAAAGGAGAAATTCGCTATTGACGTTAGTAGGTGCGATAGCTTGAGTGTGGGAGCCCGAATCATATTAGCATGTCAAACAAGAAAGGCTCTATTTTTTTTTTAATATATATCTTTATCTTTATCTTTATATAGATTGTAGTGGGGGGGGGACACTAAGGCCTTTTCTCAACTTTATAAGATTGTAATGGGTAGTGGGTTATATCAGTAAAGTGATGCGTAATTTTAGCTGAAATGTTGAACGGCTCTTTGATGTAAAGCTATTGTGCGAAATATGTTTCTGTTATATACTATGTGTGCTGCGAAATGATGTGTTTGCTATGTAAGATGTACTTTGTGTGATAGTTTGATATGGCCTCACCAAATCGTATATCAAACAATTTTGATCTATACATTTTGATGTTTCAGATTTGATTCAAATGTAAAGCATCAACGGGAAAAAAACAAGCTTATCAAACAGTGGGGTCGAAATAGTTTGAGGGTGAATGTCTAAAAATGTTGTTTAGTGTTTATAGAGCAAGCGATCGAATTGATGTAGTTGTGTGGCAGAGAACAATGCTCCACTATCGAGCAGAGCGACACTATCGAGCAGAGCGACACTATCGAGCAGAGCGAGATAGTGGAGCATTGATTGTCTTCGACACTATCGAGCAGAGCGAGATAGTGGAGCATTGACTGCCTTCAACACTATCGAGCAGAGCGAGATAGTGGAGCATTGATTGTCTTTGAAACTATTGAGCAGAGCGAAGCGACTGCCTATGACATGGTCTCGCTCTGCTTGATAGTGAAGCATTGATTGCCTTTGACATGATCTCGCTCTACTCGATAGTAGAGCATTGATTGCCTTTGACACACTCGGTAAAAATTTAATAATATAAGTATATATGAATATATATAGCACATATATTGCATATATAAAAGTATAGATTTATGTATTTATATATATAGCACTTATGACTTGTATATACAACACATATATAAATACATGTGCTATATGTTATTACAAATATCAGTCGAGTGTGGCTAATTGGGAAGGCAGCCGTCAACTGATATGTATAGGTTTTATATAGTTTATATACCCAATTCTTAAACAGACTTCAAGTGAATAACATTTCACCTACGTTTTTGGCATTTGTTGCCTAGTTGAAGATACAGTAGTTGAACACCATTATCGAGCAACGCTGACTAGCCGCCACGGACACTATCGACACTATCGAGCGAAGCGAGATAGTGGAGCAACACTAGCTGCCTCCAACACTATCGTCTTTATCTCGCTTCACTCGATAGTAGAGCACACTAGCTGCCTCCAACACTATCGTCTTTATCTTGCTTCACTCGATAGTGACGATAGTGTGACTCGCTACCAACTGTCCGATGCGATGAGATGCAAAAAAAAACCGATAAAAGTATTAGAGATGAGATGAGATAAGAGAAGAATACAATTTAGAGAAACAAGAAGATAACCGACAGCTATATCTCATGGGTAAAGCGCCACATAAGAAGTTCACAACAAATGCAAACCCTACGGGAAATACTGTAGCCGCTGATAAACATGTCAACTCTGTTTTCAAGTTTAATACGAATTTAGGCCAACATATTTTGAAGAACCCCTTGGTTGCCCAGGGTATCGTTGACAAAGCTCAGATCAGGCCAAGTGATACGGTTTTGGAAGTAGGTCCCGGTACAGGTAATTTGACTATAAGAATCCTAGAAAAAGCAAGAAAAGTCATTGCTTCGGAAATGGATCCAAGAATGGCAGCTGAATTAACTAAAAGAGTTCATGGAACCCCGCAAGAAAAGAAATTGGAAATCTTGCTTGGGGATTTTATCAAAACAGATTTACCTTATTTCGACATATGTATATCAAACACTCCCTACCAGATATCGTCTCCGCTAGTGTTTAAATTATTGAACCAACCTAAACCACCGAGAGTATCCATCCTCATGTTTCAAAGAGAGTTTGCAATGAGATTGGTAGCAAGACCTGGAGATGAATTGTATTGCAGATTATCTGCCAATGTACAAATGTGGGCTAACGTAACACATATAATGAAAGTGGGTAAGAATAACTTCAGACCCCCTCCGAAAGTTGAATCAAGTGTGGTTAGGATAGAGACTAAGAATCCAAGACCAAATATTGACTTTAATGAATGGGATGGGTTGTTGAGAGTCGTGTTTGTGAGAAAGAATAAAACCATTGCTGCTGGATTTAAAAGTCTGAATGTGGTTGATATATTGGAGAAGAATTATAAGACTTGGTTGGCTACACAAGAGCTAGCCAATGACGACAAAATGGTGGTCGATGATCGATCAACCTTGAAGGATGTGGTGAAGGAGAAAATCGCAAAAGTATTGACGGAAACAGGTTTTGCAGATAAGAGGGCAGGTAAACTAGATCAAACGGATTTTTTAAAGTTGTTATATGCTTTTCATCAAGTTGGTATACATTTTGCATAAAACAATAAACCATTTATTTTACGCCTTTTAATGAAGCTGCAAGCGACACTATAGAGCGGAGCGAGATAGTGGAGCACATTGCCTAGCAACACAGACTGTCACAGACACATGCGAGTAGCAACAAAAATAAAACGTGTTATCATCTACCTCCTCTTGGAAATCTTTGTAGTATCCTTTTCTATAACTTCACCAACCCCGCCCATCTCTTCTAAATTGTCTTCTGCAACAGAGACAGCTTCTCTTCTTTCCCAAAATCTATCTTCACATAAATCAAATGCAATTTTTTTCAAATTCTTACCACGAGCTTGTCTATTACTGGAAATGGACCATTCCAAGAACTGAGCACCAGTACGAACATAAAAAGCACGTAAGGATTCAAACGGTTTAGGATGGGGTAACCAGGATCTTGGATCAGGAAATTCTTCTTCTTCTTCTTCTTCTTCTTCTTCTTCTTCTTCTTGTTGCTGCTCTTCCTCTATTTCCTCCTCATCCTCGTCCTCTTCTACCTGCTCCCCTTCTACATCATCCTCTTCCTCATCTTCATCTTCATATTCGTCATCATCAGAATTACTTGCTTCTTCATCCAATTCAGACAAATCCTCCCATAACACCTTCACCCCATCCAATGTACCCAAATTAATAGCGTAAAATGAATCCAAGTTAAATTCACGATCCCCTTTTTCATAGATACCACCAAATATATATAAGACATCATCCACGACACAAGTAGTTGCATTGAACCTTGGATGAGGCAACTGATTCATATATGGGTACACTTTTGTATCACTTTTATCATCCTCCTCCTTTTCTTCTTCAAACAGTTTCTTTAGATCATTTTCATTTTCGTTCTCTTCATTTTCATCATCATTCAAGTTGGCCTTGGCCAAAATAGAGTTTAAAATATCTTCTAAATCTTCATCTCTAGTTTTCTCTTTTATTACTTCTTTCTTTTTCCTTTGTGGTCTCAATCCCAAGTTATACCACCTATTACTATCAATGTGGTAAGAATACAACTGATTATAAAACTCTGATTCTAATTGTTCTTCACTTTCTTCAAAATCATAGACGCCTCCAAAAAGGATTCCTCGATTCTTGTGATACACCAACGAACACCCCACACGAGGCAGTGGCAACATTCCTTGTTTTCTCCTTCTCTCAAATCTAATACCCTTTGGGTCCGATTTCATTTTCAATAGCCAACAATCGTTTAAAACTTTCCCCTTTTGCAAATTTTTCTTAGATTTAACTTTAGTATACCCACCATACAATACAGCGCCTTCTGCATGGGCAATGAGCGAGTGGCCCGAGCGAGCATCAGGTATTGTATGGTTAGGAGGGAACTCAACTTGCTGCCATTTATACTCGGTCACATCAAATATCCATACATCATTCAAATAAGTTGTCAGTGTACCTAAATCTCGGAAACCACCATGCAAAATAATGAAATTCTTCCACGTAGATAGCCGATGGCCAGATCTTGCCAGCGGCCCTTTTTTCTGGTCCACTTTTTGCCATTCCTTGGTTTCTGCATCGAGAATCCAAGTATCACCATAATGATAAAATGTCAGTTGTTTGGGTGATGAAAATTCACCACCAAACATCAAGATCACTCCCGAAGGGTGTGCGCACATTGCATGAGAAGACCTGGGCAAAGGTGCATTTTTTGAAGTGATTTTCCTCCAAGTATCAGTATCTATTGAATAAGTGTACAAATTGTTATAAAAACAAAATACTTTATTTTCATTTGATTCTCCTCCAAATAAAATAATCTCTCGTTTATTGTGCAAGGGAGAAGCAACCATTGTCGGATTCATTCTTTTACTTGGATGAGTCTTTAACACCTCTACCTTGATCTCATTAAACTCCTCTTGTTCTTTAGCATAATTGGCTAAAATAACATCTATATCCTCATCTTCCTCATCTTCATCCCCGCCAAGCTTCTTGGAGAGTTTTTTGTTTTTTAGTTCAGCCTTGGTTAAACTCTTTTTCTGTTTCTCTGCTGCCCTCGCCTTCTTAGCCTCCTTCAGCTTTTTATCCTTCTTGGCCATATCTATTCCACTCCTTTCTTCTTGATTGTAAACAGAAACTGAAAAATTCTGAAAAAAAAAATTAAAAATAAAAAAAAAAATAAACCAAAGCCGCACATCAAAATCGAATGAGTTGAATCAAAACACAACATACTTTGAAAAGACAAGGCACAGATTTTGCTTGCTTGCCCATCTTACCTACGACCAAGCAATGTCCTCATCAAGTAATACCAATGAATATTTTAACAAACAACGAGATCTACTTCTACAGGAAATTTCCAGCAATTTATCTGAAGTGTATCAGAACTTGGAGACGCTAAACCGGGCAATGAATGAGAGTATTCAGATTGGGAAAGAATTTGATGATGTAGGTCGGCTATGGGCAGTTTTTTATGATGGGATGAACGAATTGAGAAAACTACAAAGCGAGGCAGAAAAGAAACTGGTGGATGTACTGGAAGAGAAAGAGTTGTATAGTCGGTCCGATGTACCTTCTGAAAAAGATTAATAATCTTTTTCAGGAATGTAAATGGCTAATTGGGTGTAGGGGCACTGAAGGATAGAGCGCTGGAGGATAGAGCGCTGAAGGATAGAGCGCTGTATAGTGCCGCAACAAGGTCAAAACGCGTCGGCTTCCTCCACGTTCTTCGTCGCCCTATAGGAAAAGCTACATTACTAAAAACAGCTATAGGAAAGTTTTATTTTCAACAGAATATAAGATAAAATATAGAAGAATTGAGCAACATTGCTTTTTTTTGGTTTGTTTCTTTCCCACCTTAGCGCTCTAGTTGTATTTTTTTGTAGTAGTTATTGATGATGATGTTGTTGTTGATTAGAAACATTTGTGGTGAACAATTGATGGTCCAGATTCATCGTATTCTTGTTTTGAGATCCACATTTGTTGGAAGGTAGATAATGAAGCCAAGATAGAACCACCAATCCAGACAGAGTATTTTCTCTCTGGAGGAGCAATGATCTTGACCTTCATTGATGATGGAGCCAAAGCAGTAATTTCTTTTTGCATACGTTCAGCAATACCTGGGAACATAGTAGTACCACCAGACATAACAATGTTACCGTATAATTCTTTTCTAACATCAAGATCACATTTCATGATAGAGTTGAAAGTAGTTTGGTCAATACCAGCGGCTTCCAAGCCCAAGTCAGCTGGACGGAACAAAGCTTCTGGAGCTCTGAATCTCTCGTTACCAATAGTGATGACTTGACCATCTGGCAATTCATAAGATTTTTCAATAGCAGATGATTGTGATGAGGTTTGCATTTCTTGTTCGAAATCCAAGGCAACGTAACATAATCTTTCCTTGATATCTCTAACAATTTCTCTTTCAGCAGTGGTTGAGAAAGTGTAACCACGTTCAGACAAAATCTTCATCAAGTAATCGGTCAAATCTCTACCAGCCAAGTCAATTCTCAAGATACCATGTGGCAATGAGAAACCGGCGTAAATTGGAACAACGTGGGTAACACCGTCACCTGAATCCAACACAATACCAGTGGTTCTACCAGACGAGTACAATGACAAAACAGCTTGGATGGAAACATAGAAAGCTGGCACGTTAAAAGTTTCAAACATGATTTGAGTCATTTTTTCTCTGTTTGATTTGGGGTTCATTGGGGCTTCAGTCAACAAAACAGGATGCTCTTCAGGTGCAACTCTCAATTCATTGTAAAAAGTGTGGTGCCAAATTTTTTCCATATCATCCCAGTTGGAAACAATACCGTGCTCAATTGGGTATCTCAAGGTTAAGATACCTCTTTTGGATTGTGCCTCATCACCAACATACGAATCCTTTTGTCCCATACCAACCATAATACCTTGGTGTCTTGGTCTACCAACAATAGATGGGAAAACGGCTCTTGGTGCGTCATCACCGGCAAAACCGGCTTTACACATACCGGAACCATTATCGATAACTAAAGCAGCTACTTCTTCTATAATAAGTAGTTAGTAAAATTCCCCAAAATAAAAAGAAAAAGAGACAATTTTCCAATTTAGTTTAGCTCTATTCTCTTTGTTACTATTTTCACCTTTTTTTTTTTTTTTTGCAATAAACAGCAATTTTGTAAGGCTCTCTTTTTTTTTCGACGATAAACAACGTCAACGTCAACGTCAACAATATTGAAGAAAAAAAAATAAGTGATCTTGGAAGACAGGTTTCTATAAAGAAACAAGTGGTGTGGGCTAGGAATGGCGGATAATGCCTGATTTTGAAAAAGGCTAATCAATTAAAGAAATCTCTTGAGAAGGTCTCTCTGGAAAGATCTCTCTGGAAAGATCTCTTGAGAAGGTCTCTCTGGAAAGATCTCTCTGGAAAGATCTCTTGAGAAGGTCTCTCTGGAAAGATCTCTCTGGAAAGATCTCTTGAGAAGGTCTCTCTGGAAAGATCTCTCTGGAAAGATCTCTTGAGAAGGTCTCTCTGGAAAGATCTCTCTGGAAAGATCTCTTGAGAAGGTCTCTCTGGAAAGATCTCTTGTATCTCTTTGTAGAATTCGATGGTTTTTTTGAACAACACTTGTTGAGGTAGTTGCCTCAACACACACCAATGCATCTAAACCGAGAAAAGCAAAAGCATGAAAAAAACCAGGCCAAACACAGCGAATCAAACCCTTTTGAAGTCACCTTCAAACCTAAAACCAGCCCTGCTGTCCAACTCTGTAGTCCAACTCTGCTGTTCAACCCTGCTGTTCAATCCCGTTGTCAACAAATGTTGACGAAAAAAAAAAAAAAAAAACAAAAAAAAAAGATCAAGAGGAGCTAAAACTGAAATCAGATGACAAGGTCTAGAGACCCCGATCAATCAATCGAGATCAGGTCAATGACCATTAAAAGGGGAAATTGGAATAAACATACCACCGTCCATTTTGCAAGATATTAGATACTATATATGAGTTGTGATGGATATAAGATATATTTCCTATGAAAAAAAGTGAAATTCAACTGAAAAAAAAAAAAAAAAAATCACTGAGAGAATAAAAAAGCGCTGAATCTGGTTTGTTGGCAATAAATTTATCAGAGCGAGAAAACCTGAAAAATTGAAAAAGAAAATGGTATAGGAATTGTATAGGGGAACTGTATAGAATTGTATAGAATTGTATAAGGAAATTGTATAGCGGGATTGTAGAGAATTGTAGAGAATTGTAGAGAATTGTAGAGAATTGTAGAGAATTGTAGAGAGTTGTAGAGAATTGTAGAGAGGAAAAGAAGATATGGGGTATTGTTCAACAATCTACTATAAATAGGTTTGAAAGCATTTGGTTATCGCAAATATATTTCATATTCTCGTTAAACAATATTAACAAATTAAATTAGAAACTTTTTTTTCCAGGCCTTTGTTACTGATTGTAACATCAATTTATATACATGATATTCTCGCTTGCCAAAGTGGAGTTAAAGGCAAAGTATAGGACACTATTGAGCACATTGACTAACTTCCCTTGGACTCTTATTGTAAGCTGTTACATGTAGATGACACTATCGAGCAAAGCGAGATAGTGGGCACATTGAGTAATTTCCTTTGGACTCTTGTAAGCCGTTACATTAGATGACACTATCGAGCAAAGCGAGATAGTGGGCACATTGACTAACTTCCTTTGTACTCTTATTGTAAGCTATTTACATATAGATGACACTATCTTGCTTTGCTCGATAGTGGGCACATCTAATTTGTTTGGCGTATTTTTCACTCATTATGTCTTCGGCAATTACGGTGATTACTCGTATTAAATCACACCAACAGAAAAAAGCCGAAATCGAAATCGAAACAAAATCGAAACAAGATCGAAAAAAATCGAAAAAAAATCAAACTGAGTAGAAATCTAACTTTAAGTAGAGGTGTAGAAATGTAGAGGTGTAGAAATGTAGAGGTGTAGAAATGTAGAGACGTGGAGATGTGGAGATGTAGAGAAATTGTAGAAATTGTAGAAATGTAAAAAATGCAGAAAATATTGAAAATATGGACTATATGTATTCTACAAAATGAAACTGCTCATATATTCAAGAATCAAATCGAGCAAAGCGAGATAATGGAGCACAGTGATTAGCTGCCATCGATACTATCTCGCTCTACTCTACTCTGTACCACTCTAATCTACAATATACTACTTTACTCTACTGTAGCTACACTATACTACTTTACTCTACTCTAACTGCTCCAAATGCTCTAACTACACTACTCTACACTATCTCGCTCTGCTCGATAGTGTTTTCTAGTGTTCTCCGCCTCCCCCCCTCCCAAGCTTAATTCAAAGCTACTACACATTAATAATTACCTAAAATAGGATACCTCCTTCTCGCACAGGCGAAAAGAAAGAATGAGAAAAAAAAAAAAAAAAGCGTTCCATAGAGAACTTAACAAATCAAAATCTCATACACCCCCTCCCCTCCTCCCCGTTGCATTATTAACCGTGACAACTAGACTAGGATCCGGAAATCTTCTCTCTTAATATAGGTCATCTTTGGGAAGTAGCATAATACAGGGAATTAGCATACAAAGGAATAAGATTCATTTGTGAGCTGTGATCTTTTAAAACATATCAAACAAAAAAAGGATATTTGTTAACACAAAAAAAACATGTCTTCATCAGTACCATATGATCCATACATCCCAAACCAGACTACGGGAGAGCAGTCCAATTCAAGGACAGCTGCCATCCAAGCAGTACGTTTTTTGTTTTTGTTCTTCTTCTTCTTCTTTTTTTTATTTTTTTAGTACATCTGCCAATTTTATGGCAATTCACATCTAATACTAACCTCTTATGTTTTTCATTTAGCAAATCGATGATACTGTGGGCATCATGAGAGATAACATAAACAAAGTCGCTGAAAGAGGTGAGAGGTTGGACTCAATAGAGAACAAAACCGATAATTTGGCTATTAGTGCTCAAGGTTTTAGAAGAGGAGCAAACAGAGTTAGAAAGGATATGTGGTGGAAAGACTTCAAAATGAGAATGTGTCTAATCTTTGCCGTTATCATTGTGATCATTGTGATTGTTGTTCCTATTGCTGTTCATTTCAGTTAGATTTCTTTTTTGATTTAATTGTTTAATGTTATAGTTGTTTAATGATTTTAACGTGCCCACACTCACCACCCCCATTCATAGTAGATCTCCATGAACTGGAAACTCGGAATGGCGGTATAGCTTTTATGCCGATATGCCCAGAACGCAATGTCGTGATTCAAGTTTTTTTCCTCTTGCTTTGAATAGATATATATCTATGTAAGCTTAGATCAGATTGGAAAATCAATGTATATTGAAAGTGAAAAAGGAGTCAAATAATCTCTTAATTTTTTTCTTTTTTTTAACTTCTTTTTTCAGTGTGCTCAATAAAACCATCCCATAACCTAACATCATCTCTTTTTCAAATTCACTTTCTTAACAGGCAATTGGAAAAAAAGAAAACACTCCACAACTCCAATAAAGTATGTATAGATCGTTGTTAAGACCATCGGCAGTGGCATTCCGTGCTTTCACGCCACGCTCTACCATTTCGGTTCGTTCTTTCTCGGTCTATTCTCCGCAATTTATGAAATCGGCTAAAGACTCCCATGCCTACAAATATCTTCATGAAAAAAAGCCAATTGAACAAAGATTTACTGCAGAGCACGAATACGTCAACTTATACGATGATGAATCTGCGTTTCTCGGAATAACACCTTACGCCGCACAAGCTTTGGGTGATGTCACATATGTTGAATTGCCTGAATTGGGCACTAAAGTCGAAGCTGGTGATACTATTGGATCAGTCGAAAGTGTCAAATCTGCAAGTGAGATTTACTCGCCTGTTAGTGGGGAAGTCGTTGGTGTGAATAACTTATTGGAAAGCGAACCTGGTTTGTTGAATCAAGATCCTTCTCATGAAGGTTGGATCGCTCACATCAAATTGGACGATCCTGCTCAAATCACAAATAATGATGAATTGATGGATAAAGATACTTATACAAAATCACTAAAAGAAGATTAAAATGATGACGACATTAGGGAGCAAAGCGAGCTAGTGTAGCAGTATGTAGAGAGTAGAGAGTAGCTCGCCTCGCTCTCCCTAGTTGATGGATAAAGACATTTATACAAAATCACTAAAAGAAGATTTAAAATGATGAATAAGTAAGATCAATAATGAAATAAGTTGAAAACAATCTATCTATATATATATATATATATATATATATTAAAAAGTGTCTCTAGATATCAAAGCAATTTTATCATTTACAACTTCAACTCAGATTTTGTACCCTTGACCACTCCTAATACGCAATTAGCAACATATTTTGGAATAAATCCGTCATCATGCAACATTTCAAAACTCTCAGTCGCATCTCTTCCTCCAAAGTTTAATATTGATTGAGCCCCACCTGGGTGTCCATCTAAAAACGATGTCAAATCAATAACTGTGTTCTTGATGATACACCAACAATCGCCAGGCTTGTTGTGTTTGGCAACTTCTTCAAGTGTAAATTCTTTTTGTGGAATGGTAAATGCTTTACCACCATTATTTTCCTTTTTTTGGTTGTTGTTATTATTATTACTTGAACTTGAGGATTGCTGGCTAGTAGTCTGTGGTGTTTGACCATTGTCATTGGTGGCTCCTGTTTGATCTGCGCCCTCGCCCATATCAATAATTACTCTTCTGTTATTAGGATCAATGTGCAAGTTGATCATACTTAATCTGCTTGAAGCATTAACACTAGTATCACTATTACTCAATTTATGCAAAGAGTAACTCGAAGCTTGATCTGCTGCTAATCTTCCATAAACCACACAAGCCAATAAAGAAGATCCTCCTAGTCTGTTGTGGCCATGCACACCTCCTGCAACTTCTCCTGCAGCATATAAACCTTCAAAAGGAACATCCTTATCAGTTAAAACCTGCGATTTATCATTAATCTTAACACCACCCATGGTGAAATGCAAAACCCTGGTAATATAAGATACATGGTATTTAGCATCAGGTTTGTATTCAAATGGAGTAGTTGGGAAATACTTTTTTCCATATGGATCTTCAATTTCTCCCTTGGCGGCTCTGTTGTAAGTGTCCAATTGTTTCCTTATCTCATCCTCGGTACATCCAATCTCTTTACACAATTCTTTTCCTGTAATTGTTCTCATGAGGTTTCTTTGTGTATAGTGCTTAATGTGGAATCCCAAATTCTTTTCACTTTCCTGACTCAATACTAATCTAATAGGACCGTTTCCAGCCTTGGTTTGCTTCTCCATTTCTCCAGAAACCCAATCTCTAGTACCTAATTCATCCACAAACCTTTCTCCCTTGCCGTTGAACATAATACCACCTTCACCTCTCAAGGCTTCTGCTCCTAAAAACAAGAATCTTGGATGAGCCTTACCATTGATGACGTCTGTGTCGTGATAATCAATCAAACCAGTAGGGTGAACTTGAACTTTATCCATATCGATACCTACACCATGATTCTTCATGATGATTTTTTGACCATCACCAGTAGCGTGGTTTCCATTGGTTGTTGGCAAATCAATAATGTCTGGTCGATATTTTCTCAATAAACTATTTTTAGTAAAATCAGCAGCATAACCACCAGTAGCCATAATAACAGGGCCATGGACTGTGCCTTTGCTTTTGTCTTGCAAATTCTTATACTTAACACCAACCACTTTATCCTTATTCTCGCCTTCAACTAAAAGATCAATAACTTGACTGTTTTTCAAGATAGCAACACGATTTGGCTCTTCTTCAGCCAAGGATTCTAACTTATCCAATAACCTATAAGTTATAGCCATTCCGGGAAATTTTGAATCGTGACCACGATGTGTCCTTGGCTGTGAATGGCCACCCAATCTAGATACAACCGATAAATCTAAATCGAAAACCTCTTGTAACCAATGTACTGCATCAGCCGAGTGATAAGTTAAAACCTTAATTAAAGGTGGGTTAGCACGGTCTTTTGCAGTTTTCAATGTATCCTGGTAAAACTGCTCAACCGAATCTGGAATCTTTAAATGAACTTGAGTTCTAGTCAATGCACCATTGATACCAGAAGTAGCCTTACCACTATTTCCTGATAAAAACCCTTGCTTATCGAGTAAAACCACATTTCCTCCACGCAAATACACTTGATGTGCCGCGGATAGTCCAGCTAACCCTCCTCCAACAATAACTATTGGATTCTTTGGCAATTCTTGAGACATGTCTTCTTTTTTCTTCCTTCTGAATATGTTAGAGGTTTTTTTTTGTCAACCCCGTCTAGAATATATTAATGATCGCTACTTTTATACGATTACAATACGCACAATTCTAATTGGAGGAACGTAAACTCTTTTCAAGTTCGCATTCTTATACTACGATATATACAACTATATATATATACACACATAAGAAAAAAACAAAAGCTGGTTTGGTGAACAAGAACAAAAAAAAAAGGTGGTTTGTCATGCATGTAGTTTTTACTAATAATAAATGATGTATATTGAATATAAAGGAGAGCAAGATAAAGTATCGGTAATAAGTCATGAACTCCCCCAAGTCAAAGGAGTCATAAAGCTATAAACTCTCAAGTCAAAGAAGTCACACTTTACTTGGAATAGAAGGTTGCTACAATGCAATAGAATCAAACACGCTTTTACTATTTACCACTTCAGATTTCCTGCACTGAAAGAGGGGAAGGAAGGAAGAAAGTGCATTGCGCTATACTTCGTAAGATCTACGTGTCCCAGCTCTTTCCCTTTTTTTTTTTTTTTTTTGCTCTTGGTGGCTTATCTCAGTTTATAACCGGCCTTTCCTTGTGGAGCCCCCGCCCCGCTTAATTCTTTGCCCATATAGTTTGCGCGCAAGCAATGCTGCAGTATTTACTACCCGCGCCCCAAGTTCCCAATTAATTTTTCTTCCCGATAACGTGTGGAAGAAAATTCCTAAAATGGAGTTTACCGAGAATCTTTTTAAAAAAAGCTTCTTGTTGACAAAGTTCTAAATCCCAATATACCGAAAAAAAAAAAAAAAAAAAAAAAAAAAAATTGAAAACGAATCTGTCCTCTATAGGTTTAATATTTTGGAGATTTGTCTTTGATGGATTGTAAATAAATAATCTGAATCTATAGTCTCTGGCTTTTTTCTTTTTTAATACTTAGTGTGACTTGTATTGGAATGCAAAGGAAATATCTTCAAAATTAGCTTCATTAGCTATTAACAAATCTTCATTTTCTTTTAATTTATCATGTTTGATATGGTTCCAAGTGGTAGCATCACCATACAACATTGCAGGAGCTTTGATAAATTGCCCCTTCTCTTGATCACATCTTTTGCAATGAAATGTATCGTGAGTATCACATTCTGTTTCTGGTTGAAATAAAAATAATTGTCGCAAGTTATCAGAACTGAATAATCTCTCAACATCCTCCTTCTCATCCACCACACATGAACTCAAGGACATTTTCATTGATTGTCTTTGGAAAATCTTTTCTTCGATTGTTCCTGTAGAAATAAATCTATAAATAAAACAATCCTTTTTCTGTCCATCTCTCCAAACACGCGCAAGTGCTTGTTGATCTGAGGCCGGGTTCCAATCGGGATCAATAAGAACAAGACGATTGGCTCCAATCAAATTAATACCACAGCCTCCTGCTTTTGACGATAAGAGAAAGATAAATTCCGAACCTTGTGGGTCATTGAATCTATCAACCAACTTTTGACGTTTGTTAATGTTCATCGTACCATCTAACCTAAGTACCCCATATTTCTTGTACCGACACATTTTCTCAATTAAATCAAGGGTCTGTGTGTAGTTTGAAATTAAAACAATCTTGTCGTTTGTTTCACTGTGCATCTTGTATAAGAACCGCTCTAAAATTTGAAATTTCCCACTAAACCATGTTGCAATCTCTCTATTGCGACCTCCCTTATTTGCAGTTGAAGAAACGTAATCTTCAGGAATAAATTCCTCGCATCCTTCAATATCATCAGGAAGGTCTAACAAATCGGGATGGTTACATAATTTCTTCAATATTCCAATAGCTTTCAATGGCTGTGATCCAATACCCTTTAACAATTTTTTAATCTCTGGCGATGTGATGAAATGATGATACAACTGTTTCTGCATGGGCGATAAGCCGGTAAATAAAACATATTCAAACTTTACTGGCAAATATTTGGACAATATATCGTTTGTTCTTCTAATAATGAATTTGGAAACTAGATGAGATAATTCCGTTAACTTTTGGTCACCAATCTCCCGTTCCTTATCACTAGCATCTGCGTCTCTACCTCTCAAAATGGCATTTTCAAAATTCTTTCTAAAATCGTTTCTTGTCCCTAAATAACCAGGATTGGCAAAATTCAATAACGAAAAATATTCTGATAAATCATTTTGAATAGGTGTACCTGATAAAATAATTCTCCTCTCGCACTTTAACGAATTTAATGCTGTGAAAGTCAAAGAATCCCCATTCTTCAACCGATGACCTTCATCAGCTAACATTAATCCCACTTCGGTCCCCGCCAATTTGTCAACATTTCTTCTTAAAGTTTCATATGATATGATTAAAACCGGTCGAACAATATTCCTACCTTGTGCAGTCGACCACTGCTGCAAGGCCAATCCCAAATCGTTCGACTTTGTACTTTTCCCATCAACCGCTAATGGTGTTAAAACTCCTTCACCTAACCATTTGACAATTTCATTTGCCCAATTTCGAACTAGTGACGAAGGACAGACAATAATACATTTTTCAATCGTCCGCCTACCCCTAGGAGACTGACGTAGTAATGTCCACATTAGCGTCAAGCATTGGAGAGTCTTACCTAATCCCATTTCATCTGCCATTATACAACCTTTAGCCTTGCTATCGATCAACCCCGCAGTGCATCGATATAAAAATTTAACACCGGCAATTTGGTGAGGTCGGAGAATCTTGGCCAATTTGGGATCAATAACAACTGGTACATCGGGGTATTTAGCTAGTCTTTCTTCAGGGCTGGTGACTATACCTAATATCTCTGCAAGCGATTTATGAGTTCTTCTTTTTTTAAGTGGTCGTTCTTCAACTTCAGGTGGCGACGATGATAAAGGTAAAGATGAGGAGGATGGGGGCGACAACGACGAGGGTAGTTCCTGTTCTGTTGATGTGTCTGCCTCATTGGGATCTTTCGGGATCACATCAACTGTAGGGTCGTACAACACTATAGCAAATTCGCTCATGGGATCATGTAATGCTCGGGGAGGTAGGATTGGACGAACTTTGGTACCTAGTGGAGGTGGTGGACCTCTGATCATCTCGGTTTTTTTCACATTATCACTACGGAATGGCACTGTGAATGAACGTTTAAATTTAGTTTCAATTTTTTCAATATTATCGGACTTGATTATTGATCGAGGCATCAACGCGCCAAATCTCTTTATTGGTACTACTTCTCCGTTCTCGTCAACATTCTCGTCGTTTCCGCTCTCAACGCAGTCTAATGAGTAGTTTGTGTATTTTCTAGTTGATCTAACCGGACGTCGGGATGAAATTTCTCCTGAAACAGTTTCCAGTCGGTTCTTGAAAGGCACCTTAAAGGGGCGAGCAAGTCTTATCTCAGAGTCAACAACTTTTGGTGGCCTGTTTTCCTTAGCCACGCCAGCCCCGGATCCTAGCGGCGTTGTAAACTGGGTCAACGGTTTCCTCACAGCCATGTTCTTTCTCTTGGATGGCAAATTACCTACTGTTTTATATATATATAGAACGCGTACCGCGTTTTCGTCTTTATCAAGATTTCTTAATCGTCAAGAAGAAGAGACGATTGGTAGCACGGCGAGCCGCACAAGTCATCGCTAATCTTGGTTAGAGAGAAGGTAGGAGTAGAGACGACGGACATAGACTCCGGTACAAGCAGCAAGTATAGGTAGTTAGAAGCTAAGGGTGAGTACGAACTGGGACCTATGGATCAGATATTGCAAAAAGCATCAAACCAGGCGGTGTCCTTTGCCATTAGGTCTGGGATTACATTTGCTTCTGGGTATGCCATTAAAACTATATCGACGTTTCTAGACAAGATCCCCGAGTCTGCACAAAGAAGAATTGAAAAAAAAAGACAGAAGCTCAAGGCTACTATTGACACAATAAGTGCAACTATCGACTTGATTAGACTAGCCTCTGCACGCGGCAATACTGTATTGGAGACAAGTTTGGAACTTGTTGACGACTTGGATTCACAGTTTAATGAGTTCGACGAGAAGGTGAACTCGATCACCAAGAATTTGACAAGGACAAATGAGAAAGATAGCATTAATGAAGTCGAAAATTATATGAAGAGTTTGTTGCAGGAGATCAACGAAGCTATACCTATATTGAATTTAAGTTTATTGGCTTCTGGTATCAATTTGAATGGTCAAGTAAGCTTGGAAAATATTTCTCCAGGAAGGTTATTGCAAGCCTCGAATTATGTCACGACAAGTGCTAAAAACAAAACAGTGGGACCTGTTTTCGATTTGGTCACCTATACGATTTTTTACAATCCAAGTCGATTGAAGTATATTGAGGATGGTGGTACAATAGATGAATTGAGTTGTATTTCATGGAAAGAAACATATGCACGCAGTTCAATCAAGATTCTACACAAGGGAGAGTTCAACTACATCCTTGAAATCAAGGAAGATTTTAACGACGGAAGATATCATGATGAGGAGGAAGAAACTCCTGGAATTAAGAGATTTGATTTAAAAAGGATACAAAGTATCTTTTTTACTGCTTCAGGTAAATTGCTAAGGTTAGAAGGCAGGAACTCGCCAATCTTGATTTTGAAATTGATGGATGAGAAGGAAATTAATGAAGAATGGGTTGCTTTGGGAGAGTTGAACAAAGGTGAATTCGATGAGGAGGATGAAGAAAATGAAGAAAATGAAGAAAATGAAGAAAATGAGCCTAAAGCAGAGGCAATAAAGAATAGTTCTTTGTCATTACTTGAGTATATTATCAGACTAACCAGATTGCAACAGATCAAACAAAAGAGCATACTAGACCTACCCGATGAAGTTCTTAAACTTTTTTTGCATGACCTGCTGTCAAGTGCTGATCTCCCAAAATCCAGTACTTGGATGCACAAACAAGAATTGAGATTTCAAGAAACTGATGCCAAACTCACCATGGACTCAAACATCAGTAGGTTGAAACACTTGGATATCAAGAATGAAGAAAACGAAAAACGACAAAAGAAAAAAGGGTAACCGTGTAAATTAAAAACTAATAAAACAAAATGGAGAATCAAAAACCAGCAATAAAAAAAAAAAATAAGGGAAAAAATATCAAGTATATACTTTATGTTTTACTGTATATTGTTCTTCTCATCCTCGGGTTGTTTTGTCATTTCAGGCATCATGAAATCACGGTGAAAAGGGATATCATCGTAAAAACTCATTTTATTCGTATCGTATTGTGAAACCAGGCTTACATCATTTGCATAAAGCATCTCTGCACCAGAACCATACTGCAAATCAACAACAGAAAGCGAACTTTTCGGTTCATTCACATTGTAAAAATTGGGTATTGACGATGAGGAAGACAATACTCTTTGATTCTCGCCACATTTGTCCTCGTTTTTAAAACTTGGTTGCTCTAAAGCTTGATCAAACGAGTCTGTGTACATTTGACTCTCTATTTTACTCAATTGTGATCCAAACTTATTTGACCCTAGACCTGTTTTTCCAAATTGGTGGTGACCATTACTTCCATGTTCATCACAATTTAAATTAGATGCCCCCAACTCGTCGATACCTCCTGATGGCGGGTACGCCGTAGAATTCGAAACAAGTGGGACTCCACCATTAAGGAAAGGATTGTTGTAGTTTAAGTAGTTAGCACCCAAAAAATCAAGTGACCTAGCTGAGGAGTTTGAGGCTATTGACAAGACACTTTCGGGCCGCTTGGGCCGCAGGTGCTGATAACTGTGATTAGGGAAACTGTTTTCAGCTACAGATTGTAGTGAGCTCTGTGAACTAAAAGTATTATCATGCGAACCTACATTTCGCCTCATTGGAGTCGGTTGGTGAGTTATCGTTTTGCGAATTTCCTGAGGCACACCCAGTAATGGTTGATTTTCATTATCAAAACTCTGTGTGCCCACTAATGGGAATAAAGGAAACATATGGTCAACCACTTCAATTTCGCCGGGACTCAAATGGAAGCTTTCTTGGTCTCCATTGCTGATACTGATTCCCCCAGCTCCACCATTGGAGTTTTGTGTTTTGCTTCCTCCATTTGTTTGGCCATTGTTTTCATTTACAACTGAAGTAGATTTATCAGTGTGATTACCACCAAATGACCCGTGTTTGCCAAAATCAAATAAACCGTCTCTAGTATCAAAAGGTATCAAAACATCCTCAATGACAAAGTCGTGACTGAGTTCTCGATTACCGACAGAGGAAACGTTCTGGTGTGACGATGACTGTTGGTTATTGCTGCTGTTGTTGTTGTTGTTGTTGTTGCTGTTGTTGTTGTTGTTGTTGCTGCTGTTGTTGTTGTTGTTGCTGCTGTTGTTGTTGTTGTTATTGTTATGCAGATTTTCTTGTAATGTTGATGGATGGGTAGAGAAAGATGTTGCGGCGGATCCCGGTGAAATTGTTTGATATGAGCTAGTAGTTATACTTCCTGGAGATGTATCGCTTGGATTTGAAGCTGTTTGTGATGAAATCGAGTTTGACCATTTCCCAAACTCGTTTTCCAAAAGAGACTTCAACTTGCCATTGTCTATTGAGTCCTTATTCTTTTTGTTGCCTTGAACATTAGCCGCACAAGTGCAGTGGTTGGTTTTATGACAAGCACACCCTGCCAGATGGGATGTAGCACTTTTACCCTTTTTCCCACACGTACACAAAATATGAAGATTCTTAATTTTTCTATTGTCCCTACAATGCAAACACTGAGTTGCGGGTCTACCTTTAGGCTTGATCATGGTAAGCGGCTGATCGGTATGTGTACAGGTAGTGACCCTATGACCTCTAATGCACCGCTCACAAGCATACTTGACTCCATTAATCAACACCATATTTTCCCCACCTTTTCTCTATTACCTTGTATCTAATGAGCTTGCTTAATTTTTTTTTTTTGGGCTTTCTTAATAATTGTCAGCTAACGTCACTCCCAAACGTTCAACTCCTCCTTGATTAAAACACTATGTGCTTGTGAGTGCAATAGTGACAGCACGATGGTAGCAGCGGTAGTGGTAGCGGTAGTAATAGTAGCAGCAGCAGCAGTAGTGGCTGTAGTAGCAGTAGTAGCGGCAGTATCAGTATCAACAGTATTAGCAGTATGAGTGTCTCCTCTAGTAACCAGTACCTAATCTCTCTTCATATATAGATTTAATGTAGGGGGAAAAAAACTTTTATAAGAATCATTAGTCCAAAGAAAAGGAAAAGAAAAAAAACAAAGGGAAAGTGAAATTGGAGAGAGAGAGAGAGAGGAATAGAGAGAGAGGAAAAAAGAAAATCTTTTTTGGGACTAAAAATTGAGAGAGAAACCCACTCATAAATTTTTACTTGATACATATGCATAATACAATTTAATGTGCATTTTACATATGTACTAGTAGTGGAGAGTAAGAATGAACAAAAAGGCAAGACTCAGGGATGGGTTGTTTTTTTTCTTGCCACTAAATATTCATATTTCCGCTATGGTTCAGCAATCAATATAGCATTATAGATAATATTAGGTTATCTTGAATCTAATTTTGGTAGACTATCGATGGACTATCGAGCAGAGCGAAATAGACTATAGATGGACTATCAAGCAGAGCGAAATAGACTATAGATGGACTATCGAGCAGAGCGAGATGGTCTATCGATAGAGAGTAGATAAAGACTAGACTATTAATAGACTATCTCGCTCTGCTCGATAGTCCATCGATAGAGAGTGGATAAAGACTAGACTATTGATAGACTATCTTGCTCTGCTCAATAGCCTATCGATAGAGAATACAGTAGGAAGTTGGAAACAGTGCCTCTTTAGCCCTCTTCAACCTCTTTAACGCCATTTTCACCCCTTTTCAACACCAGCTTTTTCCAACAGCAACTTTTACTACCCGGATATCCCTACAAAGTGTTTCTCCACTATATCTCGCTGCGCTCGATAGTGTGTCGACTCGATAGTGTCGAGCCAAGAACAATCCATTTCCTTTTATCCTAATTTAAAACTGTCTACATCACAATTAAACATCCCGAATATCCGTACAAAGTGTTTCTCCACTATCTCGCGTAGCTCGATAGTATCGTCATTTACCTCCAATCTAAAGTTATCTTACAATCAAACAAAGGTTGAAAATCTTCTTTTTATTTTTTTTCTTTCTTTATTTCTTTTTTTCTTTTTTTTTTGTCTTTTAGTGCGCGGGTGGTTGGTTTCAAGAACGCCGCACCTGCAACTTTCCTTAGCTAGGGATTTAGTGGCTTTTTCCCGCATATATAGGGCCAAGTTCTCTAAAACAACCTTCACAAATAAATCTTTTAAATATGAACTAATCCTGTATAAGCAACTTTAAAGAAAACACAAACCATGTCTAAAAACCCAAGGTTTAGTATCAAACTTCTCTGTCAATAATTACATTGCGCTTTCCACTGGGTCATTTCTTAATAGCTTCTCACGTGGACAAACGAACGGTGATTAGATATACACGTGATATACAAAGAATGAAAGAATGAAAGAATGAAAAAATAAAACAAAAAAAAAAAAATGAAAAGAAATAAACCAAAGCAAGCCGTGCATTTTTGTTCTGATTCGATTCGGCAATGCAATGCAGCTGGTTATAGAAATCTTTTTTGGGTAAGTTGAATGGAAAACAACTTTATACACTATTTTGAGACACCTTTACTATTACTTCTACCTAATTAAATGGCAAAGATAAACTGAACAAATTAATTTATTGTACATAAAATACACACTCCTTTTGCTTATTCTATAGAGGAAAAAAAAAAATGTCTAATTTATAGCTTTTCTTTTTTCTTTTTTTTTTTTCTTTATTTATTTTTTTATTTTTAAAGCTTGCTATCTTTGAATGATGGAGTTGTCATAGGTTGATAAACAGTTTTAAACAACTTATCTTCTGGAACAAATCTGTTTGCGAAATTTCTAGTATCAACATAATCGGGGCTTAATTGGTCCAAACTCGTAACACCTAATAATCTCATGTTCATAGCAAGTTCATCTTTCAAAAGCTGCATGGCCTTGATGACTCCAGCATCTCCATAAGTAGACATGGCATACAAGAATGGTCTACCAATACCAACAGCTTTGGCACCAAGACAAAGAGCTTTCAAAATATCAGTACCTCTTCTAACACCTCCGTCTATGTATACCTCGCACTTTTTGTCCAATCCCCTCTCTCTAAACACGGGCATAACCTCAATCAAAACTTCAATGGGAGAAGGTGAAAACTCCAATTGACGACCACCATGATTACTCAAAATAATACCTTCACACCCCAATTCGGCTGCTTTAACTGCATCTTCAACACACTGGATACCTTTCAAGACGATTGGCAATTTGGTAATCGATCTAAACCATTTCAAGTCGTCCCATTTCAAGCCAGTGTCTATAAAAGACGATATGGCTCTGGCAGCACCTTGATCTCTAACAGCAGTCTCGTCACCCTCTTGAATATAACTCAAGTCTTCAATAACTTCTTTACTTCTCATATCCTTTTCACGTCTACCCAAAGATGGTGCATCAACGGTAATAAATAATCCCTTGATACCTCTTTTTTCTGCATGTTGCACCAATTTTCTGCAAATCTCACGGTCGGCATTAACATACAACTGGAACCATTGGGTTTGTTTATCAGTAGCTTGGTCGACAATCTCATCAAACGAGCACGAAGCCAACGTTGGAATCATTTGGATGATATCCTGTTTACCACAAGCCCTAGTCAAAACACATTCACCGTCTGGATGTCCCAATCTTCCCAATGCCGTTGCTGTAACGTAAAAAGGAGCTGAAGAAGAACTACCCAATATTTTAGTTGAAATATCAACATTTGTAACGTCAACCATGACTCTTGGTCTAAAGTACACTCTATGATAGCTTAAATGGTTTTCCCTCATAGTGATCTCATCATCACATCCTGACGAATAGTAAGCCCAACCTGCTATATCCATAGTATGTCTCGCCACAAACTCAAAGTCGTTCAAATTATATATTTGACCCAAATCTGGTTTCTTCTCGACCCTCTTTAAACGCAAAGCTTCTTGTTTTGAAACGGGATTTCCATCTTCATCCAAGTATTCTTCTTCTTCTTCTTCTTCCTTGGTTGCTGGTGCTGCCAATTGCACAGAACCGTTGTTTCCTGCAGGTATTGGATCTTTATCTCCTTGCTCATCATACTCCACATCGTATTCATCCACCACATTGTGTGAACTCGTTGGTGCTGGTGCTGGTGCTGCCACCTGCTGTTTTTGCTGTGCCGCAGCAGCATTAACTTTCTTCTTTGGCTGTGGTTTTCTCTTTTCAACTTCACCCTTGTGAAACTCAGGCTTTAAATATTTTTGCAAAGTGTCTCCTGGATGAATAGGATCGAATGCTTTAGTAGCATCCTTCCCAGCATACTTCAATATGACTGCTGCACCACCTGGATGTTGGTCAACAAAGTGCGACAAATCATAAGCTTTATCGTGGATAATTACCCAACAATCTTGTCTGGTATTATGTTTGCCAACTTCTTCTAATGAAAGTACCATTTTCTGGGTTTGACTATAGCAAAATAAAAATTAAAAGGAAGAGAAATAAAAGAGAAGGAATAAGAAAAGGAATAAACTTTTAAAGCGGGTTTACAAAGAGCTTAAATATAAAAGTGTTTACAATTGCGTCGTCTCTCTGTCAGCCTATATATCTTGTGTGTATGAATGATAGCGGTTAGATCTATTGTAGGCTATAATACATAGATAATGCATATTTGACTTCTCTCTCTCTCTCTCTCATGCGGGGAGTAATTTTTTTTTATTATTATTATTATTATTATTTCCCTCCAATTATACTCAGTGTATTTGTATTGGAAAATCTCGTTCGTTTCCTAGTTAGGTAAGATTATCCGTCCCGTCTCTTTTTGATAATCTCTTTAAAGAGAAGCTGATATTCAATTGAGGCAAATAAAGTGAAAAAGAAAAGAAGAAAAAGAAGGCTTTTGTTGTTAAGTTTGCGCCAATTTTATGTCAACTCCTGTAGAATTGCTATATGGGAAACTCGGACATTTGCAAAGAAGATAAAGTTTGAAAATTGGGCAAGGTTGCTGCCGATGGGCGTTTCTGCTGCCGATGGGTTCAAATTCATCGGCTGCAAAAAAAATCGACACTATCGACACTATCGAGCGAAGCGAGATAGTGGAGCACACAGACTACACCAATTACACCAACACTATCGACGCTATCTCGCTCTGCTTGACAGTGGAGCACACAGACTACACCAATACACCAACATTATCGACGCTATCGACACCATTTCGCTCTGCTCGATACAGTTGTAACAAGCTACTGAGTGTGGCTCCGCTATCTCGTTCTGCTTGATAGTGTCGGATAATCGGTTATAATATATGTACTCTTATATGTCCACACATCTACACCACCCGCATGGTCCCCAGGCGCGGACTCGTTAGAGCAGCACTATCGAAAAACACTATCGAAAACACTATCGAAAAACACTATCAAGCAACACTATCGAGCAGAGCGAGATAGTGGAGCACATTGATTAGTACGACACTATTGAGAAGAGCGAGATAGTGGAGCACATTGATTAGTACGACACTATTGAGAAGAGCGAGATAGTGGAGCACATTGATTAGTACGACACTATTGAGAAGAGCGAGATAGTGGAGCACATTGATTAGTACGACACTATTGAGAAGAGCGAGATAGTGGAGCACATTGATTAGTACGACACTATTGAGAAGAGCGAGATAGTGGAGCACATTGATTAGTACGACACTATTGAGAAGAGCGAGATAGTGGAGCACATTGATTAGTACGACAATATTGAGAAGAGCGAGATAGTGGAGCACATTGATTAGTACGACAATATTGAGAAGAGCGAGATAGTGGAGCACATTGATTAGTACGACAATATTGAGAAGAGCGAGATAGTGTCTTTAGTGGAGCACATTGACAAGTTACGACACTATCTCACTCTGCTCGATAGTGTTGCTTGATAGTGTCTTTAGTGGAGTACATTGATTAGTACGACACTATCGAGCAGAACGAGATAGTGTCATTAGTGAAGCACATTGACTAGTACGACACCATCTCTCTCCGCTCGATGGTGTCCTTAGTGGAGCACATTGACAAATTACGACACTATCTCGCTCTGCTAGATAGTGTTGCTCGATAGTGTCTTTAGTGAAGCTCATTGATTAGCATGACACTATCTCGCTTTGCTCAATAGTGTACATTGATTACCATGACACTATCTTCCTTTGCTTGATAGTGTCTTTATCTTCGCGCTACCAACTTGTTGACTAAAGATTGAGCAAAAACGCGTAAACTATGAGAGACATTGATGTACAAGTGGAGAAGATTGCAAGTGATGTACGATACTATCGACGCTATCGAGCGGAGCGAGATAGTGGAGCAGCACTTAGTAGCAACACTATTGACACTATCGAGCGGAGCGAGATAGTGGAGCAGCACTTAAAAGCAACATTATTGACACTATCGACACTATCGAGCAAAGCGAAATAGTGTCCTTACTGGAGAACATTGACTAGCATGACACTATCGAGCAAAGCGAGATAGTGTCTTTAGTGGAGTACATTGACTAGCATGACACTATCGAGCAAAGCGAGATAGTGTCTTTAGTGGAGTACATTGATTAGCATGACACTATCGATCAAAGCGAGATAGTGTCTTTAGTGGAGTACATTGATTAGTATGACACTATCTCGCTCTGCTCGATAGTGTTGCTCGATAGTGTTGCTCGATGGTGTTGCTCGATAGTGTTGCTCGATGGTGTTGCTCGATGGTGTTGCTCGATGGTGTTGCTCGATAGTGTACTTAGTGGAGCACACTAGCTGCCATTGACACTTTGTACCTCTTTCTCTCACTTTTTCATCTCTGCAAACTGTCCTTTTTCTATTCTCTTTTTTTTGCATTGTTTTAACATTAAAGTCTGCTAAAACAATAATCAAGAAGATTAGAGGCGACACTATCGACACTATCGACGCTATTGACACTATCTCGCTTTGCTCGATAGTGTCCATAGTGGAGCACTAACTAGCCTGTTACAACATTATCGAGCAGAGCGAGATAGTGTCTTAGTGGAGCACATTGACAAGTTACGACACTATCTCACTCTGGTCGATAGTGTTGCTTGATAGTGTCTTTAGTAGAGTACATTGATTAGTATGACACTATCTCGCTCTGCTCGATAGTGTTGCTCGATAGTGTTGCTCGATAGTGTTGCTCGATAGTGTTGCTCGATAGTGTTATATTACTTTTTCTCGTTGTAAATTGGCAACTACAATACAATTTCAATATACAGCACGCATTAAAATAAATAGACTTTTTGTAATTGTCTAGAATCACTTGCATTATCTACACATGAATTTAATTATTATACACAATATAATCATCAACGTCTCAACCAAGAGTTACAAACCACCCTTCAACGTCCCTACCAAGACGTTCCTAACTACTCTTCAACGTCCCTACCAAGACGTTCCTAACTACTCTTTAACTTTCACTATATTACCTCTACTCTATAAATCCAACTCTGATGAGACAATAATCAAACCAAAATAAAACACGCTCTCGATGCATTTCTATTTTTCTTCATTCGCACTGTTAATATTCGCACTGTTTTTCGCACTATTTTCTCTCTTCTTTTCACACTGTTAATTTTCTCTCTCTTCTTTTTTCTCTGTTCATTTTTTTTTTTTTTTTTTTTTTTTTTTTTTTTTTTTTTTTTTTTTTTTTTTTTTTTTNTTTTTCTTTTTTTTTTTTTTTTTTTTTTTTTTTTTTTTTTTTTTTTTTTTTTTTTGATTATGTTTGATTTACTTATTCAATAAACAAATAGTTGTACTTTATACAATATATATATATTGTATTGTATTATATATTTTTTTTTTTCCGTCAATATATAAAAGAGACAAGTCAAGTAAGGTTGTTATATTGAAGGATGGTGGCGCTATATGATGTAGGTACACGGTGTTGGTATCCAGACGATAAGCTAGGATGGGTTGGAGTTTCGGTTAAATCTAATCAAGTCAAGGACAACAAGGACAAGGACAAGAAGAAGAAATATTTGATAACGTTTGTTTCTGAGTTTGATGAGAATCAGTTATTTACAATCGAAACCGATGATTTGTCAGAAGATAACGAATTGTTGCCCCCCTTGAGAAACCCTCCAATATTGGAAGCTGCCGAAGATTTAACTAGCTTGTCTTATTTAAACGAACCGGCTGTCTTACAAGCAATCAAGTTGCGTTATTCCCAGTTGCAGATTTACACTTATTCGGGTATTGTTTTGATCGCAACAAATCCGTTCCAAAGAGTAGACCACTTGTATTCGCAAGATATCGTTCAAGCATACGCAGGGTCTCGAAGGGGCGAATTGGATCCTCATCTTTTTGCTATTGCCGAGGATGCTTATAGGTGCATGAAACAGGATGGCGCAAATCAAACGATTATCGTTAGTGGTGAATCGGGTGCTGGGAAAACCGTTTCTGCCAAATATATAATGAGGTATTTTGCTTCCGTTGAAGAAGATGCTCAGCAGGCGTTGGGGAGCGAGCATAGAGCAGATATGTCCGATGTCGAAAAACAGATCTTGGCGACAAATCCAATTATGGAGGCTTTTGGTAACGCTAAAACGACAAGAAATGACAACTCCTCGCGGTTCGGAAAGTACTTGGAAATATTATTTGATAAGCAGGTATCCATCATTGGTGCTAGAATAAGAACTTATCTATTGGAACGATCTAGATTAGTATTTCAACCGGCAACAGAAAGAAATTATCACATATTCTACCAAATGTTGGCAGGAATGGACCCAAGTGAAAAACAGGAACTAGGATTGAAATCGGCCGACGACTACAAGTTTACTAACCAAGGAGGTTTAACCCAAATCCAGGGCGTTGATGATGCTCAGGAATTTCAAACAACTAAAGATGCATTGTCATTGATTGGCTTGGATGAATCAAGGCAGCGTGAAATTTACAAGATTCTCGCGGCTCTTTTACACATTGGTAACATTGATATCGCTTCAACTAAAACCGATGCCCGTTTATCTAGCGACGAACCAAATTTGGTGAAAGCTTGTGAGCTATTGAGCATTGACGCCAACGAGTTTGCCAAATGGTGTGTAAAGAAAAAGATTAGCACTCGCTCAGAGAATATTATTAGTAATCTCAATCACAGCCAGGCGCTTGTTGCTCGAGATTCATTCGCCAAGTACATTTACTCAGCTTTATTTGACTGGTTGGTGGACTATGCAAACTCGGATTTGTGTCCTAGTGAAGTGGCTGCTCAAGTAAACTCCTTTATTGGTGTTTTGGATATATACGGATTTGAACATTTTGAAAAAAATTCTTTTGAACAATTTTGCATCAACTATGCAAATGAAAAATTGCAGCAAGAATTCAATCAGCATGTTTTTAAATTGGAACAAGAAGAATATATGAGAGAAGAGATCAAATGGTCTTTTATCAATTTCGTGGATAATCAGCCATGTATTGATTTGATTGAAAATCGTATGGGTATATTAGCATTGTTGGATGAGGAATCTAGGTTACCAGCAGGAAAAGATGAATCATTTATTGAGAAAATGTATCAAAATTTAAACAAACCTCCTACCAATAAAGTTTTCAAAAAGCCAAGGTTTGGCCAAACCAAGTTTGTTGTTAGCCATTACGCTTTGGATGTTACATACGATATGGATGGATTCATTGAAAAGAATAGAGATACTGTTGGTGACGGACATTTAGAAGTATTGAAAAAATCTAAAAACGAGTTGCTACAGGATATACTCGGTATAATTGATAAAAATTCAATCACAGTTGAAGCAAGCAAACCACCAGCAAACGGTAAAATGAGTACAAACAAAAAACCTACTTTGGGTTCCATGTTTAAAAACTCTTTGATCGAGTTGATGAAGACAATTGATTCCACAAATGCACATTACATTAGATGTATTAAGCCCAATGAAGAAAAGCAAGCTTGGAAATTTGACGCATTAATGGTGTTGTCACAATTGAGAGCTTGTGGTGTTTTAGAGACAATTAGAATATCATGCGCGGGTTATCCTTCCAGGTGGACTTATGTTGAGTTTGCAGATAGATACCATACTTTGGTTCCTTCTGCAGATTGGATTAAGGTAATGAGTGGAGAAGTTACTCAACAATCAGTGTTGGCATTATGTAACCAAATTTTAACTTCCATTATAGACGACAAGGAAAAATATCAAATGGGAAATTCAAAGATCTTTTTCAAAGCCGGAATGTTGGCACACTTTGAAAAGTTGAGGGCGGACAAATTATACAGATCAGTGGTTATGATTCAAAAGAATATGAGAAAACGTTTTTATAGACAAAAGTATCTTGAAATTAGGAAATCTCATATTTTGTTACAAAGTTTAATACGTGGAAGTGAAAAGAGAAGACAGGTGAGGGAAGAGCGAGAAAGAACAGCTGCCATTTTTTTGCAAACTTCAATCAGAGGCTACTTGGCCAGAGAAAAGTATACCAGAACCCTCAACTCTGTTATTACCTTGCAAAAATCCATCAGAGGCTTACAAGCAAGGAAAAATTTCCAAAATCTTCGTTTACAAAACGCCAGTATTACTATTCAAAAATCATGGAGAGGATACCAGGAAAGGCAAAACTTCCAAAGGATCAAGAGGTCTATTGTTGTTATCCAATCAGCTTTCAGAAGACAATACGCTTACCGTGAATTGAAAGCATTGAAAGTGGAGGCCAAATCAGTCAACAAGTTGAAGGAGGTCTCTTATAAATTGGAGAATAAAGTGATAGACTTGACACAATCACTAACGTCGAAGATTCAAGACAATAAAAAGTTGATGGAAGAGATACAAAGTTTGAGAGACTTGTTATCGCAACAAGGACAGGCCCAAGAAACATTAAAGTCGCGAGAATTGGAATTCAATAACAAATACGAAACTACTATGCTTGACCACAAACAAGAAGTTGAAGACTTGAACAATGAACTAGCGTTGATCAAGCTGGATTATGCATCTGCGCAAGCAAAGATTGAGCAACTATCCAAAGAGCAAATAGAATTGAAACAGGAAGTACAAAGAACCATTGAAGAATTGAATCAAGCTAAAGATGACCTTGTCAAGCGCGATACAATCGAAGTTGATCTAAAAACGCATATTGAGCAGTTGAAAAGCCAATTGGCAGAACTCAACAATCCCAAAATTAGAAACGCTAGCAAACGCCATAGCAGCGCAATGGCGTGGAATTCTCCGAATTCTATTGAAAACCACAGACCTGTTTCCTTTATCGCGGTATCTAATGATAACAATGCTAATATTGATGATATCAATGATGAGCTATTCAAATTATTGAGAGACTCTCGCCAGTTGCATCGCGAAATTGTCGAGGGTTTACTCAAGGGTCTCAAGATTCCACAAGCTGGTGTTGCTGCCGATTTAACCAGAAAAGAAGTTTTGTTCCCTTCAAGAATTATTATAATTATTTTGTCAGACATGTGGAGATTAGGATTGACAAAGGAAAGTGAAGACTTTTTAGGTGAAGTGTTGTCATCTATTCAAAACCTCGTAACCGTATTGAAAGATGACGACATTATACCCCACGGTGCATTTTGGTTGTCCAATACACACGAGTTGTACTCATTTGTTTCATATGCTGAGCGCACAATTATTGCCAACGACACGTTATCTAACGAAATGAGCGAAGACGAGTTTAATGAATACTTGAAGCTAGTTGCTGTTGTTAAAGAGGACTTTGAGTCACTTTCGTACAATATCTATAACATGTGGATGAAAAAAATGGAAAAGGATTTGGAGAAAAAGGCTGTTTCAGCCGTGGTTATGTCCCAATCCTTGCCAGGATTTATGGCACCCGAATCGTCACCATTCTTGAGTAAAGTGTTTTCTGCTAATCCCAATTACAAGATGGACGATATTTTGTCCACTTTCAACATGTTGTACTGGTCAATGAAGAGCTATTATTTGGAGAAGGAGGTGATTGTGAGCGTGATTACGGAAATGTTGAGATTTATTGATGCTTTGTGTTTTAATGATTTGATAATGAGACGCAACTTTTTGTCGTGGAAACGGGGCTTGCAATTGAACTATAATGTTACCAGATTAGAGGAATGGTGTAAATCCCATGATATAGAGGAAGGGTCTATTTGTTTGATACACTTGTTGCAGGCGGCGAAATTGCTACAGTTGAGAAAAAACACACCAGAGGATATCGATATCATATATGAGATATGTTATGCATTAAACCCAGCTCAGATACACAAGATTATTGGAGCTTATAGTTCTGCTGAATATGAGACTCCTGTGGCACCTTCAGTAATGGAGATTGTGGCTGACAGGACAAAGGGAAGTTCAAACGATGATTTGTTCCTCACCATGTCTACCGATGGACACTTTGAGGACCCATTTAGGATGATTGAGTTGAGGCCGTTCTCAAGAGTAGAGGCTTACGTTCCTGCTTGGCTAAACTTGCCCGTTATTCGCAGAATTGTAGAATTAGTAGCAAAGAATGCATCTGTACAAGAACCACATCATGAAACTAATGGTATATAAATAAGTATATATAAGGTAATTTTATGCTGCCTGTTTTTATTATTATTCTCCATTCACTTCTCCTCCCCCTCCCTCCTCCTTAATTTATTGGCTCGTTTGTTCCTTTTAATTTCATTTGCAATGCATGCAATCCATGATTTTGAAACTCGTCATTTAACAAATTATAAACCAATCGGTGCCTACTGGGTAAATTTTTCCCATTGAATTCTTCACTTTGCATTTTCACATAGAAATGTGACTCTGTAGTATTTGAAGCGCCTCGCAAACCATGATGGCCTGAATGTTTATGCGAATCATTGCGAATTTCTAGGAAAGTTGGTTTAAATGTATCTTGAAGTTTCTTCGCTATTGACGTCTCAATAGGTCCTTTTGATGATGGTATTGACGATGACATCAGGCGAAAAAAACTTTTCAACATGAATCAAACAGGCAAGCAAGACGAGACTGGGAAATGAACAGCAACGACTGGGAAATGAGCAAAGCGAGATTTACTGGAGTATTAGTTGGTGGAAAAAAAAAAAATTTATCAACTTCAAACAGTCAGTCAGGCTTTACCTACTTCTTGATGGATTGAATTTTTACTTGAAGATGAAAAAAAAAAAATGAAAAAATTGAACAGACTTGATTGTAGATGTATTTTTTTTTTCAATATATATATATATATATATTCTTTTTTCAGCCATCTTTATAGGTTTTAGTTACTCTTTTTGATGTTGACTGATGTTTCGAGTACCCAACCCTTGTTGTATTAAGACGAGACTATTTACAACGTCGGTAAATGTAAAAGAAGCGGCAATTGAAACAGTTAACTTGGCTTTTGACAAATATCTGTTTGACCAGTCAACAAAGTCAAAGTCACCATTGATTATTTTGCATGGACTATTTGGCTCTAAAGCTAATACTCGCACTGTAGCCAAGCAATTGTCTCAGCGTATGAGACGAAATGTTTACTGCTTAGATTTGAGAAACTTTGGATCAAGTCCTCATATTAAGCGACTAGATTATCCAAGTTTATCTGCCGATGTGGAAAGCTGGATCGAAAAGCAAGAGTTTGAACAAAAACCGATTTTGGTGGGCCACTCAATGGGAGCCAAGACGGCAATGGCGTTGGCGTTGAGAAAACCGCACGTACCGAAATATGTTGTTAGCGTTGACAATGCGCCAATTACTTTTGGCAATACCGGCGCAAAATTTGGCAAATATATAAATCAATTACGGTTGGCATTGGAAAAGTACAAGTATACCGATATGAAGCAAGTGGATGAGAAATTTGCTGAAGTCGAACCGAATAAGACTATTAGGCAATTTGTCATGATGAATTTATCAAGAGGAAAGACGAATGAACCAATCAAATCAAAGATACCGTTGGATATAATTGGTGATGCCATTGCCAAGGGATTTATTGCAAGTTGGCCCTATGAGCTGGGTAAAGTAAGGTGGACAGGTCCAACTTTATTCATCAGGGGTCTGCAATCGGATTATGTCCCTGATGACATCATACCGGAGATTGCCATGTTTTTCCCTAATTTCGAAATCAGAGACATTGACTGTGGACATTGGGTGATTAGTGAATCTCCCGATAATTTTATGGATGTTTTACAGGAATATATAGAAAGAAAAGAAGACAATTGAGGCAACAGTCCCTGTTCCCTTTTGTTTTTTGTTTAGATTGTTTCTTCTTTTCTCAATTTACTTATCACTCACTTTCACAGAGCCATCACCAACAAAGTCTCCATATATATCGAATCTTCTTTGGTAATGTACTGGTATACTTTCCCTTGCTTTAGGTAACAAATCTTTGTCTAATTCTGCATACAAAATCTCCTCTCCGTCGCCAGCTTCAGCAATAATTTTTCCCAAGGGATCAACAACTAAAGAGTGGCCATACGCTTGATAGCCACTACCTCCAACATCTCTTGCTGGAGAGCATAGAATTGTGAACAATTCATTGTCGACAGCTCTAGCACGTGCTAGCAAATGCCAGTGTAAAGGTCCAGTCGTTGTATTAAAAGCACCGGGATAAAACATTGCAAAAGCATTGTTTGGGCTTCTTGATGCAATAGATGCCAATTCAGGAAATCTTATATCGTAGCAAATACCAAGACCAACATTGCCGTATTCGCCCAATCTGAAAACTGTGGCTTTGTCGCCAGCAGTCAAAGTCACAGACTCTTGAAATGTAATTCCATTTGGAATGTCAATGTCAAACAAATGTGCCTTGCGATGCTTAGCAATGATTTCTCCCTCAGGTGAAAATGTTACGGATGTATTGTAGACCTTGTCACAAGAGAGTTCGGGGATAGATCCACCAACAATATAGATTCCATGCTTTTTGGCCAATGACGACAACAACTGTGTTGTTTCCCCTTTTGGTATATCTTCTGCATAATTCCTAAACTGGTCGACTGCATAGGGGGAGTTAAAGCACTCAGGTAACATGACAAGGTCGACTTTGGGTGTCTTGGCTACGGCATCGTTTATGAACTTTGTTACTTTCTCCAAATTTGCCGTTTTGTTTGCGCCTGCTTTCAATTGGATCAACGCAATCCTCAAGGATTTAGACAATGGCGTCTTGATTACTGCTGAACTCATTTGCTTCTGGGTCCAGAGAGGGGAGGAATAGTTGGGGGGGAGGGGGGAGGTTGAAAGTTGGAAGTTTAATTTTTTTTAATCTTTTATTGGATTACGTAAGCACTTTTTGCAATTGCAACCAGAACCACTACAATGGTCAAACATGATGTGTGAGTCTACAAACTTTCCTCTCCACTCCATCACTAGGCCAGAGTCAAAACCAGGGACAAACTAACATGGGGAAAGGTTTTTTTTCTCTAATATAGTAAAAGAGTGTTTTTTTGAAAATGGAATTCTCCTACTACATAATAGAAGCCCTCACTATATGATGTTGTCCCCCTTTATTTGCTTTTCTTCAACAGCTTTCTTCTTTATCTCCTTCAACTGCTTCAACAAGTATACTGTGGACACCACTAAACCAAACCCCGCTAGTCCCATTCCCATTCTATAAGCGTTTCTAATACCCAAGACTGTTGTCTCAAAACCTGGCTCCTTACCCTTTGTTGTGTAGTACTCAACTGTACCGGCAAACCCCAAACCTATCGATATCGAATAGTTGACAAATGTTGACACCAATGAGCCAGCAATTCCTTGCTGATGTCTAGGTAAAGCTGCACTTAGTAAGATGACACCCGCCGGAAACGACATATCCATTCCGATTGGCTGAATAAGCATACTGACAAACTTTTGCGCCCAGAAAATTTGTCCCACTGGCCTAGTGCCCATGATAATAACCCCAACGAGAAACGCAATCATTGCAAAAAACATAACAAAAGCAGAAGGAACTTTGGTTAATAACACTGCTGTTACCACTGCGGCTATCATTCCAACGGGGCCTGCGGGTATATTTTTCACTGCGGACATAATAGCACTATCCTTGTCCACTAGTAGCGCCCATCTGAACATGTAGTATAACCAAACTCCAAAACACGACCATCCAGCGCTGATACACGCGAGGATATACCCTGTGTCACCTCTTAAAACACTGGGTGGAACCAAAGGGTCTTCAACATGTTTCTCAATAAAATGAAAAGCACACATAAAAGCAAAACCAACAATCAATAAAACGTAAACGTAAACAACGTTCCACCCAACGTTGGGTCCCTGATTAAAAGCAAAGTTTATCAATACCAATCCGGTTACTCCCACTATTGAACCCCAATAATCAAATTTGCCTCCCGACTTACTTCCAATTTTATTTGGTATCACAAATACAGCCAAAAGGGCCAAGAGGATACTAATGATCCCACATGTCCAAAATGTCCATTTCCATGTAGTTAGATCAGCAAACATACCGCTAAATAACGCACCAATGATAAACCCTACGGGTGCAGTTGCACCAAAACAAGCAAAGCAAAAGTTTTTTCGAAATGAAGTTGGATAAAAATTCCCAATTAGAGCCTGAGAATTGGGCATCATAATTGCTGGCCCGATTCCCTGAAGGCCTCTCATTGTGGTGAAAAACTCGGTTGAAGTTGTAAATCCTGAAAATCCTACCAATAAAGAGAAAATACCGAACCAAATGTATCCAATCACGTATAGTTTTTTATATCCAAACATATCTCCAAGTCGTCCACTTATCAAGATAAACGTTCCCACAGTGAGAGAATACGCCGCAGAAAACCACGAGACTTCTCCCGGTTGATTTGATACTTTGAAGGTTCTGCCTAGCTGGACCATTGTGGGCATCGTTTGAGCATTTGCTGCCTGGGTAAGAAGTTGGGACATGCACATGAAAAAAATAAAGGTACATTCATGAAGGAATGTTATTTCATTGAAACTAGGCTCACTTTGGTATACACTTTCCTTAGATGAGTCTTGTGAATAAAGGCTCGCTTCAGTATTAATTATTGAGTTTCTAGGTGTTGATTCCTCAGATTCAAATACGGGTGTATGTGCTACTGCTGTTGCTTCTGCTTCTGCTTCTGCTTCTACTGCAGTTGCTGCTTCATTCTGTGCCATATTTTGCTGTTTTCCTCAAATATATCTATTTATACTTGGCTTTTGCTGCCTATTAAAATTTAAAATATTTTTATCACTTTAAAGTGAGATTGGTTCTATTTTTCCATTTATATGAAATGAACAACGGCTGGTTTAAATGCATTGGTTCTGTAGTGATTAATTTAGACTATATGCCTTTTTGTTTTTTTTTCCGTTTTTATGCTTACGAGCATCGGAACACGATACGAGAGCTCGGAATATGCACCGTGCACTATATGCTGTATAGACTAATGCCACATCGGATAAACCTTTTTCCTCAAGTGAAAAATAGCCTTGGAGAAGAGATTTTCTATTTGATAATGTTGTTTCAAACAAACAAGGATGAAATTTCTCTAAATACCGCTTTGTTAACAATGTGTCTACACAAAACGTGCCTTACAATCTGGTCTTGATAGTATAACAACATTAATTATCAAATCTAAATATTTTTTGATTGACTGAAAATAGCTTTTTATTGTTGAATATGCTTTATTTCTGGGTGCATGACAAAGTGAACTTTTTACAATTTAGTTTAGTATCATTTTTGACAGCTTTTACAGCCTCTCTTGACAGTTTTTACAGTTTCTTTTGACAGTTTTTACAGTCTCTCTTGACAGTTTTTACAGCATCTCTTGACAGCTTCTACAGCATCTCTTGACAGCTTTTACAGCATCTCTTGACAGTGTTTACAGTCTCTCTTGACGATTTTTACAGCCTCTCTTGACAGCTTTTTGTTTTACTAACAGTCATTTTTCTGCGCATCTGTAGATCGAATCAATTTGTAGATGTCACGCGTTTCTTGGCACCTCACGCGCAAACGTTTAATCGAAAAATCTTAGTAACGCGTCCTTAAAAAAGAAAAAAAAAAAAAAAGACAGCCCTCTTACATTCCATGCAGCAACATGGAATATTAAAAAGGTACATGGACTGCAGCAGGTCGGAGCAGTCGTAAAAGATACAACTCACTTTCGACAGGGTTGGTTATTGGTTAAAAACTCGTTTCTTTTGATAATCTCCCTAGATTATGCAAAGCACAAAAAAAAAATAAAACAAGAGATATATTAGATAATGAATTCTTATACTGAAACGATTTTGTTAATAACTGATCAATGCAATGGTGATAACTGATCAATGCAATTGTGAAAACTGGCTCTTGAAAAAGAAATTACCCTCAATTTAGCGTAACTTCCTTCTTCGCCGCCGATTGGCCTCCACTTCTCCTCCTCTTTGGTAATTGTGGGGTATCGTATTTCTCGAATTTTCAGTACATACAGAATATTAACTAGAGATGCTTGAAGATCAACCATACACATTTTTTTTTCCTGATTTTTCTTTTCAACAAACCCCACCAGTAAAAAAAAAAATAACAACTCTTTAGTGGCAAATCCCCTTAGTGGCATCTAACAAAATCTTCTAATCAAGTCACTTCATTCAACTAGCTTTTATTTATCACTTTCCCCAGTTCACTCTACACTTTTTTGGTTTAAGCTCCACCTATTTTTGGTTCAAAGCATCTCTTAAACTGATCCAGAAAAAAAAAAAAAAAGAAATAAAAAAGAAGAAAAAAATTAACGAGGTAGATTATCAAGGGTTCAAAAAAAAGCTGCTAAAAGCCCCTTTAGATTCAATCGTATAGGGGGTAAAATCTATAAACCACAAGATATACTGGCAAAAGGGCAAAACAAAATTGAGTCATATCTTAGTTAAGAGTTGCTAAAGCAAGTAGCTTGTTAATCAGTGTCTGTGTTGTATATTTCATGAGTCAGTTGAATCAAGGGCCAGTAAAACTGCCCAAAAGTGGCAATGAATTTGATGTGGCAATTCGTCAACTCGAAAAGTTAAATAGCTGGGATCTAGGTACTGGATTTTTCACTGAGACCCTGAAACAGCTAAAGGAGTTCGGGTTCAGTCTGTCAATGCAATACTACTCAACTACGAGATACGCAGACCCACCTTCACAGAATCTGGAAACGTTTTTAACTGATTTGCATCGAGCTTCTCATAATGGTAGTAACCAAACAGAAAATGAGCTAATGTCTTATGCCCATGTGGCTTATACTATCAATTCATCTTCTTCGTCCTACCCTAAACCAAATTCAATTAATGGAGGAATGGGAGGAGTGTTGGGCTCGCTACCTACAATCAATACATCATTTTCTGAAGATAAAAAGCCACCTAGTGTGCAAGAAAATCAAAGTCCAGGATTCCACTATGGACAAACAAACACGAGATGGTCGTCTGACGAATTGAATTTTCTTGACCCTCTTCTCATCAATGACAAAAGCAATGTCAACAGAACCCATTCCAGAAGTTTATCAACAGCATTTTCAATTGTACCTGACTCGACAGAGGCGGCACAAGAAAACTCACCGATAATTTTTGCAAAAAAAACCGATTGTGTGCCACAAGAATTTACCTACAATTTACAAGCAGGCCTGATACAGGAGAAAAACGCTTTGCTCAATAGCAATTATCATGGCAACTCTTCATATCTGAGTTCCAGCTGTGGCAACACTTACACGCTATCAAACTATCTGAGAATCGACTCCGATAGGGTCGATGAGTTACGAGAAAACTTGAACCTTTTGCCAGCATTTTCTTATCCTCATTCAACAGCTGAGTTTATAAGCAATAGAAGGTCTGAAATATCCAGTAGTACTTACAATGACCTGAAGAAATCAATCTGGAGCTACGAAAGAGATGACCCTTCAACACCATCACCATTGAAATACCATAATCAGCCTTTGACAATTCCCTCGTCGCCTGTTACTACTGGTGCAATTAGTCATGATGCAACAGAACTGTTGAGTACTCAAAAAAAAGAGCCTGTTGGACAAACGGTGTCCGAAAATGTAAGTTACCCACCACACTTGAAGCCACAACTGGAAAACGAACCGGTTTCTACACAGGCTGCCTCGAATAGGGTGCGCAAATATGTAAAGAAGGATAAAAAGCACCCACAGCTAATGATATACCCTATTAAATTCAAATTCAGAAAACGAAAGGAAGATTATCAATGCTATGCCAACCAGTGTGCCGAATGGGATAATTTTAGAAATACAGCAAGCACACTGCTTCGGTGCTCTCTGGTCATTAAAAACACAGAATCTCTGGGTTTATCTGACATTTACGATATAGGACCAAAAGTCTTACCGAAACCCTTCACAAAGGAGTTTCACGATTTGAAATATCACAAATTCGTCCCCTTGGGTCAATTGAAACGACTCCCTGCTTTCCAGTTACCTCATGGTCAAGAATCGAATTATGTAGCTGATAAACCCTCAAGAAGAACTCATTTCCCCAAGAGACCTGCAAGTGGTAGCGATTTAGGTGCTTTTAGGTTGCAACCTTCTAAACAATTAGGAGATGTGCAATACGATAGATATTATTCAAGATTGAACATATATGAGCTATCAAGAATCTTGGAATTGCATTTATATGATATTGCATTAACAAAGCAAGTTGAAATTAGAATTTTGGAAATTTTTGGAAATTATTGCGATTTTAGGTTGGGCCATCAAACTTGGATTAGAGATACAGATAAGGAGAAAAGAAAGTCGCTAATTCGGCAATTGTATTCTTATAGTTCTGTTTTTTACCCCGAAATTGATCCTTTTAAATTAGAAGTGATTATTAGAAGAGGCAGCTATAGTTTAATGCAATCGAGATTGAGGAGAGAACGTCGTTCCAAAACGGCAAAGCGTTAATTTAGTGGTCCCTGTATGCTGATGAGGGACGGTGGGTGGTGGTGGGGAATGTTTTTTTGCTATTATTATTGTTGTTGTTGTTGTTGTTGTTGTTGTTGTTGTTGTTGTTATTATTATTGTTGCTGCTGCTGTAATTGGCTATTTTGTATATTAACTCCGAGCTTCAATACGTCTTATCTATGTTTTGTATCGTACTACATTGAATCAATCCCTTAATATTGATTTTGTAAAGGGAAGAAAATGTTGGTGGGAAGACAAACGGTTCAGCAAACAAAAACGCAAATAAATATTTTATAATTGATATCTCTTATGGACATCTCCTATACCTATAAACAAGTCAAAAACCAATCTAACCTAGCTTCTCTCTTCACCATCAAATCATTGTTTGTCCGCAGGTGAATGCATTATTTGTGTAACAAACTTACCCAGGTATCGAGTAATACAAGCAACGGTTAGGACATCATTCTTAATCGAAGTGGTCATCAAATGATTTAAAATAACATGATTAGGAATGGACAAATGATAGTCTTCTTTGTTTGACGCATAATAAGAACTATCCGCACGACGCAATGGGGGCCTCTTATGAGCATAGCTTGATGAAACAGGACCACTCCCTGTTGTTGTTGTTGTTGTTGTTGTTGGAGTAGTTGCCGCTGATCCTGGGTTAAGTGGCGGGGGACCTGGTATCATGTTTGAGGAAGAATTTGCTGAATTTGACTGATTTGAAATCTTGTTTAATAAAACATTGTTTAAGTGTGGTGGGAGTTGAGGCGGCTCGTGCAATTCAAAATCGGGCGGTTTGTTTTTGAAGTAATCGTAATTTACAAACATTTCCGGTATCTCATCTGAATATTCTATCTTTGCGGCTGTTTTAATGAATGAATTGGAAGTAGATAGCTCATAAGGCGAGAATTGTTGCTGCTGGGAACTATTAACGTCCTGAGGTTGTTGATATGGATAATTCACCAGCTGTTGTTGTTCAACTTGCTTGTTGTGTAGTTCGGTATCTCCTTCATCCACCATAATATCGTCCCCTTCGTAATATTCAATATGCTCAAATCTGGAACTCTCTTCTTTGGAAATTTTGTGAAATAACTCGTTGGATTTTTTCTGAATTTTTTCAAACTCATATTTACCTGCAGCTCTTGGGGTTGACAATGATTGTGGTTGTGGTTGTGGTTGTGGTTGTACTTGTGGTTGTGGAGGCAGGGGTGCTGCTGCTGAGTGCTGTTGGGGGTGATTGAAATTAGGAAGCAAGGACAAGGCCTGATTTGAAATTATATTAGCATCGTAGTCAGTACTAGCACCAATGTGGTTAGGTTGATTAAGTGAATGATTGAACAAGTGAGTATCGTCGATGACTTCGAACCAGTTGAAAAACAATCCCTCCTGATCAGTTGCAGTGGGTAACTGGTCACTCACTCTGTATTCGTTATTGATAATATATAGTAGCTTGTGCACTCCCAAGGGCAAGTTGATTGTAGTTACATATTCGTTAGTGTGATTCGCCAGCGGCGACAATTTGATCACATCTCTCCAGTTCGAAAAAGATCCAATGATTGAAATCTTGTTTATAAATTCCTTATTTGAATTGACCCATTTGATTTCAATGGGTATTAAAATCTGGTCTTGATGATTATTGCTTTTCACTAACTTGTGGCGGTTTTGTCTAGGCACATTTTGTTGATAATTCAAATACGGTTGGTTGTGGTTGTAATTCATCGGCTGAAAATAGCTCGTTTGCTGTTGCTGCTGCTGCTGCTGTTGCTGCTCTGGATGCGGAGATGGAGAGTGTGCATTCCTAGCAACAGATGCTGCAGACATCATTGTTGTTGCTGTGGGTGGTTGACAGTGTTGCTGTTGCTGTTGCTGCTGTTGCTGTTGTTGTTGTTCTTGTTGTTGGTCACTAGGGCTTTGCTCCAATGACGACAAAGGCGGTGCATTATGGCTGGTTATCTTTGTAAAATCAACCTTTGATAAGTCAGGCGTAGGAGTTTGAGACAAGGGGTACTCGAATTCCTGTACCACGTCATCGGAATCTTGAACGAATGGTTCATCCAAATCCATACTAGTATCATTTGTCGCTTTTTCTTGATTGTTTTCCTCTTCCTCGCCATCTTCTCCCATGCCACTTTCTTTATTGCTTTCAAAATAATTATTATCTGGAAGGATGTTTCTTGAGACTGAAGTGGATTCCTCTACCAATCCATCATTTACTTCGTTGAACTCATCCTCTATCAAGTCATCTGTAAACTGGTTATAGGGCTGGTTCAGAGTTTGAGGCTGAATTGCATTAAACAGTTGATTTGTTATATTGCTATTAGTTTGATTTTTGACGACTTGGTGCAAGATCAAATCACTAAACTCCTCATCTAAGGAGTTATTATTATTATTGCCTGCAGTCGATTTCCTCACTTGTCCTTCAGCCGATGCGTTTGACTTGCGAAACGAGATATTTTGATCATTTAACTTTGCACCCTGACTATAGTTCCCATTTGTTGACGCATTATTCCCCATGATAAAACCAAACCTGTGTGTGAATATGTATACGTTATAAGTAATATAAGGCCCAATTGTCAAATCCAACTATGAAAGCTTGTCTGGCATAAAAGTAAATAGAGACTAATTTGTAAATTGTAAATTCACTAAGAATTCGCTAAAGAGTAAAAATATATCAAGTTAGTGGGAACTGAAAATGTGCTGGTCGTGGTAGCGTCACCACTAAATGTGAATCTCTGCCTTAGAGCAAGAAGATTAATGTGGGATTGTACGGAGATGGATGAGATAGGAAGTAGAGGTAGATGCGTCTACTTTGCTTTAATTGGCGGCCTATTAACTTAGCTTGCGGGTCACATAGGCCTGGTTTTTTTTTTTTACGCAAGAAGACGATTTTGATTTTTGAATAAAGCACAGCTCTTGTATTATACGGGCATATGGGCAGAATAAATTTGCTTCAGAAAGAAGCAAATTTATATAGTCTTTTAAAAGTTAGAATATGGAGATCATATTCAGGTCTAGTTGGAAATGTAATGTAGCTTTAGCCTAGGAAAGTATATAATATTCAAACACGGGTTTGATATATGTTGTTGTATTGTCGATACAAGAGATCAAAATAACATATACCCTTGCACGTGTTTTATGAGCAGAATGGGTAATATAAGAGTATTTAGAAGAATTATTTATTCGATTTACACTTTCCTTCTAAGTTTATACAAGTTATGATATGGGGTGAGTCAATGCAATCTCTAGTCATGATTTCTTAAGCTGATATTGTCAATTGGAACCAACTGGCTAGTTTAATTCATTTGGTAGTGATTTCTCAAAGAAAAGAAAAAAGAAAAAAAAAAGTTAATTATAGCGAGACTTGCATTAAAAGAGATGACAAAATGAAAAACAGGGAAAATGACAAGAAGGGAGGGAGAAGAAGGGGGGAGAAGAAGGGGAGGAGAAGGGGAGGAGAAGGGGAGATGATGAAGGGGAGATGACAAGAAAGGGGAGGAGGTTATGACGACAGAGGTTTTGATAGTGTTGCTACTAGGTGTTGTTCCCCTACTATCTCTCTGCTTGATGGTGTTGCGTTAGTAATCTTGCTTTTGAAATTGCTCTTTATCCTTATAGCTAAACTGAAAATCATGTGTGTTTTTGGAAAAAAGATTAGTAGATAAGATTAAAAAGTAAAGACTCTTACTAGCGACAAAGTATTAAAAAATTAAGTGTATCAATTTGTAGATATTAATTTGTACAAACCACTTTCTAGCTATTTATATCATTTGATCAATTTGTACGTTTGGCATTTGTTCCTGATATGTTATACAATTTAGCAACTACACAATGACACAACTAATCGAACCAATTGTAAAAAAACTGTAACAAATAGAGGATTGTAATATTAGTATTAGTAAGAGATTTTATAAACTTTAAGTTACAAAAAGTACGATATATGCTAATAAAAGAAACATATATGCTTTTAAAGCTAATAAAAATGTATATGTATTAAAAGCTAATAAAAATGTGTATGCAATAATCTAGTTTTGTTGTTGTTACGACATACTTGGAACATTCAACTTGTAGATATACCTTTACTATCCGCTGGTTTTACCAGTTTTTGGTGGTGTACTCATTACCTACCATACTTTTATATAAACCACTAATTTCATCTTTTGTTTTCCATTTCGGGCAATATTAGTGCAAAATTTGCCAAATATGAAACACTTGTCTATTGCAACCTAAAAAGCCATAAAACTATTTTACCTAATAGTCTTGTTCCCATTAGTAACATACTAGCTGCCACCGACACTATCGAGCGACACTATCGAGCGGAGCGAGATAGTGGAACAAAACTCAGTAGCTTCTTACAACAAAACTCAGTAGCTTGTTACAACAAAATTCAGTAGCTTATTACAACAAAACTCAGTAGCTTGTTACAACAAAATTCAGTAGCTTGTTACAACACTTTCTCGCTCTGCCCGATAGTGTCGATAGTGTCGGTGGCAGCTAGTGTGCTCCACTATCTCGCTCTGCTCGATAGTGTTGCTCGATAGTGTTGCTCGATAGTGTTCCTCGATAGTGTTGCTCGATAGTGTAGATCGCTACCATGTGCCAAAAATGCTAAGCGCTCTTCTTGATTCTTTTTTTTTTGTGACGCTCTCTCTCTCTCTCTCTTTAAAGGAATATTCGGAATTCTTGTACCTGAAAAAGGAAACTGAAACAAACTTGAAGTAGGCAACAAACCTCTCCCAAGGGAAATAAATAGAGTTTATTTCTTGCCGATAAGGGAGAAGGGGCCATTGATATAGAATTTTTACAAGAGAAAAACTTTTAACGACTAATTGACAATTGACAGTTTGTGGAAAATTAATCATGTCATGGATAGGGTTGAAAAAAGCCGTTAATAGAGCTGGCACGCAAATTATGTTAAAGACTGGTCAAATGGAACAAACCGTCGATAAGGAATTTGAATTTGAAGAAAAAAGGTTTAGAACCATGGAGTCGAATCTGATCAATTTACAAAAAAAACTACGTACTTATTTGGATAGTTTAAAACTTTTAACTACATCGCAGATCCATGTGGCAGAGCTTCTCAATTCCTTTTATGGCACCGAACCTCAAGTTTGCAAAATTGTTGAGAATCCTTTAACCGGTAAGAGCCGTGAAGTGTTTCAGAATTTGGCTGGAGAGTACTATACGACTTTAAAGAAATTGAATGACGAGTGTATCAATGAATTGGAGCACCCATATAATCAAACAGTGTTGAATCCAATGTCGAGGTTCAACTCGTACTATGTTGAGATCAACGAAGCAATAAAGAAACGAAATCACAAATTACTAGACTATGATGCCATGAGAAACAAATTAAAGAAATTGTTGGACACACCCCAAGTTGAGTATAACAACTATGAGCAAAAACTACGAGAGTACAATGACGAATTGATGGATTTGGAATCCAAGTATAACGAGATAAATGATCAGCTAAAGGAAGAGATACCAAAACTAGTCAATATGAGAGTGGCATTTTTTGACCCAAGTTTTGAAAGTTTTGTTAAAATTCAATTGAGGTTTTTCAATGAGCATTACCAGCATCTAAACCAATTGCAAAACAAGTTGGACGCACAAACTAGGGAAGATTATGTTGAAGGGAAACTAGAGGATAAGATAGATGATGTCTTGAATAAGATGCGAATGCTTGATATAACTGGAAATAGCGGATGTATTTAGAAACAAAAGGAAAAAAAAAAAAGCATTACTAACACTATTGTATCCTTCTATCAAGCCTCTTTACTGCGTTCTTCATCTGGGTTTCTTCCGTATGGTAGCTCACGCACACGCACACACACCCTAGACCAGACCAGACCGGAGATAAGACTCTTGTCTTTCGGTTGGTATATCTCCACTGATGCCTTTTGAACTTGTTTCAATATAAAAGCTTCTCATTACATAATCACAAAAAAAAAAAATAAAAATAAAATAAAAAATTGGATTCCTAATAAAGAAAAGTTTATTATACTCTTTAAGGTGAATGGTAGATAGAGAGATTCAGATGTTACATTCCTTTTGTTGCCGCTGAGAGAGTACTATATTGAAGAGCTTAAAGTGTTGAGAGAAAGAGAAAAAGAGACAAAAAGAGAGAAAGAGAGAGAGAGAAAGAGAGAAAGAGAGAGCAATACGGTATAATACTGTAATAGCTGAAATAGGTACGGTTCTCGGTAATAGCTGAAATAGGTGCGATTCTCAAAAGTTGATAGAAATGCTTAAACGGTTTTCTCGTCACTCGCATGGCCATCATGTGGATAAACCGATATTTGCAGAAACATATTGGCGATGGTATAACGAGAGCTTTTCACAAACCGAGAAAGAGACGCTTGTCAAACATACTCCCTATGTAACGACAAAATTCACTGAAAAATCACCAGAAGTGTTAACGATACAGAAATTTTTTGAGTATCAGAAATTACCTATCCCATGTACCTTACAGATTATTTCCATTTTGAGATCCCCTCTCACTGGTGCCGATCTAAATAAAACATACTATGTACTTCGAATGTTTCAATTGAGTTGCGAGGGTTTGTTTTTAACAAACATCAGAGTTGATAAGTTGGGCAATTCTTTGAGCTTTGTAGGTGCCGAAAATTGGGATAACGTAATGTGCTATATGGATGCGCTACTCTTTGCCATGTTTGCAAATTTAGAAAGCTTTGAGCCAATCTTGTTTATACCAAACCACGGTGATCGATTAGTTGGTCAATTATCAGCATTAATGCGAGTTTACGTATCCTTACTAAGGCTGGGGTTCTTAATAACTACTGATCTAACAGCGAGAATATGCGAGGGCTTGATGAAATTGGGTTTTAAAGAGGCAATAAGTCATAAGCAACAAGATGCAGCTGTTTTATTTGAATCTCTAACGGAAATATTGAATATGCCGTTGCTAACTTTTAAAGTAAACATCAAACACGGCGGAAAATTTAGTAAACGAGATGATCAAAAATACTCCAAAGAAAGAATGTTGTTTGTAAGTATCCCCGGTGATGTCATTGATGGTCAGGTGCCTCCACCGTCCAAGGTGGATACTGAGCATATCGAGCAGTCTAATGAAAAGCTGACAACAACAACAACAACAACAACAAGTTCAGAAGGTGAGGACATTTTGTTAGAAGAGTGTTTGGAACATTACTTTAACAATTCTATTAGTGTAAAACGGGAATTGGAGAGAAGGGCATCGTTGAGTAATATAGCTGTTGCATCTAGTTTTTCAGACAATCCCAATGACGATAGTTCCAAAATCTTGTTTGCTAATGATGATGCAAATCGATACAAACCAGAAGTGGAACAAGTGGAAAACATTGAAGAAAATGCTGATTCTAAGGAACGGCCTAATGATACTCAACGAATGAGAACCAAGACTAGATCCTCAACACTTTCCATCTGGTCTTTAAATGACAGCGATACAAAGCAGCCCGACTCACACAAGATTCGAGAAGTAAACTTGCCTGCATGGATGTTTTTGCGTTTATTACCATTCTACACCGACGACAACGTAATGTCTGATGGATTTGAAAGCACAGCTAAATCTTCTAAAGAGTTTGCTAACAGAAGACCCGTTCTTCCTATTTGTTTGAAAAGATACCTGTTTAATACCGGCGACTCCTCTGGAGAAAGGTCTCAGAAGCGTATTTTGATACCACCACTTATTGACTTGCCTGATTTTGTTGCCGACGATGTTGATGGGCCAGAATGTTCCTTTAGGTTGATTTTAGAAAGTGCAGTCTGTCATAGAGGTAATTCAATCCAACTGGGGCATTTTGTTTCCGTTGCGCGCAAAAACATTTATCAACTTAACCAAACAGATGAGGAAGCAGAAGCAGCGGCATGGTTGCTTTATGATGATATGAAAAAGTCTCTGCGAGTTGTGGAAAAAACTTTTAAAGAGATTTTCAGTACTGAATGGCCATACATCTTGTTTTACAGGTTAGTCTCAACTAGTGAAATGAGCAGTGCTTCATCCTTACATAGTACCGCAATGCCACCAACAGGTTGCAAATTCCAACATTACTGTCACACTGCCGCCGCACCTGTGGCACCATCAAAAGCGATAATCCCCACCACCGCCACAAGTACCTCCCCCACAAAATGTACATGTATAGAATCGTCACCTGCTTTATCCATAAAGACCAATGAAACAATCGTCAGTTGCGAGAATGGAGAGGTTTCAAAGAAACGAACTACACTGAACTCAGATCCAGTATCAGATATAGCCCCTAATGATCCAAGGTTTGTAGATTTGAGAAATAAATATTACTGGTTCTTCACAGATGAGAGTAGAAATTACTACAAAGAAGAACCCCTAATTTCCAAAGAGGGAAGCTCACAAGTTAGTTTAAGCCCTCAATTTCGAAGGAATAGTCAATGGAGTAACCTATCGAATGTGAGCAATGTCCAGTTGGATAAACTCCAAGTGTCAATTCCAAGTGAAAAAGCCGTTGATGGTACTGTTGGTTCCCATCATTGTTCACCAATCGACGAGACCAACAACATCATTCACAAAAATCACAATAGTAACCACCATCACAACCATCACAACAACAACAACAACAACAACAGCAGCAGCGGCGGCGGCGGTGGCAACGGATTGCTATATGCTGTTGAAGAAAAAGATCTGAGCAGTTCAAGAGAAAGTGCATACATTTCTTCCATTTGGAAACGCTCTATGAACCGGAGTCCCAATGTTAAAGTAGACTCGAGTGAGTCTGTTGGAGAGTTGCGTAAACTCGTGTCACCAATGAGTCTAGACGATGAGCCTAAAAATACGGCATTTCCTAAAACACTTCGAACTTTGCAAGAGGAGCAAAAAAAACATAATCATAATCGTCATTTATTTCATAAATCAAAAAGTAAAAGAGATGCATATAAGCAAGAAAAATGTGTTATTTTATAGACTAATTAGCATTTAATCAAAAAAAGAAAAGAAGAGAAGAAATGAAAATATGAAGTGCCATCTTGTCGTTACATCTCTCTTTTTTTTCCTTCAATCGCAGTAATATATATCACCAGAAACACCTGCAATTGCAACTTTACTCGTCTCTAAAGGATGTGATGCAATGGTCTTTATAGGAACATTACTCAATTTCAATTTCTTAACTAATTTCTTGCTTTGCCAATCCCAAAAAAATGCATACCCCTTTGAATCCCCACTCATGATGATTTTCCCATCGGGAGAAAAATCAATATCAATGCCATATCCCGCGCAATGATGACCCTTGAATAATTTCTTCTTGTTCCATTTATATTTTCCGGTTGAGCTAATTACTTTTATTGAATTATCCATGCTTTGTAGTGCTATATAATTTGATCTGGGATGTTTTTTGAGTGCAGGCATTGAGAATAAAGCAGCATCTGATACTACCTTTGTAGGAATATTGACTCTCCATGGCCATACTCTCACGGTCTTATCGTCTGCAGTGGAGATGAACCCATCATTTGTTGTCATTAGCGCATTGATTGACCCCACATGGTGGTCGTATATTTGTACGGGATCCTGAAATCGAAGGGCATTCAAGTCATAATGGTGAATTTTGTGGTTTGAAAGACCAATGATAAATTCGGAATCATTGTTTGGGTGAAACCGTAGGGCATTGGGAGTAGTTGATAATTGAAGCGTTCTTAGTACCTCTCCAGTCTCAGTATTCCAAAGTCTAACGAGGTTATCGTAACTGCAACTAAGAAATTTGTCCCCCGTGGAATTAAAACAAATGTCTTTTACTGCAAGTTTGTGACCTTTATATATTCTTAATAACTCGTATGCATTATAAACAGACCATAGTTTAATCAGACCATCGTTTCCACACGAGAGTAATAGGTGTCCCAGTTTAGGAAAAAACTGGATCTTGTTGACACCCTTTGGGTGCGCTTTTGTGAATGTGTGAATGACATTTTTTGGGACAAAGCATTCTTGCTGTCCAGGTACTTTATCCTTGAGTTCTCGGGGAATGCGCATAAAGGATCTTCCTTGATAATCGGTTTCTGCAGTTCCAACAAACTGAGAAGTGGCATTGAAAGAAATGGCATTGTTGTCGGCGTCATTGTCACTGTTTTTACCCTCGTCATCATTTGTTTGCTCTACAATTTGCTCTTTGGCGCTAGTTGTGACTAGTAGGGACTCATTCACTACTACTACTTCATCATCATCGGAGTACGATGTCCATGGATCAACTCCCTTTTTTTTACGTCTCAATTTTAGTTGCTTGGCTTTTAATTTGGCACTATCATGTAGAGCTTGTTCTTGCCGGTATCTCTCTTCAAATAAAGTTGCTGCTTTTCTATCTAGTTGCGTTCTTGGTTTCTTTGCCAATGGTTCATCTGGGGAGTCATACTTGCTAGTATCACTTAGCTGCTGCTGGTGATACTGGTGATGCTGCTGCTGCTGCTGCTGCTGCTGCTGCTCTTGACTCTTTGAATCTTCGTCTGAGTCTGATGAATAGCCTTGTATTATAGACATCTACCTATATGCATTTGCCGATTCAACGTTTATTACAGTTTTTTCAAAGTCATCGCGTGTAGAGATGAGATGATTGATTATTTTTTTCTTTTCTTTTTTTTTTTTTTGTTTTAATTTTCCACACTGTGTTCAAGGCATCTCACAATATCAGGTATCAGGATGAGTAAGAGGCAAATTGAGTCTGATTCTGACATAAATGTCAGTTCAACTGATGATGAATCTGATACTGAGTCAATGCAAGGCAAGAAAACCGGGGACGAGGAGGAGGATGCTGAAATGGAAGATACAGTTAATGTTGATTTTGACTTTTTCGATTTAAACCCCGAAGTGGATTTCCATGCTACAAAGAATTTCATACGTCAGTTGTTTGGGGATGATCATGGTGAGTTTGATATTAGCGGGATAGCAAACTTGATTTTGGAAAAAGGCTCAGTGGGTACTTCGATAAAGACCGAGGGAGAAACAAGTGATCCGTTTGCGCTTTTGAGCGTTATTAATCTTGGTGACAACTTGTCGAATCCAAGTCTAAAGAAGCTTGTGGAATACGTTTTAAACAAGACCAAGAGCAATATGGAGCTCAATTTGACGTTGAAAAAATTACTCAAAAATGATGCTGGTAGTGATGAAGATGAAAAAAGAGCTAGAGTTGGCTTGATTGTAAGTGAAAGATTGATAAACATGCCCGTTGAAGTAGTACCGCCCATGTACAAGATGTTATTAGAAGAAATGCAAAATGCAAACAAAAAAGATGATGCTTTTGCCAAACTGTACGATTTTGACTATTTCTTGATAATATCCAAGGTTTATCAGTTAGTCGATGCGGTTGAGAAGATTGATGACGAAGAAACGAGTGGGAAAAAGAGAAAGACTATGGTTGGCGGACCCAAACAAGTGGAAATGGACTATTTCCACTTGGAGGATCCGATACTAGAAGACAATGCGGTAAGCAAGGGGATCTTTGATTACAATAATAAGAATAAGCAAGAAACAGATTCGAGAAGGGTGTTTACAGAATACGGAATTGACCCCAAGTTGAGTATCATTTTGATTAAAAAGGAAAAGTTGGAAAAATCGGTAAAGGAAATGGAAAAGCAGTTTCCTGCTCCAGCATAGTCGGGACTAGTGGTGGTAGTATAGTCGGGACTAGTGGTGGTAGTATAGTTAGAATTACTTCTCATGGTGGTGGGTGGTATGGTATAATATGTATAGCACAAGTTGGCTCTTCTCACACGACTTCTCTAACGGCATTGAATTTTTTTTTTTTTCCTTCACTATGGTTGAAAAATTTTTCAAGCATTCATCTTTATATAGGAAAAACAGATCTCATATAATAGAGATTAGATTAGTCAAAGGGTGAGGAGCATTAGAAGGTTTAGAGGGATGCCACCAGCTCATAAGAATCATAGTTTTCGTCCCGAAAATGTTTTTAAACGTGCCGAGGATTTAATTGCTGTGGGACAGAAGGAAGCTGCATTAAGTACTTTATACGAGTTAATTACTTCGAAAAGAATTCGTTATTTGCTAGTTGAGGATTTGGAGCCGATCGCCAACTTACTTATTGAGCTAGCAGTTGAGTTGAGAAGAGGTAAATTGGCCAAGGATGCTTTGCACCAGTATAAGAAGAATATTCAGCTAAATGAGCACGGGTTAGACTCGGTTCAAACCATTACTCGCAAGTTTATTATGTTGGCTGAAAAAAAATTGGACGAAGCTCAAGCTCAGGCAGATATCAAAATCGATCAAGATGAAACCGCAGAAGATGATTTGGAAACTGCACAGACTCCAGAAACTATCTTGTTGAGCGCTGTCTCAAACACCGATTCTGCTGATCGTACAGAAAGGGAATTGGTTACTCCATGGTTGAGGTTCTTATGGGAGGCTTTTAGAGCAGTTTTAGATATATTGAGAAACAACTCTAAATTGGAAGTAACCTATTCAGCTATCGTTAACCAAGCTTTCAAGTTTTGTTTGAATTTCAAGAGAAAAGCCGAATTTAGAAGGTTGTGTGAGTTATTGAGGGTCCATATGCAATCGGTTACTACTCAAACAAAAATGTATACAAATAACAACGCCATCGACTTGTCTGAAGCAGACACGGTTCAAAGATACTTGGAGCAAAGATTTGCTCAATTGAACATTGCTGTTAAATTGGAACTTTGGCAAGAGTCATTTCGCTCGGTTGATGATGTACACACCTTGATCACCGCATCAAAGAAAGCACCAAAACCAACCATGATGGCCAACTATTATGAAAACTTGGCAAGAATATTTGCCGTTTCAGACAATGAATTATTCCACGCTGCAGCATGGAACAAATTTTTCAATTTGTACTCACAATCTCCAATGGCCACCGATGAAGAGTTGAAGAAATATGCTTCAATCTTGGTATTGTCTACTTTGGCTATTCCACAAAGCGCCATTCAGGATGCTGATGAGCATAGAACTAAGAGCTCCAAGTTGTCATCCTTGTTGAACTTATCACAACCACCAACTAAAGAAGGCTTGACTAAATCGATCATTTCAAGAGGAATCTTGAGATATGCTGACGAACTGATCAAATCATTATTTGATTTATTGGTGGGTGATGGCTTCCACCCATTATCTGTTAAAAGGTCTGTTATTGAACTTTTTAAGACTATTGAGTTGGACGCTGAATATAAGAAATACATTCCTACTTTAACCGAAGTTATTTTATTGAAGACTTTCCAGCAAATCTCTCAAGTTTACCTGGCAGTGAAATTGGATTTCTTGGTATCCTTGGGTGTTTTCGAAGGTGTCAACTACTCATTATCAGAGTTGGAAGTTGAAGATTTGATAGTTAATGCTGTTAAAGACGACTTGTTGTCCTTGACCATTGACCATGAAGCCGGTGTCGTTACGTTCAAATCAAACCCATTTGAAGAAACGTCTAGCTTGTTCAACCACAGCTTGCAAACCTCACCTGCAGATTTGGTTCGTTTTCAAATCAGTAAGTTGGCAGCAACATTGGCTGACTCTGTTCAAATTATTGATCCAACCTACGAGCGTCGTCAACAGCAAGCCAAGGAAGTTGCAATGCAACACGCTATTTCTAGTTTAGTTCAAGAACAACAAAGACTTGCCGATCGTTGCAAGATTTTTGAAGAAAGAAAATTAGCAGCCGAGAAGCGTAAACGTGAAGAAGAAGAGTTGCAAGCCAGATTGAAACATGAGCGAATTGCTGCTGAACAAAAGGCAGAACAAGAAAGATTAATATTAGAACAAGAGCGTAAACAAGAGGAGAAAGTGAAAAGAGAGAGGGATGCAATTCTTGTGAGTGAAAAGAGAAAAGTTGCTGAAGAAATTAATGCCAAGGGTATTATTAAGGTTGACATGAGTAATTTGAAGGATTTGAATACTGATGAGTTGAAAATGATGCAAGTTGATCAATTGAATAAGGAGAGGAAAGAGCTTGAAGAGAAATTAAAGATTACAGCTAGAAAAGCCGACCATTTGGAACGAGCCTTTAGAAAGCACGAGTTGAAATTATTAGAAGCCGATGCAGAAAAACAACAAAGCTTAGAACGTGAGAATTACGAAGCGATGAAGAAGGCCAAGCTTGAAAAAGTTAAAAAGGAATTTGATAACGCGATTGCCTTGAAAGAACGGTTGCAACGTATCATGCCCGATTATCATACTTTCAAGACTCAAATTGATGCCAAGAATGCTGCTAAGATTGCTAAATTGAAACAGGAGGCTCATGAGAGATTTGAAAAGGCCAAACAAGAGAGAATCGAAAAGGTTAAGAAACAACGTATTGAAGAGTTGAAGACAAGGAAAGAAAGAGAACGTAGAGCACAAGCAGAAGAAGCTGCCAGAAAAGCACAAGCTGCCGAAAACGCTAAATGGAAAGAAGAATTGAAAGCACAACAAGAAAAGGATGAAGAAATGCAAAGAAGAAGAGAAGAAATGGCTGCTGCCGCTGCTGCTGCTCAAGCACCACCACCACCACCACCAAAAGCAACTAGACCAATGACCTTCATGGAAAAAATGAAGAAAGAAGGTAAATTAAGGGGAGCAGCAAGAGATAATTAAATTTGAGTTTTATGTAGCATTTTGCAAATGGTATTGAAACTTTTCTGACACTATAACAAGTTTTTTTTTTTTTTCTTCTTCTATTTTCTTACACTTTTAAAACCTTCTCTTCTTATGTGGAACATTATAGGTTGCATCAAATGACACCAATTGTAACGGTGATAGGCTCCTTGAACTATGACTTAGTTACGTTTACTACTCGAGTACCCCGGGCAGGGGAAACTTACCAAGCGAGCTCGTTTGAAACGCATATTGGTGGAAAAGGTTTGAATGAAGCTCTTGCTGTTGCGAGGTTGTCTCCCAAGAATAAGGTAATCACACGAATGGTGGGTAAGATAGGCACTGATGATTTTGGCAGGAATTTGAAACAATGTTTGTTAGAGGCAAAAGTAGATGTCGAGTTTTTGGAGACAATTGAAGGGCCATCGGGTGTTGCTGTGATTATGGTGGAAGAAGATAGCGGCGAGAATAGAATACTTATCACTGCTGGGGCTAATGGTCATTTAACAATGAGTGATGAAGAGTATGAAAAGATATTCGACAAATCGGTTGATGGAAAAGGAGGGTTTGTCGTATTGCAAAATGAGTATCCAGACACTTGTAAGAGCATATCATGGTTGAAAGAGAATCGACCGCAGATCAATATTGCATACAATCCATCGCCATTCAAACCTGAATTGGTGACAAGGAAACTTTGGCGTATGATTGACTTTTTAATCGTTAATGAAGGAGAAGCACAAGATGTTGCGAAGCTTCTTTTACCTGATGTCATTTTTGAAGCGAGTATTGAAGGATTCAAGAAAATGGCCATTGAAATTCAAAAGCTATTAAATCAAGAAAATATACAAACTGTGGTTATAACAATGGGAAGTAAAGGGTGCATTTATTACACTGGAAAAGAGGAAAAACCAAGTTTTGTGAAGGCTCAAAAGGTGGACAAAGTTGTTGACACCACAGGGGCAGGGGATACATTTTTTGGTGGAGTGGTTTCTAATTTAGCTCTAGGTTATGATATTTCCAAGGCAATCAGTTTCGCTACTATAGCTAGCAGCTTAGCTATACAAAAGAAAGGAGCTGCTGAAGGTATACCAATCTATTCAGAAGTCATTGAAAAGTTACATGGGGTAAAATAATGATTATTAAAGCGAAAGTAATTTACACATAAAAAAATATAAAATAGGAGGGGTGTAGGGGGGAAGGAAAGAACCGCTCTATGCCTTTCTAGTACGAACTGTTGCATTGTTTTCTGGAACCGGGGTTGATTCTCTACCCGTAACGTAAACATATTCATTGACTTGTGCCGCAACACCACCCTTAACCGACTTGACAATCTTTGACTTTTTTGACGATTTTCTTTTATAGACATCGATGTAAAAAGCAATAAATAAAACCAAATAAGACGACAATATTCCACACCCGGAATAAGCTGCCAACATTGTTCCTGCGCAGTCACCACAGTATGGGATAACTGTCAAATAATCCTTTAAATAGGTGAAGACGAATTTTTGATAGGTTCCGAAATAAACAAATCCCAAATCTAAAACGAATTGAATAATTTGGAAACGGGTTACCCACTCTTTCCACCAAACTCTAATACCTCTTGCTGCGAGGAAATAGTACCAATACATAACCACGTGTACGCCCAAATTCAAAGAGATTGGGACCCACGAAATTGACGTGAACCCTATCAACTGAGTGTAGCACAATAATGCAGTTGCACCATGATGATAAGTGTGCAAAAAGGTCAATTTCTTTTGCTTAACCACCAAAAACACGGTATCAATGAATTCAAGAAATTTGGTAATGTAGTTCAAGTAGTATAAACAAACCAACTCTTGGGTCCATGCATCACTGGCGCAAATAGCGTAGAATAATCCGTGCTGGTGAATCATAGGAACCAATTGTTCAACCATCAATACTAATAAGGTCAATGACAATGTAGTTAAGCCAATATTATGAATTTGAAATAATCCATTTAATACCAAGGGCTTAACTTGAAATTTTTTGAATACAAAATTACCACCGAAAATTACAATATAGTAAGTAGCAATCATTGCTGCTACTGGTGGGAAGGTAGACATGGGAGTTTTTCCAGCAATAAATTCAAATTTGGAAGGTATAAATTTATTGCCAGTTGCATTTGAAACAAGGTCATTAAAAATTGGCCAGAGTTGGATACCAAATGGGGTATCCCAAGTAGGTACTGGAAACGGCATAAAGAAGAATATGTTACTAACACTGTTACTACTCTATTCCTCTGCTAGAGAAAGAAATAGGTGATGAATAAATGTATACTTGATATACTTAATATACTTTTTTCATTATGATACGCGAATAAAAGCTGAAAAAAAAAAATTATTTCTTTTCTTGACAGAAGTGAAAAAAAAAAAACAAAGAAAAAAAAAAGAAATAAATAAATTTTTTAGGCAATTCTCACGTCGATATTGTGGCCCGAGGAACAACAATAACGACGCAGATGCGATGGAGATGCAATGGAGATGCGATGGAGATGCGATGGAGATGCGATGGAGAATGCCATGGAGATGCGACGGAGAATGCCATGGGGATGCCATGAAGATGCGATGGTGATGCCATGAAGATGCCATGGGGATGCGACAGGACGCGACGCAAATACGACAGGGCGCGACGCAGATGCGATTGGAGCATGCGTGAGGGGAGAAAAGATATTAATTTGAAAAGAATTTATGCATATATACTGGTGATGGCTATATGGTTTCAGGATGCATATATACTGGTGATGGGGTATATGGTTTTAAGACAAACGTATATGTTCTCGGCTCTCCTATCCTGTCGTCTATCATTATTATATCAATATTGATATAATAGAGTACAATAATTATTGACTAGTGAGAGTCGATTAAAAAAACTAGATAAATGATTACTACTCTGTACACAAGGGTTTAATAAGTGCTGATATATAGATTAATAGATATATCTTACTAGTATAAAGTTTTTACAAGATTTTTATCTCTTGTAGTAAAAAAAGTTTAATGTTGTAATTTGAGGTTATCGTAATAGGGAATAAGAAAAAAATACTGTTGTAGTATATGTACTGCTTGCTGCTGTGTACTGCTGTTATATTACTGTTCTGGTACTATTGTAGTGATGCTGTATACTGCTACTGTACACTGCTATATGCTGTAATAATAATAGCTACAAAAGAGAAAATTAGTCAACATTACCATTTGAAATCATTAGAAAATATTGAAAAATTTTCAACCAATTTCATACAAAATTTTATGTGGTTAAATTATTCAGTAGTTTTACAAAAGAACTCTTAATCTTAATACGTTAATCTATTCTAGATAAACACCTGTTGATGGTTACCATAACTTTTTCTCTGATCTTCCGCAGTAACTAACTCTCATCATATTAAAAGTATGTTTTGTATTTATGTATGGTACTTGCCTTTTTGGTAAATTCCATCACGTGATACGATCACATGACATGGTATTGTTTAAGGGCATCTCGAAATCTTATAATACTATAAGCGCCGATTACTTGAATGAGTATAACAGTCGTCCCACTTTCTTCATTCAACAGCTTATGTCTTCCGATCAAGGCTCCTCTTCCTCAGAAGACACAACATCTTCAAGTGATGAGTGGTCATCGTCATCAGAGGAAACGGTTGCTCCGAAATTCATCCTGAAGTCCAAGTCCAACGCCAAGTCCAACTCAATTGATGAAAATGAACAAAATCAAGAGCCAAACGCTCGTCAGAGAAAGGCTCTTCTATCACACTTAGATCTGAATCAAAGTAAGATAGAAGAACAGGACGAGAGTGAAAGCATTGACGCAGTAGACGACACTGATGATCTAGATCCAGAATTGGAGTATGAAAATTGGAAGCAACGAGAAAAAGCGAGATTTTTGAGAGATCAAGAAATTATCAAAGAACAGGAACAGAAGAAAGAGGATCAAATGGAGAGAAAAACCAAAACTTAACCGAACTGCAAGTGATTCAACTATCCTATTTCTCCGTCTCATACCAATACCATCTGTAGAGTAAAAAAGAATGGGGAAAAAAAAAAAAAAAAAAAAAAAAAAAAAAAGTCTTTTCACCTTGAAGATGTGTTATTTCGGTGAAGTTGTATTGTTGAGCCAATTTGTCTAATTTAGCTTGGTTGAGTTGGGAACCGTAGTTGCAATGTCGTTGAGTCCATTGCCAGAATCGATTGTTCCTTTTTTGAGCAAGTACCTTCCGGTACCAAAAGATAAAAAAGTATTTCTCACATTAACATATGCGCAATCGATAGATTCGAGGATAGCCGCACAAGCTGGGGTTCAAACAAAGTTGTCACATTCAGAAACAAAGACAATGACTCATTATCTTCGGTCAAAACATGATGCAATATTAGTAGGCGTCAATACGGTAGTAGTAGATGATGCGAAATTGAATTGTCGATATGGTTCAAAATCGGAAATTCGGCCGATTATTCTTGACCCTAGAAAAAGATGGCGGTATGCTAAATCGCAATTACGTAAAGTTTGTGAAATGGGACAAGGGTTAGCTCCTTTTATCATAATTGATGATAAAATTGATATCAATTTAGATGATGAAGATGCCAAAACGCTTGAGCTACAAGGCGGGAAGTATATACAGTTACCATTGTTGATGTCGTCTAGTCTTGCAAATAATAGCTGGCGGCTTATATTGGATAAGTTGTATAAGCTTGGAATCAAATCTATAATGGTCGAGGGTGGAGCCACCGTAATAAATTCTTTGCTATCGGATTTTGGAGATTTAATCGACTGTTTAATAATCACCATTGCTCCTGTATTCTTGGGAAAAAAAGGCGTTGAAGTGTCTCCTTCTCACATTACTAACCTACAAGATATAAATTGGTGGACTGGTGTTCAAGACAGTGTTATGTGCGCACGTATTAAACACTTGGAGGGGAAATAAAGATAATCTTCAACCAGATGAAAAAAAAATATGTATATTATTACAATATAACTTCTTTGATATAAAAAAAAGTTACAAAGGCCCCCCCTCGCCCCCAATTTATAGACAAATTCTATATGACGCATAACGACCAGAAGTTTCAGACCTTCTAATAATCTTGACAACTTCGCCTCTTCTTAATCCCAAATATCTTGCCACGGGATCTTCTCTTTGTATTCTAGGTAATTGAGATTCCTTCAACCTATATCTATCCAATAGTTCTTTCTTTTCTTCTCTATTCAATTTAATGTGTTTAGGAACTAACTCATGATGTGTTATATTCACAATTAGATCGCTTTCTTGAAATGTCTCAATAGTCGCTGGCAGAACAGTGGGTATCAATTTATTGGCACTGGGAGTTATATTATTCTGATATATAAATATTCCAACCAGGAAATTCTTTTCGCTTATATGAATGCAAAAATTCCTCATTGTTTTGATACCCACCCCTGCTTCATCGCAAAATTCTACCCAGAGCGAACCCATCTCTGGAAACTTCTCCATCTTTTCTGCTGTAGGTGTCGCTTGAAAACACATGAATCTACGTTGTGGCGCACCCCTTTCGTCACATACTTTTGCTCTGAATTCTTCCAATGTCATATCGAGTTCTTCTTGAGATATGTAATAGCCCTGAAAAATAAATAAAAAAAAAGTAAACAAGTTAGTACTGAGTCTGGAGCATTCTCTTTATCCACTAGCTGCAATCGACACGAGCTGCCATCGACACTAGTTGCCACCGACACTAGCTGCCACCGACACTAGCTGCCACAGATTGCTAGAAGAATATTCAACTCCTTGTTTAATCCGGGAAATAAAACATACCCTATCTCTAACCATCTCCTTCACCGTTTTGTACGTCCTAAATAGACGTGACACAGCTCTATCAGTATCATCCATCGTTACAAACTACTATGCACTATACTATACAAAAGCTAAAGACTATAGAAAACTAATAGGCCCTTCCTACAATGTATATATATATATAGGTATATCAATATTTTTCACCATTGTGAATCAGAGAAGAGCCGTTACAAAAAAAAAAAAAAAAAAAAGATATATAAAGGTCGTGCAATATTGTCTACTAATTTTTCATATTTTCTAAGCGTCAAACTTTCTACGGAATCTCAATTCTATATCGGAACTGCTTTTCCATATCTTGGTTTTGATTGTTTGCAAAGTCATGTTATTACTAAGTTCTTGACCCCTGCATTCTATAACTAGCCAATCTGTAGGCTTTAATTTTTTGTCTCTCATTTCCTTTGTACTACTCTCAAACTTTTCAGTTAGGAAATATAAAATCTTGGAAACTCGCAACATATTATGTGATGTCAATTTGATACTACTCTCTAAGGCTGGTAATGATTTGATTTTTCTATTAGATCTACCTCCAATTTTCATCGTGTGAGGTAAGTTGAAATACTCAACTTCAAGTAACTGGAAGGTTATCTTTGGTGATTCTTTGACATAATACCTACTGTATAAGATCGGGTGACCAATCCATCGTGGCAAATTACATCGAAGATCATTGATCAATTGTTGGTTTGGAGTCTCGCCAAGGCTATTGACGTCGCTCAATTTGAAGCTGCACAGATCACGATAGTTTCCTAATTCCGGTGAATGCTCAAATATAGTAATTGTCATATCCTCGGGAAATTGATCAAACGGTATTATTGGATAGTACTTCAACTCGTCACTTTTGAGTTTATCATTCAACTTTGGATTAACATGGTCGATATTCAATACTGATTTGATAGGTTTGCTGCTAGTAATACTAACCCGATCTTGATAAATCTTTTTGTTTGTTTGTAGTAAACTCATTATAGAATTGTTATAATCAGGAATCTGCTTTAAAAACGTCTTTTCCGACGTATTTAAAAACTCACCCAACGGTGACGACAGCAATAGCGATGGTGATTCTTCTCCTATGTGCATATCAATAACACTGACATTTGCCGAAGTGGTTGGAGATGAATGATTCGAGGAGTTCAAACCGCTAGATAAACTTCGTTTCAGTGATCTCCTACCCCAATGTTTCAATTTTCTAATACTTCCAATACTGCTACTTAAATCTGTTTCCTCGGATTTCTGCTGCTGCTGCTGCTGCTGCTGCTGTTGTTGTTGTTGTTGTTGTTGTTGCTGTTGTTTTTCGTTATGTTGACATTGATTACAAATTTCTTCACGAAGCAACCCGTCAAAAACCCATTCAAATAATGTATAACCATGAAAAATCGAATTCAACAAAATTAACCCTATGTGGTACCTATCATCGTTTGTTACTTCAAGCTTGTGGTTACCGATTCTCTCAACCGTTGAAGGGGACTCAACTGAAAGTGAGGGATAGTCTTTGATCAATTCATCGTAATAAATCTCAACATTCATCGCCGAAGAGTCTCGGATGGTTACCAATAACTTTCCAGCTTTAATCTCTACTTCACACCAATTATTCAAAGTATCCGATTGTTGAAATGTTTGGAATAAAAGATCCATTTCTTTTATTCTCTCTTCAATCTCTTTGCTACTTAGTAGCCTACCATAATTGCCAGGAAAATGTCTTTGCTCTTGACATGTCACGATATCCCAAATCTTAATATCACCATTAAGGTATAGCACCATAATCTGTCTCTTGTTGTCAAACATGCGTTTGGAAACCACACTCTTGGGTACAATTCCATATTTGGCAATGGGTTTAAAATTAAAAGGAGTGATTGAGATCTGTTCAGCTGGCAATGGGTTTAACAAGATTTCTACAGGAGTTATGTTGAGCCATTCTTTAGCCTTATTTGCAATAGGATTTTTCAATGGGTTCTCAAACTCCTGGTTTGGCTCATAGGCAATAATGAATTCATTCGATGGACCTCCACAAACATTTAAAAACATTGATGAATATAGGTCACAACTGTCACAAGAACCGTCTCTAATCATAACATCTGCATTATGATCATCGAAAGTTGGTGGAGTTGTAGTGCAACTATTATTATTAGTATTATTAGTATTATTAGTATTATTGTTATTATTAGTATTATTGATATGGGAATGTGAAAAAGTACTATGAAGATCAAAATTGTTGGTATTTGTCTCAATTGACAATTGACTTACCAAGTCATAGAAATGTGAATTCATATCGTCAGGTGAGGGCGGTGACACCTGAAGATCCTCCAAAACATAATCATCTTGATATTGGTTTTCCCGGTTTAATGAATATTCAAAACAATTTTTCAAATATTGGTATTGAGAAAGCATTGATGTTTGAGGATCAACAAATCTATTCAACGAATTATAATCTGATGCAAATACAGTATCATTGTGGTTTTCTAAACATATAGAAAGCACTGGAGACTCATTTCTTGCGATTAATGTAGATATACCTAGTTTTTCATCGAGTGAAGAGCACTCACTAGCTGTAAATGTATTGGAGTAAAAGATATCAGAATCATTATTAATGAACAAATTGGATAAATCAGTCTTGACAATGTTCCCACTAATATCCCCTGAATAAAAATGTTTCAAGCTATTGTTGGGAGAAGTTAAAGAGCAAACTGAATGATCATGTATATCAAAGTTTTTATAAACTTTAAAAGTTCGTAAATCCCACAATTTGATTGTAGTATCAGAAGAGCCACTCAAAATGAAATAGTCATTCATCAAGAGACATCTTATGTTATCTTGATGACCTATAAGTTGTTTGATAAACTGTGCTGAGGATCTATTGTCGTACAAATTGATTGTTTTGCTTGGACCACCTGTACTGATTATATTCCGATTATTACTTGCTAAGGCATATATTGAAGAAGGCAAATTACCCCTTGTGTTCTTTTCAATCACTTGCACAGGTGCCAATTGGTTCAAGTCCCAGCATACTACATTTCCATCAAGTCCCCCACTTAGCAACTGTGCAGGTGCATCTTGGGAGTAAGCAAGTTTCTTGATATAGTCGGTATGAACGTTTGCAAGTTTATGAGTAATAGGAGTAGTAGTAGCAAAATGATCACATAAATTGGTGATTTTAATTGACAAATCTGATGAGCAGGAAACTAATTGTTGATCATGGTTTATAAGTTTTATATCATTGATCCAGTCGAAATGAATATTATGGCTGTCTATAATTTTGAACCCCACAGGGTCGTACTCTTTTGAGTTAAATGGCAATGGTTTAGATGCAATTGCTGTTTCCAATTTCAAAAGTTTCTCTGCAACGTCGTCACAATCCAGGAAATCCAGGAAATCCGAGTCGTCGCAAGATGTAGCAGCACCTTGACCTTGACCTTGATCTTGACCTTGACCTTGACCTTGAGGACAATTTTTTAGGCTAAATGAATCTTGCCAAATTTTCACGGCGCCGTCTCTTCCACCGGTATATAGTCGGCGCAGCGAGCTTGAATATTGCATGGCGTTAATAGGTAGTATATGATTATCATTGTCATTTTTATTCCCAATTAGATATGAAAGACCTTTCTTAGTTTTTATTGACGATTTGAATTCAAGGGAAGAAATCAAATGGGGTTCATAAAGATGACAATTGGAGCAAGCCATATCTGACAAAAAAAAAAGCTTAAAAACCTTGAAGAATTGGAGTTGAAGCCCGTTCTTTGTTAACAGTTTTTTTCTTCCTCGAGATCAAAGTAAATCCTCACATAGAAGGGTAAGACCAAACGAAAAAACACTCAAATTTGTAAACCTAGTTTTTGGCCAATGTGGGTTTCAACAGTTGTGAAAAAATTCAATTGACTAGTTTTTGGAGCTGCGAAAAGCTTATATCGACCTAATGACTTCAAGCAGATACACCTACCTGGTAATTGCTTGCTCAAATGAAAGCTAAGGATCACTATTACTCCGTTTATTGTTAAAAACGAAAAGAGAATAGAATGCAAATCGGAATAATGAAATGTTTCGGAAGAATGAAAAATTGACTTCTTTTTTTTTTTTTTTTTTCGGGACAAATGTGCACGCCCATCTCATCAGCGAGCAAGAGGTATGGGTATGGGTTAGTTGAGAGATGAGTATGGGAACCCCCCATAAGAGGCAATAAACTAAATTGCAAAGATGTCCATTGTTATTGGGCCCTTTTCTCTCATCAGTCTCGAGTTACAACAATACACCTCAATTGAGACATATTCAAAATACGAGCAGACCAATTGATAAAGGCCGATGATATATTTTACTGGCAAAGTTTGTAGGGTGTTACTTTTATTCTCCCCATCTACCTCGCTTGATTGTAAATTATCATATTATGATCAAACCCTCCGTGTGTTTTTATTTTGGCTAAACAAAGTCACGTGACCCTATGTGGTCACGTGACTTTGTATATACGAGTCTTATGACCAATTAACAATTTTAGATAGATTTAAAGCCGAATCGTAATTTGGCTGGAAAAATCCAATCTAGTTGAGTTTTACTGGAAAAATCCAATCTAGTTGAGTTTTACTGGAAAAATCCAATCTAGTTGAGTTTTACTGGAAAAATCCAATCTAGTTGAGTTTTACTGGAAAAATCCAATCTAGTTGAGTTTTACTGGAAAAATCCAATCTAGTTGAGTTTTACATAACTCCATTCCACTTGCCAATAAGTCAAATGATAACTACTTTTTCAATAAATACTTTTCCAGTCCATTTTGGCAAATAAGTCAAATGATGATTACTTTTCCAGTCCATTTTTGCAAACAAGTCAGATTATAAATAATTTTCTAGTCCCAAATAAATCAAATGATAAATACTTTTCCAATTTGGTGGTTCGAGCTTGGGGTGGTAATGAGGCCAGCAAGTAAATGTATACTACCTACTTTTTTAGCTGTATTAGACTGCCTGCTGATTGTGGGGTGATAATGATTATGTAATAAATCTCAAGACATTATATAATAACCCGTAATATAAACTAGTATTTTATTATATAATAACCCGTCTATAAACAACTAATCATTACATAATAAATAACAAAGAAAACGACTATTCATTACATAACATTCTCAATGCCACTCCCCACCTGATGTTTGGAAGTTGTTACTTCCAAACATCAATAGTTTTACAATGTACAATGCTACCATGGTTCCCCTTTTTGGGACGGGCCCCCCTTTTTTAATACGTTTCTATTATAGAATTTACGTTATCATTTCTAAAAGTCACACACTTTTCAATTCGACACTTTACGATTTACTCTCTCCTCTTCTTCCCTTCCCCCCCTCCTCCCTCCTTGTAATAGTAAAAGTGTATAAATACCTGTATAATTTCCTCACTACACTGCATTTTTTTTTGACTTGTATCTTTTCTTTTCCTTCTTCCTCCTTTACCTTTGTGGATAGTACCAGCAAAGACATATAGATTGCCCTTCTTTCTTTTCTTAAGTTTTTCTTCTTTTAGTGTATAACCTTTATATACAAAGTAGTATTTGTTTCCAAGATGAACTACCAGGATGCTTACATTCAAGAGAAGAAGAGAAAATTGAGTCAGGAAATGGACCAAGAAACAATTAAAGAAACACTCTTGAATGTTGAGCAAAAAGAAGATGTTGAAGAGTTGATGAAGGAAACTGATGTTGATATTGAGAATATTGCTTCTCATGCAAATCAATTAATCACTAATACCATTGACGAATTAGAACGCAAGAATAGAGCCTTAATTATTATTGATGAATTTTTGCAAAATGAAAATGCAGAGTTGAAAAAGAGTTATAGAGAAATTGAAAAGGAAAATCAAGCTTTGAAGCAGGTTTTGAAGAATGATTTCCAATCCAACTACAAGTACATTAAAAAGCCATACATGTAATTGGTGTACATACGACGATTAGCATTATTAGCCCCCTATATACGGCTATTTTTGTTATCTTGGCTTTTGTTAGCTACCCTTTTGTTATCTTAGCTATTGGTGCCGTTTTTCTTTTTATGATTGACGAGTTTTTACGAAGATGAAATGTTTGTTACGAATGAATATACGTGTTTTACGATTTTGACTCTGATATTGGCATTTTACTCTGCGTTGCGCAACCCCTTTGGTTTGTTATTGGCGTGTAACTAGTTTTTTTAATGAAAATATGGATCACGTGCGACACTATGAAGCAGACGACACTATCGAGCAGAGCGAGATAGTGGAGCAACACTTTGTACCTCTTGAAAATACAGTGAAATGCTACAAGCTATTCAATAGGTGCTTTCTGTAAAATGCTACAGGCTATTCAATAGGTGCTTTCTAAAATACTACAAGCTATTCAATAGGTGCTTTCTGTAAAATGCTACAGGCTCTTTAATAGGTGCTGTCCTGGAACTACCTGCAATATACCAAGATTTGGTAAAAGTGCTGTTGCGAATGGAACCGACTTTGTCACAACCAACACACAGGGTTGTTTACAAAAGATACCAGGTCTCATCCGATTGGTACTCTTTTCTACTCTTTTCAATGGTCAATTTTTGTGACTGACTCGAGGATTTCTTCAAATTTTCAATTATATTTCCTAATTGGGATTAATTAAAATGTCACTTTGGAAAAAATGAATTTGGCGCGTAATCTTTTTTTTTTTCTTTTTTTATTTATTATCATTTTGCAACTTTTATGAGAGTATGGGTGTATATATAGTTTCGTGCTTTCCCAGTAAAGGCGATGTCATTTGCTCAAGGTATAATACCAAGAACTTGAAAGTTATTTAGTTATGTCTACTCTTACACCTGCCTCGACTCCTCAAAAGAAGAAGCGAACTATAAGGGATATATCAAACACATATAAGGATAATGTACAATTACCATTAACACCAACAAAAACACCCCAAAGCAAGAGACTTAAACTTGAACATAGCTCGCCCAGTGATGTATCTTGTAGGAAGAAACTTATATTTAATACACCATGCCCAACACCACCACAGACAAGGAAATCTTCGATATACTCTCAAGCTAAAAACTTGTTTCAAAGAGGTTATGCTTGTGAATTACTGGCGATGGATAACAAATCTCAGCTCATTAGTAGGGAGACAGAGGCGCAACACATCAATGAGTTTATACAAAGTAGCGTTGATTTGAAACAATCAAATAGCCTATATATTTCGGGACCTCCGGGCACAGGCAAAACAGCCCAAGTCAATCTTAGTTTAAAAAGATTTCAACAAGACTTTTTACTGGTTAAAGTTGTCAATATTAACTGTATGACACTAAGGAATCCCGAGCTGATTTTTCATGAGATATACTGCTCAATAGTAGATAAATTGAGTATATCCTTTTTAAAGAAGAAGAATTATAATGATCTTTACCAGTTGTTGAATAAACAAGATTGCGATTGTCAACATTTAACTCATATCATACTTGTCTTGGATGAACTAGATGCATTACTAACCAAGTCACAACAAGTCATATTCAAGCTATTTCAGCTTGCAAACAAGTCTGCTAGAATAGAACCTACACATATTAAAGTGATATTATTGGGGATATCGAATACTTTAGATATGAATAATAAATTTTTACCCAAACTATTTCAGCATGATTTAATACCTCGGTCACTACAGTTTTTGCCCTATTCTGCGGTGCAAATTAAATCGATAATAAATTCAAGGTTGAAGACACTACCTCAGGAAGTAATACAGCCCACAGCATTACAGTTTTGTTGTCAGAAAGCTGCATCATTATCAGGCGATCTTCGAAAAGCATTTGATATATGTTACAAGAGTATTGAATTGGTAGAAAGAGAGCAAACAAGGGTTCATGATAAAGATGGCGCATTTGCCAAAGTGACGGTTGCACATATTGCCAAGACATGTGTTGAATCGTTCAAGAGTGATAATACAGCGGTTAAAGATTTAAATTTATTGCAAAAAGCGATATTATGTCAATTGTTCAATTGTCAGGTGCTGATGAGTTTATCTTGTTATGAGCAGATTACTGTGAATATGTTTTATGATTATTACCAGAAACAAACCGATATGAATCGGATATTGGGTAATTTAAAGTATGGTGAGTTTATTGAGATATTGACAGCTTTAGAGAGTAGCAACTGTATAATATTGAGTGATACGAGCAATAAAGGATCGAGAGGAGGCAAGAAGTTAAAAAATGACGGAGGCATGAAGAGTATCAAGTTGAATGTTGAGTATGACGATATTGCCAAAGGTATTGAAGATATTCAATTATTGAAGAGAGTATTGAGGAAATCCACGACACTGGCGACACTACCGACCCTATCGAGCGAATCGAGATAGTGGAGCAACTACGTGGATAGACTATCGAGCGAATGGAGATAGTGGAGCAACTACGTGGATAGACTATCGAGCGAATGGAGATAGTGGAGCAACTACGTGGATAGACTATCGAGCGAATGGAGATAGTGGAGCAACTACGTGGATAGACTATCGAGCGAATGGAGATAGTGGAGCAACTACGTGGATAGACTATCGAGCGAATGGAGATAGTGGAGCAACTACGTAGATTGGTACAGTAGCTAGCCCCAAATCGGGAGGAGGGTACAGCTTGTGAAATCACTTTGATGTTGGATATAATGAGTAGATTAATATAGAGTATTATTATAGACCATTATCAATATAGAGCATTGGTAATAAGGTCATAACTAATGATTTACTCTTGTAGCATACACTGCTTCCTCTTATTGCTCACCCTAATAGCTTATAGCGTATTACACCTTATTCTTACAGCTTATTCTACACAACCTATCCCATACACTTATGCTTAGCTCATCCCCAGCTTATGATAAGTTTGACGATTTCAGAGCATACAATTAATTTCATTTAAAGAAAAACACACACACTAGAATCCGTTAACATACTATTGACACCGACAGTGTCGATAGTGTGCAGCTACTAAGTATTGTTCCACTATCAAGCGAAGCGAAATAGTGTCGATTAGCTTATTCTATGCCACTTGTTGTAGCTCACTTTTACAATACTCTTATCGAGCGAAGCGAGATAGTGGAGCACACTAGCTGCCACCGACCCTATGGAGCAACACTAGCTGCCACCGACCCTATGGGGCACACTAGCTGCCACCGACCCTATGGAGCAACACTAGCTGCCACCGACACTGCATGGCTTTTATAATAGCTTACTCTTACACATCACACACATCATACACATAATTTACCTCCAATATAATAGCTCGTTCTATTGCTTAACCTACACTCTACAGCATTTTCTTTTTACAACTCAACCTACCACTTCTCGTTCTGCCTTCTCTTTCTGCATCCTTTTTCAATCTACACCTACCCCTTTTCCATCTCTATAAAATTTTCCCTTTCCATTGTTCGTTCTGGTTTTGGCTTTGCTTTCTTGTCTCTTTCTCTTTTATTACTACAATTTTATTATACTGCTCACTCTTGTAGCTTACACTGTTTCCTATTATAGCTTACCTTTGTAGCTTACACTGCTTACTCTTATAGCTTACCTTTGTAGCTTACTCTTATAGCTTACACTGCTTCCTCTTATAGCTCACTCTTGTAGCTTACTCTTGTAGCTTACGCTGCTTCCTCTTATAGCTCACTCTTGTAGCTTACGCTGCTTCCTCTTATAGCTCACTCTTGTAGCTTACTCTTGTAGCTTACGCTGCTTCCTCTTATAGCTCACTCTTGTAGCTTATAGCATATTATTACACCTTATTCCTACAGGTTATTCTACATAATAAATTCTTACACAACTTATCCCATACTTATCCTTAGGTTATCCATAGATCATGCTTAGCTTATCCTATGCCACTTATTGTAGCTCACTCTTACAGTACTTTTACAGTATATCCTACAGTACTATTACAGTCTATCCTACACTTTTACAGTCTATCCTACACTTTTACAGCCTATCCTACAGTACTTTTACAGGCTACCCCATATATTCTACTCTTTACAACATTTACCTCCAATATTATAGCTCATTCTACAGCTTAACCTACACACTCTACAACATACTCTATTACAACTCAACCCATCCCTTTTCATCCTGCACACTTTCATTCTACACCTTTTTTCAATCTACACCATCTTGTCCTGCACCCTTTCAATCTACCCCTTTTCCATCTCTATAAAATTTTCCCTTTCCATTTCCATTTCCATTTCCATTTCCATTGTTCGTTTTGGTTTTTGGTTTTGGTTTTGGCTTTGCTTTGCTTTCTCTCTTTTTCATGTGTGGCAATTTTTTCTCTTCTTTTATTAACACTTTATTTATAATCACCTTATTAGAAACAGTATAGGAGAGAGAAGAAATCAAAGGATAGGTTCAAGAGATGTCCTCGTCACATCTAAAAGGAGGGCCCCAAGCTACTTCATCTCGATATAACGAAAGGGAAAGAGACGATTGTTTAGACTATACCAAACCTCGACGAAAAAATTTTTACTCTTCAAATACAAATACAAATACAAGTACAAGTACAAGCACCACAAGTACAAATTTAAATGCAAATGCTAATGCTAGTCAAAGTATATCGGCACCAACTTCGAATTTCCACCATAATCCATCTATATCAACTTCATCAGCCACATCAAATTCATCCTCATCAAATCTACCGAGCTTGACGCGTCGAGATTTCAAGAGTAATGGCCCAGGCTCTTCCTCATTGTCTCATCTGAAAGATTCTCCCCAATTTAGAAACGGTGTTGCTTTGGAGCCAAACCTTAATCCCGCATCGAACTATAACTCCATCGCATCATCCGCATCATCCTCCTCCTCCTCATCCTCCTCCTCATCCTCCTCCTCCTCCTCCTCGTCTTCTTCTTCATCTGCATCAAATTACTACTCAAATTACAACACTTATGGCGGCGGTTATTACCGCTCTGAAAATAGAAGGAAAAATTTGGCTCAAATGCAAAATAAAGGGGCTGGTGATTCTCGACTAACTTCGTCAAACTCATTATCATCAACAAATTACAGAAATGGTGACATGAACAAGAGAGACCGCTATGATTCATACGTATCCCCTGACTCAAATATACCTCTAGGAAAATGGAAAAGTGGTCGAAATTTTCTGTTATCAAACTCAACAAAGTATTCGGCAAAGGATAGAATACGAAATGGAAAGATACAAAAGGGAAATCTCTACTCTACCGGAGGTAACTCTTCTTCATCATCATCATCAGGTTATCCAAATGATTTTGAAGACCATACATATCGTCCAAGTTCTACTTACAATTCAGAGCAATTCTATTCATCAAAAAAGGGATATGGCTCTTACTATGCAAGAAACAAGCCAAATAGTCGCTATCTATCATCATCGTCGTTATCTTCATCACTATCACACCTGATGTCATCTAATATATCCGGAAAGGAGAGGTTTAACCAGGGTAGAAAGTATGGTGCTAGTACTACCGGTGCTAGTTTTGCAAATAGGCGAGAAGATGATAAAGAAACTGAGGATGAAGAGGAACAAGGAGGAGAAGATGGAGAAGAAGGAGAAGGAGAAGAGGGAGGAGAGGGAGAAGAGGGAGAAGAAAGAGAAGAAAGAGAAGAAAGAGAAGAAAAGGAAGAAAGAGAAGAAAGAGAAGAAAGAGAAGAAAGAGAAGAAAGAGAAGAAAGAGAAAGAGAAGAAAGAGAGGAAAGAGAGGAAAGAGAGGAAAGAGAAGAAAGAGAAGAAAGAGAAGAAAGAGAGGAAAGAGAGGAAAGAGAAAGAGAAGGTGAAGGGGAAGAAGGAGAAGGAGAAGGAGATGTGGAAATGGAAGCAACTGAAGAAATAAAGGAAAAAGATGAGAAAGCAAACAAAAACGATAATTACTGTACCAACGCTAAGGAAAATGAAAATAAACACCAACAAAAAACTATTGTTGAAACTAAGAAACTATATGACAATAAAGACTTACAAATTAAGGCGGAAACAAAAACAAACATCCTCACGGACAATTCACAACTGGAAAAGGCTAGAAACGAAGATACAGTTTCAATCAAAATAAAACCAGAAACGAATACACTAGAACAGGATGCCAAACCAGACAATTTAACCTCTCAAGCAATTAAAGTCGAACCAAGCGAAAATGAGCAAAATATCACACCAGAAGAAAATGAAAATGAAAAGACTATTGATTCTAATAACCTTGGTAAGTTTCCTTTGCCCGAATTGGAGTTTCAATTTGAGCAAATGCGAATTGAGTATGAAACGCTAAAGAAATACAAGGAGAAGGAAATTTCTCAAATAAGGTATCTTTTAGCACAACCTGTTGTTGATTTTTTTGAATACCCATTCTTTTTAATCAATTACCATCGTTTTACTCTAAAAGGAGGAGAAATGGTTGAGCAAATGCGTAATAAAAAATCTCAAATACGTTTAAAGACTTTGAAATTGTGGCATGAGTATAAAACTGGAGCCAAACTTTGGGAGGAAGAAAGGGTAAAAATGGAGCAACAATTACGTATCATTCATCCGCCCGATGACGAGGGAAGGAAAGAAATTGACGCTGGTGATTTGAAAAAACAAAATCGGCAAACTGTAGCTCCGAATGGTGGTAGCTCCTCGGCTACCCAAACCAATTATAATGGCTCTCCAGTAAATGCAGCATCAGAGGGTCCGATAATTTCAACAAGGCGTAGTAGTCGAAGACATGGTGACTTAGTGACTACTGAAGCAGAATTCCAAGAGATTTTACTTACCTTGGGAAAAGAACAAGATATGGATCCACTATCAAAGGCTCAAAGAGTTGCTGCAGATATTCCCGATCTACTCTTGGATCCAGTGAAGCGAAATGAATTCAAATATATGGACTCCAATAATATTGTAAAAGATAAATTAAAATGGGCACAACGAGTCAAGTCTGATTTTTTCAACACGTTTTCGGAAAAGGAACACGAAATGTTTAGTGAAGCATTCTGTTTGTATCCGAAACGGTTTGGTGCTATTTCCAGGCATATGGGTGGTTTAAGAAGTGCTTCAGATTGTGTTGTGCATTATTATATGACTAAAAAAGTAATCAACTACAAGCAGTTGTTGATACATTATAAAAAGAAGGCTAATAGGAAAGGTCGTCGAATCAAAAGCGCTGCTCGTGCCAAAAACGCGGCACAAACTGAAAAGGAATCAACTCCATCTGGTAGTGAAAGTCAGCATCAAGAAAATAACCCAAAGGATTCTTCGGTTGAGCGAACGACGACTCCAGATGAGTCTGCTGATAATAATACACCACTGGTTGATATACCTAAAATTGTAACTGTGACGTCAGCTCTTGAAAACAAGGAAGAAGTTTTTACCGATACCGGTCGTCGAAAGAGGGCCGCAGCACCAGTGTTTGAAGGCAAACCAAGGGAAAAGAAGAAAGCAAAAGTGGTGAAAGAGACGGATACTATTGTGCCGAATGTGAAGCAGGATATGAGTGTTGAGGAGACAACGCAAAACCTGAATGCTCCTGTTATTGCTACTGCTACTGCTACTACTGCTGCTACTGCTGCTCCTCCTATTCCTGAATCTATCGGAGGAGAAGATACACAAGCAAAGGCCAATGAAACTTTACACAGTGTTGCTGATCAGGTGGAATCGTTGCTTACCAAAGAACTAAAATCCAAATCACCACTTCGTCTGCAAGATGATGCGAAGGAAAAACGAAAGGCTATTTCTAGTTATTGGAATATCACGGAAGCAACTGCTTTCCCAGGTTTATTAGCGGAGTACGGTACCAAATGGACATCTATAGCTGATAGTTTGGGTACAAAGTCTGCAATAATGGTTCGAAATTATTATCTTCGAAATGCAGAAAAGAATGGATGGACAGCAATTGCCAATGAGGCCGACGAGAGATTGAATGTGAAGAGTACCACTACTAATCTGATAGATCAGGAAGAAAAGAAGAGTTTCACCAACTATTCTCAGTCTTCGCAGCAACAACGACAGCAACAACAGCAACAGCAACAGCAACAGCAAGCACGCTACATTCCTATTGGAACTTTTCATAATCCATTGCCGACCTATACCAATCTGGTCTCTACATATCAGATACCATCTGCTGAAACCCAACCAACTTCGTTCACACAATCACAGCCTCAGCCACAGCCTCAGTCACAGTCACAACCATACTTTGGTCAGCAGTCATCTCAGCATTATTTCAATCCTTCAATCAGTAATCTTTTATCGTCAGATCATGTTCCAATTGCAGCACCAACGGCACTGACAGCAGAATCAATTCCAAATAATCAAGAACCTCATATTTTTCGTGCTTACAATCCCCTGCTTCCACATTCTGAAACAATAGTTAAACCAAAAACACCAGTTAAGTCTCTTCCCGTACATAAAAGTTCCATCATGAACCTTTTAAATTCAGACACAAGTCCACTTAAAACCACCGAACCCATTCATCAACAACGTCCTATTCGAAATCAAATACACCGTACCATGAACAATTTGACAGATATATTGAATGCACCAACGGAACCCAAAAACCCCTTGACTCAAAATAAATCACAGCCCCCACCAACCGTGAAACGAGGTGGTATTGCTAGTCTTTTATCTGCTGATTCTGACCCATGAATAATGTCCCTTGTTCTTTTCTTTTGCTTTTCCTATTGGTTATTTTCTTGGTTTGTCTTATTTTTTTCCTTGTTTTTTTTTTTTAAAATCATCAAGGGGGATAACTCAACAAACAGGTTTAGCCTTGCTACAATCGACCATGTATTTAAAGTAACTTTCAATTCTGAATATCTCGATATGTATTAAATATATTGACAAACTTTTGTTATTTAAGAGAGCTCGTTTTTACTCTTTCAAACTACCAACTGAAGTTTTGAAAAAAAAAAAAAAAAAAAAAAAAAAAAAGAAAAAGTTTTCAGTGAACAAGTAAGGTTAGAGGTGAATGATACAACCTAAGATGGTTTCCGGACTTGTCTGCAGGTTAAATGGATTAAGCCTACGTAGTTTGCGATTTTTATCTAGATCAGCATTTTGTTGCAACGAGACTATATTATCTAGTGCTACTACCGTAACGACCGATTCAGCCACCGCTACATTTGATGAACAGGTTCCACGAAGATTGAACCTCGACGACCTTAGTAATAACAAATACAATAATGGCAATAATGATAGTCGTGCTTATCAGAGGTACTCTTACTCGGCGCCTCGGCAAGTTACAGAGAATCTAAGTATTCCTGAAATAAACAGAATACGGATTATACCCACGTTGATGACTTTTTATGGAGGTAATCCTATACATGAGGAGAATATGAATAGAGCAAAATACTTGTTACGAAAATATCAGAATTTGCCAACTTCTCAATTAACAAGCGAAGAGTTGTCGAGTAAGAAATTTATTGGATTTGAGTCGTACAAAGAGCGTACTCAATCAGGAACTAGAGTGAGGAAGAACCATTATAGAGAGTTGATCACATATTTAAACAAATTGAGAACAATAGATGATCAATTGATGCCCCAGGAAGTTATCGAATTTTTGAATGGTTACTATTCCACCCTGGCTAATAAGATGTCCACCAAAAAGAAATTCAAAGAGTTGGATGAATTTGGAAGATCGCACACAAAAGCAAAGAGGAAAGCATCTCGAGCAAGAGCGTACCTTGTTCGAGGTGAAGGAAACGTTATTGTTAACGGCAAGAATTTGGTTGAATATTTTCCAAATGTATACTCTAGGAAAAACATAGCTTATCCTTTCCAAGTTGTGGATCAAGAAGGAAAATATAACGTGTTTGCAGAAGTTAGCGGTGGTGGGTATACGGGCCAAAGTGAGGCTCTAATGTACGCTATTGCAAAGGGTTTAGTTGTTTTCAATCCATTGTTGAAACCAAGATTATCCAAAGCTGGGTTGATGACTAGTGACTCGAGAGTAGTAGAGAGAAAGAAACCAGGTAAATTGAAGTCGAGAAAATCACCAACCTGGGTCAAACGTTGAGAATATCTTTCCTCTTTTGTTTCCCATATTTTTCTTTTTTTGTTTAAAAAGGAAAAAGCACAAATGGAATATCTTGTTTATAGTATGGAATCTAAATACACGATGACTGATTCTATTTCACCTTTTTCATATTTGGTGACTTTACCCTGGTATGAAGAGCCTTTACCGCCACCCTTCAATGTCCCTATCCTGCTCTTAAGTTCGGTTGAAATTTCGGTAGCTTTTGGACCTGTTATTTTCAACATTCCTCCAGTTGAGGTTTGCCCATTTAGTAAAACTAAAGTGTGTGTATTAGCAATATCAACACCACTTGATTTGTCTGCATTGATCATGGTCATCAATTCCTTCAGCAAGTGAGCAAAGAATTCGGGATTGCTACTATCATCTCTATAAACGTATGCCACACTTGCTTTGTTATATTTGAATTTCTTGAATATCTCGGTAGCTTTTATGTTGGCCAATTCCTTATTCAACGCATTAATTGTAGAGTTGGCTTTTCTGTAATTAGAGTTCAACTGATCAACTTTGGCCACAACATTATCAATCAGACAAGATAATTGCAAACCAGAAATAGTTTTTAATATATCGTAATAATCACTAGTCAACTTAGTGACTCTTGATCCACACGTGAAATATAATCTAGAGTGTCCTCCACGAATAGAAGTTTGATTCAAGAGAACGATTGATTGTATTTGAGAAGTATTTGATAAATGAGTTCCACAACATGGATTCGAATCAAGGTCACCTATCTTAACAATACGGATAATACCCTTGTCTTGATCATAGTCTTGAGGAAGGTGGCTTGTATCTAGATCGACTCCCGTTCCCGTTTTAGTTTCCGTTCCCTTTTCCGTTCCCGCCTCCCCTTCTAGTGTGACCACTTCAATAGGATGAGCTTCAAATATTAATTGGTTAACTTTATTTTGAACTTCCTCTACAATTGAGTCATCTATTTTTTTTGGTAATTCAATGTAGTTAATTTGATCACCCATTGACCAGCTCAAAGTCTCCATTTTGTAAGTATCAAAAACAGCCGAGAGCAAGTGTTGTCCCGTGTGTTGTTGCATTATATCTACTCTTCGATCCCAATCTAGATTGAGTTGTACTAATGTACCTTGTTTGATTGGCTCCTCCACTATATGGACAGCTTTCAACTTATCTCTCAATATAGATTTAACTTCAATGGTACATTTCTCAGAATCATTCAAAATTGTAATAGTCCCTTTATCAAAAGGTTGGCCACCTCCCTCGGGGAACAAAATCGTATCTTCTAGTTCCACTCCATATTTGAGCTTCTCCTTATCAATCGATGATGACGACTTCTTGCCGTTCTCCTTGGAACTGGGCAATGGTGATGCAAACTCATAACTAGATACAACTTTCGTGTTTAGGGTCTTCAAAAATGAATTCTTTTGACATGCTAATGCTCCTACAATAGTTGACGTTGCCGTACTCATGGGTATGAATATTGAAATTAACTATCTAATCCACTAGATTGCAAAAAAAAAAAGAATAAAAAAATTGCACATTAACAAACAAACAATAAAAAAAAAAAAAAGATTCAATTTGGAGGTGTGGAAGGAAATAATGATTTTGCTTAGTACGAGTGAAATAAATCTCGTTGCGTATGCAGGCTCCCGTCCAAGAGAATGAATATTGTATCCAGAATATAGTTGCCTAATCTTATTGATGTTCTCTGCAATAACAAGCTAATAACAAGGAAAACAAGTCATTATTTGAGAATGGAAAGGACTTGTAAGTTTGTTGGTTTTTTTCCTTCTTCTTTTTGAAGCTATTACTCAAAAGCTAAAGATACTTCTATTTTCTACTCATAGTAAATCCAATAATGATGGATGATGCCAAGATTGCCAATACACTTGGAATCAAAATCTCGTTAGATACGCCAGGTATAAACGAATTACTTTCCTGCAGCTTCTTTTTCTTTTTTGTGATCAATTTGATATTCTCTACTGGAGCACGTTCATGAGGGTTATGCAAATACAAATCGGCCTTTTCGTTCCCCAACTTCAAATTTATTCGAACACACTCAGATAGGTCGTTATCGGATGTAATGGAGACGACATCGCCTTCATCGTCCACGTAACTAATGGCATATATTTCGGTTGATGCCCCAGCGCCAATATCATTTGTTTCAACAGGTGGTACCGATTTGCAAACTCCAATTGCCTCGTAATCCTTATCGTGCAATTTAGCATCAATTAGAGATCTCAATTTTTCAGCTCCATCATTTGCTGTTAATGTAATGCGGTGCACTCTACCTTCTATTGCCGGTGACTTAAATTTGAAAACAAAGGGAGTTGCTAAACTATTGTTATAGCCCAGAGCAGCAGAACCGCCAACCAAAGAACCCTTTATTGGCGTTAATTCAACGTGCGATACCGAATCGGACGGCTTTATGTCCACATTGAAAGCTTGAAGTTCCGGTTGTGCAAATCTGTGTGCACTTGCATTCACGCTTGCATTCATACTTGCATCTGCACTTGCACTTGCACTTGCAGCACAGCCACTTTCCATGAAAGATCCAGAGTGAGCAGACTCGGAATCCTCATGACCTAAAGAAGTCCAAAACTTATTCCAAGCAGGACCTTCTGAGTCTTGAAGATTTTGCGACCCATCTGCAATGACCGGAAACTCTTTTGCTTCTAATTGCTTGATTTGATTTAGTGTAGCATAGGTCAATTTCAACACATCAACAATCCCGATTATCTTGCCATCTTCATTAACAATTGGTAAATTCAAATAGTGGCCCTCAAACATTTGCCTTAATGCTTGTTGTATTGGTAATTTAACGTTAGCAACATCCGGCTGAGGAGTCATTACTCGTACTACGGAGCACTTTTTTGGGTCCAATCCAGCTGCAATAACTCTCAAAACTACATCCTTAGATGTGAAGATACCTGCTACTTCTTCGTTTGTGTCCTTCACCAAAACAGCAGTTGTACGATTTTGTTTCATTAAAACTGTTGCATCATAAACAGATGCCTTAACGCTGATGTATATGGGCTCAGTAGTTTCGTCCAATACATTGTCCAAAGTAGGTCCATTAATTTTGTTTTTCAAAATCTCAAAATAATGGAAAACTTGCAGTGGTGGCTGGTCTCCCATTCCAATTTCGGTGTGTACTGAATCCAATGCTTCATACAACTTCTTGGAACTGGCATGCATCCTCTCTAATTTCTCCATCTGCTGAGCATAACATTTTGTAATATCCAAGACGCCTACAATCTGGTGGTCTTCATCCAAGACTGGTAAGTGTCTAAACCCCTTTTCAACCATCATTGTTAATGCTTCTGATGCTGGATTATTTGCAGTGGCGCAAATTGGATCGGGAGTCATGATCTGATCAATAGTCACTGAATTAGCATTTACCCCCGAGCCAACAATTCGAAAGGCCAAATCCTTAGCCGTGAATATTCCCAATAAATCGCCAATGTCGTCCACCACCAATACACAGTTTTCCCTTTTTGCAGTCATCAATTGAGATACCTCATAGACAGTGGCTGAAGTTTTGCATATGATTGGATCACTAGGTTTCAACGATAAAACGGTTCCCGGGGTTGATTTCCTGTGTCTAGTGATTCTGCCTCCACTTCTTTTTTTCTTGTTCAAATCGTGTTCGATTCTTCTCCTGATAGCGTCATCTCTCTTAGATTGTCGTTTTCTTGAATCTTGCTGGTGGTGGTAGTTCATTGAACTAGTATTCAATAATGATGATGATGATGATGATGACGTGTTTGCCTTTTGAGGAGACGAATTAGCCGTTGATGTGAAATTGAGCATGAATATCTTTTTGAATTTACCTAAATGCAAAAGATTCTGTTTACTAGCAAATGAATCAGATTCGATTTGATATCTATACCTACTATTACTAAGTTCAACCAACTTGAACAAAGAGGGGTCGGCGAGTCGAAAAAAGCGGGGAAATGGCTAGAAAAAAAGGGATAAACAAAAACGGGTTATCTCTCAGCGGTTATCGCAGACTTATCTCTCGTTGGTTTTCAGCTTACTATGGTGATGTGTTATCTATTACCACTTGTAACTTCTCCATACACAATTACTTGATTTTGAAAAAAGGGTGTGGCTAAATCAATTTGAAAACATCAAGATAAAATCGTGCATGAGTTACAAACATGCGCTGTACAGACACTATCGAGCAGACACTATCGAGCGAAGCGAGATAGTGTTGTAACAGGCTAGTTAGTGTTGTAACAGGCTAGTTAGTGTTGTAACAGGCTAGTTAGTGTTGTAACAGGCTAGTTAGTGTTGTAACAGGCTAGTTAGTGTTGTAACAGGCTAGTTAGTGTTGTAACAGGCTAGTTAGTGCTCCACTATCTCGCTCTGCTCGATAGTGTCGTTTGCTCGATAGTGTCGTTTGCTTGATAGTGTTGTTTATTTCTTTATATAATCACGATATAGGCCTCTACAGATAATTGCAATTGAATGTCTTCCGCTAATCAACGGCCCAAACCCAATTATCAACATTGTTGTATACAACCAGATCAACCCAACGGTGACGTATCCCTTAAAGTAAGCTCTGGAGAAAATCCAGTCACGGTATAATGGTAATGGCCATAATACCCACATAATCAACAAGATGAAAATAGAAGCTCCTGTAGCTACTTTGATCCAAAAGTTTAGTTGTTTTGTAGTCAATTGTTGGTTGCTATTGCCTAGAGTCGTTTGCGTTTCCAAATTGGAGCTGTTTTGATCCGACTCAACAGTAACACCAACTTCATCTTGTTTACTTTTCTCGTCTCTCAATTCTTCACTACTTGATTCGTTGGTACTGTCATTATCGTTGGGTGTATCCTTCACCAAAAGATGTGCTTTTTGCAAAACACCCCAATCAAATTCATGAGGGAAAGCAAATGATATGATTAAACTAGCAATTCCTGGCAAAAATAGAGCAGTTAAGGCACCATATAGTGCAGGTAATTGACCACCTAATGACTCAATATTAACACTACCGTAAAACTTGTACGCAGTGGTTGTCCAGACAATAAACCCAAATACTATCCCCAATATGGGCGAAATAAAAGCGGCGTATACATTTTGTTTGCTCCACGTAATGGAAAGAATCAATGGAATAACTCCGGGACAAATGATCAATGGGTAAAAATATCCATACCATGTCATATTGATACCAACATAATGCAACATAATAGTGAATCCGGCAGCGCCCAATGTGAAAACAATACAACCAACATGGGATACGGTGATCATTGACTTATTTTGAGCATTTGGATTAATATATTTCTTGTAGATATCAAATGATAAAATAGAAGAAACTGAAATCATTTGTGCAGAAACGGTTGAAGTAACTGCAAGATAGACAATTAGCAACAATGCACCAACTGCGCCTTTGCCAACGGTTGCCATCAACGCATATGGTAATGCAAACCCTGAATCAATTTCAAATTGGGTCATGGCTCTTGGGTAAGTTGGGAATTTGGGCGATTTTTCTAAAACAATCGCAGCTCCACCAATAATTGCACCTAGTGGCCAAACATTGGAAACAATCAAAAATGCAGCTGTCAAATAAGCAGGTACGGTGGCTCTTGGCGATGCACTAAATGTTTTTTGCCAAAACGAACTATCCATCACCGACAAGCCAAAATTACCAGCAGTTAAGATCAAACCAAAAATTATTGAACCTTTGGACTTACCAGTTATAACACTGTTTGCATAATTTCCAGGTATTTCCCTTGTTCCTGAATTGTCAAAGGCAACTAATGCATCGTATAATGCATCCAAACCACCAATGTTTGACAATACTGATGTATTCAAGTAGCACAAGATTATCAACAAAATCATGGTATGAACGAAATCAGTTAAAAAAGTGGCTTTTAATCCACCATAGACTGAGTAACATAAAACACTGAAAATGGTCAAGATTGTAGCAGCAACGATATGCAAATTGCCAGCAATAATCGAAATTGCACCCGATGCACCAAGTATCATACTCGAACAAGATAATAAATTATTGCTCAACCCAAGAAACATGTATAAGATATGACTTGCTTTACCATACCTCAATTCAATAATCTCTAAACTTGTATGTGCTTGTGGAATTTTCTTTTTTGCATGAATACCGACCATCGACATAACCGCTATTTGAACTGCTAATCCTGACATGTAGTAGTAAGAACTTTGAATACCATAATTGTACACCATGGTAGTGCACCAAAGTAACTCAGTAGCCCAACTCTGAATATTAAATCACTCAAAGTTAGTAAACATTTTGACTGCAAAAAAAAAAAAAGAAATAAAAAAAAAAAAAAGCAAAACGGTTAGGCAACATAATTTCAATGTTGCAAACGGTAGCGCCGGAAAGCAAAAGCCACATTTAGTAGTTGTTTTTTTTTGAACATACCCAGCTTGAGTAGACTGCCGAAGCACTCAATAAGGTCCCTACAGATCTATTTGCTACCGAGAATGTTTCGGTACTATTGTTATCCTCTTTGAGGTATTTTCTTAAGAGAATGGTTACAAGAACCATGCCAATGGCGAATCCACCTCCAACACCAACCAACACACCATACCCTGCACTTTGATTTAGTAAATGAACCGTTGTTGTTTCAGACATGACTTATGGATATTTAGGAATGATAGGATGATTCCTCCCTTCTTTTGTTTTTGTTTTTTCTGAAAATCGTATGATCCTCGCAAAAGGGTGAGGATTGGCTATATATACCTGTTAGCATCCCTTGATCTTGAATTGAAAAAAAAAAAAAAAAACTATCCTTTATAATTATGAGCAGTTTACAGTCCACGTTTGTACTTGTTTTTCCTCAAGATATGATTCGGCTCGGTTCATTTAGAAAAAGTGTGTAATATATTTTGGGTGAAAAGTTTTCAACTTATCTGTAAAGACAATTCATATCAGGTGTGGCTGCGTATTTTTATTATTATTTTTTTTTTTCGTGAGGAAGAATAGAACCACAATAATGAAAACCACGATTATAAGAAGGCAGGGTGGGAGGGGGAAAGTAGGGGGCTAGATAGTAGGGGTCTGATTGCAGATACTTTTAGTTTTATTGGTAGTTTTGGTATCTCAGAAAGTTTGCAAAAAACGTGACGAGTAATCATAATTACGCAAGTAGCAAAACAACAATATTAATTGACCCATACTATTGAGCATTTCTTCAATATTGGCCATTCGACTGTTGATTGTGGTTTTTTTTGGGGGATTTTGATAAAGATACTTTGTCGATGCAAAGTGAAATTGGTCAAGGATACCACTGTTTGAGACCTTGCCAATCAAAAATGGTGCCATCTCTTTTTGGTTTGCAATGAAAAAGCTATTAAACTTGTCTCTTTCCCCCTTTCATAAAGCTTTTCCATCTTGTAACCTCATGTAATATGTAGCTACCAAGTGCACTTATTCAAGGTGCCAAAAAAGAGTGAATAAGATAAAAAGTAAAGAGGATACAATCACAAGATGGAGTTGATGATTAGTCAACTTTAAATTAAACAAACAGTTTATTTGTGATTGCCAGCTGCAATTCATTTGTGATTGCCAGCTGCAATTCATTTGTGATTGCCAGCTGCAATTCATTTGTGATTGCCAACTGCAATTCATTTGTGATATTTAGTGGTTTCTTTCAACCCTTTTCCATTTTTTCATTTTTACTGGTTGTAAAAAAATTGGTTCGCTCGCTAGTGTCGATGGCAGCTAGTGTCAGTGGCAGTTAGTGTCAGTGGCAGCTAGTATGCTCCACTATCTCGCTCTGCTCGATAGTGTCGATAGTGTCGATGGTGTGTGATTCAAGAGATTACTATATATTGACACTCAAGTTTACAATAGTTTTCTAATGTTATTATTGTTGTACTAATAAATCTATTATTGCATTAATGTTACAATGACTGTAATACGTTTCAAAGTCTCACGCTTAAAGCTCGTCCCCCTTTTCTTTTCTTTTCTTTTTTTTTTCTCAATGGTCAGCACAAAAAGTAAAATTTTACTACGCAAAGAGATTACTTACTATTAAACAAACCCGCCAAAAATTAATCCTACTAGTTTTTCAACACATAACTTGCCTCGGCTATTAAAGTTTACTCTTTTGAACCATTTACTAATACTAGTAAGTGGTTCTCAAATTGTTGAAAGAATTCGGTATAAAGGTTTTCCATGCAAGGTACAACCTTATAATAAGACTAAAATATTTTTTCCCCTGTAGTTGCGTCTCCACATATACACTACCGCGATTAACTTACTCCCAGCAAAAATGTAGTGCGCGAGCTAAGCTAATAATGATGACTCGAAATTACCTGCTGTTGCATTCTTTTTTCTTTTTTTCTCTATACCACTTTCTTCTGGTACCATTAAGAACATTTTGGATTTCCCTTTTTAAGAACAGTTTGGATTTCCTCTTGGATTTGCTCTTTTTTTTTTTTTTCCACTATAGTAAACTCAATTGGTTAATTAGTCTGTCCTCTTTTCGCTATACCTATTTATTCCTACCCCAAACTCTTATACTGGTATTTCAACCCATCATCCTTTAACTAAACAAGAATCAACAAAAAAAAATTTATTTATAGACATTGCAGACGCGCCCGGCTATAGCAGATTTTATTACTTTTTTTTTTTTTTTTTTCATTATAGCCGTGTTGGTATAGCTAGCTTTAGTTGACCCATACACCATCGTTTCGGCGCAAACTTCAGCTTTCTACTATCGATACTTGATGCTGTGTATCTACTCGTAATGCGTTCACAAAGCTATAGTCCTTCTAGAGAATACGGTAGATACCACAGAGCATACCCCACACCAGGAGACGACGACGACGACGATGACGATGATGACGACGACGACTATGATGACGATACTGAGAACCCCTTTAATAAGGAACCGCCCTCGCTAAAAAATTTGAATAATGGCGGGAATCCTCGTCGGTATTCACAAAAACAACTACTACTTACGCGCAAGTCGAAATCTTCTTTGCCGCCATTACCAACCCTGTCTCAAGAAGTGACCTTGTCGTCACTGCAACTGCAAAATTATCAGTACTATCCATATAATCAAAAATCAAAAAGTGTTGTTAGTTACAATAATAATGATAATGACAATGATAATACAAGCCCAGATCAACGATCATCGTTTTTACGAAAGAAAAACTCTGTAAGGTTCAATGAATACGAAATGACCAACTTTGCTGATCGCGATTTACCTGCATTACCTACAGCGGAAAAGGACAAAACACCACCTAGAGATCCATTTGTTGATGTATATGATGATTTATCTCCAGTGGATCCATTTGCAAGTAACTTGGATAACGAAAATACAACTCACAATCACATCGATGACTCCGATTCTGATATTGAAAAACGATTAAAGAGGAATGAAAAAAATAGATTACGAGCACTTCGGAGTAAACCTAGATTTCATTATACTAAATTGCCATATTTCACGATAGTCGTCACCTTAATTCAGGTGATTGTTTTTATAATTGAATTAGCCAAAATGTCTATATTAACAGGATCAGCTTTTCAAACACGTCCATATTTTAATCCGATGTTGGGACCGTCGGCATATCTCTTGATCTACATGGGTGCCCGTTATGTCCCTTGCATGCACCAAATTAAAGGAATTACAGACGATTTGTCCATTACTTTTCCTTGCGCAAATTCAACAACTATCGATAGCTATACATGCTCGCTAGGTGACTTGTGTGGGCTATCTGGATTGCCCACACTTGACAATGGTACAAAGTATGCTCCAAACCAATGGTACAGAATATTTATACCGATCTTCTTACATGCGGGGTTTTTGCATATAATTTTTAACCTTTTGCTTCAATTGACCATGGGAGCTTCAATCGAGAGAAATATAGGGATATTAAAATATGCAATCATCTATATTTCTAGTGGTATTGCTGGTTTTTTACTAGGTGCCAATTTTACACCCCAGGGAATAGCCTCTACTGGTGCTTCAGGAGCATTATTTGGAGTTGTCGCAACAAATATTATACTCTTTATCTATGCCGGGAAGAAAAACACAAACATGTATGGAACTAACCACTATAAATTGTTTATTTTCTTTATGGCTTGTGAGATTATTGTGTCATTTGTATTGGGGTTGCTACCGGGGTTGGATAATTTTAGCCATTTGGGTGGTTTTGCAATGGGTATATTAACTGCAATCTTGCTATTGAAAGATCCGTTCTGGATATACAAGGACGGGATAATTATTTATAGCAGGGATCCAACAACATGGGAGCAATTTTTAAATAATTGGGATCCGTTATATGCTTATCAAGATAAATTACCGTTACGGTTTCTTTTATGGATTGGGGTACGAATAGTGTCCCTAGTGTTGATTATAATTTATTTTGTTCTTTTGTCAAAGAACTTTTTCAACAACAATGGTGAAGATCTGTCTGATAATTGCAAATGGTGCCGGTATTTCAACTGTATCCCCGTGGAAGGATGGTGTGATATTGGTGAAGTTACAGTGTCAACGCAAGAGCCAAGCGCGACGGCAACATCTCCCAGTGAGACAACTGTTTCCACTGAAGTATATGCTACTTCAGTTTATACAACTACAGTCCCAACTTCCTCCCCCGATAGAACACAAGGAACCAATGGCGGTTTGAAACGACAAGTTGAGGTATTTGAAGCACCACAAAAGAGATCATCTCATTTGATAGGAGTTAATCATGAAAGCGGAGTTGGGTTGGGGTTATATGTAGTATTAACTCTTTTTATGATTTCATTTTTGAAAAAGAAGAAAATTTTATGAATTTTATAAACTATGATGAATGAACAATGTTGTAGATCAATCAAAGAGATTACCCTCTAACAAAAGAGAAATACGACAAACAGAAATCGGTTTGTATATACTGTCATTAAAACTTAAAGGTGAGACCAAGAAATTTTGCTATGTAACTACCTCTTAAAAGCAATATGAACCATCTAGTTTCAATAATCAGAATTACATTATCCATATAGTTTTATGAGATAAGATTATAGTAGTGTAGATTGTTTTGTTTTTTTTCTTCCTCTTCTTTTTCTTCTTCTTCTTTTGTAATATAATAAAGAAGTCTAAAAATTGAAATTTTTTTTTTTTTCACTCTAAACTCTGATCAACGTAAGGGTATAGAGGATTGGGGTCAGAAACTTGAGGTCAGAAACTTGAGGTCAGAGACTTGCATAATGATAGGAAGAAATATAGCACCTATATTGAAAACTAGATCTCTTACATCCTCTAGTATTAATCGTTCCTGGTTTCGTGACATATATGGCCGGAAGAAAAAAAGTGTAACGGAGATAGTATCACAGCAGGATAAATATGCCGATAAAGAGGTTGTTACTATAAAACACCTAACCGAAAAGAATTCGGAAAGCTACCTCAAAAATCTTGAGGCAAGTAAGGTATTGCCAAAATCGAAAGTATCGGATTGGAAACGTCACGCAACTATACATCCGATGCTTTTGGAAAGTTTTTACACTAAGGAAAAATTGCAAAGGGTTGTTGATGAGACATATAAAAACTTGACAGGAAAGGATATTACACATAGCCAATACAATACAGTTAGTTTAAACGATATCGAATTCAGGTTTAACCTTGTCAAGAATCTACAATCTAATCTAGGATTTGAATTGAATGATTTTACAGTAAGCAAGTCACATGACTTGTTGACTTTATACAATTCGGTTGAAGATTTCGTTAATAGAAGATGGAAAAACGAACGGAACCCAAATGCTATTGTATTAAGACCAGAGGATTTCACAGCAAAAAATGTTTACATCAATGAAGAGAGGAATGCATTTGAAAAGAATAAAGAATTCAATAAGATCAGGAGGCAAATGCAATTGGCTGAGTCAGCACAACAAGCCAAAGACTAGTTATAGTGAAGTAGGCCCTCACTTGTACATAGCAAAAAAAGAAAAAGAAAAATAACGAAATGGAATAGTAGAGTATTTTTCTTCTTCTTCTTCTTCTTCTTCTTCTTCTTCTTCTTCTTCTTCTTCTTTTCAAGATACTGTGGCTATTGGGGGAGGTTGAGGTAATTCTTTTAATAGCACAGGAACAACGGTATCTTGAATCTGAGGCTCTTTCCCGCGCATTCTTAACTCCTCTATTTGCAAAGTCTTGTAATAACTCCATTTGAACAAAATCGACACGATGCTCACAAATCCAAAGTCAGGCCATAGTGCTTCAGGAAATTCAATGGTACAATCAGTTGAACATTGCCAAAGTAGGAAATCGCTTAATCTGGTGTGCCCACTAGTACGAATCAAAATATCTAAAGGTGGAACATCGTCACCAAAATAAAAGTTTGACTCAATTGTTTTAGTGGTAATTTCGTCGCGGTTTTGCAACTCTCCAGCAACTCTTTTTTTAGCAATTGATTTTATTGCATAGGTTATTTCGTCTCGAGCAGTGTATGGGAAGCAAACATTGAGAACCTTTTTTGTTGAGCTTGTTTTAGTTACTTCCTCAATGAACTCAAGATCTTTAAGAATATCTTCTGGAATGTAACTTCGATTACCAACAATCCTAATACAAACCTTGTTGTACCTTGCATATGAATCTTCATACTCGGAGATCAATTTCAACTTGTCACGTAGTAAACCAAATAGCGTGTCAACCTCTTCCTTTGGCCTATTGAAGTTTTCCAAAGAAAATGCATATACAGTAGCATGTTCAATACCTATTTTGTAACATACTTCGAGAATCTGCAAAATAAAGGAGGAAAATAGGGACGGGGTTAGTGTTTTTAATTTGGTTGTTTTTTTTTTTGGAGGGAGGGAGGGGGGGTTAAGGAATGACCTAAAAACGTACCTTCACCAATGCATTAGCACCCGCAAAATGGCCCTCTTTCAAGGGTAGCCTATGTCTCTTTGCGTATGTTCTATTGCCATCCATGATCATTGCAACATGCCGTGGCACTGGCCCTGTTTTAATAGTTGAGATTACAAAGTCTTCAAAAAAGCCAACAAGATAAGCGAACAAGGGGAATTTCAAGATTAAGGCGGCAATAGCATTCAAGGAGAAGGTTCTAGAGTAAGCACCCATGGCGTAAAGGGAGGGGGGGTTAATCAATGAAGCTATCAAAGTTGTTGCAAAAGAAAAAAAGTGCTGCTAAAAAAGTGCTGCCAAAAAGTGCTGCTAAAAAGGGCTGCTAAAATATTAATTATTTCTATATATGTTTATTTACACTTTGGTATTAGTTATTGAATAAGAAACCAAGGACGAATAACATAGGAACAGCGATACCGATTTGATATAATACAATTATATAATAGAACTAGTAATTGATTATCTAATCAGATATCAAAGGATTGTATTCACTTATTCCACTAGCGAGCAAAGCGAGCTAGTGGAGCAGTACTGACCAACACTATCGAGTGCCACCGACACTATCTCTACTATTGAGCAATATTTGATAGCCTATTGCCAGCCTCATGATTATTCTTTTTTCTCTATTATATTTACATCTATAACAAACTAGTTAATGCTGCAACAGGTTGTCGAGTGTACAACAAACTAGTTAATGCTGCAACAGGTTGTCGAGTGTACAACAAACTAGTTAATGCTGCAACAGGTTGTCGAGTGTACAACAAACTAGTTAATGCTGCAACAGGTTGTCAAGTGTACAACTTACTAGTTAATGCTGCAACAGGTTGTTAAGTGTGCTCCACTATCTCGCTCTGCTCGATAGTGTCAATACTGTCGATAGTGTCAATACTGTCGATAGTGTCGATAATGTCGATAGTGTCGCTCGAGGCAATATCAATTGTTCTAATCACTTTCTTTACTTCCTTTTTTCTCTTTTCTTTTATTCTCGCTTCTTCAATTTTATTCAAGTAACCCATGTATACCACCACTTCGGCTATTAGGACTAATAAACCAAAAAAAATTGTAATTAAAACTCTAAAACTCTCTTTTAACCCCCATGAAGATTTTGTCCAGTACCAAATGGCATAGGAAACACTTGCTACACTAATTGCTATATTTACAATAGTTGCCATTTGATTTTTCAACTCTTTATGTTGTTTAGCAGGAGAAATATATTCTTGATTAGAGGTTTCGTACAAAGTTGTAAATTCGGGAGACTTGTTGAGTAAATTTGCATACTCTTGTTCCTTTGCTTTTAATCGTAGTTTTGCCATATTTTTTAGAAACTCTTTTGTTTTTGGTTGTACATACGTTTCATATGTGGGGATGTACAATTTTGATTTTCTTATTAATGCTAATAATGTAGGTGTTGGATGACAACTTTGATAAAACTCAATTAATTTCTCATGCGAAACATCTTTCTGCGCTAGTAGTTTCTCTTTTTCTATATAGCTCGATACTTGTATTATATCTCTCAATTGCGGTGTTATCTCAAATTGTGTCATTGTTTCTGCAAATGTAACACTGGACTTGATCTTTACTTGATCTTTACTTGATCTTTACTTGATAGCATTTATCGTTGCGCCAGTGAAAAAAAAATACATAAAGAGATGGCAAGAGGAAAAAAAAAAAAGGCAAGACAGACAGACAGACAAAAACAATATTTTTCAATTTCACTAAGTATCAATCAATTTAACATAATTCGAGGGACATATTCCCACTTGCCCATTTGCTCTTCTTGCTTGCCACCATTTTCCATCAATATCGTCAACTTCCAATATTTCATCTTTAATAAATGAGATTTCATTGATATCATCAGGATTTGCATCGTAACTGTATAATGCTTTAGCCTTGTATCTGAATATTATACCTGTACCGGCTTCTGAGTCAGTATACATTGTGTTTCTTTTGTTATTATTATTATTATTATTGACAGTGCTGTTGTTGCGGGTCAAGTCACGCGTTGCTGATGCAGAAATTGGTACATCCTGTGAACTGAAATTCTCCAACCCATTCAATTGTGTCAGCGAGATATAGTTTTGGTTCGAAGGAGTAGATTGTACTTGTGACGACCTGTTGTTCATACCACTTAGAAGAACGTGTGGCTGTTTCAAGCTATCTTGCTGTGCAAGATTACCAGATGAAGAACCATACTTTCTATACTCTTGAGTTTCATCAAATAACTCATTTTTGCCTGATGAAAGAATCTGATTGCCCAATTGTTCATGCGAGTGGTTCTTGTAGCTAAAAGAATCGATAAACTGGTTAGTTGGAGACTCAGGGTGTCCTCCAAAGTACAATATCCATATCAAATTCAAAATGCTCGATAAAATGCATCCAGCTGCGCAGCATAAGTTGCCCGACGAATTTGAGTTATAAATCAAGTTGTTCGTTGAGTTTGTTGTGTAAATGAACCCAATACTGACTAAACCAACAAGAGTAAACTTGTATAGTTCAATATTATTATTGGCATACAATATGAAAATGATGAGTATAATCACAATCTGGTAAGCAATGCCCCACCATGTAAAATGAGGAAATTGTGATTGCTGTGATGTTGCAGCACCAGCTAATGACACTATCCATGATATTATGCCAAAGGACACAGTGGATATTGCAAATGGGTCTCCTGTGAAATTTGTAATTTTAAATCCCATGTGTGAAGTTCAGCTAAAAGGACAAAGGAAAAAGGAAAAAGGAAAAAGAAAACAAAAAATTGGGGAAAATTTGGTCCTAGAAAAGAAAAAAAATTTAGTCTTCGTTAATGATGTGGTGGTGGTGGTGGTGATATAGAACTGAAGTGACTTAGGGCCATAAAAGAGAGTGCTTGTAGTTGATAATGAATGTAAAGCAGTAAAGTGAACAATAAAAGATGAAATCGATTTCAGCTTTTTGAAAGGGGAGAAAAAGAAGCGAAACAAAAAAAAAAAAATTAGAATTAGGGTAGTGTATATCGTTCAAATCGTAAAACAAAACTTGTTACTAATTTTGTGTATGTTTTAAGACACGTTATATTCACAAAAATTTTTAACTTCTTTTTTGGGTAAAGAAACAAGAAAATCTGGGTAAGATGCAAATATACACGACATCAAATGTAAGAGACAAGTCACATTAGATAACAGTTTGAAGGAGGTCATGTCCGAAAAAAATGTATAATGAGAGGAATCGCTATTAGCCAAATGTAGTTTCTAGAACTGTAGAGCTCAAATCGAATCATTTCTCACACGCGCATATAAATCAAGGAGAAGGAAAAAAAGAAAAAGAAAAAAAAAAAAAAAAAAAGGGATGAATGGATTATGATTATCCCCTGAAGACGCACTCATTTGTCTAATATTGGTTTAATTTGCACTTATTTGTCTAATACTGATTTAATTTGCACTCATTTGTCTAATACTGGTTTAAATTTGGTGTTTGTCAAAGTTGTTTCTGGGTTTTTTTAGACTGTTATCTTTAAACACGAAATTGGATTCTTTGTCAATTTTCCTCGGTGGTGTTTTTCGTGTATGCTTTTCTTTTTCTTAATAATAAATGTATTGAAAATAATAATCTATTAGGGCTCACCTTGCGAAATAAAAAAAACAACTGTAACATTTCTCCATGCTTAGATATTTTTTCCCTGTAAAAATCAAAAGCCGCAAACTTTGCGGTGCTTTAAGGCTCTAAAACTGGTGCTATTGTAATGTAATAACCAGGGAAGCTTTAAAAAAAAAACAAAAAAAGAAAATAGTGAATGTGAATGACTTAAAACTCGGTTTGGCATGCCCCTGATCCGTGGGATATAAAATTGTGTATAAACAACGGAATGAAGAAAAGCCAAGTTTGGTTGCATCTAACACCTAGTTCGTATAAATGTAAATGATTCTTTCTGCCGTTTAAGCGGCGCTGGAAATCCAGTGTGTCAAGTAATAAGTAAGGATTAAACCGGAAAGTGAAATAATTTCACTGTGAACTGGGGTCATACTTGATGCATCTCAATATCTTAACAGCTTTTTTACACAATGTCCTTCTGCGGAACATCCTTTTTGCACAATCGTCCCTCTTTGTTATAATGTACCGCGGACATTTGCCCTACAACAACAATGTTGTGTATTGAGTTGAACAATTTAAAAAAGTCTTTCTAAAACCAATCCCTGTCACACTGTCGTATATTGTGTCATGTTGTACATATTTTGCGCAAATTTCTTTGAGCTATTATGGTCACAATACGCAAGTCGCTAGACTTCCTTATGTCACTAAGCTCGCTTTGCTCCCAATAACTGCTAGGTCATTGCTGATTATCAATCAAACAGTAACCGTGCTCTTTCCGTAAAATTACTTTTTGTTAAGCACCTACTTCCACTTACTTTTTCTTTCTTTCTTTCTTTTTTTTTTTTTTTCTTTCTTTCTGCCCTATCTATAATCGATTTGAACTCTGCAAACTGTCAATTATAGTGTTCCTACTTTGGAATGTATAGAGTAGTTCAAATGGTTAGTCCTTGTATTTGTCAGCCATTCACTAAAAGTAAGCTTTAAAAGAGAAGAAGGGCTTTTTCCTTTCAACCGCTTTACATTGTTTTTCCTTAGCTTATCTTAGATGGCTATAATTCAAGATCAAACCCAGTTTTTATTTATATTTTCACACACAGGTTTCGATTTATGCATGTTGCACTTTGAGCTTGAACGGAAGTTATTGCCTAAAATTAGTCACAAATTGAAGAAAATGATGAAAAGCTAAGAAGAGTTAGTGGAATTTTGCGGAACAAACCATGTATCTCTCTGTCTATATGTGACTATATCTCCTAGTGAGATAGCCTATAATCAAAGTAATTGTCTTTCTCTTTCCTCCCTCCCCTCCCCTTCGCCCACCGGTTCTATATAAACTTGGTAAAATGCTGTTTTAATCTCTGCTATTGAAAAGTTGCAACAAACCCTGATTTCTATATCTTCAAAAAGAGAAAACAATAAGATGCTTAGAATTACAACGTATCGCCAGCTACCAAGGATTACCTGCTCAATTCGTTTGGTGGAAGCAGTTAGATTCACAAGTACAACTCATGTACCACCAATTAGAGAAGTTTCTACAAAACAAAAAGACGAAAGAGGCCATGCTAACTTAGGGCTCCCTAAAGACCAACAAAACTCGCAAAAACCTGGTTTCAAAATAGGAAACATGAGTTTCTTGGATATAGGTACCCGTGTTTACAACAATCAAGGTATCGCAGAGCAAGATGATAACAAATTTACAACCAAACCAGCTTACGTGCATGCAGATTTCACAGAAACTGGTCTTCAGAATGTTGATTTGGCACATCATGTTCCAAAAACCTTGGGAGACAAAGTTTCTTTAAACCTCACCTTGTTTTGTCGTCACTGCTTCGATTTAGTAACAGGCTATAAGTGGCCTAAAACAAACGACCCAAATGAGTTCAAAGGAACTCGATGGGAAATGACAGAAAGCAAATGGTTGACCAGAGTGATTTTTTTGGAAAGTGTTGCGGGAGTTCCTGGCGCAACGGCATCTTTCCTCAGACACTTATATTCGTTGAGAATGTTAAAAAGAGATCGTGCTTGGTGTGAAACATTAATTGATGAAGGTATGTTTTCATCTTTTTTTTCCATCTTTTTTTTGCAGCCATACTAACAGAGAGATTAATAGCTTACAATGAACGTGTCCATTTGCTCACATTTTTGAAAATAGGAAAACCTTCTTGGTTTACTAGAAGTATCATCTACATTGGTCAAGGTATTTTTACCAATGTGTTTTTTTTCATGTACTTGTTGAAACCAACCTATTGCCACAGATTTGTCGGCTATTTAGAAGAGGTATGTTTTCCCAAACCCTTTTTTTTTTTTCTTTTGTTTGTTACAAGAAATACTAACTTCATTTTTTAGGAGGCAGTTAAAACCTATACTCATCTTTTACACGATATGGATCAACCTGGTAATTTACCATTGTTTCAAAATATGAAAGTTCCACAAATTGCTGTTGATTATTGGCCAAATTTGACACAAGAGTCGAGTTTCAGAGATTTGATTTTACAAATTAGAGCAGACGAGTCCAAACACCGTGAAGTTAATCACACATTTGCTAATTTGGATCAACATAAAGACAGGAACCCATTTGCATTGCATCTTCCTGATGAAAACAAACCTCAACCAAATCTGGGATTGGATGTTGTCAAACCAGCAGGTTGGGAAAGAAAGGATTTGACTTTGTAAAAATTAAAAAAAGAAAAAAAAAAAAAGCTCTACTAATGCTGTATATATCTTTATATATGTCTAAATGAAAACAAGACACTTGACACGAGTTTGACTTGGGTTCCACTATCGAGCAGAGCTAGCCAGTGTGCTCCACTATCGAGCAGAGCTGGTCAGTGTGCTCCACTATCGAGCAGAGCGAGTCAGTGTGCTCGATAGTGTCCTACCAAGTGTTGCTCACTATCTCGCTCTGCTCGATAGTGGACTCCTTTTAATGCGCATGCGCTTATTGAGAAACGATTCAGCCCTCTCCCTTGATAAACCTTAGACTAATATATTCACAACAACAAATAAGCCGAGGTATTATATGTAGCCTCGTGGGCTCGAACTACAACCCTGTCTCCAACTCTAACAAAAACCAGTATTAAAATTTGTTTGAATTTTTTCACTATTGGATATAATGATTATTATATTTGAACAAATTATTTGTTAATTTGGTATTTCGCAAAACCAAAATTACTTTTGATGTAAAGGAATACTGAAAAAGGGTAAACAGATAATGGATAACACTATAGATTGCAGACAAAAAAGGATAACGAATGAAGAAGGATAAATCTACATTAAAGACTGAAGGTCAATGATGCATATAAATGACACACTTGAGTGGTATTGCAATCAAAAATTGTTATCTTTAGAATTGGCTTTATACAGATACATCTTTATAAAACTCTTTAATATGTGCGCACATTATATGAGCTTTCAACTCAAACATGACATAAAAAATAGCCATGTAAATAGAGAGAAAAAATGACAATATACAATTTTGGACATTAACCTTCCCCCCCCTCTCCCATTAAAGAAAGAGAGAGGAACAACAGAAAAAAAGAGCAACTCATCTTCTAAAGTAAAACTTGTTTTAGAGCTCGCTTCCCAATAAGTGATTTTCAATTTAATAACAAGTAATCCTAATCGTCTTATAACTCTAAATTAAGACACCTCGTAGAAAAAGACAAACATTAATTGCCTTTTTTTTTTTTCGCACGGAAAAGATGGAAAATAATAGGGCCAAAAAAGTAAAATAAAGGGCATCTAAGGGAAGATAGAGGGAATACCCATCAAACATCGCAAATAGATTCTTCACAGATAGATTTTTCTTTTTTCTTATATGGGATTGAAAAAAAAAAGAGAGAGAGAGAAAGATATAGCTAATTTCAGATAAGTCAAACAAATACCAAGAAGGTCAATATGACAACTGACTATAGGGATCCTTTAGTAGATTTGCTAAACAGTAATGTTGATTCTCCTCAAAATTCAAACTCGACCGATGATGTTGAGGTTATAAATCGTCCTTTTAACAATGGGAACGCTAACCATCATGTACTCCAACAACATGTCCAACCATCACCAAGTATTCAAAATCCGTCCTTAACACCACTTTTGAACCACCAGGTATATTATAGTAATAACTTTGATTTTGATACCCCCAACGACATTGACTCGTACGATAAAATTCAAGAATTGGACCAGTCGCCGCAACAGCAGTCAAGAGGGGAGAAAGCCGCAAGAGAAACATCCTATCCTCCATTTTTTGCCTCTAGCGAGTCACGGGAGAATACGACCCACGAGGATTTACTTGCGACAGATTTGCAGCTATTCAACAAACACAATAACTTACAACCATTCTACAAGGATAGTACACTTCCGCCTTTACCGCCCTTATCTGAATCTGTATTACCACACAATGTAACCTTCAAACCCTTGGACTTATCTCAGGAGGCAAGGCATGGAATTGATAGCCAACATCAACAATCGCAGTTACAAGGACTACAACCGCAATTAAAGCGTAGAAAGGAAAACACGGGACCCAAGACAAGACCCGCTTTTGTGATGAAAATTTGGTCAATGGTCAATGATGAAGCTAATAAGGAATACATCAGATGGAACGATGATGGTAAGACGTTTCAGGTGTTTCATCGCGAGGATTTTATGAAAAACATCTTGCCCAAATATTTCAAACATAACAACTTCGCTAGTTTTGTTAGACAGTTGAACATGTACGGATGGCATAAAGTGCAGGATATTGGAAATGGCACGATGCACCAAAGTTGTGATAAGAGTGGTGCAGACGAAATTTGGCAATTTGAAAATGCCAATTTCATCAGGGATCGGGAAGATTTATTAGATAACATTGTGAGGAACAAAAGTAGCAATGGCCAAAATGAAATTCAATTGACTGAAAACCCAAATGCCAATGCTAACTTATCCTTGATATTGTCTGAGTTGGAAACGATCAAGATGAACCAATATGCGATCACTGAAGATTTGAGAAGGGTAAGGCGCGATAATAAAACCTTGTGGCATGAGAATTATATCAATCGAGAAAGAACTAAATCACAAGAGCGCACTATTGACAAGATTTTGAAGTTTCTTGCTGCAGCTTATGGCAATGGTGGAAATAAATTGTTGGATATAAATAATATCAATCTACCACTAACACAGTATAATCAAGCGTCAAGAGGGTCGCCTATGCTTGCTCGAGCGCAACCACAACACTCACAAGAAAACAAAGAAGATGGAACAACAAATATGCGCGCTTGCTCTCCAAGAGCGCAGTTGGAAGATTATTTTCAACAGCAGCAACAACAAGCACAACAACAGCAGCAACAACAACAGCAACAACAACAACAACAGCAACAGCAACAACAGCAACAACAGCAACAACAGCAGCAACAGCAACAACAACAGCAGCAGCAACAGCAACAGCAGCCGCAGCAATACGTACAAGTGGATTATCAATCACCATCAACGTCTTCTGAGAGGCTGTTTCAAACTCAGACTCGTTTCAAGCCAAGATTACTTATAGCCAATCAAGCACATAGACCATCCAATTCGCGAACCCAATCATCGCCTGGAATGATTGAGGAAATCATTAAATCGCATGACCATTCCAAGTTACCCGAAACTAATGTCAAAAAGATGTATCAACAATTGGTGAGCCAGGATCCGATATCTTCGCCGTCTCATTTTTTCCCTGAATTAGCTGTTTCAAATATAGCAAATAACTACGATAGTTTAGAAGCGCGTCTGAAAACTTCGGGCCAGTCGATTGAGCAAGTTGAGGATTGGATAGAAAAACTTAGTCAGCAGCAAAATATAATAGCCAATGGACAAGGCAATACCCAGAATGAGGAAGCAGAAGCGGAAGCGGAAACAGAAACACTGGAGCAGCAGTTTAATATTGATGATTATTTGCAGAATAACAGTCCAGCTGCCAGTAACACTTTTACTCCCACTGTTCGTCATGCGCAAATCAATGCTAGTGGTGCAAATATTCTGCCAACCTCCCCGTCTACAGGTAAGAAAAGAACTATACACGAAATTTACGACGAAAATGATCAATAAAGGGGGGGGGTAAAGATTTGTAGCATGTTTATAATTTAAAGTGATATAAAGCGCAATTTTGTATACTTTACTCCCACTATGATACTGGTTTTTTTATGCCTTCCCTCTCATTTCCATGTCCGGTGTAGTCAGTGCTGCTCCACCATTTCACTTCGCTCGATAGTGTATTACCAGAGCCATACACGAGTTTGGTGATGTGAGATTACAGATATTTTTTCCAATGTGTGCAACATAAGGACATGTATATAAAACCTATTGCAACGCAATTTCCATTCCTGACAAAAATAAAATAAAATAAAATAAAATAAAAAAAAAAAAAAAAAAAACTTTTTCTACCACTAAAAGTCAGGTGCATGAAGTATAAAGGTAAGTAAGAGCTCAAACGAGAAGGCTGAGACGAAACATTTCAAGGTCACTCACTAACCGTCAGACGGCGATATAGAGAAAGACTACACCAGCTATTTCGAATCAAACTTCTACTTGAACGGCTTACTCACACGGCTTACTCACACAGAGTCATTTGCTACAAAATTACAATTACAGATATATTGATTGCTTATTCATTCAATACAATAAAGCCATTAGTTAAGGTCCACCTAATTTTTGAATAAATTAAGGTATTGTGCATATTTTCCGAGACGTTTTAATTTTTTATTTTTTTTTTATTTTTTTTTTTTTTCTTTATGGGCGTTGCGCAATACCAAAGATATCAAGGTATACGAAAAGGTTTTTATCTTCAAGTCAAAAAAAGGATCCCCTTCAAAGTATACTGGTTGTAAGTAAAAGAAAGTTTTTTCAAAAATGTCTACGGGGATTTTGGATTTGGGTCTACGGCACTCAGTTGGTAAGAGGATATATAGTAAAGGTGGTTGCCGAGAGTGCAAAAGAAGAAAGATCAAGTGTCTGGAAGGTAAGCCCTCCTGTTTCCAGTGTCTGAGGTTGAAGAAGGAGTGTTCGTATCCCGAAGCTGGAGAAAGAGTGCTACGGGTACTGCGGAAGAAACAGAAACTACAAGTTGAGAATAGTCAAGCAAATTCTAAAAACGTACTGGAAACTGAAGTAACTAAAGCAGCAAATCGAGAGTTTAAGCAAGAAGGACAAGCTCAGGCTCTGAATTTCTTACCAACTGGTAATCCTATAAATCAACTCATACTTACGGATCCAATGAGGCCACCGCATCCTGGGGCAGATCCCGCGAGAGAGGTGCTTCCCCCAAGAGAAGTGCTCGCCCCAAGAGAACCAATACAAACATTACCTTATCCTCCTCCTATTCCACCCCACCACCACCACCACCACCAACAACAACAACAACAACAACAACAACAACTACAACATCATCAAGAAAGAGTTCTTTCACCCATATTTGGTATCAACCAACCAGCCCCAATCCCCAATATACACCACGCAGAACCCAACTTGTACGGCGTCAAAGCGTCAACCCAACCGAAAATGCCAAGGCCATATTTGTCCCACTTGTCAGCTCTAGGCGCTGCTGGCAATGAACTGTTGTATCCAACAAATAGACCTGAACAAGACCCATTTGTTCGATTACCGCTTCCTCAAATCACGAGTAGAACTAGGGAAAGCACTATGCTTGGACTGAACTTTCCCAGAAAGTTGCCATTCACAACAGCAAGAGAAGTTCCAAATGCTCATGAATATCAAAAATTATCACCTGTGCTTCAAGAGGATATCGGAATTTTACTTAATCAAAGCGATCTTAGTGTTTTGGCAAATGACTTGAACAACATGGTGAATGGGATATTGTACGAAAAAAACACAGAGTCAAAGGTAAACAAGGATAAAAATCCTTCGATAAAAACAGTTCATATTACCGATAAGTTGCGACGAGATATTTCTATTGATTTCATCAAGTTGGAAAATGAAAATGACCAAGTATATTTAGAAGAGTTTTATCACAATTTTTCAAAAGTGGTTTTACCCTTTCCATCATTTGACAGTCAAAATAGAACTTATTTCAACCCTGCAAGGAATATATTATTGAGTAGCGCCACTAACTCGGACTATGTTTTAGCTGCATTATTAGCGTGTGGTGCTCACTCTAGGTATCTTTCCTCGGGGAACCAAGAAGATGAGGACTATTATTATTTATATTTATTGGATTGCGTTAAATTACTAGGTCCTGCAATTGCCGACGATCGCACTCTAGGATTCAAAATTGAAAGTGTACTACTTACAGTGTTGCTTCTTGCTGCAGCAAATGCAGCAAACTCCAAGCAAGATTGGAGACCACATTTGAAAGGGGCCAAGGATTTGTTACGGAAAATATCTGTTAAGAAGCTTAGGCATTCTAAAGTGACTATTTTTTGTAAATGTTGGTTTGTCACTTTGGAAATACTTGCAGGAATAAGCTCCAATAAAGGAGGAACATTGACAACTGATGACGAAATCCAGGAGTTGATAACTTCAGGAAGTGAGTATGAAAAAACCATTTTAACTGATTTGGGTATTATTTTGGATAATGGGTTTAACATAATGGGAGGATATCATAACGATTGTTATGACTATTTTTGTGAGTTGTTGAAAATTTTGAACAAGAAAAGACAAGGTGCTTTGAATCCTAGTGAACTGATGCTATATATAAAATTGTTTGCAAACTTTCAACGTCAAACAGAAGTTGAGTTTATAAACAAGACTGGTGTATTACAACGTGGGCAAGAAGGAATCTTAGTAGAGCAGAGCAAAAGCTTTAGTATTTCATGGATGGATATTTGCCACCAGTTGTATGTCCAAGCTTCAATGATTACTTTGCTTTCCACTTGTTTTGAAGAACCATTTAACTCACCTCAAATTCAAGTTTTAACAGATAGTTTGATGATGCTAATGTCCTTTACCAAGGAATATGACCCTAATGCTCCCCTGGCATTTTTCAAAGTTGAAAATGGTTTAATGATGTTACAATGGCCAGCACGTGTGGCTGGATCTCATCTTATCAAAGAAACGGATAAGAATACAATTAGAAATTTTTTTCAGGTACTGTCGCAAGTTGGTTCAGGGGGAGCTTTAATTGCATTAAAAAGAGTTGAACGTATTTGGGCAAAGAGAGAAGATCCTTCATTCGAAGATGATGGAGATGAATCAGAAGATCTCGTTTCATATTAAAAAATTCATAATTAAGATACTTTTGTATTGTATATGTATTTCGTTTTTTTTTTTTTCTTTTTTTTTATTTTATTTTCTTTTTGTCTTTGGCTCATTTCTGTTGTAGATTGGCAATTTAGTTGGAAAAATATCAATCAATCTTATTGCATTGGCTCAAAAAGGAATGGTTCTATCTCTCATTAGTAAAACCCTCAATTAAAGCAAATAAGCCAACTGCCCCAGGATCGGGAATTCCACCTTCAGCCTCGTATTGTTCCTTATTGACGTAACTTGCTCTACCAAACGAAGCTTGCAAGCTTTTGGTTTTTTCGCAACCATTCTTGGCTGCTTCAACTGCTTGAGATAGATCTCTAGTTTCGTAAAAGTTATCAATAAATGGTTGCAAAGTGTCGACTAAAGTTCTTCCACCTACTCGAGCCTTTGTATATTTGAATAAGCCTTTATGTAACGCCTTATGTAACGCATCTGCAACGGTTTCGGTGTCAATTGTTGAGGCATTTTTCAAATTTTGTACCAAAGATGTGAGAAAAATCGAGTAAATTCCTCCAGATGTTCCACCCATACTGTCCTCGACCAACTCCGTAATTCTATAGAGAGTGGCAATGGGATCAGAAAGGTGCTCTTGGAAACTCTTGTCATCTTTTAGTGCTTTCAAAATGGCATTTGCACCAGCAGCCAACGTTTCTCCACAATCGCCATCTCCTACAAGGGTATCAAAATGGGTGATTTTTGGTTCAGCTTCCAACAAGTTATTTAATGCAGCTATCAAATGGGCTTCAAAACTTTTAGGCTCAATCTTCAATTTGGAAGTGATTAAGGATTCATTTTGCATGGGAGATTTTACGTGTTTATCCTTATTGTTTTCCCAACATTTGGCTGGATAGGTTTTCAGTTTCCAGCCTGGGGCATTGGTAGGAGTATCTAAAAACTGTAACACATCTTCTTGATTGTAAAATTGCTTTCCTTTTTTGTCAATGTTGGACAAGTTGAGCAATGTGATTGAAAACCCTGGCGCGTTTAAACTTGTAACAAAGTCACTGACTAATATTCTTTTGGGTTTCTTTTCAAAAGGTAAGTTTTTAACAACGTGTTCTAAGATCACGTATAATTCCAAAGATGAAGTGCCTCCGATATTATTAATCAAAAGAACATAATCGTCGTTTTTCATGTCAAAGTCTACGTAATGACGATCTTTGTCCTCGGGCGATACAAGTTTATGAAACATGTCCTTTATTAATACATCGATGTTGGGGATAGGCTTTAATTTTGTACCAGGTTCATTGTGTATACCCAACCCAAGCTCAGCTTCGTCATCATCGTTAAACTCGATATCTTGTTCCGCTTTACCTGGAACAGACGTACGATCCAAACTAGCTGACATTGTCACCAAGTTATCGTTAACAACTCGACCCAACTCGCTGACTTTTTTCAAATCAGCCTTTTCATCTGCAGTAGCAGCACCTAAAACTTTGTGAACTAAAGCTGTTCCTGCCAATCCCCTTCTGCCTACCATCTTATTCTGTTTTGTTCCAACAGCAACGTCATCACCCACGGTGACAACCTCAACATTGTATCCCTCACTCTTGGCTTTTTCAGCAACTAAACCAAAATGCAAGACATCTCCAGTATAATTTTTCACCACAATTATAGTTCCCTTATTTTTGTCGGATTTTGTTCTAATTGCAGCCATTATTTGTTTCGTTGAGGGAGATGCAAAAATGTGGCCGCTGACGGCTGCATCTAGTAAATTCTCTCCAACGTAACCTCCATGTAAAGGTTCGTGACCGGCACCACCACCACTGATTAAGGCGATTTTCTTTGAGGTATCAGAGTATGGATTAAACACAACTTTTTCACTAGGGATTAGTTTAATACACGGGTTAGAAGCAACGAGACCTTCCAATTGAGTGAGTACAATGTCCTCTTTATCGTTGTATTTCCAATGTTTTGCTAAGGGCATTTTAAAGGTTTATGATATAGCACAGCACCGAAGAAAAGCTTATAGAGAAGGCCCTTAGATGATAGAAAAAGTTAAAATGAAAAAAAAAAAAAAAATAAATAAAAATAAACAAAAAATAGGAGAATGAAAAAAACTTTTACGGGGTATTATGCTCCAGGATAGTTGTGTTGAGGTAAGTAACTAGGCTCGACCAGGTTATTTCATTGATTTAAAGTAGTGGATAGCAATGGTGAGAGATACACATATCTTACTTTGACAAAGAAGAGTGCACCATCTGAACTTGGTACATTCAGAGAATGACTTTTTGTATTTTTTAGAACATTATAGCAAACTTGTTGTTGATGACAAGTTCGCTTATTTTTAGGGGGTATTGCATCTAAATCGGAGAAATACCCCCTAAAGTGCAACATGATAGAGCAACCTTGACTCGTCATATATTTAGATACTATTCTTGAACCACGTTGCAGTAACCCAGAAACATGACGGTGTATAGAGATAAAAGAAAAACGAAAGTGACACTAAATTCAATGAAACCTTTGACACTAAATTCAATGAAACCTTTGACACTTTAGAGGTGCTGAATTTTCAATCTTTAACATATCTTAAAATAATTTTTATAACAGAACTAAACAAAAAGCAATAAGAAATTTATACACCGTCTCAGATTAGAGCAGCAATGGCGAGTGCAACAAATCCAACAGCAACTTGTGGAGCAGCACCTTGATAAGTCGATATTTCGGGGAGCAATGAAGAAGTTTCATTTATACTTGAAGTGAATAATGTGTTTTGAGCAACAATAGTTTGTTGCACATCAAGAGTTTCTAGCACCAGCGGGGTTATTGTGATGTCAACGTATGAGTCTATTGATGGTGTTGATGATGTTACTAACGACATGTTTTTGTTGCCAATACGTTTTAGTTTGTTGTGATGGTTGGGGTAATGGAGAGATGTCAAATTTTTTATAGCAGGGAAAAATACAGGACTACTTGAGAATATTTATACCATCTCTAATTTTCGTTTTTAAACGTTCTTTCTTAGTTTGTGTGGAAAACAGGATATGTTTTCTTTTTCAACATCATTGGTGTGTAAGGAGAAAGGGGAGGAAGAAGGAGGCTAAAAAACCTGTTGAGATACAAACAAACAAACAAACAAACAAACCTTTCGAATGAGAATACTAGTGCTTGACGCGGTCACTTTAAAAAAGTACTTAATTATACCGAATTTGGTGATCTTATCAGGCACATTAACGCACCGCATGCATTCATTCTTTATGAGGCAAATTTTCAAGATGAGTTTTCTGCACTTTTATTGAAAAACAAAAAATGAAAATAATAACAAAAGAAAAAAAAAAAATAACGCGTCGAGATGAAAGACGCGCGTTCTGGAAATATAGAAACAGAATATAGTCTTGAGTCCATGAGTCTAGAAGTGAAATTCAATTTTCATCGTAAGCCTTCTCTTGTTATTGGTCTTTTAAAAGTACTCATTTTTTACGGTTGGTTTTTAAATTACTTGTGAATTTGAAAAGTAGGACATAATTTGCAGTCGACACTATGGAGCAAAGCGAGATAGTGTTGGAACAAGCTACCAAATGTCAATTCTATTTCAATCATGAGAGTAGGCCAATTTTCTCCAATCATTAAAGTAACCCAACTTTCTCTCAATTTATGAGTTTCCTCCGTTATTGTTGAACAGCTCGTTGTAGGAATATTCGAGATTTTTTTTTCTTCATTATTACAATTATAGTTACTACTGTATACTAATCAAGACTTGTTTAGTGAGATGCCTCAATAGCTAATCAAACTCGGGTGACACACCTACTTGCATTCAACAAGCCCAAGCCCTTCATCTCCACCTCCACCCCCTCCAAGATAACCTCAAACATGTTCAACTCAATCATACCACCATTGGCCACTAGTCTCTATCTACCTACACCTACTCTCTCTCTCCTTTCTATCGAGTAGTCTCTAGACTAGCGTCTCTCTCTATTTACACTCTATCGACTAGACGAGTGAAATGAGTCTAGTCTCTCTGTCTCCATTTACACTCTATCGACTAGACGAGTGAAACGAGTCTAGTCTCTCTCTCTCTCTCTCTCTCTCTCTCTCTCTCTCTCTCTCTCTCTCTCTCTCTCTCTCTCT